TGTTGATATTGACATTCCTCTGGCACATACCATCCAGGAACAACTGCCAAATTGGGTGCTAGTAGGCACACTGCCACATATTCATATTTCCAATGCTGTTCATATATCAAACATATTCACACCCTGGTCTAAAGTGTTATTTTTACACTTCCCATATAACATGAAATGATTGAGCATGAGTAGCTGACATTTTATAATCACATGTAAAAGGAAACAGTTGCAGCAAATGAGAGTACTCCTGAAGTCATATCACTGACTAGAGAGCTATAAAATGACATGACTGCCTTATATTGGCTCAGAAGTCCATTGTAGTATGGCCTCATCACTGTTGCTTAGTAAGCAATGCAAGTCTACATTATTTCCAGAGCAACCATGGCTTCTTCTGAGCACAATCAGGAAGAAAGCTGCCTTTTCTATCTCCACATGCCAAGGGATGAGAACAGGATGATGGCAGTGCATACAGAGGTTAGATATGTTCCAGGCAAAAATCATCTGAGGGACTAACAACCAAGCATAGCACCATCATACTATATAAATGGCACTGCTTCATATTGACAAGATTAGTCAAAGACATGCTTATACTGAACTGCTACAATAGAGCTGCTGACATCAGGCTATGTGCATCTGCATTAGCACATGTGAGATGTACTGTCTTGCATTGGCCTACAACAGTCAGCACAATGTGAAGTCATGGGATTGTCTGATTTTATCTTATTTCCTACTATTTATCTAGCATTGCAGAGACCATCAAAGACTTTGATACACTATGTGTGGTAGTGTGGTGGCCCCACTTTATGACATTGCTAGCCTATGAATTTTCTCACAACAGTAGTAACTGCATAACACAACTTGTACAATGTCTTTGTATCACTTTTTAGGATCAGTACAGTGTGAAAAGGCTCTGTGGACCCACAATTCTGATGGCTATGCTATTGATGTGTGAGTATTATGGACATGCTCAGTATGAACTGTGGCCTTTGTGCCACAGGTGTCCACCATTTTCTGAATACGCCATAGCCTGCCCAAGGGTTTAGACAGAAGCCAATCACTACTTACAGCAAACAGTACAAGGTGAACCTGAGTGGAATCATTCAAAATATTCTCTTGTTTTATCCGCATTTTCTGAGCCCAGACACAGCAGGTAACCCAGACTTTCCATTTTGGAATGTAAACTATCACATATAACAGGTTTGAGATGTCATATAGTCACACAATTCATAGGCAGTTGGTAAGCATCACAGGAAAAACAAACAATGTGAAAGAACCAGTGTTCACAGAGCCATGTGCTTTGTGACTGGTGCTATATTTGTATGAATCTATGGGAAAGCATACTATGTAAAGCCTCTCTGACATCATATACATGACTGGGAATTTTCCCAATTGTTTTTGATTTTTTGGGAGACCATAGCACAGCAAATACAGTGTCACTAATGAACTTGTGGCTTGCATTCAAACTCAGCCCAACAGCTTGGCAGCCTGCCTTTTCAGGTACTATTTAATAGCTGAACCAAACAGAATAGCCTAGGATCCTGTCTGGAATTGCCAGTCCCTGAGAATCCCAGGTGATACTGGTTCTGACAAGATGGACCAAGACTCACTGAAAGAGTGGCTTGCATCAGGCTATGCATGGGAAACTCTGCATTATCATATGTTTTCTGCCATATGGGAGCCTCAATAGTCAACTCAATATGAATTCATGGTACTATCTAATTTTTCTCTGATTTTCCTGCTATTTATCCAGTCCTGCAGAGGCCATGCATGGCCAACTTCCCAAATGGGCAGGGGACTGACCATATATGGCAGTTTTGTATGTTTGATATCCCCCACTTCACAGAGCCTCTCATACATGTGGAACTGTCTAGTACAAGCATCATACACACACCAAGATCTGCTTATATGCCTCAGTATCATCACTTATGATAGTCAGTACTCTCAAAGATACCTAATCTGGACACTGCTATCAGTACCCAAGGGGCATTGCATGGAGAAGCAATATTTTGGGATTCTTCCGCATTGAATGGGGCTCTAGTAAGGTAGTGTGGCTTCAAGCCATCAAAAAACTCGGCATGAAGAGCTGAGATTAAAAGATTACCTTAAAAGGCAACATTTGTCAGCATTCCAGCCAATGGGAGTGCTCCAAAATCCCTTTTGAGTGACCGGAGTCGTTGACAGGCCGGAATTCCGGCCTGTCAATGACTCCGCTTTGGCAATGGGCACTTACATGGGCACTTAGTAAGTGATGTAAGCGCACCCTGTTACTGCAGTAAAATCGGATAATATTCCAGGAGATCTGTGGAGCATCTATGAGCATATTCACAAGTAGAGAGGATTGTCCTGTATAGTTATTCAGTGCTGGGACATCAACACATGCTTCCTATGATAATATTTCTCCATTTGTAGCACTGCTGTGCATGTTTCAGAGACATCAATGTGTTGGAAACTATACACTTGGCCATAGAGGACATCAGTCATGTGTCTCAGATGCAACAGAACACATTCATATTCACAGAGTCACTTCTGTTTTTTTATATTAGCATTTTGCTACTCATTTAACCATTATCTCTCAAGAAACTATGATAGACACTATGAATGAAGTGCTATGAGATGAGCTTATGATATCTACAACAGTTGGTTGGAGCTCAGTCAGTGTATCCCAGTTAAATGCTATCATGTCTACAGAGGTAGGGGTGTTTCTCTGCATTTTGAATTTTATACATGGGCAAGCCATACTGGTCATAGCCTCTGGTGGTGCTATACTGGATCAATTTCTTACATACAGCAGGTACTGCAAGTGAGTCCAGTTGCACAGAATTTTCCCTGGTTTTATCTGCATTTTCTGAGCCCAGACTGAGCAGCTGTATGGAAATTACCATTTGGGGAAGGTCAGATACCCTTTATGGCAGGTTTCAGATGTCATACTATATTGGGCCGGGATCTCGGCCACCTTAGCACTCAAAGAGCCCTCCTCACTGAATGTGTACTGTACACACCTCAGGGTGTGTGCATGGACATGTTAGAACATCCAAAGAACACAGGAAAAATGTTGGAAAAAAATTAGACTCACTGAGGAGAGCACAGCGCAGGATTTTGCGTCGGGAGTCGGGTGAGCCAGTCCGACTAGGAAGTCGGCCAACCCATTTAAAACAGTTCTATATGTTGCCAGCACCCACCTACATAGGCCGCAAACCCTTCATAAATTCTCACATAGCTTACAGAATATCATACACTAGCTTGCTAGGCTCGTATGGGCTCATATCTGTGCATTGTGCCGAGTTCAGTTGAGGGGTCCGGGAGATTGAGCCACTGCTTACCAAAAACGGACATCATCTCGCTGAATGATTTTTCCTGCACCCAAACCTCAACGGGTTAGCCTCAGATGGTACACAGACATTGAATGGACGTGAATAAATGCACTCAAATTTATTTGTGACCTCAGGAAGGGTGGTGGTGAAGTGAGGTCGCAGTGACCAACTACCTAGGGGTGGCCGAGATCCCGGCCCGATATAGTAAAGACATGCAGAATCTATGGGCAGTCTACAGGCTTCAAAAGAATCACTTTGAGGGTGAAAAGGGATGCAACCATGTGCACAGAGGCATTTGTGTGTTTTTTTATTGTGTGAATTGTGCCATAACCACTGAAGGTAATGGGCAAGTCACAGCAGCTACAGACTCTATGACATCATATCTATCAGAGAGATTGTTTTGGGAATTTTCCGCATTTTAGTGGGGCCACAGTACAGCAGGTACAGTGCCACTAAGGAGCCTGTGGCTGAGATTTAAACTCAGCTCAAAACCTCGGCAGCCTGCCTGATTAGGGCAGAAAAGGGCTTGTTGCACCAATCAGAGCAGCTCGGCATCCCTCTCGTGCCGTTCGGAGGTGCAACCGTGCCAAATTTCCGCACGGTTGCACCTCCGAACGGCATCTGGGCGCTTGATGGGCGCTTAGTAAGCGATGTAAGTGCGGACTGTTACTGTGCTTAAGAGAGCTTGTATAGGCTCAGAAAAAAGCGGAAAATTGAGACAATATTCAAAATGATCCAGGCAATGTGAATGAAGCTGTATATTGCATGGGTTTGACATCAGATCAGATAGCATTCTCAATAACCTAGTAAGATGGTTGCTGTGGCCCCAGTGAGCTTATATAAGCCTGCTACTTCACTCTTGGAACTGCTCATGTACTGGACAACCCTATAAGATGGTAGTGTATGTACACATTCAGGTATGTATCCCTAGATTGTGTCTGTGAGCAAGACAAAGCCAGCAGTGGATGCATAATTACCATATGGAGTATGTGACCTTCCCAAAGAGGAATCATACACAAACAGGGGCATGTAGGGCTCAGAAAAATGCAGAAAATCTATGAAATATACAGACACATCAAAGACAAGTGTATGATTGCCTTGAGCTGCAATGGTTACCATTACATTGTATGCAAGGGCCATAAGATGGCAAAAGATGCTCAGATTACCCATTATAGTCCTTGTTACCTGTATTATTGAAGCTACTGAGTAGTCCACAGTGTCTGAACTACACATATACATTGCAGTGTACATATAGACCATATTTGAGTCATAAACAAGCAGATTGAATCTGCAGAGGCACATGTGCATTTTTTTTGCTTTGCATTTCCTGGGTTAGCCAGCCACTGTATACACTCAATAGAATTTATGTATACTCTCTGAATGAAGGGCTATCAGATGAGCATACTATGTATACTATGATTTGTTACTGGCTGAGGCTATATAGGCCCTACAGTGTGTGAGCGCTTGGAGCAATGGCCCACCAAGCTGCCAGTCACATGATATGTTTACCAGTTTCCTTATTGGGGGAACTGCTAAGGTGTTTCATGGGCCTCATATCCATAACTGAATGCTTAGCCACTGCATTTGTTTGTATCTGTTGGTGCAAGTCGTGTCGTCTGGGAGTCTGAAATTTCAGACTCAGATAAGCAACCCATACTAACAGTTACTCATCTCTGCTTATCGGGGTGGCTGCATGTCATGTGCACTGTGGGAACAAACTGCCATTCCGGAGGAATCACCAAGGTGTTTCATGGTGGTCCATCATAAGAACGATACCTTCGTACCTCAACGATCGTAATACTGACATTTTTGCAGAACGTACATGCACATCGCATAGCAGGGCTGAATCCAGCTGGAAACTTGCAAGCATTGCAACTTGCGAGGGAAGGAGACCAGCCTCTGGCGACAACACAGTACGACTACAGTCTCAACCCTCTTGTAATGCAGGTATGTTTAGATTAGTACCTAACCTCAACCTACTAGTACTAGCAAAGATTAGAGTGGTGCCACGCAGAACATGTACACTGGCGGCCAAGACGACTTCGCGAACATGAACAACGTGGTCGCGAACTTCGCACCACCCTTTGCGCCGTACGAGCCTCAACATGCACAGGCGCAGCCTGAAACCGGCGCCGGCGTGCAAGGTGATTTCGGAGGTGGCGCACAAGGTGATTTTGGGGGTGATTTCGGAGGCGGTGCACAAGGCGATCTTGGGGGTGGCACACCAGGTGGATTTTTCAGGGCCAATGCACAAGGCAAGTATGGGGCTGGCATGCAAGGCCTTTTTGGGGGTGGTGCGCAGGGGCCTGGGCAGCCTGAATTCGCAGCTGGTGCGCAAGGTGCGCCTTTCAGGGCCGATGGGCAGGGCGAATTGGACGCCATCATGCGTGGCATTTTGGGCCCCGACGCGCAGGTGCAGATCGGCTTCGCAGACGGTGCGCATGGCGAGCCTTTCGGGGCCGGCGCACAAGCTCATTTCGGGGCTGGCGCGCAAGCTCATTTCAGGGCTGGTCCGCAAGGGGTCACCGCGCACCCTCACAAGTTTGTGGCGGGCGAGCAGGGCACTTTCGGGGGCGCGCAAGGCCAGGTGGGCACGGGTCCTGGTGTAGTATCGTGGCACGACTACGGTACACAGTCTGACCAGGGCTCTCGGCACAGTAGCCATAGCACTGGTGCAGATTGGCGCAGATTGACGCCGGCACCTGCTATGTACCACCCATACATGCCGCCTCACGGTCTAAGATTCGAATCTCTCCCGTCGCAAGTACGACACGGGCTCAACACGGTCATGTCAACTACTGTGCATACGAGGTCTGTACTGGATGACCACCAAGGGGGGACCCACAAACCTGCACGAATGCCATGAGGTAAGCTGAATAATCCGAAATCTGTGTCTTTTTCGAACTCACCCAACTTAAATCAAAGCATCAGCCACAGGTATGCCTCACGCTGGCCCGTCGCAGCAGGCCGCCGAGCTTGAGACCCTCACTGCCCAACCGAGCAGTGAGCCCATGCATGCAATGAAGCTGAGTCCTCTCCCGGAATCCCTCAAGAGGAAACTCCGTGCTGCGTACATCCCAACGCTGAAGACGATGATGGAAGTACTCATCATCGGTGGTAAGGCCGTGTTCCCCAACAAAGGTCTAATGGATGACCTTGTTGGCACTGCAATGTGGAAGGTGGCCCAGGGTGACTGCCACACCAAAAAGATACCTGAGGACCTACGAGACACCCACGTCAAGTATGATCCAATGCAGGACACAGAGCTACGTTGCAAAGTACGTATTTTCATCCTGCCTAAAATGTCCTTTCAAATAACAAACAATTTGTTGTAGGCTCACGACATGGTGTTGACCTTCCGCAGTACCTTCAAGTCCACCGCAGAGCACCTGTTCCTGTTCGCTCATCATGCTAACCTACTCCCCACTGAGACGAGCAGCCTCATTGAGGAGGATCTTGGTGAGCTCATGATCGACTGTGCCGACGCCTGCTCAAGCAGGAGGGCTTGGACTGATCATGTTGTCGAAGCAAATGTGGAGTCAACGCCACTGCTGCATATCATCGACCCTGCCAATGTATGTATAATTCTTGTCAGATGAACTTTCTCTTGATTTGTACTAGGACTGACAATTAATCTTGTTCTGTACAGTCCACTATTGTTGTTGGAGCATTCGAGAGTCAGGGACTCATCCCTGCAATTCTCAATGCCACCCTGTTCCAGCGGAAAGAATGCTTGGGCCACACGGACTCATTGCTCTTCCGGGACGGGATTCCAACACAGGTGATGGTGCTCGCAGCCTGCACTGTCATCTGCTGTGCAGAGGAATTCTCGAAGACAGGTATGCACACATCAAAGAAATTCAGCAGCAATTCCTACAAGCGCAACACTCGAAAAATTGCTGCCTACATTCATACCCTGAAGACTTCGGACACTGAAGCTGGTGCTTGCTTCAGGCGCCTGAACGCGAACATTGTTCATGTCGGAAAGTGAGTATTTTGCTATTATTCAATAAATCCATATTTGTTTAGCCATTTTTCCAGGATGTGGGTAGATGGCCCACAGACTCAGCCTGGGGTGCCCGACAATGCTGAAACATTGGGTGTGTCCGAATCGTGAAGACGGCCTCTCGTTTCAAATCTAAGATAGCCCTCGTTCAAAATCCACCACATCACGTGCTTCGTGTTTATAGCGCCGGAACCAGATTTGGCGGGGAAAACAGGAAATATACACTCCCTCTCCATAAAACAAAGAGCGAAGGAATTTTAGATGTAAGATGACGATACCTGTATCAATACACATGTTATCCTAGAACAGAATCACATCACGACCATTTGCTGAGCAAAGGAGTCGTTGTTCTTGACGAGATCGCACCGAGATGCTGACTAAGCATTCCGGTTCGAACGCGAGCGCCCTGGCTCGTAGGCCTCTAAAAAGCACTCAAAAATGCCCTTCAAAAAACGACGGTTCCGCCAATCTATGGCCAACCTCGGGAAATATCTCCCAGAAAAGGGTGCCAAAAGGCCACGCATGAATACAAGCCCTGTGAGTACAATTGGAGCCAAACTGAGCACAAACAAAATATTCAACTGAGATTTACTATTGGCACTGTACTCGCAGACACCACCAACCAAGCCACAGACAGAGCCAACACTGCAGATATCCGAGCAGACACCTGAACCTCAAACACCTCAGCCGCAGACACCACCATATGGGCAGCCAGCCCTCGCCAATCCAGATGTCACCCCAACAACAAAGTGCATGTACACGGTGTTCGGAAAGGCGAAGGCGGGCTTGGCAGAGCTTGCGAGCAGCAGCACGTCACTTTTTGACGGGCTCTTGAAGCCAACATGGAAGAGGACACCGAGTGCTGCGTCAACGAGCACGGAAGCATCGAATGCGCAGGGGTCAGGCACCGCCGAGGCTGCACGGGAATCAATGTCGCTGGCAATGGATGTCGATCAATCATCCGAGTCGATCACCAGACACCGAGTCGAGATCGAGGACGTGCCTGATGAAACTGAGAGCAGCCATGCCCTGCCATTGGAGGGCTCGGAGTCGGAGGAGGTGGACTACAGTGCTGAGTCCATTCCTGTGGACTCAGGATCAAAGACTCCGAAGGAGTATGTCCCGGCGCCGAGTGTCTCTGGTGCAAAGTGTGCATTAGATGACCTAACCGAGGTTCTGCGGCCACACCGTCCTGGTCGTTCCAAGGGGTACAAACCCTTCTCTGGTGACGAGGTTTCACGGAGACGCCTCGAGATGATGAAGCTGGCCTTGTGGCACTACACACGCAAGGTCAATCGCTGTTCGTGGATCAAGGCATCATCGCGCGCTGCGGAGGCACATGATCAAGGCGATACCACCACGCGGTCTATCCGGAAATGGTGCCGTGCATACATCGCAGATCGAGAGGACCTCCCAACAAATCTATGTGGTTCCTGGAACCAGTCAATCATTGAGGACGAGGATATGGCAAATGACATTCACTTACATTTGCAAGGCATTGGGAAGCACCGAAAAGCGGACGACATCGTCCAGTTCTTCGAGCAGCCGGAGATCCAGGAGAGATATCAGCTGGATGGCTGGGCTCCCTCGATCACAACAGCACAGCGATGGATGCGTCGCATGGAGTATCGGTGGGGATCTGGACCGAAAGGTCAATACATCGATGGGCATGAGCGCGATGATGTTGTCGCATATCGCCAAACGATCTATCTACCAGCACTCACTGCGGTTAAAGATCGCCTGCGAACATATGACAGTGATGGAAACGAGGAGGAATACGCAGGCCCCAGACCCATGATGCGCCGCCTCGTGATTTGGTTCCATGACGAGAGCACGTTTCATGCGAATGATCGGCGGCGGGTGTACTGGGCACACAAGGATGAAAAAGCCGTACCACAGCCAAAAGGCGAAGGGCCATCGCTTATGGTTGCTGACTTCATCTCGGCGGACTATGGCTGGCTTCGGTCTGAAGGCGAGGACCTGAAATCGGTGCGGGTCTATTGGAAGGCGGGCAAAGAACGTGATGGATACTTCACGAGCGTGGAGATGGTCGATCAACTGAACAGCGCGATGGACTTGATCCGGAAGCTGTATCCAGACGATGATCACCTCTTTGTCTTGGACAACGCGACAACTCACCGCAAACAAGCTGACGATGCTCTTTCAGCTCACAGAATGCCCAAAGGCCCGAGTCCTGCCAGTGTACGAGAGGGAGTGCAGCGGTTTGGCGTTGACGTGAAAGTTAGGGGTGCAGATGGGAAATTGCTGTATGGCGCCAATGGAAAGCCCCTGAAGACGCACATCAAGATGGCGGACACAAACTTTAATGGACAGACACAGCCCTTATACTACCCCGACATCTATCCCGAACGTCCAGACCTCGCTGCCAAGTTCAAAGGCATGGAGCAACTTCTCGTCGAGTGTTATCCCGAAAAGGCAGCATCCATCAAGAGCATGCGGACAGAGTGCAAGAAATTTCAGTGCCCTCCCGGTCGAACTGATTGCTGCTGCAGGAGGATGCTGTACTCGGAGACAGATTTCACTGACATCATGTCACTCGTGGAGGACGCATGTGCGACACGCGACTTCTCTGTCCTTTTCCTGCCGAAATTTCACCCCGAGCTCAATCCAATCGAGCAATGCTGGGGCTATGCGAAGCAAGTGTACCGCCGTTATCCCCCTTCGACACGCGAGGATGCTCTCGATCGGAATGTCCGAGATGCACTTGATAGTGTGTCCGTGAACATCATTCAACGGTTCGTCCTGTCCCACAACAGCATCACTGTGACTGTCAACATTGTTACTGATTGTCTTACATTCTTTAGCTTTGTGCGGCGATCATTCCGCTTCGCAGATGCATACGCGAAAGGCCTCAATGGTGTACAAGCAGCATATGCAGGGCGAAAATATCACGGCCACCGTGTTGTGCCCGACTCAGTTTTCGAGGATCTTGATCGCGCGGACCTCACGTAGAATACAATCATACGGACAGTCCAAATTGTTATTATGTACTGAATCTATGGACTATCTATCATACACTCGACGGAGCAGCTTGGTAGGCTGCCACGGATGCGGTCATTTCCTTTTTGGGGTGTATGATCACGTGGATCACTCGAGCGCCACAATATGGTGGATTTTGAACGAGGGCTATCTTATCTCTAATTGTACAATACTGTGATATGTTCAAAAATACGCTGTCCAAAAACACACTGTCAGCTATCCCCAGTCTAACCCTCCCGAAATGCACTGTCCAATGAGACTCCTTTCCGACCGGTTTCTCAAACGAGACCGCTCGATCGTCGGCATTTGAATTCTGCGACTTTACAGATCGTAGCGGCGCAAGCGCCGATCCCCGACTCCTGCATGGCACACAGCTGCTCAGCATGCCACAGCAGCATCATAGTGTACAGTATGTATTGTGATACTGTACCATTGAAATGGTATTGAGACTCAATGATAATTGGAGGCCCTCACGCCCGCGGCAGCTTCGCCGCCCGGGCGTCTCGGGCTTCCACGAGTTCACACCGCTGACTTACTTATGTAAGTACTGTGCTACATACATACAGTACTATAGTGTATGCGAGGGCTATCAATATGAGAGAGGGAAGAGTTGTTCGATGGTGATATATGTTCCAGGTGTCCAGACAGAGCCTGCACGGAAGGATCCAACTGCCCAGAACTGCCTCGTAAGGGCACTCGAGCGTTGCTGCGATACCGTTTATGGCAAGTTAAGTCACGTGTTTCCCACGGAGGGAGCGGCATCGCCGGCATCGTCTCAAGTTATGGTGGACAAAGCCCTCCTCTCTCCCTCCGGTCGGAGTCGGGGATGTAAGGTCTTAACGCTTGTATCACGTGCATCCTCAGCGCATAAAAATCGCCCAGCGCGCGTCTTCGCTCCTCACTCATTCCGGACTCGCACTATTGTCCCCCTGCGACCGAACGCCCTCGGGCCCTTCTCGCAGGAGTCTACCGCTTGTCCCAGAACGAACGCATCCGCCTCAGCTGGAGCGCACGCCCCCCGTCGACGTCGTCGGCGTTGGCGTGCTTTTCCTTACCAGAGGTGGTACACCTCTCTCTCTACCTTGCACTTCTGCTTGTGTCGTGGATGTATGCGTCGATCTCCCAGAATTGGATTGGATGCTTCCTCTATGTTGTGTATTGTGCGAGTCGAAGAGAATCTCTATGTTGTACGTAGTATATACCCAAGCTAATGCCAATGCAATGCGACCGTTCCTTCCCCGACCTCCACCTCGAAAGAAGGATCCGAGTGACGCGAGAGACGCCGCGTCAGGCAACCACCGAGTGAGGACAGGAGTACAGGGAGTCAAAAAGGACAGTGATGGACGGTCATCCAACCGACCGACGTTCTGAACACGAACCGCCACGTCGCCCCGCCCCGCGTCGTCCGCCTACGTCCGAGACGACGCCCCACCGCCGCGCCGCCTCCCCATTCCGAACGTCCCAAAATACCCCTCCACCGCACCCGTCCGACGCCGACACCCACCGACGTCCGCTGCCTGCTAGTTCCCGTCCAATCGACTCATGCCGTCGCGGGCTTCTTGTTCCCCTGCGCGCCCTCCTTCCCGGGTACGAACAGCCACCACACGGCGATGATCGTGCGGATGCCGCAGCCGACGCCGAGGGTGCCCGCGGCGCCGATCTGGTCGATGAGGGCGCGGCCGACGAAACCGCCGAAGAAGAGCGCGAAGATGGCGATGACCTTGTGGTCGCGGGAGATGATCCGGTTGAACTTGAAGAGCTTCGGGTCCGCCATGAGCTCGCACCACACCGTCGTGAGCACGACTGACAGAAACAGGTTAGCCGGCGGTCGCTGGGGCCGCGTCCAGCAGGGGGTGCTCACCGGTGGTGGTGAACTGCGTGTTGACGCGCTTGCCCATGATGCCCTGCAGGCCGATGCTCGCGCTCAGGAAGCCGAGGGCGACGAACGAGAGCGCGTTGGTCCAGGCGGGGTTGAAACGGTCCGTCGCGACACTGATCTGGCCGCTCTGCCAGGCGGCGACGGCGGCGGCCATGGTGAAGAGGGCCTGGATGAAGGTGCCGAGCATGAGCCATGCGCGGGACTGGGGACCCATGCGGTCGCCGAGGCGACCGATGAACGCGCCGACGTTGAAGGTGATGAGGGAGCAGAGCGCCTGCCGGTCGGCGATGTGGAAGGAGTGGTCCGTCGGTTTTGAGAAGAGTCGGGCGAGGGCGAGGGCGAGCTGCGGTGCGGTGTTCCGGCGTGAGTTGAGGGGGAGAGCGAGAGACGAGGACGACGCACCTGGACCGTGTTCCCTGTCTGGAATCCTGCCCACACGAAGACGGCGGTGAACGCGACCGAGTCACTGAACGGCAGAGCGTTAGAACGGTCAGGAAAAGATGAGATGAGAGCACGCACATGAAGCCGGTCATAAAGCAGAACGCGGCCAGCGGGATGGTGGCCTTGACGGGGCTAACATCGCCAAAGAAGTGCTCTCTCGTGAAGAGCACCGAGGGCGATACCCAGAGGCGTGCAGTCTGGCGCATCATATTATCTGAGGCGGGGCGCGGAAGCTCCTCCGCCCTATTCTCAGCGTAGTGGGGGCCCGGCGGGACGTCGTCGCGCTTCTTCGAGTCAGCCTCCGAGCTGTGTGCAGACATGACCACGGGCCTTCGCTGGGGGAGAGCGAGAGGGGATAGGGTATGAGAAACGAGCGGGATAGGCGGGGATCGCGGGGGGCATGGCGGTGGCGGGGCCACTATTCTTGTACCGTTCCATCCTCCATCGCGCAATTGCGGCGAGCCGCCCAACCGAGCCCTCCCATTGGCCAGCGATGTTACGCCCGCCCAATCCCCGCCAGTGTCTCTCCCCGCCACCTATCCATCTCTTGGCCGAGCAACACCGCACACGTCCAATAGAATCCGCCCTCGACATCGTCAGCCTCCTTCCCGAAGATCGCGGTAGAGCCTGTGTGGCGCGGTGGCTTTCTTTTCCATGCAGCCAAGGTTCCGCTCAATCTACACTGCGGTACTATCATCACTTGTCGTGTCAATGGCCCTCTCCCTTTCAACATGGTGGTAATCGATATTGCATCTTCATATCAGTCTGATCTTTGACAACGATGCACACGATCTACGGGCGTATGACCCAAGTTTCTCGTCCAGTTCTGTGTTATGTTCGTCTGCGCGCTACGTCCTGACGTTCGACGTCGGCGAGAGCCCAGCGAAGCAAGCAATTCTCGGCATGCTATGGAAGTCAATCCACCGTAAACACACTGACAGCGCTACGTGTCTCTCCCCGACTTCCGTTTCTTGGCTGTGTCACGAGTCTGTCAGCAGAATCTTGCGTCCTTGGCCTCGGACGGACTGACTGCAATCCGACTCAGTGGAGCCAACGTAGATGTCCAGCGGACATGTGTACCTTCTGGCCGCGGCTTGCCTGCTTAAAAGGTATCCTGGGAGAAGCACAATCCGTCAGCAGGGGTATTCTGCTATCTCGAGCTCGTGGCGCCGTATCTGAGACGGTACAGACCACACGACGTTGGACGGGGTGCCCATATCAGCTTGACGGCATTGAACGCGCTTCGTAAAAGACCTCGCTCAGGCTATGCCTCCGAGGAGCAGTGTCCTGTCGAATTTCTGTCAAATTAGCCTAACTCAGATAACTAGAAAAGACAAATCACCACTAACTTACCTCTGTCTCGACCCAGAAGGCCTTCCTTTCCGCTAAGCTCCTGAAGCACAAGACACGCTTCACTTCGACACTATGGAGCGTCTTCACGCGCCTCAACAGGGATCATACCTCCACTTGAATCGCACCACGGAGTTAGAGGGGCACACAAAGGAGAGGATAAAACGTCTATGATGCATCATTAATCTTTACACATGCAGCTATAACTACGAAAGCGCGTTAGATGTACAACACCGCGACCCCACTCCAGTCCGCCCGTACCCAAAAAGCACCCGCACCTACACGACACGAGATCGCCTCTCCCCACCAACACCTCACGCCATCTTGCCAAGCACGCGCGGCTGCGACAGGTCAGCCATGTTGATGAAGATGTCGTCGGCGGGGTGACGGTACAGCGGCGCGCGGAGGCGCTTCTGGTCGAGGTGGTGGCCGATGAACCCGATGCTGCGCCCGAGGACGAACAGCCCGTTCAGCGTGCCGATCTTGATGTACTCGTCTGCCTCCTCAGGCGTGAACGCGCCGCTGTCCCGAAGGAGGTCCACGAAGCATACTGCAATGCAACCGTCGACGTTCAGGATGAGCTGGACAACAAGCAAGAGTCAGTGCGGATGGGGATGAGAGTAGGGGAGCGCACGTACCGTGTCCTTCTTGGACGTTGTGACCTTCTCGACGGCGAGCGCGTAGTCGAGCAAGCTATGGCTCGGGAAGTGCTTCGTTACGTACTCCTTCACGAGCTCGACACGCAGATCAGGGTTGTTTACGCTCTTGATCTTGTGGCCGATACCGCTGACTGTCGTCCCAGTCAGCACCGCCCCTCACCCACAACGGCACGAATCACTTACTGAGCTTGTTCTGCTTGCGGCACTGGTCAACGAACTCACGCGGCGTGAGACCAGTGTCCCGCGCACCCGAGAACATCGACGCGGCCTCATCGAGGGCACCACCGAAGCGGCTACCGATAGTGAGGAGACCAGATGCAAGCGAGGAGATGAGGTCCTTGCCCGCACGCGTCGCGACAATAGTGTTCATCGCACTACGAGACATCATGAGCGACTATAACGCAGCACAATGAAACACAATCACTCACCCGGACACGGCCGGACCGTGGTCAGCAGTGAGCATAAGCACCATCTCGATGAACTTCGTCGCCCATGGCGGGAGACGGCGCTTGAACCAAAGCAGCGAGACGACACCGCCGAGTCCAATATCCTCCTTGAACACGTCCGAGATACGCATACCCGCGTAGAGCAGCTCCTGCCCGCGCTCGTCCGAGATCGTCGAGATGAACGCCGCCGGCTTCCTGATCAAGCCCAGCTCCTGCGCCCACTTGTAGTCCATCGGGATGACCGGCGGCTCGCGCTCCTGCCTGGGCACGATCGCGCCGCCCGCCACGAGGCGCTCATACGTCTCCTTCAGCACCGCGGGGAGGTCCTCGAACGTCTCGGGCACGATGAAGCCCGCCGCGCGCATCGCGCGGTTCTTCGCGTCCGCCGTCTCCATGTCCGAGTTCGCCATCGAGCCCGCGTGCCCGAACTGCACCTCCGTCGTGAACATCTTCGCGCACGTCCCGATCGCCCACGCGACGATCGGCTTGCGAATCACACCCTTCTTCACAGCCTCGATCACGCGGTACTCCTCCACGCCGCCGACCTCGCCGAGCAGGACGAGCATCTTGCAGTCGGGGTCCTGCTCGTAGCGGAGCAGGTGGTCGATGAACGTTGAGCCCGGGTAGCGGTCACCACCGATGGCGATACCCTCGTATGTGCCGTTCGTGACGAGTGAAAGGATGTTGTTCAGCTCGTTCGACATACCGCCCGACTTGGAGACGTAGCCAACGGAGCCGGCGCGGTAGAGCTTCGACGCGATGATGTTGTCCATCATACTGCAGAAAGCACTCATCAGTCAGAGACCTTACACCACATAACACATTCACGTACCCTCCGGAGTTACCAATACGGAAGCAACCCGGCTTGATACCACCAACCGTCGCAGGCCCAATGATGAGGACACCCTTCGCTTTCGCCGTGCTCAAAATCTCGCGGGCATGGCGCTCAGGCACACCCTCCGCAATCAGCGCGATTGCCTTGATCTGGGGGAACTGGAAGATCTCCAGCGTGCTCGAATACACACTCCTTGAGCTCGCAAAGTTCACGACCACGTCCGCGTCGGGATGCTTGCCCACCGCCTCCTCCACGCTCGTGTACACGGGCAGCAGCGTCTCCCGCGTGCCCCAATAGAACTTCTGGATGTGGTGCCCGCCGAACGGGTAGATCATCGCCGCGACCGACGGTGCCTCGCGCCCACATGAGTAGTCAAAGTCGAGCATCCCCTGGATCGCGCGCGGCTGGAGGCCATACACGAACGCGCGCGTGCGGTCGTCGAACGGCCGGAAGGTGGGCCGCGCGCCTTTCGACTCGACGTTGTCGAAGCGCACGATCTGGTCGTTCGGCTGCGAGCGCTCGCCGTCGGGGCCAATCGACCCGATGGCGGCGATGGGCTCGGCGCTGGCCTTGATGGTGGGCGAGGGCGGGCCGACGGGCGTAGCGGCGATCGAGTGGACAGGGTTCTTGGGCTTGCCGGCGATGCCGAGTGCGAGGGGAACGATCTCGGTGATGTGTGTGTCGGGGCCATACACCTTGATGGGGACACCAAGGGACTCTCCGAGGAGGCGCATGGCCTTCAGACCCTCCTGGTAGTTCGGGCCACCACGGCGGACGTAGATCTTGACACTGTGCGCGATGAGCGGCGACTTGAACTCCTTCAGCGCGCGGATGATGCCCTTGAACGTCGCGGCGACGTTCGTGAAGTTCGCGATACCACCACCAATGATGAGGATCTTGCCGTCAGGGTTGACCGCCCCGCGCGTCATGAGGTCGATAATCGTCTTCGCGTACTCGTACGTCTGGCCCTCGGACGGCGCGCCGGAATACTCGCCATAGTTCGCGAGCTCGTGTGCGAAGCCGTGCGCAGCGATGGCGTCGGAGTAGACCACGGAGGCACCGCCACCGGCGACCATCGTCCAGATGCGGCCCTCGGCGTTGAGGACGGTGAGCTTAAGTGAGGCACCGGTGGACGCGTCCAGCTTCTGAATGTACGCCTCCTCCTTGGTGAGGTCACGACCGAAGGGAGCGGGCCAGACCTGGAAGGCATGTGAGTATGGCACGATAGTAGAGTTCATGCTTTCTCACCATCGGCGGGCCGCGGTCAGCAGAAACAGTCTTGCCCTTCGAGGTCGTCGCCTGCGTGCCGGGCTCGTACACGGACAAGTCGCGGGCAATCGCCCACTTGGGTCCGCAGATCGACTCGGCGGTCTGGTCGAGCTTCGCGGCCATGTCAAGGTAGTAGATGGTCGGCTGGCCGCCATCGACGGCGTCCAGGCAGATGAGCGGGTTGATCTCGAGGTACGCAAAGTGGAGGTCGACGTAGACGGAGTAGAGGCGGACGAGGAAGTCGACGAGGGTCTCCTTCTTCGCCGCCGGGACGTGCCTCAGGAGGGTGTCCGCGATCGTCTTGCGGTCGGGCACGGGTGCGTTCACGCGGATGTGGAGGGTCAGGGCCTTCGCGTCGACGTCGCCGATGTCGACACCGCCTTCGTGCGTGAAGAGGATGTTGTCGCCATCGCGGTCAGAATTGATGCAGACGTAGTACTCGGTGTTGGAGGGGTGGGGGAGGAACGGTTCGACGATGAAGTTGTTGAGCGTGCCCGTGATGGACTCGACCTACATGTAGCGGCAATCAGCTACAATTCACCTCACTTGTATAACGCGTTCAATGGCCCGAAGGAGCCAGAGAGTCGGAATCACGAAGATATCCGTCCCCGGGACAAGGGACAAGGGACGCGAGACGTCACATCCAGTCATGTAAGTAGTCCATGATGTTGAGACGCTATATACCGCTCCGCGCTACTGCCACCTCGCGCATCGTTCGCTACTTTGCTTGCGCCTTGGCATTGCTTCTTCTTGACGCCACGTTTGTCCACGATGGCCCTGTCATTCTCTCTGACGCGCTCCCCCAGGCCGTCGCGAGGCCGCGTTCCAGGGACGTACGTCCCAGTCGTTCAGACGTAATGGCCCGAAGGAACGGAGAAAGCGCGGCAGGGTCACGTGGTAGCAATATCGGTACGCGCCTCGCTCAAAGCGCGAGGCATTCCCCAACGCAGTGTTAGCCGATCTGGCTGCACTTACCCCAGCATGGGGAACGAGATGCAGGGATCCCAGTGCGGGGGATTGGCCGCGCGTGACGGAATAGAGGCGGAAATGAACACTCCGAGTCGGAAGCGGGACGGCACGGTGGAGAACGGAAATCCGTACTCACCTTCTGCGGCTTTCCTGCGCGGGCCTGAATCCACTCCTTGGCCTCGTCCCAGGACTTGTTGAGCGCAAGGAGGCCCGCCTTGCCTCGTCGCTTGATGAGCTGGTCGGGCTTTGCTACGAGTTTTGTGGTGAACACCCAGCTCGGGAGCTGCGTGTCGGGCGTGATGGCGTTCGTCTCGGGGTCCCACGAGACCTGGGCGACCTTGGGGGCGGGGAAGGCGAACTTGGTGCCCAGCTGCCAAGAGGGGTCTACGGCGGGTGCGCGCTCGAGCCAGTAGGCCAGCAAGAGCTTCGCGTCGTACTCGCGGATGGCTGGAGGTGGTGTACGCTCGTTAGCAGAGGCAGAACGGATGAAGCGGGGTCATGTGGTACCTTTTGAAGACATGGCGGGCTAGCAAGTCGTGACAGAGACTAGAGGGAGGATGAGGAAAGGGGAGGGCGCGATGAGCAGGCTGAGCGGAGGGTATTTATCGCTGGGACAGTCGCCTCACTTTGCTGCTCAATATTCGAAAATGGGGAATGGCACCCCCAAGTTTCGCACGCTCCATCTCGCCACGGCCGTTCTGCGCCCCCATTGGCCAGTGCGATCGTCTCGCCGCTCTCCAGCCTCCTAATTGATGGCTCCTTCGTTTCAGAGGCGAGAGTCGTACGAGCTCGTCTGAGCTCGTGCGCTGCTCATGTTCTCCTCTCGCACTTTGACATACACAATAATCGGTACGCGGTCCGCAATCATTATCTCCCACTTATCGCTGCATCTCCTATGCGACATGTGCTGCAGCACCTACTTCTCGACCTACTACTTGGTACTTGCCATTTTGGCACGATGTTGCGCGAGCTGTCGTTCGTGGCCGAAGCCCCTCGGTGGGTTCTCTTCGCTGTCCTATCTTGTCCTATTCGCTCTTCTGCGCCGCAAGGAACGGCCGCCAATTCGCCGTGCAGTGTTTCTGACAACTGTCACCACACGGGTCCGCGGCCGCCATGTCGGGCAATCCGACGGATGCATCCTGATGCCACGAACAGCTTGTTTACATCCAGCCATGGATCACAACGCGCTCAACATAACCTATTCAACCACCACAGACCGATCATTTCCTCCCTTTGGCTTGTCTGCCTTACCCTCCGCATCGTAAAGTCAGTCGGAGGTAACGGCCATTCCCGGCGCGAGACCAGGGGTGTTCAGAGTGCGCAAACCATGTTCTTCTGTTACATGAGCGACAACACTCAACGCGTCTGTCATGTTAAGACTCGTAAGTTATCGAGTCTGCGTTCAGTCCGCGCACTAGAACCCCAGCCAGGACGGAGCTTCCTACACAAGGCGTCAACTCAACGCGCATCATAGCAGCTCGTAGCGGACCACCGCCATACGAGGTTTCGTTCCCAGGGGATGTTCCGAATCTGCCAACGGAATTAAAGGAGGTCGTCGTCTCATCGGAGTCGATGTGTCGCGATCATACCATCCGGATCACTCGATCGCTCGCATCAGGATCGACTGAGGAGCGGCTACATAGGGACTGAGAGAAGTTAGCGTCCGATGCGTCGTATCCTTGTTGCCTCGCGCGAGCGGTAACTTATGTGGATAGAGCAACATCGTCCCAGTTCAAGGTTCAAACACGCCTGCCTCTCGCGCGCTCACCAGAATGCGTGCACTGCAACCAAGGAGAGTGGTCCTATGTTATATGTTGTATCGATGCATATACTTACTGCCATGTACTAGCTCACCTATCATTGCCTCCGCTGTCCCTGCGCTCTCTCCTCCGTCCAGCTTCGACCTTTTGCAGTGCACACGACGAGCGATTGAAAGGCCTCGCGAGGTACGAGGCCGCTTCCGTCGACGATTGCCCTTACTGATGAGTCGTGCTTTGCGCATAGCGTCGTGAGCCTAGACGGTCGTAAGTGACTCGCAAACCGACGACCCGGACGACGCATCCTGGCTTGCCTGGTAGCCAGGATACATACCAGAAACCAGGTAAGTAGTGTGTTATCGCAGTATGCTTGCTCTTGGAGCTTGAAGAGCTGCTGTCTGAGAAGATGTCATTAGTAACGTATCTTCACCGTCGTGATCATTGAATGTTTGGTCGGTGCCTTAGGCTCACGTCGCCGTAGCACACATCCCACGTCAACGGAATGGACAGAGCCGAGCCAACGTAAGTGTCATTGCTCGGACGCGAGTAACATGGTTTACGCATGTGGAATACAGTACAGCCGCAACGTCCGAGGGCTCCTCTCGTGGTCCCTTGATCCCACGGCTTCCTGTGGAGGTCTGTGAACGGATCATCGACCATGTCGCGACGGGAATGAATCTCAAGCTGTTCTCTATGGAGGCCGAGCCACATCACACCGCTCTCATTTCCTGCGCACTCGTATGCCGAGACTGGTATTATCTCACATGGTACCATCTGCGTCAACGCATCCGTTTACGAGACCGGGTGGACGTCCTCTCGCTCTCCAAGACACTCCGTGCAAAACCTCGCCTCCGTGAGGTCATTCAACATGTCGTCATATCGGGTGCTTCTCCCGGAAAAGCGTCAACCGATCAGGCACCTGGGGACATTTGTCGCTATGCTCGTGGGCAAGGCTCCGAGGAGGTCGATGATCACCATTGAACATGCTGAGTGGACCATCGGCTCGGTCCGAATGGAGGACATCGGCTTCCTAGCTGCATTTAGCTCCTTGGACAGTCTGACCCTCGACAGCGTCACCTTGTCGATCCAGCGTCGCCCAGCTGTCCCGCCTCGTGTCAGCGCTCCCCAGGCTTAGTCAGTTATGGTGCTCCAGGGTCAGTTGCGTGCAGAAGCAGCAACTCTCTCTGGCCTCTCTCCCGCTGAACTCTGTAAATTTGGACTCTCTCGATGTAATGTTTGTTGCGACAGCAGTCGAAGACCTTTTGGTGCGGATATGCCGGGCTTCTCGAGTGCGCAATCTCCGTCTTGGGATGTTCAGCGAGTCGACTCCATCCGGGGCAGCTGGCCGAAGTCAGGCTTTGCTGGATGTAAGCGCCACATCCGCAGAAAGGGTTTAGCTCGACTTGCATGTTGATCCCGGTTCTCTCGTTCGAGATGGTACTATCGACGCCACAGTCGGAAAGTCTTCAAGTCCTTAGTTCTCTTTCTCGCCACTTGGCTGATTGTTCCATCCCTACAGAGTGGCATTGCAACCTTTCACACCACGACCGCCTGTGGGAGTTGACAATTCAGCTGTACCACCCGCTTGCAGAACGGTCCTGGATCCCCCATGTCGTGTCGCGCATTACCTCGAAGCATTTCCAGGCTATGTCTGTTGTGTTGGTGCCCCGGTCCGGCACAGACTACGTGGCGGATGAGTTGGACAAATTACTGATGGCAATGGAGCAGGATGATGTCCTAGCGCGATTGGACAGCATACTGCAGGAGGAGCGCTTCGCCAGTACTGTCGTCTCAGACGTATGGGTATTGCCGGATATAGCAACAACGCTTGCGAATCTGGAGATGAACTTTTTGCGAAGGATTCAACACTCCGAGAACAGTGGGTCGAGCTCGTTAGGCGGAGGATGCCACACTCGCATCGACGAGGCATATTGACGTACGTACTATTAGTGCGTTACAAATTGCGGAGGAAAACTGAGTTTTCCTTATAGCACTACACGTACCTTTGCAGAATACCTCGACTGGAGGGAGGACGTGGAAAGGAGAGATACTAACATGTCAGTTCAAGAGAGAAATGCCGAAGGAGAAGTGCAGCCCGAGGGATTGACATCCTTGCCAGCATGCATGCTCGTTCGTACCGTCGTGTGTAACCCGTGAGTCGAACCATCATCGTTAGGCCGCTCTGCTAATTTATTGTGCGGTCTCAAGGGTACGAATGGACCCGTGGCCGCAATGCGGGTCGAAATGTTATCCCTCAGGATCCTATGCAGCATTTTCCTTTGTTTTTGGAGAAATGAAAGGGTGATGGTATGGGTTTTGTATGCTCGGGACAGACATTCGGTTGTTATGTAACGAGGTTCCGTCAATTATGGACGCATCCAATTTGACTCGTGCACTGCGTGTGTCAAACTTGAACTGACCATTGTGTTTCGTCATAGTCAGCCCGCAACTTTATGGCTGCTACGAGCAGCTACATAGTACACGGCGTAGCATCATTAACGGGTCAGTATCGGCAACGTACGGTGCATCAGACAATTACAACGAACAACCACAGACAGCATAGCCTTCGGTTTGGAGGGAGCCTGTCGGGGTCACTCCGAGTGATCTTTGAGTCCAGGTGCTAGTTGCAACGTTGACCATCTACTTTACATGACTCGGAATAAGCAGCGTCCGTTGAACAGTCACGGACCTAGGTTGCAGACGATTCCTGGACCTCGAGGAATATGTAGCAGTGTGGTGGCAATGTGGAACTGTAGTAAGTAGAAGTAGAAGTGGGCGCGTCGTATAGTAAGTACTACCGTGACGGTTAACGAAGTTGTTCATCTGCGCCACCGCCACCTATGTAAGTACCATCACCGCTTGCTTCCCGCGACGGCACTCCCTTCGCTCACTACCGCCATCGTCTTCGTCTTCCTCGGAGTCCAAGTACAACATATTACATCTATTGCTACTATCGCTGCGAATGACCATGGACTTCTTTTCGCTCAACGACGACGTCTTGTCCATCATCCTTGCGCACCTCTCCACACGCGACGCTTGCCAGCTCACCATGACCTGCCGCGCAGGCCACGCCGTCGCAATGCCCCAATTCCTGCGAGAGGTCAAGTTCCTGTGTATCTCGCCGAGGAGCGCGGAGCGCATCCGCCAGTTCTGCGCGTTCATGCTCGCAGACCCCGACCGGCGCATCCCATGTCTGCGTACGCTGCGCTTGCTAGGTCCCGCGTTCTCTCTGCGGGAGGAGGAGGAGAGAGAAGGAGAGGGCACCTGGAGGTACGAGTGCCCGTGTCACTTGAGCAGGGTGCTGCAGCACGCGACCCGCCTGCGCGAGCTGCACCTCTGGGCCGCCGGCGACCTTCTCCAAGCCTCGGACTGCTTCATCGACGCGCTCGCGGGCCTCCCCGCCCTCGACGTCGTGCACATGCACGGCCGGCCGTGGGCGTGCCAGCTACTCTACCGCATGGCCGCCCGCCCGCGCACCGTCCACCTCCACGCGGAGCGCCTCGCCCGCCGCGGCCTCCCCGCGAGCGACTTTGCGGGCATACACTTCCCCGCGCCGCTCAGCGCCGCGCTCGAGGACCTCCGCCTCCAGCAGTGCATCGCCCTCGCGGAAAACCTCTTCCACGCGAGCATCATCTTTCCCGCCCTCCGCACGCTCACGCTCTCCGGCTACTGCGCGGCGCTCGCGAGCATTGCGAGCGTCTTCCCTGGACTGAAGTGTCTGCGGCTGCAGGACGTGACGTTCGCCGCGGAGCAGCCGATCGCGGCGTGGACGGAGCTCGCGTGCGTGCAGACAAACGGAGACCTGGGGATCCCGCTGGTGTGCAAGGTACGGAGGCTGGAGCTGCACGTGTCGCTGAACGTACACGAGCGCATGCCGCTGTTCGTGTCTCTCATGCAGCGGGCGACGCCGACAGTCCTGTTCTGCACCGTCGCGCACAACCGCGTCGCAGAGTGGATGGACGGGCTTGCGGGCGCGGCGCGCGGGCTGCGGTACCTCCACCTCGCGCTCCAGTCGCTCGACGAGACATTGATCGTGGGTGTCTCAGCAGTTGTGCACCGCGACGGAGCTGACCCGAGGCACAGACGAGCTGCGCTGCGGTGCTGGGCGACGTCGCCCTGAAGGGCCTGTCCTTCGGCTACACTGGGCGCCTGCCCTCTGCAGGCGAGCCCTGTGCGTCGTCGCTTGCGCGCAAGGTTGCGGCGTGCGTGCGGTCCGTGGAGTTTGTCGGGTTTAACATGCGTGGGTACGCCTCGGTCGTTTATAATGACCTTGACGCGGTCACCTGGTACGCCGTCGGGCGCGAGCAGGGCGGCGTGGACGTCGAGCGGCTGACGGACTGGAGGGCGCAGAAAGCGTTGAGGGAGCTGTCGGGTGTGACGTGATGTCGCCTGCTGTTGATGGGCGCGGATGGTTTCCGGCCGGGGACGTGCGTTGGTGCGTACTTCGCGGTATCTGCGTACTGAGACTGTTGACTCTGGGCTGCAGAGTCGGGCGCGGGTCCATGGCTACGAGTGTTGCTCCACGGTGTACTACGCACGATAGCGGCCCGGACCTGTTTGCGCTGGCGTGCGAGCGACTTTGCGCCGTGCGTCCACCATAATGGCTTGAGCCTCATACAGCGTCTGCACCCCCAGCGAACCCATGCTGCGAGCTTGCCGATAAAAATCCTCGGTTTGAATCATCTCGATCTCGATGGGCAGTACCATAATATAGGTTTCTAGCTCAGGCCGGTCTTGCATAGGTTCACGGCGGACGGATCACTGTGTATTATAAGCGGTGATTGACCATGATAAAACCGGCTTCAATAAGTACTGTGTACTTCGTGCGTGTATGTGAGCGATCATATATCTGCGATCTATGTCTGCGTCTACCGACTCGTCCACTGGTGCCGACCCTCATCGATCATCCTTCACCAGCCTTCCTCCGGTACATATTATGGTGTGCGGCTTGACGTCTCCAAAGCGGTGGGCGTGCGAGAGTGCCCGGTTTATATGTACCATGTGTCCAGTGCGCTGGCGACAACTTTGACTTAGGATGATACTGATCACATTGCTCCGCGACAGATGTGTATACGCATTCTGCGGGCAGACCACTATTGGTACTATCGTAACGAATGTTCCGCCATTCCGCAGCAGCCCTTTCGAAAGCGGATATTCCAGGGCTTGGGCTGTGAGTATCGGGGCCACCAGCCCACGTCTATGACCGTGACCGGTGACAGCGACTCTCGACTGGTACGTTTCACTCACAATCTCTCAATATTTTGACTATGTGTTCGCGATATGAGCCTACCGCAGTTGTCTAACCCGGCTCAGTACTTCTCGTTCGCGTCAGTGACTAGCGTATAAGTACGGTGTTGAAGGTTATGACCGAGTTGTAGGTCCTCGTAGACTATGGCAGTGTCTTGCCCCGGTGTTGTGGAGCACCTCGCATGACACCAGAGCCTACCCAGAGGTTGACGGAAGTGCGATCCTGTTTCTTGCAGTGACATTCGTGTCCCCGCCATCGTGTCGTCTGCGCGCACATTGTGTGGTCCTTGTGTCCTGTAGTTCCAATCGATTATACCGCTCCCTTCGGACAGCCCTGGTGCTGTCCGCGGTTGCTCGTTTTGTCTGATGCACCACACGTTGCCGATACTTATTCATTTATGACGCTTCGCCGTGTACTTTCCAGCTGCTCGTAGCAGCCATGAAGTTGCCGCAAGGATGACTATGACGAAACACAAATGTCCGTTTGATATACGCAGTGCCCGGAAAAATGGATGCGCCCATTATCAACGGAATCTCGCTCTATAACAATTGAAGGTCTGTCTCGAGCACATAACACCCATACCGCCGCCCTTGCACTTCTCCAAGAATCAAAGGAATGTTGCATAGGATCATGAGTGATAACATTTCGACCCGCGTTGGGGCCACGGGGCCATTCATTACCTTGAGATTGCACAACAAGTTAGCAGAGCGGCCGCACGATGATGGTTCTACTCACGGATTGCACGCGACGGTACGAACGAGCATGCGTGGTGACAAGGATGTTAATCCGTGTCGCCTCGAGCACCTGAGTCGTCGTGACCCTGGGGCTGCGCCTCTCCTTCGGTGTTTGTCTGTTCAGCTGACATGCTAGTATGTCTCCTTTCAGTGTCCCGCTGCCAGTCGCCGAATTCTGCGCTGGTATGTGTAGTGCTGTAAGAGACGCTCAGCTTTCCTTCGCGATTTTGCCAAGTCCGCAGTACCACGTACATCAATATGCCTCGTCGATGCGAGTGTGGCATCCTCCGCCTAACGAACTCGTCCCACCGTTCTCGGAGTATTGAAACCTTCGCAATATTCCCATCTCCAGACTCCCGAGTGTTGTCATATTCGGAAATATCCATACAGATGACAGTACTGGCGAAGCGCTCCTCCTGCAATATGCTGTCCAATCGCACTAGGGCATTGTCATCCTTCATTATGTCCAAGCTATCCTCCATTGTTTCAAGAAGTCATCCGCCATATGGGTTGTCCTGGACCAGGGCACCAACCGAACAGACATAGCCTGGAAGTGTTTCGAGGTGACGTGCGACAGGATATACGGGATCCAGGGCCATTCTGAAAACGGGTGGTACAGCTGGATTGACAACTCCCACAGGTGGTCGTGGTGTGAAAGGTTGCAATGCCGCTCTGTAAGCATGAAACAATCAGCCAAGTGGCGAGAGACAGAACTAGGAGACCTTCCGACTGTGGTGTCAACAGTACCATCTCGAAAATAGAACGCGATCAATATCCCAGTCGAGCACAACCCTTTCCGCGGACGTGGAACTTGCAACCAGCAAAGCCTGACTTCGGCTGGCTGCCCCGGGTGGAGCCAACTCGCCGTTCACTCCAAAATGTAGACTGCGCACTTGAGAAGCCCGGCTGATGCACACGAGAAGATCTTCGACTGCTGGTGAAACCAATGACACACTGAGAGCGTACAGATTTGCACAGTTCAGTGGGAGAGAGGCCAGTGAGAGTTGCTGTTCCCGCAAACAATTGACCCTGGAGCACCATAACTCCCTAAGCCTGGGGAGTGCTGACACGAGGCGGGATAGCTGGGTGATGCTGGACAAAGTGACATTGCGGAGTGTCAGAGTGTTCATGGAGCTGAACGTAGTTATGAAGTGGATGTCCTCCATTCGGACCGAGTCGATGGTCCACTGAGCATCTTCAATGCTGATCCTCGACAACATTGGTGCCTTGCCCGCGAGCATAGCGACAAACGTCCCCAGGTGCCGGATCGGTCGACGTCGACGCCACCCGGGAGAAGCACCCGATATGACGACGTGTTGAATGACCTTACGGAGGCGAGGTTTTGTGGGGAGTGTCTTGGAGAGCGAGAGGACGTCCTCTCGGTCTCGCAAATGGATGCGTTGACGCAGGTGGTACCATGTGAGGTAATACCAGTCTCGGCATACGAGTGCGTAGGAGCTGAGAGCGGCGAGATGTGGCTCGTCCTCCACAAAATAATCGCGGAGATTCATTCCCATCGCGACATGGTCGATGATCCGTCCACAGACCTCCACAGGAAGCCGCGGGATCGAAGGACCACGAGAGGAGCCCTCGGACGTTGCGGCTGTACTGTATTCCACATGCGTAAACCATGTTACTCGCGTCCGAGCAATGACACTTACATTGGCTCGGCTCTGTCCATTCCGTTGACGTGGGATGTGCGCTACGGCGACGTGAGCCTAAGGCACCGACCAAACATTCAATGATCCGTGCACCTGTGTGATTGCCACGCAGATCCACGGTGGTGAAGACACCCTACTAATGACAACTTCTCAGACCACAGCCCTTCAAGCTTCAAGCTCCAAGAGCAAGCATAATGCGATAACACACTACCTGATTTCAGGTATATATGCTGGCTCCCACGCAAGCCGAGATGCGTCGTCCGGGTCGTCGGTTCGTGAGTCGCTTACGACCGTCTGTGCTGTGAGCAAAGCACGACATCAGTCAGGATATTCATTACGGGAAGCGGGGTCGTACCTCGCGAGGCCTTTCAATCGCTCTTGATGCGCACTTGGTGTGCACTGCAAAAACTCGAAGCTGGACAGAGGGGAGAGCGCAGGGACAGCGAACCTGGCAATGATAGGTGATGTTAGTATATATGCATTGATCCAACATAGCGCTCGCTCGCCGGCGCGTATAGAAGCATCGAACACAGACACATGATGCCACGAGCGATTCTTTGCTGCGACCGGGCGCCGTGACATCCAGGCTGTTCGCACTCGATGCGAAGACAGCCCTCTACGGCCTGAAGTCTGTGCGAAGCGATACGCACCTTACTGACACCCATACAGCTGCGGGTGGACGAGAAACATATACAGAGGACCGCTCTCCTTGGATGCAGTGCGCCCATCGCGCGCGAGACCAAATCTTGAGCTTGTGTTCTGTTCTGTGGCACAGCTGGTACGTAAAGCGAATCATGGTAATGCTGGTATCCGTGAGTTGGTGGCGTGACACTGTATCAGTACTATTAGTCTGAGGAGCGGACCACCCTGACGCAACTTTGTTAGAAACAAGTCGACCAGAGTGATGTCTATCACACGAACGAGAGGCGGTGAGGGACATCAGCACACACTCTGACTAGTAGAAGGCCCGTACTGTACCTAATATTCGGAACTCACGCCTGTGCGCTTTTGCGCCATCGCTTCGCCTGATCCTGTCCGACGGTGAGTCGTCACCCAGAAGTCGCACAGAAGCATCTCTTTCTTGTGTACACGATATGAATGCGATGCTCCGTATTCGATTCGGCACTCCTGCTTGGTGGATGGGGCATCCCACCGGTCTCGAGTCACTGGAATGATTGGCGCATACATATCATGAAGTGGTGTGCACGGAATCGTGCACGGACCTGGATCGCCGTCCACTGGCAGAGAAATTCAATATCCATGTAGCGGACGCGCGACTTGCATGAGACTGAACTGTGCATGTGAACGTTTGAACAGCAGTCTTGTCTAGTTCAGTAATACTACGATCGCCGTGGATTGTTGTTGCTCCGGCGTTTTGCGTTGTTGCGTTCGTGTCGCTCAGTCCGCGCACCGGTGGAGGAACCGGTCGGATCATCATGCACTACCGGGGACGTCTGACGTAGCATCGAGCCCAAAGCTGGGCTGTCGCGGTGTGTCGGCTTTCCAGTTGCATGAGGAAGGGGAGCCAAGCGTGCAGAGGAAATCCGTGAAGGTCGCTGTCCTTATCGAGTCTGGACTTTGATTACATAGACGCGTATGTGCCTGACACTGGTGTGCCGCGAAACGCCGCGGCCCACATGCGTCCGGGTTGTTCGGAGACGTCATGATGCGCCATTCTCCGGCGGGGCAAATGAGTCAACGAGGATGACATGCGGGGGTCAGCAGACGCCGCGGGGGAATGAGGGTCGGACGCGTCGGACAGCAAGGAGCGGTACATAGCAGCAGTACTAGTGAGCGCGTCATGGCTTGTGTGTAGGCGAGGCCGACGAACGGGCAGGCGCAGACGGAATCGCTGTGGCGGGGCGGTCTCGGTCGCGGGAGGGGCAGATCTAGATCAAACGGGGTGCATCCAGATGGAGATCGGGCAGAACAGGGCAGACGCGGCTATTTCCGCTGCATGGTCATGCCCGATGCGGGGCTCTTCAAATTCGCCCTCTCCCCTCTCCTGCTCCTCCCCGCCGTCCTCGCCCGCCGCCGCCGCACCGCACTGCCCTGCCCAGCACGCACACCGCCTGCCTCGTCGGCCCCTGCTCGCCCTGCCCGTGCGTTCGCGCGAGCTGTCGCCGGACGGATCACACGCCGCCATTCATTCGCCCGCCTTCTCGCGTGCCCCGTGACCCTGCTCCCATCGGCCTCCACCCTTCTCGCCCTCTCACGCCCCAGCCGACCCCGTTATAACCACACGCCGCACCCTCGTCCGCGTCCTCGCCTCCGCCCGCCATGTCCTCCCTCGGCCTCTCCGCCGACTTACCCCCGCCCCCACCACCACCGCAGGAAGACGACGCCGCGCACCCGCCCCCGCGCTCCTTCTCCCAGCCCCAGTTCCCCTACCACTTCAGCCCCCGCACCGCACCCCCCTCCGCCGCGCCCTCCCTCCGCGAGCCCGCCGTCGTCCGTCTGTCCGGCCGGCCCTCCACCGCGCACGCCCCGGGCACCGCCCACCTCGGCCCCGGCGCCTTCGCACCCATGTCCGCCTCCGCCCGCACGTCCTACACCCGCGTCGACCAGACCGCCCCCGGCACGCCCACGCCCGAGCTCGCGGAGCTCAGCCCCTCGCGTTACGCCCTCGAGGTCGACGCCGACACGCACGAGGCAGAGGCAGAGGCAGAGGCAGAGGCGCACGCGGAGGTGGACGACCCGGAGAAGGCGCACGGCGAGCAGGCCGTCCCGCAGATGCCCCAGGTCGCGCTCACGTTCCTCACCATCACCGGCAAGCGCCGCACCATGTCCTTCGACCCCGACACCACCATCGGCCGCGTCAAGGGCTCGTCTGGAACGCCTGGCCGAACGGTGAGTCCCCGTTCGCTCGTCATCCCTGCCCCAGCATCGCCCCTCTCGACGCGTGCATGCGCACCACCCCTCTACGCGCGCATTTGCAACCATGGAGCGACGGGAATTGCATAGACGCAGGGCAGACGCTGTCAGCGGACGTCTGCGTCTGCGTCTGCGTCTATCTCATAGAGACACACATACATGCACACGACCCGCCCCTTCCGTGCGATCTGCGCTCTTCCCTCGCGCGCCCGCTCGCAAGGCGTCCTTCTCGCGGAACCGGCGGCCTCGCAGGTGCCTGTGTTCTGCGGCCGGCGGCCTCGTGAGAGCAGACTCTCCGTCTGCGCGACCTTCGCGGGTGCACCCGTACCCACGCATATAGTGCGGGCTGGGAAGCTCCTGTGTGCGGGAACTCTCATTTCGTGGACGCGCGGCTCTGTCATGGCTCATGCAGGCGCAGACGTCGGCGGCACGTGCGCCCTGCTTTCCGCCGCCCATCTCCTTCCCGCCTTCCATTCTTTCACTCGTTTCTGCCCGTACGGGCGCACACACGTACTCACGCTTGACGCGCTCGGTCGGCAGAGTGGCAGGACGAGCGGCCGCCCGCGCCGTCGTACCTCCGGATCCTGTACCTCGGCAAGATCCTCCAGGACGAGGACACGCTCGCGAGTGCGTCGTCTCACCCCTCTCTCCACGCGCTTCTACTGACGGCGATCGCTTGCTTCTCTTCTCTCTTGTTGTTGTGCCTCATCATATTGTCCCTCGCGCGGCATATCCTCGCTCCCACCCCTCGCCGGCTTCGCACGTCCCTTCCGCCAACGCAGAGTGGGCCTTCCCGATCACGCAGCCCGACCCCGCCGCGCCGCCGACGCTGGGCCAGGCGACGGTGGTGCACCTTTCCGTGCGCGCGGCGCCTTTGCCCGCGGAGGACACGCCGAAGAAGCGGCGCGGTACGGGGATGAGCGATGGGGAGGAGGGCGGGTGTGGGTGTTGTGGATGTGTGGTGTGCTAGGCGGGCGCCACTGTGTTTAGTAGCTCTGGGAGGAGCATGGAGGTGTTCAATCTGACGCTCTCGCCCTTGTCGCGACGCGGAAATTGCCCGATGGTAGCGCACGTACGCTTGTCGTCCCCATTCGTGGTCCCCGACCAACCCCTAACCCTATGCCAGGCTCAACCCCGCCTGCCGACCTCTCTCCTGTCCTCTTCTCCCCGACGTCCCTCCCGCCAACCCGTGGCCGTCCGATCCACCTGCCGCGCTCCCGTCTTACCTTCCCTCGCCTCATCCTTGGTTCGGTTCGATCCGACGTGACCACTGCTTTGTCCTTGGTTCGACTCTGATTCAACTGTGGCCTCGCCCTCGACCCCGACACGACCCTACCGTCTACCCCACTATCAACTCACCCGCCCCGCCTTGTTTCGTATCGTTCCGCCCCGCCTGACCCTGGATATCCGTGTCTCGACTCGACTCATCTCATCGCATTTATACTGTACTCCCGCATACACACGCACATACACCACATGCATACATATACGTACCAGCCCCACGCCTGCACCGACCCCGTTTGCTTTTTGCTCTGACCAATTCGATATGATAGGATAGCGCACGTACCTTAGAGAGCGTCGTAGTCATAATGTTTGGCTCGTGAACGTGAACGTGCTTCGTTCGCTCGACTCGGGATGAGGTGCGGCCTCCTCTTCAGCCACGGCGACTCGACCCTGGCTTGTGTGGGTGTGATATGTGAAGGCGAAAGGGCGGATGCAAATGCGGGCTTTAGTCTAGTCAGAAGTCCTATCGGTAGTTGAGTTGGAACTTTGGCATTGGAGACGCTCCTGGGCGCTACCACGCTGCCGGCCGATTCGCACTAAATGGACTCACCTTCCTCCTCCTCCTCACCACACTCGGAGTCTCGCTGATCGATCGTGAGCGCCGCAACTGGCGTTCCCTCCCGCGTGCGTGAGGTGCGTGGCGACTTCGACCTGCGGTTCATTGGAGACTTGTACTAGTTGCTCCTGACCCGGAGATATCCCTGTCCACCATGAGCACAGTAAGCTGGCGTGTTGACTCGACGACATGATACTGAGACACAAGCATCAGATAGTAGGTACACAGGCGAAGGGCCGCCCTCGACAGACGGCCGTGACGACATCTGGCGAGGTCAAACGGGCTGGCACTGACTCGGAGAGCCGGCGTCTGGCGGTTGTATCCTTGTCGTGTCGTGTGAGCGATAATGAGACGTGTTGCTGCGAGGAAGAGGACGAGGACGAGGGCGAGGGGGTGACGACTCACCGCAGGACGGGACCAGCGATGGCGTGAATCGCACAGGCGTGAGTTCTGTTAGGTGTGAGCTCGTCCTCGTCAGATAGTGTTTTACTTTTGATGAGCCTCACCTCCTCTCGTGTAGCAGATACCACTCTGGCGGCTTTCGCCCACGTCGACTGGTTTCTGGGCACAGTTGCGTCAAGTTGGTCCGCTCCGACCGCGTAGTACTGTACTGCCGATGTGCGGCCACTCTGGCAGCTTCTTACGCACGTCGACTTGTTCCTGGCAAAGCTGCACCACGGTGATCCGCTCCTACTACGAGTACCGATGCAGTGTCCCGCCGCCTGCCTGTCACACATCGCGGTGAGACATCCCAAGTACCGTTAAACCATACCCCTATCGGCACCACCGTGAGTGGCTCGCTAACGTACGTATTCGCTATGCGACATAACAGAACACATCTGCTCGACTTACCCCAGGGTAGTGGCGACCTGCTTAAAAGACACTTGCCGGCTTTTTAGGTCTGCTACGGAGACTAGTAGTGCCGACCGGCCGCTAGTGCTATCCTGCGTTTTCACCCTAATAATCATCAACAGGACGTGGTTGAGGTGAGTACATGTTCGGACTCCAGGCTTACGGACTGCGTACGAACACTGACCGGCATATTGTTGCCGGGACATAACTTGCTCTTATCGATAGGCATTCATTGAACAACCTCAAGGTTCAGACACGCCTGCCTCCCGCGTGCCCACCAGAACGAGCGCACTACATCCAAGGAGAGCGGTCCCCTGTATGCGTGTCTCGTGCACTCGCAGCTGAATGGGTGGCAGCAACGCTAGCATCGCTTTGCAACGGTTCCAGGCCGTAGAGGGCTATCCTCGCATCGACTGCGAACAGCCTGGATGTCACGGCGCCCGGTCGCAGCAAAGAACCGCTTGCGATATCGTGTGTCTGTGTTCGATACTTCTGCACGCGCCGGCGAGCGCGCGCTATGTTGTATCGATGCATATATACTAGGATCACCTATCATTGCCTCCGCTGTCCCTGGCCCCGCTCTCCCCTCCGTCCAGCTTCGAGCTGTTGCAGTGCACACATAGAGCGATTGGAAGGCCTGGCGAGGTACGACTCCGCTTCTGGGAACGATTATCCTTACTGACGTCGTGCTTTGCTCACAGTGTCGTCGTGAGCCTAGACGGTCGTAAGCGACCCGCGAACCGACGACCCGGACGACGCATCTTGGCTTGCCTAATAGCCAGGATACATACCGGAAATCAGGTAAGCGGTGTGTTATCGCATTATACTTGCTCTTGGGGCTTGGAGAGCTGCGTTCTGAGAAGATGTCATCAGGAACGTGTCTTCACCGGAGTCGTGAATCTGCTTGGCCATCGCACACGTACACGAATCCTTGGGATTCTTATTCGTGCCACTGCGTGGCCACGTCGCCGTGGCGCACATTCTATATCAGCGGAATGGACGGAGCCGAGTCAATGTAAGTGTCACTGTCTGGACGCGGGTTACATGGTTTACGCAGGTGAATTACAGGACCGCCGCAACGTCTGAGGGCTCCTCTCGTGGTCCTTCGACACCGCGGCTTCCTGTGGATGTCTGTGAACGGCTCATCGACCATGTCGCGATGGGATTGGATCTCAATTTTGGCTCTATGAAGGATGAGCCACATCATGCCGCTCTCACTTCCTGCGCACTCGTATGCCGCGACTGGTATTACCTCACATGGTACCATCTGCGTCAACGCATCCATTTACGAGACCGAGAGGACGTCCTCTCGCTTTCCAAGACACTCCGTGCAAAACCTCGCCTCCGTGAGGTCATTCGACAGGTCGGGATATCGGGTACTTCTCCCGGGAAGCGTCAAGCTATCCGGCACCTGGGGATGTTTGCCGCTACGCTCGTGGGCAAGGCTCCGAGGTTGTCGAGGATCACCATTCAAAATGCTGAGTGGACCATCGGCTCGGTCCGAATGGAGGACATCGGCTACCTAGCAACGTTCAGCTCCATGAACACTCTAATTCTCCGCAATGTCACCTTGCCGAGCGTCGCCCACTTGTCCCACCTCGTGTCAGCACTCCCCAGGCTTAGGGATTTCACGTGCTCCAGAGTCAGTTGCCTGCAGAAACAGCAACTCTCACTGGCGCCTCTCCCGCTGAACTGTGCAAACATGTACTCTCTCAGTGTGTTTTCGGATCCACCAGCAGTCGAAGATCTTCTCGTGTACATCAGCCGGGCTTCTCGAGTGCGCGTTCTCTATCTTGGGGTGGTCGGCGAGTTGGCTCCATCGGGGGCAGTCAGCCGAAGTCAGACTTTGCTGGATGCGAGTTCCACATCCGCAGAAAGGGTTATTCTCACCTGGGGTATTGAACACGGTTATTTTGTTGATGTTGGCGATATGGACGCCATGATCGGAAAGTATTCTTAATGCTCTCTATCGTCACTTGGCTGATTGTTTCATGCCTTAGTACAGAGCGGCATTACAACCTTTCACACCACGGCCGTCTGTGGGGGCTCGACATCCAGCTGTGCCACTCGTTTTCAGCATGGCCCTGGATCCCGCATATCCTGTCACACGTCACCTCGAAACACTTGCACGCTATGTCTGTTCGGTTGGTGCCCAGGTCCGGGACAGACTACATGGCGGATGACTTGTACAGAATACTACGGAGGACAATGGAGCATGGCAATGCCCTAACGCGATTGGACAGCATATTGCAGGAGAAGCGCTTCGCCAATACCGTCGTCTGTATGTGTACTGCCGGATATAACAACAATTGGGAATCTGGAGATGAGATTTTTGCGATGTATTCGATACCCCGAAAACGATGGGACGACCTCGTTAGGCGGATGATGCCACACTCGCATAGACGAGGCATATTGACGTACGTGGTACTGCGGACTTTATCAAATCGCGAAGGAAAGCTGAGTGTCCCTTACAGCACTACACATACCATGGCAGAATTCCGCGACTGGAAGGAGGACATGGAAAGGAGACATACTAGCATGTCAGCTGAACAGACAAATGCTGAAGGAGAGACGCAGCCCGAGGGTCAAGACGACGAGGGTGCCCGAGGCGACACGGATTAACATCCTTGTCATGACGCATGCTCGTTCGTACCGTCGCGTGCAATCCGTGAGTAGAACCATCATCGTTAGGCCGCTCTGTTAATTTATTGTGCGGTCTCAAGTAATGAATGACCCCGTGGTCGCAACGCGGGTCGAGATGTTATCACTCACGATCTATGCACTATTTGCCTTTGATTTTGGGAGAAGTGAATGGGCGGCGGTATGGGCGTTATGTGCTCGAGACAGACATTCAATCGTTATAAGTAGAGCGGGGTTCCCGGGACAATAGACGCATCCAATTCTACTCGATCAGTGTATGTCAAAGTCACCTTCAATCTAGAACGCTTCCGGTATTGGCCAACTGTCGAGACCGCAGTGCTGTTCGCAGCAAAGACGTGACTCTCGCCCAAGACGACACCCTTCGCTGTATGCCAAGATCATCAGCACATGACCGACCAACCAAGCCCGGGAACGACCAACCATTGTAAGCTCTTGCGCGGACATAATGCGCAGGCTCGATAGCGATCTCAGTCTCAAAGCCGGCCTTCGATTTCACAGCTGCAGGGAGGAGTACGTTGGGATGCGAGCCCGCCAGAACTTCCCACTCTGCAACCTCCGTAGCACCGTTCCTGTACCATGTTAGTGTCGTCACACTCGCGTGCGCGCTGTAATCACTCACCAGCTCGCCCACACAGCCCTATGCACAGAAACACACTCCATCAGCGGCTGGAGTGTCGAAAAACGCCTGCCACTCACGATCCGTTGAATGCGACATCTGGTACACTCTGCGGATAGCCATGCCACGTGGTCGTCTTCAACGCACGGTAATTCTGAGGTTGATCTTCGAAACGGCGGCATGGAATGACTCGGTAATTGGCCCGTACCTCAATAAGCGAATCCACAAGGTCTTCGCCGCCCAGTGCAGCGGAGTATATCATCGTCCCATCGGGCCTGAACGCGCCAGTGAGCGACCTTTTCAACCCAAAAGCCATGCATGTCCCGGTACGTACAGGTATTCGGAAATCCTGTAATCGCATATGTCAGTGCCGCCCTGCAGTGAAGCTGACGAAGCTCACCATGGGTTAGCGCCCCCTCCGGAGACTACATTGCCGTCAGGGTCATACTGAACCATGAGTGTTAGCTCGTACTGCGATGAAGGTACTGCGTCTGGGCGCACCCTGAGCGAACCCTGGGAGCTACTGGTGTATGGCATCAACGGGAGGAACTCGACGAGCATCGTGGCCTCCATCGTCGTGAAGTTCAGACCAAGAGTCAGCCCACGTTCGGCTACCGTGTGTCATTAGCATCTTCGAACGACTTCGTCAGCGGTTAATACTCACTTGTCTGGCCCGTGGTCGCTAAGGCGCCGAAGAACAACGTCAACAGTCAAGGGACGAATTCTCGGTAGAATGGGGCGCATACACCTCACCTTCACCAGCATGCATGCTGATCACAGCGGGCCCGTCAACGAGACGCGCGTCTTGTTGCCCATAGAACGTCGCGTTGGGTCCAAATGTGAAAGTGCTATTCTTCCCGCCGAGCTTCCAGATGACCTCGCCGTCTGTCCCATTGATGTAATAGAGTGCCTCTGTGTGGCTAAGGAGACGTGTCAGCGAGACACGACGTTCAGAGTGAGGAGGGACCAGAGCAGAGTGAATGATCTACCTAGAGGAGACAAGATAGTTGCCAAACGCGTCCTTGTCAACTGAATTGATACGGAAGCTGAAGACATTGTTTCAGTAAGTGTACCGCGAAGTACTTAAGGAGAATGGCGCACTAGTTTGTTTGTTTATTCCATTTAGTGTCACTGAGGCGAGCCTATGTAACTGAGTATGCTACTCTCGTTGTGTGTATCGTATGGTCGTGGTCGCTGAGCATCGCGTTGCGGAGCGTAGGGCAGGTATGTACTAGAGTTCTGTAGTGTAGTGAGAAGCTGAAATGGAATGCTCGATCTGAAGGGTTGTGATGTGGGGGGATCTCGTTTGCGTGTCGGCTGTCATCGTCAACGCGCCCTGGCGCGGTCCTCGCCTTCGCATCTTTCAACTCTAGGTCTCCGTAGGCGCGCGAAGCGGCTGATTATCGAAGAGGTATGTGCTCGCTGAGTGAGAATTTCATGAGCGGCCTGGTCGCGTCAGTTGGTTCATGAACATATAGTGTAACTTCGGTGTTCTGCGACTGTGTGTTTTCTGATTATACTTCTGCACGTGTTCGTCCAATTGTATCTGCCTCCTGCCTCTCCGCCCTCCATCTTCGACGCATATCCGGTCGATTCGATCCTGGCCCGCGACGCTTCCATCTCCTTCATGGCACTATAATATGCCGTTGTACTGTTCTCCGCGGTAGTGTATGACTCGGAGAACGGAACATGTTGGGTGGAGCTGGATGCACAATCTCAAAGCATCAGCAATGCAGATTCGGCGCACGCCATAGTACTCACTTCCACTCAAAGACGACCTCGTCCGTAGCGATGTCAACTCTATTGGGACAGCGAGTCAGAAGGCACCGCAGAAGTGGTCATAGAATTTGCGGGCGTACTCTTGGAAGAAGTTCGCGAGGACCCATCCATCCTCAGTACCACCGTATTCAGAAATATCCGCTTGCACCGGGAGGTAGACCGAGAGGAGCGCAGTGGAGTTCGTAGTTGAGGGGATCGTGAACTCGTGAAGATCGCAGGTGTCGTTAACCGTCGTCGTGAGCACATGCGTGACCGCATACGTAGAGTCCATGATGTATGCCTGCATCGATAACGGGTGTTACAGCCGTACTGCAGTCCATGTGTAGAATGGCGCTTACTTGACCGACACCGTAGCGCCCGAAAGTGTTCAGTGTGCCGTTCCAGAAAGTGAGTACGTCCGTTCCATTGAGCTGCAGTAATACCCGTAGGTCCTTCAAGCCAACTCTTTACGACGCGTACGCACCGTTTGTACGTCCAAGTTATAGCACATGCCCACTTCAGGGCTTGTCCAAACCAAGTCGCCCTTGGAAGTGTAGATTGCTGGTGCCGGTTGTGGAACGTCCGTACTCCACGGGCAACTGAGAATCATGTGAGCTGCACGAAATCACCGTCTAGACGGATTCATCAACCTACGTCAGGTAATATCCGTTGTGATAGTCTTCGGAAGGTTCTTTGGTGATGATCCATTTTAGTGGCTTAAGGTCGGGGCGCGAACGGAACTATCTGAGTGGCATTGAGTACACGCATGCCCCAACGAACCAAAGATGTGCGTACGTACGCTAAGGAGCTCTTGTGCATGGGCAATAGCTACACTCACAGCAAAAGCTAGTAGCGATGATCGCAGTAGCTGCATATTTGAGTGCCGCCGAAGACAACGCTAACACGCCGCGGGCCATTGCAATATATACCACCAGACCATTTCGACTTGTCTCCGACGTGCCCCGGTGTTACGAGAGCGTCCATCAACGTTCAACTCGCCTTCCTCCCCAGAAGACCATGCATCGTACTGGTGCCCGCTCTAATGCCGCAAGCCCAAGGGACCATCCGGGATCCTGCCTCGGATGACATTGAGTCGCCCATCAGTAGGAACGTGCCGACGCGGTCATGACACCCATAATTCCGAATGAACGGCGACTCAGCTCGGCTGCAGGACCTACAATTCGGAATTGAGGAAGATTTCGGAATACATGATGAGCACGCTGATCCCAAAGGGGATGGTCGCCATGCGAGAATGGCCGTCACATCAGGATAGAAGAGGCTCACCACAGGGCGCAAATCATGACTGCATCAGAACCGATGGAACACGGACACGCCCTTCACGTACGGCTCCGCCTTTATGGATTTGTTGAGCGGCAAGATGAGAAATGTGTGGAATGCGCCAATGCTGAAATCGACAGCATTCGTGGACATACTTTCAAATTGGGAGATGAGTGCCAGCCCGTTCACAATTGGCGCGAGCAAAGAGCTTGGACCTGTACACAGCTCAAGACTTCGCACGGCATCCCGTTTGGAGAAACAAATGGCTCGCGGAAGTGCTTGCCTGCCAGCGCAAGCACGTGTCGCACAGCTGTATCGCCGGCATTCGACAGGCCCCTCAACAATCTACCAAAGTACGCAATGTCAACTTTGCAGGACGTGCAACGCATAAGCAGCACACTCACCGGGCTACTGAGTAGACTGCGAACACGGCTCGGGGCTGACTTACGCCATGATCAAGCCCAAGGGCGCAAGGCGCATTGCCTAACATAACAGCATCCCCTCACAACAGCAGAGCGCACTCCATACCATGCAGCGAGTAGATCGTTCGAAAGCAACACGAAGAGGGATACCTGTACACACACTATTCCTTACATCACTGAGTCCTCTACCCAGCCGCTTCCGCCACCCGTAGAATACACGTCCTCATCCGGGCCCCAGCCCGCCTCATCTTTGTGCTTGACGGCCTAGACAACCACCAGCGGTCAGAACAACGCATTCAGAAGATGAAGAACGCCCTGCGAACCTTGGTCAAGTAGTCCTTGTTCGCGTTCATGGTCCGCTCGAGCTCGTAGAGCAGCCTCGTCTGCTCCTGCGCCTGCCGGAGCATCAGGTCCACGTCCGCCTTCGAGATCTGCGGCACGGGGTCCGAGAATGTCACCGTGCCGTCCGCAGAGATCGTCGCGTTGATCTCGTCCGACTCGATCTGTTCGGTGTCCCACGACCTTTGTTAGACGCAGGAGAAGGAAGCAGCCCGGGACAGGACGCACCATGCTGAGGACGATCGAGCGCACCTCCTCCTCGCTCCCGATGCCGACCTCCTTCGCGATGTCCGCAAGGCCGAGCGTGAGGTACGTCGAGGTGAGCTTCTGAATCAACCAGCGCGGTGCGCGATCTATCGCCTGGTGGATCAGACCGAGATGTTTCTCCTGCACAAGGGCACAGTCAGCAGACGAAGGGCGAATGTGATGACAAAAACGGACGTTGTTGAAAAGATCCGCATCCTTTTGGATGCTTCCCAGTAGCTGGGCCTTGCCCTGAGGATATGACTTGGCGAATGCCCCATATGGCGAGCTTTTCAGCAGTCGTTGCAGGGCGATGTTCGTGTATTTGGGGGGAGGGACGGTCTGTGTGCGTCCCAGAACATCAGATTGTCAGTCAATTGAATGAAGAGATGCGTTCTCACCTTCCCGTACAGGATCAACTGGACCAGGACAAGCTTCTTGCTCGCCTCCAGCTGTATCGCAGCGGGCATCTGCGCAGGCGAGCTCGCACAGATCTCAAAGAACTCTTCCGCCTTTTTCCACTGCTTCAGCGCTCCGAGAGCCACCCCACCCACGTAGTGGTATTGCAAGTTGTCGTTGTATGTCAGGTCGGAGAGCTTGAGGTCGATGGTCGTGATCGGCACGGCAAGGACGGGGAGCGCCAGTGTGTAGTACTTTGTGGCGACGCATTGCTGGACCAATGCGGGTCAGTACTTTGGCATCCTTCGGCATCACTAAGGAGTGCGGGGGTGGACACGCACTGTGACGAATATCGGATGCAGAGTGGTGAGACACGCTAGTGATGGCGGGTACCGCGTGAGGAGGTTGTATAGTGGCCCCAATGCGAACTTGTCCTGCGTTGGTGCACGTCAGTGCGTGTTGCTCACACGAGATGAGAGCAAACCAACATCTCCCGAGTCATGCGCTATCCGTACGATCGATTTTGCGAGTGCGGTCACTGGCAGGGCAGCCAAGGCGTCAGTCACGGAGACTACTTCGCGAAAATAAGACGGCGCACCTTTCTGGTGAGCTAAACGCGCCTGCCCCGGATTGAACCTTTTGCAAAACTCCTTTATCACCTCCCGACTCGGCTTCGGCGAGACCGCGCTGTTAAATCGCGCTGATCTGTGCGTACCCAACCACGCCGCCATTCAGCGCTCAGAAGCCACACGACCCCACACGAAGACCGAAGGACTCACAGTATGTGCAGGTACCCTAGTGTATGCTGTTCAGGGTCGAGGACGAGCAAGGGGTCCTTCCTGTCGGAGAGCATGCCGACGAGCGCGTTGTCGCGCGAGTCTTTCGGCGCGATGTCTTTCAAAAATCGGGCGAGAGCGACGGGGTCGTCGCTCCCGACAATCTGGGCGACAAGCGCATCTACGGAGACCACATCGAAGGTCTGAGAGGACCCTGCCAGGCCTATATGTGCGAAGCCTGCTGAAGATCCTGCTTGGCTCATCGTGCAAGTAGAGGGCGGACTGAGGAGAGGGCGTTAGCGGCATGAAAGGATAGCCAACGCTTGCGCAAGTGCTCTCGAGAACGGTGTTATCGAAATCTTCGACCACGACAGAGATCGCATCCCTCCAGGTCACCCCGCTTTTTGAATGCGCTACGTCGAGGTGTTGGGATAGGCTTACCTGGACGCGTGTGTGTGGCGGACAGGCAAGAGGGCACCGCCTAGCTATCTCGCCTTCGGGTTGTCTTTCAGGTCGCCGCAGAGACAGGCAGGTATGCTCAGCAAAGAAAGCGTCCAGCAACGAGGCAAGCGCGAGGCTATTCAAACCTAATACAACGGGAGAATGGCTGAGGGTGAGTCGTTCACGGGAGGCTGCAGCGGAGTGTGCCACAGACGCCCGTTAGAACGGGCGCTTGACCGCACCGCGCACGCTCAAGCGCTTAGTACTTAGTACTTTGTGCCCCGGCTCCCAGTTGACTTTCGTGCATGTACTCAGGTCACAATGAGATGCTAGTCGATCAATATTCATCGAGTCCAGTAGTGTCAAAGTTACAATATGGGTACAGCGCTCGTACGTGGGTAGGTCCAGCAAAACTAACTAAACCGACATCAATTCCCTAGTAGACTCTAGCTCCCGGTCCAATCTAATCCGAGGTCTTCACTGCGACCTCCAACGCCTGCTCAACGTCCGCAACGAGATCCTCCGCCTCTTCCACACCAACAGAGAGCCGGATCAGGTTATCACCAATCCCGAGCAGGGCACGCTCCGCCGCAGGGATGCTCCCGTGCGTCATCTGCGCAGGCAGCTCCGCCAGACTCTCGACGCCGCCCAGCGACTCCGCCAGCGTAAACAGGCGCGTCGCCGTAAGGAAGCGATCCGCCTCCTCCGCGCCGCCTCGTATCCTGAACGAGATCATCCCGCCATACGGGAAGCCGCCCTCGTTGTCCTGCACGACGTACTGGTCGACGAACTTGCGCGCGTGCGGCGAGAGCGAGCGGTACGCGAGGTCGTTCCGCGGGTGCGTCGCGAGCCCGGGGTAGATGACCTCCTCGACGCGCGGCGAGCGCTGCAGCGCGCGCGCGACGGCGAGGGCGTTCGTGCCGTGCGCCTTCATGCGGAGGTGCAGCGTCTTCGCGCCGCGCTGCGCGAGCCAGCAGTCGTACGCGCTCGGCACGGCGCCGATGGCGTTCTGCAGGAAGCGCAGCTTCTCCGTGAACGCGGCGTGGTGCGCGGGGAGGATGAGCGCGCCCATGACGACGTCGGAGTGACCATTGACGTACTTCGTCAGGCTGTGCAAGACGATGTCTGCACCCTGCAGGAGCGGGGACGAGTAGTAGGGTGATAAGAATGTGTTGTCTACGAGGACGAGAGGGGAGGAAGGTGTGGAGCGTGCCAGTGCGACGATTCGGGGGATGTCGATGAGACGGAGCGTCGGATTTGTAGGTGACTCTATCCAAATCAGCTGGAGATAATGGTCGTCAATGGGAAACTGCATCAATGGTGATCATGTGAAATACGTACCTTGGTATTGGGCCGGAACGCAGCGAGAATGGCCTCGTCATCTGCACCCTCCAAATCTACGAATGTTGTCTGGAGCCCTTGGTTCTCCGTAGCGACCCTAGACATATACCTGAAAGTCCCGCCATAAACATCATTTACACTGACGATGTGGGCATCGGGGCCGAGGGACTGCAGGACTGTCGCAGTGGTCGCGGAGCCCGAGGCGAATGCAAGGCCATAAGATCCACCGGCTTCTAATGAAGCCAAGGTCGCCTCGAGCGCGTTCCGGTTAGGGTTGCCAGAGCGCGAGTACTCAAATCCCTTCACGAACTGTCAGTTACGAACGTATAATGCCGTGCTCGTAGACGAACCTTGTGGTTCCCGACGCCGTCCTGCTTGTATGTCGTGCTCAGAGAAATAGCAGGTATGACTGCGCCCGTCTCCGGGTTTGGCTCTGAGCCAACGTGGATTGCCCGAGTGCCGAAGCCATCATGGTGACTCTTGAATGTTCCATTGCTTGGATGCACACCGTTGGTCGTGCCGTTCACCGCGACAGGGGACATGATGGATATGGTCTAGATACGGGCGGAGCGGCAGATTTCACCTGATGTTGTCGAGTAGATACTGGATAGACAAAGTCTAACTGTGACCGCGCCAAGCAGCCAAGGATGGGTGTAGGTGGTAGAGCGCATAGAGGACGTAGCGAGGATTATATACAGGCAGCATGACGAGATCCGGGACGGGGCTGACGAGAGACTGGCGAAAGCGTCGCGACAGGACGTAATTTCGAAGCGCGCGGCTGGGAGAGCTGTGCGCGACCACCGTGCTTACACATTCCGTAGAGCTTATTCGTCTCCTCCTTCTGCTGACCGGTGTTCTCGCATTTCGCGTTGATTGTTCGCTGGGATTGCGTCTTCCAGTGAAGTTCATTGATATTGTCTTGTTTTTGGATCGTTCTGCCAACGTCTAAGTACGCTGCTGCATTGCTTACGTAGTGCCGGCCCGCGATTGGATTAGACCAATCGTGACTTCCGCGTTCCTCGTTCCTATTAGCTGCCCACTCTGGCGTCGTACTGAGAATATCGCGAGCAGGAACTTGAAGAAACACAATTACCTATCCCCATTGCGATACGACTCGGTCGGAGAGAAACATCACCGTTGAGGGAAACTTAGCCCAGCGACAATCAAGTTGACTGGAAGTTCGCAGTGCGTCCAGGTTACTTACAAGATCAGCACGCGGTTAGCCATCTCATAGCACTCCCTCGACGAACTGACTTATTGGTCTCCCATAGGCAGACACTAAACGCGACCTCTTTGAGTAGGGGACGACGGTCGCATATGACCTACTTCTAATGCAAACATCCTGAGTATAACTTGTGCATTGAATTCAAACTTCATCATTCTAGGACAGTCATCCATCTACCCGTGGTGTGTACAGTCTCGTGTCACTGGCAGCTCCGCGTTTGTTGACTAGGCACCTGGCACCTCGTAAATAGACTGTCAAACGGATTTCTTGCAATTGATTCGATACCCTCTGCGTCCCTCCGACATGTACAGGCAAAAATCCATCTACGATTATCACAACCCGTACTCCGATTCCTTGTCGTGTAAGCATCTCCATTCCTCTCCCCTCAGCGTCCCGACCACAATCGGACCTCAGCGACCGCTCATCTTGCAATTGGAATGTGATCCGTTGACGACGCTGATTTGTACGCAGCCTGCAGGTCGGCTCCGCATGAGCAACTTAAAACGGAGCTTCTAGGTAACATCAAGTATGACGATCCCTCCGTCTTCACACGCCTTCGCATTCACGAGGAGGACGACGCTACGATTGATCGCTGCCACGAACGTTATCAGGCAGAACATAAGGAGCATATCGAGACCCTCCAGGATGTCACCAGAGACTCTAAGCTACATCGGTGAAATTCAGGAAGAAATAGAGAGGGAGAAGATCCGCAGACTTTTAGAGCGCCAGCATGAGGAGGAAATGTATGGGCCGTTGGTGTGTATGTCGGAAGTACATGATGAATTTCTGATAACGGTTGCGTGTCTCCACTATAGCAAACCATTTTCACATTTTTGACGAATTTCGAGGGCGCCTCTGCGGACGCACCGCGCGAATTTCAGCTCGCAGCTCACACTTCCTTCCCCTGGCCTTCAGCTCGTGCTGCGGAAGCCTGTACTCCTGGAATCGCCAAATCGCGCCCTGCTTTCGACCTCGTCGATAAAACCAAAGGTCGTTCATTTTGGGACGGCTGTGTTGGCTTCGCGGAGATCAAGATCGACGCGGACGGGAACAAACCGCCCCTTGACGGAATTCCATCGGTGAAGACTGCCATTCTTCAATGTGCGCATTACGCGCGCTACCACATGTCTTTCCGACCGTTCTGGTTGTTCAGCGTCACCCTCCTGTTAACTGGCACCGTCTTCCGCGTCATGATCGCCGATCGTGCTGGCATCATCCTCTCTCCGCTTCACAGCATCGTCGACGACACTCCCGCATCTGTCCGCGATTCTCACCACCGGCGCGACGCTAAGACGTTCGTCCGCGTTGTTCGCGCGCTCACCCGACGATTGACGAACACCCAGCTAGGCCAAGATCCCTCTGTGACCCCAATACCTCGCGATGAGCTCAGGTCGTACATGCGGACGTCCTCTGTCCCGAGCGCCGTTCAAGACAAAGTCCATATAGACGGTACGGAGTATCATCGGTCATATCGCATTGATCGCTTCGGGAACGACTCTCGAGTTTGGTGTACGGTTGGGCCGCCAATCTGGGCCTCCCTATCCCTTCTCGGTCGAGGCACGACGGTTTGGCAGGTGCTCGAGCTATTTCGAGTCGAAGCATGGGCTGGCCTTCGAGGGCGACATCCACATTCTGAAGTCCTCCTGGCGCAATCCTCTCAAAGTATCCGAAACGGACGTATACCTGCTGATTGGTCAACTGAAGGCTGAGGACGAGACGGCTGAGGCGAAGGAGGCTGAGGAGAAGGGCGAGTACCCTCGGAGTCGCGGAGTTGCCGACCTGTTGTATGGCGGCGATGTCTGCTATCACGAGGGCCCCCAGGCGTGGTCTACGATCACCGTCGCGCATATCCGTGGTCAAGCCGAGGATCCGATGAACCCTTCCAAGGTTCTGCATCGTATCATCGTCCCGAGGGTCGGTGAGCCTCTATGGAAGTATACCGATTAGCTCCAGTTATTGTATGCGTTTCGCTCGATCATCCGCGGTGTGTAGTGGATCTCCGGGAATTTGCAGCACTCTGATGCATTGCTTCCAGCACATCAATACTTATGTGACAGAGGGATCCTCCACTGTGACATCAGCCCGGGGAACACGCTACTGTGGCTCAACGAGCCAGCGCTCCCAGCGATTTGGAATGCTAAGCCATCTAGAGGATTCCTCACCGACTTCGACATGGCTACAGTAGACGACTCGAGGCTTGAGCACCTTGTGAGTCAAGGTGCTGACAATCCCGTGAAGCGAACCATTGACCCGCATGGCAAGCCTGTCATAGCGGATAGCAGCGTTCGGTCGAAAATTGATTGCACATCATCGAGATCATGCGAGACACCTGTGGCAGTAAGTACCTTTGTGGTCTGTGAATGACTGGTGATATGTAACGAGGTATACTCTTAGGGAACACTGCAGTTCATGGCCTTCAAGCTCCATGGATTGGACGCAGGCATGGGCCACACCCCCGCGCACGATCTTGAGTCAGCTGCCTACGTCTTGGGCTATTCTGTCCTGCGACGCCTTGTGAACACTCCGGGCTGTCCCAATAGCCTCGAACAGGTTTTCGAAAAATGCTTTGGTGGCACGACGCTCCAGGGCATCATTTCCCAGCGAGCAACTGTACTGCCACTAAACTGGCACTACGAGTTTGGCAGCGAGATTGATCAAGAGAGAACATCATTCATAAGAGAACATCTCTCGCTACCTCTTGCAAAGGTTCTGTTTGAATTGGACGTAACGTTACAGACAGGTTAAATGACCAAGAGGCAGAAGGGATTCCAACGGCTGTTCAACAATGTGAGTAGATCCGCGAATGAATTCCTGTGCTTATGAGACCTTTCTAGTCACAAGAGCAAGGCCAACCGCCGTCTGACGATACTTTAAACCATACGCTCTTTCTGGGGTTGGTGAATAAAGCTTTATCAAAATTGGAGCAGCATCCGGAGATGGCGAAGAAGTTCAATCCAGAAAAGGATTGTCGATGTGACTAATCATTCAAGTCGGGGGGTGGTGAACGGCTGTCGTCCGACGGCGGTCGCAGCATGTCCTAGCGGCCAAGAATTCTGCATGGACGTCATTGAAGTGTAGGAAGTTTAAACAGAATCATCATACGAGAATATATATGTGCGAGGTGATAGCGATGGTCTCGGGAGCGTGTGACTACTGCAGAGTCCGTACCATGAGTAGCATCTCGGCCTTGTTGCTTTCCCTGCCTACTGTTGGGTACCGTCGGCAACGTTCCACACAACAGGTTTCTCGCTCAACTCGAACGCGAAGTTCGTTACAAGGACAGCGAGCAGGACCTCTGTTTGGCAAGAATGAGTGTCTACCGAGTGCCAGAAAAGCGGTCTACTCACTCATCTCCATCTCTGAGAACTTGAACCCACTGCATGATGTGTATCAGTACCTGAAAACGGGACGAAGGGTGCAAGTCAGCGATAGGAAGTGCAACGTACATGCACGCTCGTCTTCCCGCGGAGAACGTCATTCTATGGTGATGTCAGGTCAGTGCTTCATGCAGCTCACATCGCGTTTATGGCGGCAGCTCACAGGTGCGAGTAAACACTCGGTATATGCGCAGCAGCGACGCTGGACAAGATCTTGGACCAGCGCTCTGGCTTCCATTCGAGTGCATCCGGGCCCCAGACCTCGGCGTTCACATTCGACCCATAAGTCCCGATGATGATCTCTGTGCCTTTGGACACGACGATCTCGCTTAGCGTTTGCCCGTCTACAGTCATAATCGGCTGCGATAGCGGAAGGACACCGTCGCGTTGGGCATTGGTTACGCTCGTCAACGCGGAGTCTGAGACCGACGGCGCTGAACGACTTACACTGCGTAGCGGGAGGGTACCTATCAAGGATCGTCAATTCCCCACCGGATGCAAACCGAAGCATGCGCACGACTCTCTCTCGGCAGGCGCTGTCGAGCAGAGGGAGCGCATCCAGTTGGTCATAGGCCACTCCCTCAGCTGCGCGAGCCTCCAAGAGCTCCTGCCGCAGCTCCCGCTGGACGCCCTGGTGGACCGCGAGGAGCTGCAGAATGCGGCTCAGCATCGCCGCGGTGGTGTCCAGGGCGCCGAACACGAATGTGCTGTTGCCCAGACCTCATGTGAGCGAGTGTACGCGTCCCGACTCGCAAAGTCGACACTCACGTCATCTGGCCGAGCACCGCGTCGTCCGAAAGGTGTTCGCCGACGCTCGCAGCCATGTTCGCTCGCACTGTTATAGCCAGCCGCGTCGCAGTGTAGTATGATCTCGACGACGCTACTCACTGAGTATGCTCATGAGATCCTTCCCGTTTCCTAACGACTTCAACGCGTCCGCGCCCCCCTCCTGCGATGCAGCCTTCTTTGACTCGTAGATCTCCGCAGAACGCTGATTGATAGTCCGTACAACGCTGTACACCTGGGGGATCGCCCAGTGCTTAGGCATGAGACGCACGAGGAAACGGCGGAACCAGGCAGGGCCGAGCCAGGACAGGTACGGGATGAATCGGCGCAGGTAGGATAGCCGGGTCATCTTCGGGCTACGCAAAGAAGGTTTATCAGTGGAGGGGTGAACGTGGACTGCATTGCGATACACTGACTTGAAGGACGTTATGGCGTCTGCAAATGCATCTTGTGAGTCCTTGACAAGAGGGTCGAAGGAATGACCCAGACCGCCCCGGCCGATCGCCTCAAGCGCGGCGCGGGTCATCCGCTTCATCACGTCCTGTTCATTCTCTCCGCTGTCGATGGAGGCTCTCATACCATTACGCAACTATGGCGGAAAGCGTGTGCGGCAGCATTACTGATTCTGACGAAGAAAACTCACCCTACGACATCATAGAATATCGGGAACATGTGGCCCAGGTTGGTCGAGAAAACGGGGTTAAGCATCTTCCGTTGCCTAGTATGCTCGCCTCCTGTATACAGAATGAATTAGGGGAGCTTAGATTTAATCAGACCGTGTACTTGCCGAGGGTCGCAAAGACCCCTTCGCCGAACATCAGACGATTGCCTCTAACAGCTAAATCTGAGTTCGGACTTCGTGGACGTGCAATTGACTTACATCATCAGTTCCTTGCGATGCAGGTAGGACAGTTCCTCTTTGACAAGGATAGTATGCAAAGCTTTCGGGTCCGACACGTAGAGTAAGGGCCACTGTACGGCGGTCAGTAGTGCCCCGTCTCCGAGTCACGGAGCATTCGAACTTACCCCAATCATGCCATGCAGCCTTGCTACGGGACCATAATCAAGGGCGACATGTTTTTGAAAAGCATCAGCGTTTCGGCTGAACCATTGCTTCAAATTCCCTGCCATTGACTGAGGTCAGCGAGGACTGGACACCGACGACAAGCTTTTCTCACCTGTCACGAACGACTCAGAAGGTGGTCCGGGTAATTTGGGTAGCGATGAGGCCACAAGGTAGACGCGTATCAGGTATGAGACAGTCCAGATAACTGTTAGCGACACCACGGCTCGAGCGATGTCTAACATGTCTGACTCTGCGGCGAGGTGAGCGAAGCAGTTGTGTTAGTAGTCAAAAGTTACAAGGAGTCTGTAGCATATACAGCAAAGGAGAGTCAGGAAAAGAGTGGAAATGGTCTGAACGGGTCGCGATGTTGCAGTCGTGCTGGAGGGACCGCCAGTGGTCTTGAGGCGAGTGTGTCTCGGGGCGTGGGCACCAGGGTAGACCGCTGGTGATAGGCTGCAAATGCTGCAGGTTGCCTCCGGGGGGAGGCCTACGCCGAGCGCGGCGGTTGGGTATTGGCGGTTGGATACTGGCGGCTGGATACTTACTCCTAGGTTTCTGCGCGAACCCATAGCCCGAGGGAGGAGGTATTGACGCACCGATCAACTACGGTGTATCGCTAATCTGTGTATCGATCGTGGAATGTTGCACTTAAGTTGCCCCTGTAGACAACGACGTACCCTCGATTTTGATGGGGTGCTAAGAACAGTTACAATGGTAACCTGCTCAGAGTTCCGTCGATGGCTGCGAGACTCCAGTGGGTGCCCACGGCTCCCAAGGCTGCATGCCTGCGTGGTGGTTGGCACCGCACCTTTTGCGATCATACAAGAAATTGACGACTCCTCTTCGTTTGTTGTACCCATCTTGGCTCGACTGTCCTCTCCAGATGCCCACGCTCCGCTCCGCCTGCAGTGAGAGGTCGTCCGGAAGATCCAGTTGGCTGGTGGTTCGCGTCCCCGTCGACGTGCTCCAAAGCCTTGCGGCACGTACTGAGGGTGTGAAATCCTGCCTGTCCTGTGGGCAGTCTCAATCTTCAGGTTCGCTACTCAGGTCCGTTTCGTTCCGTTCCACCCGGCGAATCTCAAGCCTCTACAGCCCTCTGACCAATGCCAGTTCTGCCACGGTACTCACTTATCCGGGGATGGTGTACGCTGTGTACTGCGTGTGTCACTGTGGCCTCAGCCCTGCTTACGCCCTCGATGACTGAAGACGGAGATCAGCACGCACGTGTGTACCGGACATCCGCCCGTCTGAGGAGAGCGACAGAAGACAGCGAGAGACATCCGAGACTCGCCGTCTCGCGCGTGTGGATGCTTGGCCAGAGTCCCGCGTCTGCTCTGTCATTGCGCCAGCTAACCCGCCGTGTCGAGAGTGGTGAGCGGCTGTCGTCCGACGGCGTTCGCAGCAGTCATTCCCAGGTCATCCCCTCGGTCTGGGAGTCCGACACACGTTACGAGCAGTAGACAGATGCAGAAAGATAACATGTCTGGAAACCATCGACGGTCGTGAGCAGCAGCCGCACCAAGTGGGTCGTCGGGGAAAACGTATTTCGACACGATTCGCACGATCGACCTGATATAAGCGTCACGCCGGTCCGTCCTCCTCGACCTCCCCTCCTCCCCCTTCGTCCCATCCTATCTCCCACGTCTCCATCATGAGCGGAAGAGTTGCCTCAGGTGAGTGTGGATTCGAGACAAGAGACGCGCCCCCATTACGTCGCTGGGATTACCTGCCGTTTCGGGTCGCTCGCATCGCATACGATCGCACACCGCTGGGACGCGCTTGTAAGAATCCCACTCAACGGCTGTCGGTGTATGAGGTGTGTATTCACTATCTAACCGGATAATGCATCCTCTTACGCACCGCAAAGATTGCATCGCAACAATGGTCCTCAGTGATCTATGCGTTGCACGCATCCCCACAGCTCGGGTGGTGAACGATGTCCGTACATTGCGGCGCAACGGGACGCGGTTATATGGGCTGCGATGTACTCGCATCATCATTCGAGTTGTGGTGATGCCGTTACATTGACCGAGGAGTGTTGCTAGCGGGCGGCATGTATGCCGCCTGTGACCTCAGGTAATCTCAAGAGTCTATGCAACTCGCGCAAAGGTCGTGATGCGGTTCTAGGACGCTCCGCCTGCCGTCGTGTTACCACATATGGCATCTCCGCCATTCCTGTCGTACCCCCGATGGGTGTGTTCCTGCGCGACAACTCAACCCGACCGCACGCGCGCATGGTGCCCAGGGAAGTCTTGCGAGCCTGTCATTGGCGCATTGCATGAGCTATGGTGGTCGATGTCGGTAACACGGACCAAGCTGTGCATACAAGCCAGATTCCGCTCCTTCGTTCATCAGCGGATTTTGAGTGCTGTGAATCGATCCCGCCTGGTTCGTCGCTGGCTCTCGCGCGTCCTGTTCGGAGAGCATTCATCCGCGGCCTGTCTGCCCGTGTCCAGCGCGACTTGTGACGGGGCCTCCTTGCGTGTAGTCTCGTATGAACGGTACTAACGCAGCCTCATACAGAGTACCCGTCATGGAAGAAGCTCCAACAAACCTACGACTCTGAGAAGTCGAAGCTCGTCCTGAAGGACCTCTTCGCCCAGGACCCGCAGCGCTTCGCCAAGTTCAGCAAGGAGTACGTCTCGCCCGATGGCCCGCCGGTCACCTTCCTGCTCGACTACTCCAAGAACCTAATTACGGAGCCGATCCTCGCGAGGCTGCTCTCGCTCGCGCGCGAGGCGGAGCTCGAGACGTACCGCGACAAGATGTTCGCGGGCGAGCACATCAACACGTCCGAGGACCGCGCCGTGCTGCACGTCGCGCTCCGCAACTTCAACGACTTCCAGATCCAGGAGGCCGGCGCGGACGAGGTGCAGGCGGTCTCGCGCACATGAAGGAGTTCACGGAGGCCGTCCGGAGCGGCGCGTGGAAGGGCTACACCGGCAAGACGATCAACACGATCGTCAACATCGGCATCGGCGGGTCCGACCTCGGGCCCGTCATGGTCACGGAGGCGCTCAAGCCGTACGCGAAGCGCGACCTCGCGGCGCACTTCGTGTCGAACATCGACGGGACGCACATGGCGGAGACTCTGCGGTTGTGCGACCCCGAGACGACGCTGTTCATCATCGCGAGCAAGACGTTCACGACGCAGGAGACGATCACGAACGCGGTCACCGCGCGGGAGTGGTTCCTCACGACCGCGAAGGACAAGGCGCACGTCGCGAAGCACTTCGTCGCGCTGAGCACGAACACGAAGGCCGTCACCGAGTTCGGCATCTCGTCCGCGAACATGTTCCAGTTCTGGGACTGGGTCGGCGGGCGCTACTCGCTCTGGAGCGCCATCGGCCTCTCGATCGCGCTCGTGATCGGGTACGCCAACTTCGAGGAGCTGCTCCGCGGCGCGCACGGCATGGACAAGCACTTCAAGACCGCGCCGCTCGAGCAGAACCTGCCTGTGCTCCTCGCGCTCGTCGGCCTGTGGTACAACGACTTCTACGGCGCGCAGACGCAGCTCCTCCTCCCGTACGACCAGTACATGCACAAGTTCGCGGACTACTTTCAGCAGGGCGACATGGAGTCGAACGGCAAGTTCGTCACCAAGGGCGGCCAGCGCGTCGACTACCAGACCGGCGTACGTGCTCATCGTTGATGGCGCGCGTTCGTGGACTGACCTCGCGATGTAGCCGATCATCTGGGGAGCGGCAGGCACGAACGGCCAGCACTCGTTCTACCAGCTCGTGCACCAAGGTACGAAGCTAATCCCGGCGGACTTCATCGCTCCGGCGACGACGCAAAACCCCATCCGCAACTCGCTGCACCACCGCATCCTCCTTAGCAACTACTTCGCGCAGCCCGAGGCGCTTGCGTTCGGCAAGACGGAGGAGGAGGTCCGCAAGGCGAGTCTTCCCTTGGGTCGTACATCGATGGGCGGGATGCTGACACGGGCCTTCAGGAGGTTGGCCCGAACGCCACTGAGGCGCTGATCAAGTCGAAGGTGTTCGAGGGCAACCGTCCGAGCAACAGCATCATGTTCCCCAAGCTCACACCCGCGACGCTCGGCGCGCTCATCGCGCTCTACGAGCACAAGATCTTCACGCAGGGTGTTATCTGGGGCATCAACTCCTTCGGTAAGACGTTCCTGCTGTCCTTCCCTGAGGACGTAGGCTGATAGTCACGACGCAGACCAAATGGGTGTCGAGCTCGGCAAGGTCCTCGCGAAGAACATCCTAGCACAGCTCGACAAGCCGGCGGACGTCGTTGGTCACGATAGCTCGGTATGCATATGCTTTATTCGTGCCCGACGACTGCATGGCTCACATGCGTACGATTTGCAGACGACAGGGATCATTCACTACTACCAGAAGCACAGACAGGAGTGACTTGTCTCCGGCATGGCACAATACTAGAAGTGAGGGTTGAACGAAGATAGGGCAGGAAGAAGTCATTGCATGTAGAAGATCTGTATCAGCAACAACAAAGAGAATCTTATCTGACACGTCACTGCGAGATGGGTATATTGGATGGCCCCTTGTTGCCAGTACAAGAGTAAGAAGGAGCTTCCAGATGATGCTGAGAACTACAAAGACTAAACACAAGTGCAGAATGGTTAGCAATGTTATGTTCTTCGGTCATAATGATAGAGAACCTCTGTTTCAAAAGGAACATTGCATGCTTCTGGGTGATTGAGAGACAGTACCAGTGTTCATATGAACAATGGAGGCATTGTTACTGATAAACTTGAAGTACACAGTATCATCATCATGGCCAACCCTATGACTGATGCAATCCATGGGTATGCTTGTTATTGATCCCAACTACTCCAACTTGTCTGCTTGACCATCTATGGATGTTGTTCTAATTCTGATATAGCATTATCCAACAATTTAAGGAATATTTCATGGTTGAAGACTTCATCTAGAGGTTGTTGACTTGGTATTGGTACCTAGGAAATTCATAAGCATAACAAACTGTGTATGGAGAGTTGCTCACATTGTACATGGCATGCATTGATATGGCACAGTGCTGGTCAGCAGTCACCCTGTGGACTTGTTGCAACTTGAATTCTATATCCACAAGGGCATATGCAAGAGGTTTTGACACATGCTTCACTGTGAAAGACAGCCTCTGTTGATCATGATGAGGTATTGAATGAAGCCAGGCAAGTGGTTGTAAAGAGTTGCGCTGGAAGCAGAGGTCTTTGAGTGTCATGGCCCCAAAACATTCTTGAAAACTCTGCTTCAGTCCATCTGGACAACCTGGGGTGTTGAGCAAGTGGCAGCAGATAGTGTAGCCCAAGACATAGGCAATTGACTCAAGGTCATGTTCAGGGGTATGATGAATGTCCCCTCCAACATGCAACCCTCTGAGCAATTCCCATGCCATGAACTGCAATGATCCCTAAAGATATGTAGTTTATCAATCCAAGTCAGGTTCAGTAGGGGGCATGAAGTTACTCACTGTCACAGGCATATTGCATAGGCTGGATGTGTGGTTGATCCTTAATTGGACCCTGCTGTCTGTCAACACCTGAGGCTTGTCCACAGTAGCCATGTCGAAGTCAGCCAGGAACCCTCTGGCTAGCTTGTCCCTGTGCTTTGCATCGGGCAGGAGTGGTGGTTCGTTAAGCCAGAGTAATAAATTCCCTGGGGTGATGTCATGATGTTGTATCCCTTGCTTGCATAGATACTGATGCGCTAAAGTAACACATCAGATGACCTGGAACAACAACAGAGTTGCAGCATGCCTTCAATGATTGCACGGAATGCATACAACAGTTGAAGCTCGTTAGTGTATCTCCACAGAGGCTCTCCGACCCTCGGCAGGATAATACGATGAAGGACCTTAGAAGGGTAGTTCGGATCGTCCGAGTCGGCGCCACCACGGATGCGCGCGACAGTAATCTTGGCCCATGTCTGTGGGTTCTCGGACAGATAATAGACATCGCCACCATACAGCATTTTAGCGACACCACGAGGGCAGTCCTCCAGTTGGTCAATCAGCCTGTACACGTCGGTCTCGGACATTCTGTGAGGATTGCGCCACGAAGACTTCATTACATGGATGTCGCCCTGGAAAGTCAACCCGTCCGTCGACTCGGACAGCTGGAGCACTCGCCACACCACGGTGCCTCGCCCAAGAAGTGACAAGGACGTCCAGATCGGTGGCCCAATTGTGCACCAAAGTCGAGTGTCGTTTACAAAAGGATTGATGCGATAGGACCGGTAGTAGTCTGCGCCGTTGACGTGGATCCCGTCTCGAGTGGCGTTGGGGAGGGAGGACAATCGCAAGTACGACTCGAGATCATCGCGAGATACTGGCATCACAGACGGATCTTGTCCTAATTGATGGTCCGTCAGTCGCCGTGTGAGCGCGCGAACAACACGGACAAAAGTCTTCGCATCGCGCTGGGGACGAGGATCGCGGTCAGAGATCGTACCATCGTCAATGATACTGTGGACGGGAGAGAGAAGGATGCCACCGCGATCTGCAATCAGGACTCGGAAGACGGTGCCAGTAATCAGGAGCGCGACGCTGAAGTTCCAGAATGGCCGTATAGACAGATGGTAACGCGCATAATCCGCGCATTGGAGAATGGCTGGCTTCACGTCGTCTTCGTCGCTGGAAGGATCGTTCCCGTCCGCTGTGACCTTGATCTCGGCGAACCCGACGCAGTCATCCCAAAATGGACGATGATGGGTCCTATTCAGGAGGATGAAATCAGGGCGTAGATTTGCAATCCCGGGAGTATAGGCTTCAGCGGCGCGAGCTGGAGGCCAGGAGAACGGGGTGTCAGCTGCGAATCGGAACTCGCGCAGTGCCCCGGACGTATCGCTCCCGAATCCCGTCAAGAATTCGAATATCCTCCGCTGTAATAAAGACATTGCGATGATCAGTAGAAGCCCATCCTGTATTTCGGACACAAACATACCAACGGCCCATACATCTCCACCTCATGCTCGTGCTCTAAATGTCTGCGGACCTTCTCCCTCGTCCATGCTTCCTGAATGTCACCGATGTAGCTCAGAGCTTCCTCGGCATCGCGGGTGACGCTCTGGAGGGTCTTGATATTCCGCTCGTGTTCCGCCTGATAGCGTTCGTGGCAGCGATCAATCGTAGCATTATCTTCCTCGTAGATGCGAAGGCGTGTGAAGACGGAGGGATCGTCGTACTTGATGTTCCCTAGAAGCTCTGTTTCGAGTTGCTCATGCGGAGCCGAGCTGCAGGCTGCATGCAGATCAGCGTCGTCAATGGATCACATTACAGGATGAGGAGTCCCTGAAGTTCGGCTCTAGTCGGTACTACATGGTGATTGGGGACAAAAACGGAGATGCTCACATGATAGCGTGTCATAGTATGGGTCGTAGTAGTCATAGATGGATTTCGGTCTTTCCATGTCTGAGGGGCGCAGAAGGATATCAAACCCACGGTTAAATCGCAGGAGACCCCGATTGGTCTACAAGGCGTCAGGAGCCTGGTCGACGAATGGCGATGCTGACACGAGACTGTACACACCGCGGGGAAATCGACGACTGTCCGAAAACACTGGCAGTGAGTTCAATAGCCGCACATTCTGACGTTCGCATCAGGAGTCAGTATGCCACTGCTCAGGAATATCGAGGGCTATGGGATGGCTAACCGGCACGGGCTGAACACAGTATCCTCGCTGGGCTACGGGAATTGTCCCTCAACGATGATATTCTCTCCAAGTGCTCTCGTCCGGGTCGTGGTCGTGTCACAGAGCGGAGAGTTCTCTCTGTCCTGCTCCTGTTATTATCAGTAATTCAGCACAAGAGTGGGCAGCCTATGCAGTTGAGCGAGGAACGTGATGTGAGGAACGTCGCCGGCGGGAGGATGGTATTCCTGTCAACAGTAGAAAAGGAAAGCAACAAACCCGAGATGCCATCAGACTCCTTCCCGCCCTCACTGCACGGAACGCTCGGCCCGGGACTTCCGAACAAGGGCTCGCTACCTGCAGTGAGGACTGGCACAACTGGTCCTTATGTCAGCAAAGAAGCATCAGGCCGCTCGAGTGCCGGGTCCAGAGCGGCGTGTGCCAAGTGATGGCCCTGCCTAATTGAGCGAGCTTCGCGCGCGGCCGTCTTCGCGAGACCGACGCGACGCGACGCGCCCTACAGCGTCTCGCTGTCGGCGTCGCCAACGCAGTCCTGGTAGATACTGTCTGAATGTATTTATTTTCTCTATCTTTTCTCTCACCCATTTATGCATGGTCACACCGAACCACTGCGCTTGCACATCTCGGGCACTTCATAGACAATGATTTCCATGTTCTGCAGTGATGCAAGTTGTTTGAGGTCATATTGGACTTAATAACAAGGTGAATATGATCATTGTGGTGTAGCGGTTTGGCGTCGTTAGCAATTTTGACACTGCGCGGGTTCGAGTCTCCTACATGTTGCTTTTTTCACGGTGTGGTCGGCTGCTGCCCTCCCTCCATTTCTGGAGTGCTACGTCGCTCCCGCTTCCCATCTTGATGCACGTAATTTTCGGATCGTGTCACTTTTTGTATAGGTACACGGCAATAAATCTACGGTGTCGCAGTGAAGAAGTGGTCCTACCACGCCGTGAAAAAAGAAAAGAATACTAACGGGCCTCGAACCCGCGCACTGTCAAAATTGCTAACGACGCCAAACCGCTACACCACAATGATCATATTCACCTTGTTATTAAGTCCAATATGACCTCAAACAACTTGCATCACTGCAGAACATGGAAATCATTGTCTATGAAGTGCCCGAGATGTGCAAGCGCAGTGGTTCGGTGTGACCATGCATAAATGGGTGAGAGAAAAGATAGAGAAAATAAATACATTCAGACAGTATCTACCAGGACTGCGTTGGCGACGCCGACAGCGAGACGCTGTAGGGCGCGTCGCGTCGCGTCGGTCTCGCGAAGACGGCCGCGCGCGAAGCTCGCTCAATTAGGCAGGGCCATCACTTGGCACACGCCGCTCTGGACCCGGCACTCGAGCGGCCTGATGCTTCTTTGCTGACATAAGGACCAGTTGTGCCAGTCCTCACTGCAGGTAGCGAGCCCTTGTTCGGAAGTCCCGGGCCGAGCGTTCCGTGCAGTGAGGGCGGGAAGGAGTCTGAGATGCCATCCGCGATACGGACCCTGTGGTATTCACACGCTCCGACCTTGAAGCTTGAAGACCATCGCTATCCCCTCGCAGATACATTTCATACATATCCTCTTAGAATGATAGCGATTTTATCTTCCGAGACTAGACGCGTGAACGGCGTTCATGCAGACTTCTTGATCGCTTCGATAATAATACAAGCTTTGTTCCTTCTCCCACAAGACTCCCTCGTCATCCCACAGCTAATAATACAAGCCACCGCAACGCATCTCACACTTAATGACGACTTCTTACCAGCCTTCTTTGCGGCCGTCCTGGCACGCGTGATCTGCTTCTTCCATCCGAAGCACTGCGTACAAGCTTTCGAGTTCGGCGGACACAAGCTCAGCTCAGCCAGCCCTCACACTGGGAGAGCGTCAGCTTACCGGCGGAACCATGCTTCTTGCACTGGTACTGGCCGTCCTTGTTCACGCTCGACGGCGGCGCCTCGAGGCCTTCGCGGTCGATGGGGTCGAACTGTGCTCACCGCTCGTCAGCCGTCACGATCAGGCGGGTATGTGTGAGCGGGTGGGACGTACGCCGAAGAAGGAATCATTCTCTTCCCGTCCGTCGAAGGAGCAGGCAGCGCACTAGACGCAGATGATGGTCTCAGCTAGATGCACCCGGAAAGTGCAGTGGCGCGGACACTCACGACTTCCTTGAAGTGAGTGCAGAAAAGGGCGTCGTTGATCTCGACGGACGCTGCACTGCTGTCGGACATGTTCGACGTGCTCGTAGGAAGAGAAGAGGCTGGGCTCAAGCGGCGTTTCTACACAGCTCGGTGCGAGGCGGCGAGACGGGGTCGCGGATGTATCAGTCCAAGTGAGAGGAGGTGGGAACGCACCGCGACGGTTTATATAGGGGCCTGCGCGGAAGACGGGTGTATCTGAGTTCGCGACGCTACTTGCCTGAAGAAGGCTGGAGTGCACTGGGCATCTGACAGTGAGTGTGGCCAGATGACCCTCGTCTCCTCCCTCCTGGGCCCAGGAGCGGTCTCATGACATCACGTGAAGATGTGTTCCGTGCTTCATACTGACCGCTCACGACGCCGATGTAGAGTGGTGGGTAGCACTGGCTTGAGTGGATTGCGGCTTTCAAAGTTGTGCAGCATAGACAATGCACAGGTAGGTAGCAAAGTCCTCGCACACGACTTGATTTACCATTTGAGCGCCCACACGTCTGGAAGCCGCAGAAGCCTGTACCGTGTAGAACGACTGAATATGCCTGATGAACGCTGAGACCCGCTGACCCTGCCAATGCCTGTGCAATCGCGACATCCTCGCCCTGGGAATGATGATGGCTTGTGAGCGACTCAACAATGCTCATCCGAGATACAGCACACACCTTCAAGAAACTTATCGGCAGACAAATGCGTCATAGCCGCAGCGCGTCCGAAAGCAAGCTCACTTCAGCTTCTCTCGCTCGACCCGGTGGCAGAACCTCCCGCCAAACTCTACCGCGCCGCAAGCCGTCCCATCCTCTGCGACACCCAGAGACCCCGCTTCCACGCGCGTCCACTCGGCCCACGGCCACGTCCTCGTAAACAGCTCCGTCCACACTGTCGCCCTGAAGCTCTCGAAGGCGAAGCGTGGCTCGTGGCCCTCCCGTAATGGCGCAGGAAAGCCGACAAAAGAGTCCGGCGACGCCCGGACCACGATGCGCAGCCTCCGGAAGAGCGTCTTGACGTCCAGTTCGACGAGTCCCTCCCGGCTATCGTGCCGCACGTGCATGAACGGCGAACATATACCCACCCCAGCGGTGAACGGTGGCCGGAAATCCCACTGAAACCGAGCCGAGCGGTACCCGACCAGAAAAGCCTGCACGCCGGGCAAGGCCTCCCCGCCCGCGAACGTCAGGTACTTCGTTCGTTCTTGTCCCAGACCGAAGGCCTGACACCAGATCCACCCCTTGGGGAAGGACGTGCCCCAGTTCTTCTCGAAGTGGGTCTTGCCTGTGAACTCGTGTGTACGGCCGTCGTGCGTGAGGGTGACAGATGCGTCGCTTGCGATCGTTTGGACGTGCCAATTAAGGGGGATGTAGGGGGAGAGGGGTGCGAGAGGGCCCATGGGGCCTAGGAGAGGATGGAGGTCACACCATGGGATGCGATTGAGGGTGTGGAGTTTCAAGGAGAGCTTGGTGTCGGGGACATCGATAGAGTAATCGACAGACTCGGGCCCGACGTTCATCGTCCCGATACCGTCTGCGGTGACAGTGAAGGGGGAAGGGTGGTCCGCCGCTCCATCTTGAGCCGAGATGGACAGGTGCTCCGGATAGAACTCATGGATGAACCCAGTGCCTTCCTGGCCTGCGGGAGGCGTGTATGAGACGCAGACGAGATTCGGCCGCCTCTTCGCCCGCTTGACCCAGCAGAATATGATCGCCAGAGTTCCGCCACCCTCTAGGAGAGTGCGGGTGTAGTAGCCCTCGAAACCAGCCGCGTGATGAGGAGCGAAATCGTCCACGATTCTCCCAGGAGCCCTGGTGCCGAGAACCAGACATATATGGGTACCCAGAGTCTTGACAAGCGCAAGCGGAAACAGCGACCAACGCAGCAGCTTTGTCTGCAACAAATGTAATTGTATTCGTGCATGTGGGAGGCACTCGTCCAGACGACTCACCAGAATCATATTCGCCGTGAATGTTACCAGCCAGTACCCAGTGCGAACAAGATAATTTCTTGGTCCCTAAGTTCAGATTCAAAACTTAAGCGGACGGAAGTTCAACGCAAGGAGTGCCGGCGAGATCTTGAGGCGGCGGGGCTCGACAGGGATAACGTCATTGACAGCTGAGTCCGAGTAGTAGTAGGATCCGCTGGTTATCCGCATTATTATGATGTGGGCGTTGTCCAATCAGTAGGGCGCACAGCTGCATCGTAGTCAGAGCAAATCCAAAGCCAAGAGAGGGCAAGTTGAGGTGCACAAGTCGGAGACAACAGAGAGCTGTGACAAACAATTTAACAAACCACTCGTTGCCTCATACTACTTACATAAGTTGATCCGCCAATCGGTGCGGCAATGCCCGAAGTAAGTATGATAGTCTGAAGCAAACATTATATTATTGCTTCGACTGTTCAACGTTACGTTCAACGTTCATACTCTGTCCATAAGCACTCTGTGCCCGCAGGAATCTCAATCTGGAATTCGTCAAGCTGAAACCACTACAGAACACTGTCTGGCGCCGGATACCTCTCTTGAAACCCGAGAATACCCTTCAGATTATGCATATGCTGCTCTATCGTCAACATCGCCGAGAGTATCACTGCCCTTTCACGAAGCTCCAGCGGCTGCTCGAAATCGAAGGCCTGTAGCTCCACGTTGTGGGATGTCCATCGGAACCTTCCTGCCGTGTCCTTTGCGAGAATCGGAAAGTTGACAAATGACCGAAAGGTGCAGTTATTGTAGAATACGCTGAGTACGAATAGGTTCTCGTCCAGCGTGATCTCTGAGTCAAAGTCCGTGAGCTGTCGGTCCATCCGCCAACCTTGCGCTTTGTAGTGATGCTCGACAAATGTGTCCATTGTGCGATGCAAGATGCACGTTGAGTCTAGACGAGCGGTCTTCACAGCAAGTGTCATTCCTACAGTGTCGCGTCGATCGCAAGGATTACCTTTTATCGACACAAAGAGTGGAAAGGAATTTTCCGGTACGTCCATCCGTCTACTCGACGAGATCGAAATCCTGAGACCCGAATGCAAGATCACAGAGACAACATACCTTCCGAGCGATATAGACATCCACAACGGGGATGGGCCTCCTAATATCCGGGCGATGAAATGGCCGATGAGACACTCTGCAGGTAGCTCCCGAAAGAACTGGGTCGAGTTGCTATATGGATCGAAGAGGACAAGTACGCTCGTCTTTTGATCTGGGGTAGTGTCACCACGAACATACAGACGGGGGACGTAGAGGGGGAGTGTGTCAGGATCTTGCGCAGTGAGCCAGCGATACGCCGAATCGCTTGCCTGCCATCCGCGTTGCATGCTCTGTAGCCATTGTAAAGTGAGTCTGGTGAAAAGTATGTCCAAGCCTGGTAGAGTGTTGGGGTTCTTGCCGACGATATTTCCAGAGTCCTGAAAGGACACGCGTAATATCAGTCGTTTGCTACAGCGTGTGTGTATGATGGCCGTACCGTCATGTACTCGTAAGGAACAGCGATTGACCCTATGCCATACTTGTTGGGGGTGCTTATGTAATCGTTGCGGAGGAGTTTCAGGATACGCCGGGCAATAGGTAGCCAGCAATCACCCTCGCGGTCAGATACTTCAGTCAAACTGTAGAGGGACCTGAACAGCCTGTCCCCAAACTTTGATTCACTGAGAGGATGTGTCAGCACAGGGGAGGAGTGCCGCGGGCCAAGGTAAACTGACCGCTCCTCAATATGACTCCTTCGCATGGGAGCGCGAGGTACAGCTAGAGAAGCTCCCGTTATATTTGCCCACCGCGGCGTTAACAGGCTCTTGGCTCTGGGCCGACTTGTAGGCGAGTGTTCTGGAAAGAGAGAGAGCGCGACGTCGGTGTCTGGGTGTGGGTCTCTGCTACGAGATTGTACACTTGTAAGTCAAAATTCAGTTCGACGTGTACGGGCAACGGGCATTACCAATGCTCGAGACGAAGCTCAGAAACCTTATCGCTCCAACCTTCCTTGAGAAGACGAATGTTATCCTCGTACTCGGAACTGTCCATGACGAGTGCGTGTCGTTGTCGTTGTTGTCGTTGTCGTTGTCGTTGTCATTGTCGTTATCGCCTTCTTGGCTCAGGCTCTCGTCGCCCTCGTCGCTACTTGCACTGTTAGGCTCGATCTCGACGCTTTCAGAAGCATCATCTGATAGCCCATAATCCCATCGTCCTTGCTCCGATGCCGATGTTGTAGATCGCATGCCTGATAACTTGAACGGGAACTCCAAGCCTCTCGACGCTTGTCTTGCATCGAACTGATTTCCTTCGAACACCTCTCCTGGGCGCACTCGAGCGACGTCCTCGAACAATGATGCTAGCCGAAAACGTGTTGCTGAACGGACAACAGCGCCATGGCGACCCGGTAGCGTGCCTTGACGAAGTCCTTGACGTTCCTGTACATCCGGAAGGAACGGGAGTGTTGCGAAGAGGAAAGACAGATAGTGTGATTCGCCGGAGGGAGTGGGGAAGTACGGTATATGAGCCACGAAATGGATGTCTTGCGAGTCGTAGATCAGGCCGATGATCAGCGCCCATCGAGGATGACCACAGTGCAGCGAGCCGTGGTACATGGGTCGGCCTGATGCCACAGACCATCGACGAGGGCCGAAAGGCTCGATGCAGCAGTACGTGCCATATCATGGCGAGTGGGCAATATGAAGACATGGTCACCCCGTGTATGCTGCTCCCACGAACGAGGCCCCAGAGTGCACAGCAAAAGAGCAGGATTCATGTCGCTGATGGGCAGGCGCGTGAACAGCTCTAGAGACAGCACTGTGGTCGGTTGAATAGAGGCATAGATCGCCACGAATTGTATTGTCTCCGTGAGGCTCTGTGTGCCATCTAGAGTCAAATTCTGCCTACATCCTTGATGAGATAATCAATCGCTCTGGAGTTCAGTACTCACTTTCGTATGTACACACCAGGCACACCGTCGAACGCTGAGGCAACGGCGTGCTCCGCCAAGAGGGGACATCTCGATAGAGCAATATCTGCGCCACTTGATTGAGGGTTTGTGTGTCCGCGAACCGATCTCTTGCACCGCCACGGGGATAGACCGGTATTGTCCTCGCGTGCGTTGTTCCTGTAACGGTGTGTCGACAGGGAGAACGTCGGCGAAGCTCCGTAGACCTGTTGGGTCCTTCGATGATGTCGTCCTCTCTCAACTTGAGTACCACCAGTTCGTCTCGTATCTGGTTCAGCATGACACGAACACGACGCAAGTCGAAGCCGGTTGTGTAGGTGTCGAAAAAGTGTTGTTTCTCCGGGAGATCATCATTCAGCTCCTGCGAGCGCATATTTCGGTGAGTACGGAGAGACGACGGACGAGAACTACACTCACCTCAATCCACGATTCCGGTACTGCGAGCGTGTCCCACGATTGACGAGGTCCTGCAAGTAGTCCAGTTGAGGTATACATAGCCGGCGTGCTATGGGATCGAGGTCTTCTCGAGTGTCGAAGGATCCAAACAGCCATGCTGATGCTTGTTCGGCTGCGTGCGTTGATTGCCCTAGTGCGGCGGCGCTCTTCGACATTTGTGCTAGTGTACGAATGATAGAAACGAGCTTTCGAGCTATTGCTGTTCGGACGGCCCACCGCAGTAAAGATACCCATTAGAGACATCCCAATACAAAACAGGAAATGATGACGCACATCCGTTGCACGTCGGACGCAATGTGTGGATGTCCGCAACCTCTACAAGTCGAGAGCTAGAATGCAGGTGCAGAAGGTGAGCGGCAGACTCGGAGATCCCAGGGTCGCGCCAAGTCGTCGCGTAGATGCGCATCGTATTCTTTGACGTAACATGCAACCATGCGTTGGTCGGCTGCGGACCCAACGGAACAGACTAAGTACATCTTCGTGTGTTTACCACGACCGCGAGTACATAACTGGCGTCTCCAATCTTCCATGCTAGTGCAGAACAGGAGGCCTGGCTAGCATCGACTCGGTTTGAAAGTGCCAGTGCGAACCATTGAGTTGCAGGCGGCCCTCGAGAAAGTTTTTAGATACTCACAGTTACGGCGGCATTGTTGATAGTGGGTGCACACCGAAGGAGACCCTAGAACAGCCAACGAGCCGATGATCCCGACTCAGGGGGCATTGACTGCTCTATGGAGTGGACGATAGGTGTTGTGATACTCTTATGATTGCTCGCTTCGCGGACGGAGATGGAGCAGCTGCCATGTGTCAACTGCAGAGCCTACCACAGATCTTGCACGGGACCAGTCCGTACATGTCCGCATTTACCTCCAAGTGGCTCAGCTACCGCCGTGACACGAGGGTACGACTGTCCGGTTTGAGGTTATGGGTCATACTCTTATGGGGCTACGTTGTTGCTCCCACCACGACCGCCTACATAGATGACGATGCAATCAGCGAGAATGACTCGGCAATACAGCCATGAACACATGAGCATCGTGCGGACATGATATAATACAACAGCACGAGAATCACCGCTGCTCCCTCGGTTCTGCCAGCAGAATAAGCATCACAACACACACAACAGCAAATGCGACTTACGAGACCACATCACGTTCAGAATGAGGTTATCGTACCCCCGCCCGTGCGTCTTCTCCATCGCCTTCTGCGCGACAGACTTTTCCTCGAACTTACGAATGCAAAGCCCTTGCCCGCGCCCGTCTCGCGATCGCGCCCCACATACACGCGCGCGACGCGGCCAAACGCGCCAAATAGGTCCCGCAGGTCGTTCTCCTGCGTGTCCTCGGAGATGTTCGTCACCCGCAGCGTCGGGAGGTCGTCCCGCGACCCGCCCGGCCGCCCCATCGCCTCGCCCGGCCCCCGCGCGCCGCGCATTGACGGCGGGACGTACTTGCCGCCCACGGTGGGCGCTGCCGCGGGCTCTGCTGGCGCCCCTGTGTCATCCCGCCGAAGGGGGGCGTGTCCGTGCCGTCGAGCCCAGATAGCGAGTCTTTGAAGGGACACTTGGCGGTGAAGTGGTCGCCTTTGCAGAGACGGCAGACGACCTTGCCCGCACCGGCACGCACGAGGTTGGCCTTCATGGATTGTTCGGCGCTGGGCTCCGGCTCGGAAGACTGGAGGGTATCGTGTTAGTAATTCATGTGGTACGCGCATCAGAGGAGCATTTCCGAGCCGCGAACACATGCTACGGGTGCGATCGCGAGGCGTGCCAGAGATGACAAAACGGCAATGAGCCATTGGTTTTGAAGCACCGTGGGGCGTGAGCTATGCTACCAAACGCCGAGCTCTACGAGGTACCTGAGCCAATGGACAGTGTCGGTTCACGCATGGACAGCGATGTTGCCTTCAGGGGGGAGGAGACAAGCTCCATACATTTGCAGCAAGGAGACATCTGCCGAAGGCAGAGGTTTGTGCGGAAGCGGAACGTCCTGCTCACCTTGTTGCCCGCGCTCAGCTTTAGCATGACGTTCTCGCCGACTGTCGTTGTTGCCCGGTCAGGACCCGGCTTGCTGCCCTTCTCTTGCCCGAATTTTGCCCAGTGTTTCCGCTCGGCTACTGTGTGATCCACGACCGCCTTCTGGAGTACCCGCTTGATCTTGCGGGTGATCTTGACGATGAAATCCCGTGAGCTTGAGATCCAAGCAATGCGAATCTAGGGCGGCGTACCTTGACTTTCTTGCCGTCATCATTTACTGTGAACTCGACCGTTGTACGGATGCCGTTCTCGTCGACGTAGTCCTCCGACTTGGTGGGCTGCTCTGAGGCGGAAAATGAGCAGGAACGTGCGCACGGAAGGGTCGACTCACCGAGTTCGTCGACGTCGTCCGCCCAGGATGTTTTTGGTGCTCTGTAGCAATGTGTTAGATGCAATGTATGTGCAGTATTGCAGCACCTACGTCGCGCTAGCCATGGTGGTTGTGGGTAGAGGAATAGGCTCGATCGCGAGATTTGCTTACTGTGATCGGTGCATGTCACTCCGTCACTGAGCGTCACTCTAACGTGACATTCTCTACGCTAGTAGTAGTACGAGCGCCTCATTTAAGTAGTAGACTCACTGACTGGCACGTCACGGTCAACCGTCAGACCGACCTGTGTTGCTGGCCGCAGTCACTTGGCAGTCACCACACGCCGACCGTTCGGCCGTCTGTACTGGGTTTCACGAATATGTACGTTGATCTCCAGGCTCGTTGTGCTTTTGTGAAGATTTCACTAGACACGAGGACCTCTCACATCTCATAGTACCGCACAGCTTGAACGAATCGAAGTGTCTCGAGCTACGCTTGTAATGAGTCATTCTTGGGTGTTGCGCACCTTGGACACTCTGGATTTGAGCTCGGACATCGCGCTGCTCTGCTCGAGGCAGATCCGGTATCTACAAGAGCTTAAACTTACATGGCAACACTTCGTGGCACCTCGATTATGGATGGTACAGTTGCTGGCACATGTCACACGGATGCACCTATTGATTGCATACGCGCCATTCAGGACCTGAAAGCAGTCGGTCATGGGCGCAGGAAATGGGAGCTTCATGCAGACTTGGTCCACTCCAGCCTGCGTCATATATACGACGAGGGAAAGTGCATCGTGCAATTCTTGTCCGACGCAGAAATGAAGGGATGATCCCCCCACAGCCTCTCCCCGAGCTTCACTCTGACCATCAAGCGTTGCCACGGCCCAAATGGGCAATTGTCAATTCACAACATACGCAATCATCACGTACGAGCAACCCAAAGTCTACGCGGTCCTTCGGTATAGAAATGGCGAGTTCGAAGCAAGACATGCAATCATGACTGCGCTCGACGGCATTCCTGCCACAATGGTGAGAAGGTATGTATGTCACGAATGCTCTTGGATGTGGGCTGGTGACTGACGATCTCTTTGAACCTCGGGCACCCGTTCTCCTCTCGAAGGCAAGGCTTGTCCCTGATACAGCCTGATGGTCGTCGCTCTCAGGCTGATGGTGCAGGATTCATCGACTGCGCGGTGGTGTATACCCAAACAGCTTACTACACTGAGCCGGATGCACCGTCTTCAAAAAAGTTGAACCGTCTTCCCATCAACATGTTTAATCCTGCTCTCATGCTTGTCGCTCAAGGTCCTTCTGGCTGGGATACACTGCACCCCGCTCCGGCTCTTGATATGCAGCTCGTGTTGCACCGCCTAGCTAACAATGCTACTGTCAGCCTCTTATCCATGATACGAGCATGCACGGCATGAGCTTCCGCCCCTAATCGTGCCGGCGGAGCCAGACCTCGCGAGGACAATGGTGCAAGGAAGCTTCCACGTTGGGCAATGACATTGGGGTTGGTATACGACTCCGAAGCCATCCACTTCGTTGCGCACATCCCCTATATCTCCGACTCAACTGGGCAGTATCGCTTTATGTCTCTCTTATTTGATACACTGCCTTTTGCATGTCTCCGAAGCGATGAAGAGGACGCAGCGCATTTCCTGCGAAGCCGCTACCGTGTTGCCTTGGCTCTCCTGTCTCTTCAGCACCACATCTTCCGGCTGACCGGCATATGGGATGAGGTCCAATGGCGCGACGTCTCTGGAGAACAGTAGCTTTCACGCCAGCTGCAAGGCTCCGATGGATCCGACGCATCCTCCTCCCAGTCCTCATTTTCCAACCCTGATTCAGCAGAGCATCCAGAAGTTCCGGAATATTCATTGCGTCCACCCGTCATGGACCCGTTTACTGTGGCCTTCCTTGGTCCCAAGGTTGTAGACTGTGACCCGATCCCAGCGATGATACAATTGAACGGTCTATCAAACTCGTCGAGTGGTTGCGCAAGGAGGCGGGGCGCGCCTCCCGGTTGACCAGAGCTCGCATTGAAATGCGCGCCGCAATACCGCCAACCAGTGTATCATACGGCAGCACAACAGCAAAGTCATTGGAGTGTTTGCCCTCATCTCTGGATACTTACGACAGTACAGCACGACACAATCACGGGGTAAGCGGTCCTTATGCCTTGTCGGCTCGAGTCTTGCTAATACATCATTCGAAGCCCAGTCACCGCGCCCCTAGATTTCGCTGGTACCATATTTGTTGCTGGTCACTATTACGCTCCTCAAGATGTGCTGATGCACTTGGGCCTGATGTCAGGCCCTGCTCTGTCTGCACTGACTTCGGCAGGGTAAGTTGCAAACCTGCAAACCAAGGAGAGGAGTGTCACATTCGCTGAATCTAGGTCCCAGGTATTCGAGCGAAACTGTGCGTCGCGATCCATCGGCACACGGGTGGACATGGATCAGTGGAGAAGTACTTTGGGAACCAATGCGGCCGTCACAATGCTGGTGGAATTTAATGGGTCGTGTTTGCGGCATCAAACAGGCATACATGATATCAGAGTTGTCCCTGAGCCGGCACGGAAGTATCCCCGTACCAGCCGTGCACCAGGTACCTGATCGCTCGCTGACTTCCACGCTATGCTCACACTTCGCTTCCCAGGTAGATCGAATGATCCAGGATCGTGCACGAACGATGGCCGAGCAAACAATGCACTTCGCTGCCTTGCATCTCCACCACCTAAATCAGTTAGCAAAGTGTAAATGGATCGATTGGGATGACCAGAAGCCGCGCGAGAACTTCGTACCTGACCTGTATATGCGACCCAACGCCACAGTGGAGCAGAAGGCAAGCATAATGGCGCTTACTACCTCGTCCAGTTCCTCCTCTCAGTTGGCAGGGGAACTGGACCCGTATGACCCTATCGGCGAGTTCATACTGCAATTGCCTGGCCGCTCGTCAACGTCTTGGCGATTCATTCCTACTTGGAGGTAAGCTAGCGAACAGACAGTGACCCGGAGATACGGATGTCTCTCACCAATGTTACTTTGCTAGATACCCGTGTCCAACTCTGCCAGTCATCCCACTCGTCGTCATCGTACGCGGTGAGACCGACTCAGAGGAAGACGTCAAGTCCGCCGAAGCGGAGACACTGGTGCCCTACACTGGACGCTCACGACATGCGTCGTCTACCACTATCGCCAGCAGGGCTGGGATCTAGACCGCCAATTGAGCGACGCAGATGCTGCAGTGCAGTTGGACGACGCGCTCTGCGCGTACAGCGTATACTACAACGAGTGGAGGTTCATCATCTGCGCTCATCACCCCATGCTCGAACGGAATGCACAAGGGCGGTACGTCTGGCGATTTAGGCGGTGCCCTATGTTCGACTACGCGGTGTCTATGTTTTTGGACGCGAACCCAGTTCAGGAGTTCCGCATCATCAGTACCATGCTCGCGGTCGAACAACAGATGTACGCACTCGGTCGACTACTTCATCCGTTAGAAGGTTTCGGCGCAGATGCGAATATTCCTCCATGTAGCTTTGATTAGGTTCTCTCCGTAATTCAACGCGAACCTACTCCCCCTGGTTGGGTGAGAAGTGAGACTTTCTTACTCAGATGTCATTACGAGCCGTATCGCTTGCTTAAGCCATCGTTTATCAAAAACAATCAGAGCACTACTGAGTATCGTCCTCGCCCCCTGCGTCCAAGCCTTGGACCCCCTGCGCCGCATACTTACATCGCCCAGGACTAGCTTGCCCAGGCGCTCTCGAACGCAGCTCCTCGAACGTCCCCAGGACGTCAAATCGGGCTCCTCAGGTGCTTCTTCGCCCCCGCACCGATGGGAAGAATATGGCATCGCGGACGACAGCTTCAAGTTCCGTCGGTCGCCGGGCCTTGTGGTAGCGACTGCTCGAGCGAACATGTACTCAGCTCGAGGGAGGTCTCTTTCTGTGCATACGCTGTGCGATGCGGCGCTTATATATCGCGTCCGCGAGTTCTATGAGTACCATGAACGCGTTGCCAGTGAGCGAGAGCGGTCTGCGACGACGTACCAGATAAGTATGGTACTCACAGGAGGCCCCACGTCCGAAGCTCGTTACACAATCTGCAGCAGAGGCCGCTGAGCCCGAGGGCGTGTCGCGGGGCGCTGCGTAACGCATCTCGGATTCGAGGCGGCGCACCGCTTACAGCGTCTGCCCGTCTCAAACTTCAACGTTTCAACCGTCACCCTCGGCCTCAGCCTCCAACGTGCAAGAGCGAGCGAGGGCGGGCATCCCTCGCGCGTCGGAGTCGGGAGGTGTTTCGTCCGGGCGCGTGGCCCTTGGGACGGGTACCCCCGCGTGCGCTCATGCTGCCGGACTGCCATAGTGCGATGCGCAGGGGGGGAACTAGCGCGCGCCGAAGTGAGGCAGGGTGAGGTTCCAATTAGATGAGGGGGGGATCCGGAGCTACGTACGTACCCGCGAAGGAGGGTGTGCGATGCGCCGGGTGACTGCCTAGCGTTTGCGCTCAATGAGTGGTATGCAGATTTGTCAGGAAGGATGAATGCACGCCGCCGAGGGCGGACGTCTTGCGCGGGGCTCTTGTGCGGTGGGCGGTGTTGGGAATGTGGGCTATGGCTGGAGACTGGAGCGCTGTGCGGAAATGAAAAGGTATCACGGACTGACAGCCTGAGGGCATGTACGCACTTCCTGTAAGTATAGCGCACGGCGGTGCCGGACGCCCCTCATTGCCAACGTCCACGATCAAGGCGCGCCTGGACATAGGCCTGGAGATTGCCGCGCTGGTGGGCGATAGAACTGAGCAGTGAGCGGAGATCTCGGGCATTGTCGTCGTGCATGTGTAGGGGCCTCCGACGCTGTCCAGGGAGAGACGAACATGACAAAAGCTATGAGCTACAGTCATCGGTGGGTCAACCGCACTGACAAGCCGCCGTTAGAAATCGGTGGGCGCTGTACGAACCTTCGCCGCCCGTGAACACCAAACGCGTCTTACAAGTCCACGAATAAGCATGCTACAAGGAGGCTCGAGGGGGGCTTACGGAGACGACCGAGGACGCAGTAAACGGTATTACACCTGGATTACACTTGTGAGAGGGTCTGATTGAGCGGCGACGTGCTGTCTGTTTGTAGGGTGCTTCATTGTAAGTGTGGAGGGGTGTGGGAGGATCGTACTCAATGCGATGTTAGTTCCGCGCGGGTTGTCACTTGTGGTGGACGTGTCGATGGCATCAGCATCAACGGGCCACGGCTGTACGGCCTCGTTTTCGTCGACAAGTCTGCCAGAATTCTACCGCTGAGGAGATGAGTGACTAGACCGAAATTGAATATGATATCGATAGGGGACTGACAGTCTAGCCTCTAGGCGGTGAAATAATCTCAGAGCGTACGACTTGTGTAAGTACAAATCCATGGATCCCGGCGCCAGGATGCAGTAGAGACTAGTAGAGAGTTATGGCGAAGCAGGATCCGGTGACACGGGCACGTCGACATACAGGCGTCCATCGAAACCCAAAACGTTCGCCACGAGCTTCCTTGAGGATTGGTCAGCGAGAGCGGTCCCATACGCAAGCACGGTTACGCTCGGTCTGCGCTCCTTGTCAGACCGAACCCAACCTCGTTTGTCAGCACGCGCCGGGGGCACACAAGCTGTCTGGCAAGCGAGGGGATCCGAGGGATACGACTCCTATCGATGGTGATGTACGTTTAGGACGGGAGACGGCCGGGTGGACGTCGAGGAGGATGTGGGAGAACTCGCCTGCAACGGGCGAACGGCAGCGATGGCGAGGCCGGCGAACGAGGGGCGCGCACTTCCCGGGCAAGATGTTCGCGCGATCGGGTGCGGCCATGACGTCTCCGGCGGCGAGGCCGCGAGATGCATCGGGCACCGGGGGCGTTCGCTGCCATATCGGGCACCGCGCGCATCACAACCTCCCGCATATGGACGTGTTCTCCCGCCCACAACTCGCAGGCGCCCGTGTGCGGCCTTCCTCAGCAGCGACTCAGCGTGCTGACGGGGTGCTGACAGGATGGGCGCGCGTGCCTGAAGGGGCAGGTGGGCGGCCAGGAATGGGAAGGGTGTCTCACGCGCAGCACGTAGCTGCCGTGTCGGGCCAGGCGTTCCCCAGGTGCGGCGGCTCCGCCTGCGCCTCTTCGCCGTCGTTCCATGCCACGGCCCTTCCAGAACGTACCCTCGACAGGAGACCCCATAGGCGCTCGATCGATGGTTATAAGCAGACGGGCGGGTGGCGTGTCTCGTCCAGCAGTGTATGTGCTTCCCAGCAAAAAGACCAAAGCCGCTTTCGACGACGACAAGCCCTCTAAAGCCTCTCCGCCCAAGGATATAAACCAGCCCACATCCACCTCCACCACCACACCCGCACCTACAGCCATGTCTCCCAAGATCGCCATCATCATCTACTCCATGTACGGCCATGTCGCCAAGTGTACGTCCCCATCCCCGTCTCTCTAACGTTGAGTGCTCACCGTGCGTGCACAGTGGCCGAGTCCGTGAAGAGCGGCGTCGACGCCGCCGGCGGCTCCGCGACCATCTACCAGGTCGCCGAGACCCTCCCCGAGGCCGTCCTCGAAAAGATGCACGCGCCCCCCAAGGGCCCCTACCCCGTCATCCAGCCCGCCGACCTCACCCAGTTCGACGCCTTCATCTTCGGTGTCCCCACCCGGTACGGCAACATGCCCGCCCAGCTCAAGGTGCGTTGCCCTCCCTACCGCGGGCGCTGACCGGCTGACCTCGATCGCGCACAGGCGTTCATCGACGGGACGGGCCAGCTCTGGGCGCAGGGCGCGCTCGCGGGCAAGTACGTCTCCGTGTTCGTCTCGACGGCCGGCCTCGGCGGCGGCCAGGAGACCACCGTCATCAACCTGCTCTCCACCTTCGTCCACCACGGCCTCATCTTCGTCCCCCTCGGCTACAGCAAGGCCTTCCCCAGCTCGCCAACCTCACCGAGGTCCACGGTGGTGAGTGTCATTTTCCCTGTTTTGTGTGGCTGGCTGGGCATCGGTGTGCGCGAATGCCGCGGTAGGAGCGCATATACCCACTGCCTTGCATCAGTCATGCCGTCATCCCTCATCGCGAACCGATCGCTGACGAGCACGCTCCACACACAGGCTCTCCATGGGGCGCCGGCGCGTTCGCGGGCACCGATGGCTCGCGCCAGCCGTCCGCGCTCGAGCTCCAGGTCGCCAAGATCCAGGGCGAGCACTTCTACTCCGTCCTCTCGAAGGTCAACTTCTGAGTGGCGGGAGCTGAGCCCGAGGAATGTACGAGTGGGACTTGAGTGACATTGTATCGTATCGTAATGGTCTCGTCGCTATCGCTTGATATTTCTTCTTGACGGCTGCGAGCGTGAGCGGTTGAGACTCGGACGCATTGAGCTCAAGGAAAGTACGCTTGCCATTGCACTCTGCAGCGCAGCCAGCGGGCGGATGCGACAGTGTTCCAACGACACAGAGAACGCCCGGCAGACGCGGACTAGGGCGCTGGCCACTAGCTGTATGCGCCGAGTCTATACAATGCGCACTTAGCACGAACCTTCGCATCTTCTCCGACTCGGACCCGGCACGTACGTTCGCGCCCTGGAACCTTCTTCCCGGTGGACACGGTCGACGTCAACTCTAACGGCACCATCTGCCACCTACGCCTTGACGCTATGTTGCAGCCATCATCAGGTGCGTCTGTGCGCGGCTCGGATTGACGACGTCGTTGCAGATTCGGACCTACGAGAGTTCGGCGCTGCAAGATGGGCTGTAAGCCTGTACTCTGCGCAGGTGGTGTTGCGCCTCATCGGTGTTTACACCTCCTTGGAGTTGCGGGTGATGGCTGAGGGGAGCAACGTGCGTGGTGGTGACGGAGGATGGTTTCTATACCGTCGTATCGTCGGCATTCGTATTAGGCTGTATTCGGCGTCGATGTCTGTACGCGCTCATCGTGCCAATGGAGGGTGTAGAGGGCTGATGGAGTCGGGACGCTCGGTCCCCTGCCCAATTGGGCTCTCGATATCATCTCTGCATTTCATCGTGGCTGGCACTCCTACATGCTCCGCTGCGCAATGGGGATGCCTGCCAGGATCTCGGCGAGCCCAGCCACGGCGTTCATCACATCGCTCGGGTAGCAATGCGGGCCAGAGATTCCGCAGTGCGCGAATGCAGCGACTCGCAGAAAGCCCAGCGGCATAGTACTAACGTCATTGAATATCGACGCGCACAAAAATTTGAGCGGCACTCGCCCGCGCATCGCGCGATATGCGGAATGACACAAACGCAATGCGACGCTATACGATAGCAAGTCAGAAATCTGACCTGACGCGGTCAGGTGACCACGCTCGGTAGGTGTGTCCCGCTACGTACGGGGCTTATATCGCGACGCCAATCAGGGTCTCTCTCGTATGCTGAGTTGCATACCTAATACAGTACTGAGGGACGTGGTGTCTCAAATCTTGTGGCACTTTAGGCTGCATACATTTGACGCGTGGCGGTCAGGTGATCGCGTATGTACCAGCGCTTGTGACGTGTCGATCCGACTTTCAGTTGAACTTGTCCTGCTCTTCACTAGCACTGACGGACGCTGACAAAACAGCTCATCTGCCTCCATCTGCTCTAGACTCGCCAGATTTTGAACTTGGAATGCAGTCCCGACGCAGTCATGGTTATCTGGGCGTCCGAGTTGAAATCGTAATGGGTCCAGAAACTTGGGGTACCGCACACATGGATATTTGGTCAGTCCGAGTTTGGTTGGCGTCCTTGTAAGTAACATACTCAATTTGTTATTGCAGTCATGGTAACATTGACAATCATTATCATCAAGGCGGAGGAGGTCGGGAGTGTCTGCCAAGTGCGACGACGAGCCGCCTGCACTTCTGGTAGACTTTGAAGACAACCTTGTACGCGGTGCTGAGTAGAGCGATCGCAGACCGACAACTTAAGGTTGCATGACTAGCACCTTCACATGGGCTCGCTATCAAATCGTTGTTACTCACGTTCACGCCTGATGGCGCGAGCAGGCCCCTTTGCAACTGGCCACCGTGTCATTCGTAGGCTGGACCTTTGCCTTGCTGGACTCGTTGGGCCTCCTGGGAGTGGACTACTAGAGTCTTGTGGCTCCTGTATCAATCACCTGAAGCACCTGAGAGAGTACCATTGGCGGGCGAAGTTAGACGTTCGGCAGACCTGGATGGATTTGGAGTCGGTGCGTGACGGATCGTGCGTGGCTAGGCATGTGTTAAAATTTGCTAAATTGACAGAGCCCACCGTCTCAGCGGATGGGATTGAGCCCTCGATTGGCTTTGCGTGATTTGCTTGTCAACTCGCAAAACGGGCATGGAGGTTGACGCATCGACTTCGACGGAGGCGTCAAACTCAGGTTTACACAACTGGATCATGGCCGAGCAGAACTTGGATACATCTCAAGCATACGAAGGCAGAATCAAACAGTTCGATCCAGTGGAAGTGAGTGTGGCAACTTCCCATTCGTCGTCTTCGTCGACCTGACTACTCGCACAGCGCATGTCAACTCATATATTGCTACTAGCGGAAACCCGTGCTCCGCTACGGACTGGTATATTGCTATGTGAGTGTTGAATGGATGCCGGACAGTGAAACCTCGCATACACGCATTTGAGCTAGGACAGGTCGTCATGCCGATGCTCAGCACATCTGCGTCAAGATCCAGCGGCGTATCCCCATCGTAGGCAATAACTTGCGAGACGGTCATAGGGACATGACGGCAGACATTCATCTTTGCCAGCATGTGCCAGTGTGCGGCTACGTTGATTCCCACAGAACAATCACCGGCTTCTTGGTGCAGATTCAGACACCCGACAGATTGTCTGCCCTTCCTTTCGTTTGCATATAATCAGGTTGATGCAGGGCTCCATCGGGGCGATGTTTGGCAGCCTCTTTGTGCGGATGTCCTCACTGGTATTCAAGTCTCGTTGCATGCTTCGTTACTCACAACAAGTTGATTTGCCCGCGATGTCAGAGTGAGCATCCGTAGTGCGATCGTGGAATGATATGTATCGTCTACGCCACGGTAACCATCGAGATTTCAATATTCAGTGTCACTCATAGCCCGCTTACTGGCATGGCTTACAACGAAGCTACAGCCTCGTCACCGCCGTTAAATACCCTCGTGAGTAGCCTAATTGATTCATTAAACAAAATCTGCTCAATGAGTTGTGGATGCTCGCAAGTGGACGTGGTTGCAAAGCTCATGACCACATGCCAGCAACCGCCTTGCTGTACATCACCCGGGGTTGTAGCTTCCGAATGACAGTGCATGTGCATTCAACCATTTATGTGAGTTCAATTGTCTTTCCAATGCAGACGTCGCAATCACCAATATGTGAATCTGCGCAAGACGCTACGTCAACGGGGATGATTAGCATACTTGTGGACATATCCGCATGGTTCTTGTGTCAGCCCTTGCCACGCTTACGATGGTTCACCTACCCCAGTCGCTTCCTCGGTGTACACTGGTACGTCAAACTGATCGATGTACTGACACGTAGATGTTGATCGTCGTCACAGAGAGATACGGTCATACACCGAGGAAGCAGGTTTCTTGGCGTGACTCGCATTCAATCTCACTTCAGTGTCCGCTCACCTTGCTTTTGACATCGTTACACACAGTAAAGATTCGGGGATTTCACTCCGAGTCTCCGCTCTCCGCTCGTAGTTGAAGATGAAGCGTCCAGGAGTCGAAGACATTGCCTGACAGATGCGCACGATAACGTCTCGACTGACAGCGGATGGAGACGAACATCTTCAAGTTCTGGTCAGTCCATCGTTGTATGATTTCCCACGCCGCTAACACAGCATAGCACACCGTCTCATATAAACGTGAAGTACGCCCTACGTTGCCTCACAAGTGGCTCCAGTACCAGTGAACCATGGGAGAACTAGACACGACGTATGGTGCCACCTTAATTGGCGTGTGTGCATCCGCCATGTACGTCTACCACTAAAGCACACCATCGAGTGATTGACGCGCTCATCTGGGACTCGTGCAGACTTTACGGCATCACGAACCTGCAAGTGTACATCTACTTCCGAGCATACCCTCAAGACGAGCTCTGGAACAAGATATCAGTCTGCTGGCTCTGGTATGTACTACCCACACCGATTCAACTTCGGCAACGAGCTTAAGCATGTGACGCGATGTTGCGGTAGGGGTTTGGACTCACTACACCTCGCATTCTGCATATATATGATGTATTGGTACCTCATCACCAATTTCTGTGTTGTCGCAGAATTGGGGTGGTGCACTGGAGTTTCCAAGTACGATCTCAGCTTTGTCCCTGAGTCGACGACTAATTGACTATGTTCAACATTGCAACAGGCCCAAATTATGATCACCGTAAGCCGTTTTATTCAGCCGTCGTAGCTTCAACATCCAGACATTCTTCGCGTCAAAGGCATTTGTCATACTCAGCGTGGATACGTGAGTTCTGCTCTTATATGTGAACGTCCTTTCCAGTGACCGGTGGTTCACAAGATTGTATACATTTCGCGTCTGGAAGCGTGAGTTTGGGTCGCCAATCAAACGCGGCCCCCATTGATTCTGGTGAGCACAACAGTAGATGCTACAGCCCACAATTTTCGTGGATGGCGTCGCTTGAGACCCGTGTCTATGGTCATTGTAAGTTTGAATGCAGTTGTCGCCGCTTCGCGTGTGACTCACTTGTCTCAGTCGATAGCTCTGTGCGCTGGGTTCGGTAGGTACCGACTGGTCTCCCCTTGTCAGTCTCACACTGAAGCCTCTGGTTTACGCCCGTTGCCTGTACATGTAGCCGCTGGAATAGGTGAGTGTTGAGAACTCCTACTGTATGTCCTCGACTTGTCCTAAGAGTCTTGTAATACAGTGCTCTGCTATGAGATGTTAGTGTCGGTGCGCTGATCTGGCGCTGCTGTCACTCATTCAATTCACGTTCTAGCATGCAAATGGACCAGTTCTCACGGCCTTGCGACCACAATACTTGGCGCGTATCTGGTTTTATTAATTGCCCGACTCACGGTGACACCGAAAATCCAGTGGATCACGTACTATCCCGTGGGTACTGCCACATGCATTGACATTCTCATCGCCGCCTCGCTTTGCCATCTCCTCTCGCGACACCGCACTGGCTTCCGGAAGTCAGTGTTGATACAGACTTTGCTCATATACTGACACATCATCAATCAGGACGGACTCTCTTATCAACTGGTTGATGTTCTACACATTGAACACGGGCCTAGTCACAAGGTCTGTACTGCTGACTTATAAGCTCATGACTGCATCTAAATGCCAATATCTTCCCTGAACATGTATGTACAGCGCGTGCTCTCTCACCGCCGTCATCATGGTGTGCCCAGAGCAGTGATCCTGTCGCGATACATCGGTTGATATGAATGTTGTCAGCTTGCCGTCTTCCCTGAAACATTCCTAGTGATCACATTCGAGTTCCTCATGGTCAAATGTATGTGCTGCAGCTACCTCACGTATGTCGCACTGATTCCCTCCCATAGTATACGTGAATTCATATCTCGCTATGTGAGTGTTACGCATTGATGTTGGTGGGCACCAAGTCTCACGCACATTCGCTAAGGCTCAACGCCCGCAATTCACTACGCATACTGGGAGATGATGCGCCAGACGACATTGCCCTACAACCACGCATCACAAATTCGTCAAACTCAGTCGGCGAGGTCAAGGGCGGGACGTGGGGTTCCGATTCAGGCGCCACCATGATAGGCAGTGGTTTACGAGCCGGCGGGGGCAACAGCCTCGCAGCGAAAGTTGGCCTTCGCCCCCATGTGCACAGTGATGTCAACGCCACCTACGAAGAGGCAGGATCAACGAGGTACAAGTATGTAGACGGGCTATTGTCCATTTCACAAGAAGCTAGTACAGGTCTACGCTCGTACTACGCTGCCGACACAGGTCCGAATGTGGACGAAGTGTGGCGGCCTACGTTACATAGGCCTTCTCCAGCACATACTTCTCGGAGGACGTCGATACGTCTCTCTGATCAGGCGAGGGCGCTTTACGCTTCAGTATGTAGCCGAGGCTGACGATCAACAGGGGCATGACATTCCTTGAAGGCCCATAACCCTCAATCTTGACGGAAGCTCTGGTATACCGGCGCACGTAAGCATTGACCATCCCCCAACCACTGCACCTCTAGACGTATCATTCATTTGTGTACAGACATGCCTTGAATTACCTCGAGTGGTGCTGTGTTGTTACATCACGGGCGGCAGACTTCGTTCTGACACCTTGCAACAAGTAATGTACACTAGGGAGAATTACATTGAGCATACGAGAGCGACATAGCAAGCGACATTCATGACAGTTCATAACAACGACCAGAAAGCGGCACCGAGAGACCGGGATATATGGAGCACGGGCATATCGGTGATCACAGCGAAGCGAGGACGCTCTGTACCCACGCATTGCCTTCAATCTGCGGTCGAAACTGCTCGACACACTTCTTGAGCTGCGCCAGTTGTGCGCTTGCAACAGAATCATCAGTATCTGCCATGACGATGTCTTCACCATCTTCTTGGGAAGTGTTGGCGGCCCATGTCCGAAGCAACTCTTCGATAATCTTGGTACCTTCTTCCACGACATCAGCGGGAAGCTCGGGTTCCCCACGTTTCTCTGTGAGAGTAATTCATGAGCGTAGTATGTTGGTACGAAGTACATCGCGACCCACCGGTATTGAAGTCTTCCAGTTCGTCTGCCTTTCGTTTCGCGAGCTGAAACAGTGCATCAGCAAGGGTCTCCGCTATCCAATAGCTTTAACTCGCACCTTCACGACGTTCTCCGGGAAGTTCGCGAGCTCGGCCACGTGAATACCGAAGCTTTGATCGCAAACGCCTGGCCAAGTCACAATGAGGGAGGACAGCGATCACAACCCGGCTTAGGCGTACCTGGGTCTACTTTGTACAACAGCGTGATGTCACGGTCCCGAGTCCCCTCATCAGACTTGGAGACATGTGCAACCACGTGTAGATTCTTCACATGAGGGATTTGGTGGTCTAACGCGGTGAGCTCATGGAAGTGGGTCGCAAATAAGCAAAACGCATGAATCTCGGATGCAATGTGTCTGTGGCAGCGGTCAGCGTGTCACTCGGCAGTGTCAGGCATGAGGCTGGCTTACTCTGAGATGGCCCACGCTAGGCCAAAGCCATCGTAGGTCGAGGTGCCTATGAAACAATCTCATTGAGCACATCGAGCGGTGCATATGTGATTGGCATTACCTCGTCCCAGCTCATCAATGATGATGAGCGAATCCTTCGAAGCAGACTGGCATGGCGAAACATTAGCATATTCCACTTAGCTTCATCAAGAGTACGAACTCGGAGGATGGTAGCAGTCTCGAGCATCTCAGCCATGAAGGTCGAGATACCCTTTAGCTGGCTATCCCCGGCACCCACTCGACACAAGATTGAGTCGAAGACGGGTATGCTAGCTTCTGAACATGGTACGAAGCAACCAGTCTGTGCCATGAGAGCAATTACGCCAGCCTACATTCCATGTAAGATGAAGAACCGCCAGCGGTTACAACGCCGCGTCACACCTGTCGGATGTATGTGCTCTTGCCGCCCATGTTGGGCCCAGCTATATACCAGTCAGCTATCCGCGAGGACATGCAAGTCGGGGAGCGCACTGATGATTTGGAACTCGCTTTCATCTGATCGACAGATGAGTAAGCAAGAACACAAGCACAGAAAGTACTCACTCTTGATCATCTCGATATCGTTCGGGATGAAGCTCATGTCATCTTGAACTTCGAGGCACGGATGCCGAGCGTCTCTGAGGACCAAGCTGCCAGCCCCTGCGTAGAATGATTAGTAGACTATCCACGGGGCGACGCAACGAAGGCTCACCCTTCTCCTGCATACTCGGCTTCACGTAGGCTTCAGGAGCATTGACTGCCACATGAGCGAAGCTGAGTAGCTTCAGTGGCAACTCCTTGAACACCGCAAATTTACTCACCTAACAATCACATCAAGATGCGCAAGTACATTGTTCCACGATTCCAATACCGGAGCGTACGTCGCTGCAATTCGTCAGCCTACCCATCCATGTACATCATCGTAACAGCTCACACGCGATGTTGACGACCTCTTTGACGAGGCCGCTCTGCGTCTTCTGATACTGCTCCGTTGTCTCCTGGTACTCGACAGCAAGCTCCTTCAATGCCTTCGTAGTGAAGAAATTCCCGCCCTTCGTGACGCCCAGCTCGATGTATCCCTTCTTGCCTGTGACCGACTTCGCGTCCTACAACCCCAATGTATAAGCCCACGACGCGACACAGGCACCCTCTTTGCATAAAATAGGTTACTCACACCCTTCGACACCCGGAACACATACCCATAGACCTGCGAGTTCTCCAGGTGCAACTTTTTATCAAGCTCGAGGCTGATGTCACGCCCCGTCTTCTTGTGCTCCGCGTCCAGCCCGTCGCGCACCTCCTTCAGCTTGTCCGCGAGTGCCTGCAGCCGCGCGTCGTAATCCGGCTTAATGACGAAGTTGTGGTTTTCGAGCTCATCGAGGTCCAGCGTCTGCTCAACCATCTCGGCGTACTTGGACAGGCTGTTGTTGAACTCCTGCAGACGAGGTAAGATAGGGAGTGGTGAGGCCGCACGGGTGCTTACTTTGAACTTGGTGAGGTAGGTCTCTTCGAGCAGGAACTTATACTCGTCGTTTGACGTGTCGACGCTCTCGAGCACAGTGATGAAGCCTTCCAGCTAACACGAACGCCAAGACGTTATAGGGTCAATAGGTATGTGATGAGAAGATCTGGGTTACCTTCAGAACGGCCTGATAGACTCGCACGACATCTTCAAGCGAGGCGACAGACTTCTGGAACCTCTTGCATATGCGGTGCATATCCGGCATCATCTTCAGGTAGTCATCCTGTACAGTATTCATCAATCTGGACGCAAGGTGCTCTGTAAACAATCGGTCATACCTGCAAGATTCTGCGGGCGTTGGCATCATCGACAAAGGTTTCAACGAGGTTCTGTCGTTTCCCTAAACATACCACTCTCTCAGCATCTCCACAACAGAACGGTTATCGTTGCCACCCACTGATCTCATGCAGGTTGACAAGCGGTTGCTTCAACCAGCTCCCTAACAATCTCGACCCCTGCGCTGTCTTGCCCTTGTTCAGCAACCCAAACAACGTCGTATTCTTATTTGAGCCCTATATCGCGGTCAGTATCACGACCGCCCTCGACCGCTTTCAAAGACTCACAATGTTCCCAGGAGCCTCAGTAAGATTGAGTGCACGCAACGCACTCGCATCGAGCCGCATGTACTGCGACAAGTCATGTATGCGGATGCTGAACGTGCCGTGGTTGGACGGGTCGGAGAGGAGGGAGAGGTACGAAACGAGGGCAGACAACGCGGAAGGCGCAACTGGGAGGGAGAGTTCGGCTGAAAGGCATGACGCATATGAGCGGCAGGATTCCACTAGAAGAGAAACAGAGGTATATGCGCACGTATGACCACCCCAGAGTCGACGCTTGACGTCGAGGGCATTGAGCTCGGGCTCAGCAGGCGCACCATGTCGTCTTTGATGTTCTTGGCCGTGAAGTCACCTGCAGGTGCTCAGCTCAATGTTTCGGCAAGACAGGGAATAAAGGGTTAGCCTACTGGGCTTCCGCTCCGTGATGACCACTCCACAGCGGTCTAGCACCTCCTTCAGCTTCTTCAATTCGAAGTCGCGCTCCGACGTGGCTTTAATCGTCCCTGTTGGTATCAGCGCCTCCTTGACCGACAACTGGATGATGAGAGTCTGTGCAACGCGATGTCTCCCTTAAATGAAACGCCTCCAAGCAACATAAACTCGTCACGCACCTCCATATTGGAGTACAGGTCATTGTCCACGAAGTCGGCGACGCCTATCTCACGCGTGCTCGTGTCGGCATACGCGATGCCAATCGTTTTCGTTCGCGCCTTTGATGTCTCACCGGGCGCAGTAGGTGAGGACGTGATTTTGATAGCCATGACGATGGGCGCGGAGAGTATGTCTGTGTTCACGAACAAGAGGTCCTCGACAGCTTGTAGGTTTCCTGGTGACGCCTGAGAGTTGTTCACCAATTCAGAATATACACATCCTCATCGAAGTCAACAGGGACATACCTCTTTATCCAGCTTGAACTTTGTCGCCTTCTTCCCCTGGCCCGCCTCCGGCCCCCATATCTCTACCTTGAGCTGCCTCGCCGTCAGCGCATCCCTCAGAAACGACTTCGCCTGCCCCTCATTCAGCGTCACGCTTGGTAGGCCATTCCTGCCTCCGGGTCCAAGGTACTTGAGGACAGTGTTCGTGCGGAAGAGGTGCGTCGCCACGTAGAGCGCGTCTGGCCCGTGCGCGGAGTAGTACTCGCCTCGAAAGAAAAGACGTAGTGTGCCATTCTCTGGAGATTTTGGTGGGAGCTTGGCAAAGAAGGAGATGAATCCGGGATGGGAAGAGTTGTCTGAGACGGGATGAGGAATAATGGAGCCTATAAAGCTATGGCATAGGCTTACCTATCTCATGGTCTGCATCCTTTTCCTTCCCGTACATTAGCGACATGTCGAGTAATACACAGAGAGTAGAATATAGCGAAAAACGACTCGCAGGAAGGAGGCGGAGGTATAAGAGCCAGCGGACGCGTTCTGTCCGACCGTCGCGTCGGAGTCGCGTCGACGCGTCTTGGGCGCCTGAGCGCGTCGCGATTTGGGACTCCGCCCCAAGGCAGTTTTCCTGGCCCACGCGTCTCTGGTTGTTGACCACGACTACGTCTTGCCTCGTCTCACAATATGTGCGTATCGTCAACGTCCTCCGAGTGTTTATGCTTTACGATCCTGTTCTAGATTTATATGCACAGGGTGTGCTCTCGCGCAAGCTCGCTGTCGTCTCAGGCGGCAAATGCGATAATTGATTTTGTCGTGTTAGTGGTGAGTCTTGGGCAGCACCATTTGTGTACAGACGCAGCGGCTTTGTCCACCGCAGCTTCTGAAGTGGTTTAACGGTGCAAGAGTGACGTGTACGCTTGTCGTACCTCTTCCTTTATTACTTTTGCGCCTCTCTTTGCCATGGTGTATGAGTTTGTCACGGAAGATACATACGTTCCTCGCTCATTGTATAACGTAGTACGTTGAATTACAAGAATGGCAGTGTTGCTCCCATCCTATATGGATCAGCTGAGATGACGACTTCCAGTGCTCAGAAGTTCACGAGAGGACTGATGGTGTGGCATGTGGGCAGCGGATGGTTGCGGTAACTTCTGGAAATGGACAATCCGACTCGACTAACCTGGTTTGCCGTAGGCGACGTACGACCAATTATCGAGCGGGCCCGATGAGTTCCTCAGGCCCTAGTTTGCGGTGCGTGTACAGCGGTACTAGTATGGCTTGCATGTCGCGTTTGCTGAGGTTCTCTGGATAGCCGAAGTCGTTGTCGTCATGTCACATTGACGACGGGCATTTGCTCTTGTCTGGCAGATGCAGCAATATCTCTGATAATTGTGACTGCAGAGTCTCTGGATGCCTTCCTGCTTTCGTCTGTTTCACAGGCTGCATCTTGAACTGGATTCTGTATCGATGGGTTCCCGCGACGATGGTGGGTTCCCCTGCACAGCTAGCGGATTAATGGTGGCCACATGCGATTGGGAAATACTATCAGCTCAGGCATTTACCTACGAGCGTTCTAGGTGAGGCCTCCATCCGATGCTATTCAAGCACACCGATCGCACCTCTGAATACCGCTTCTCAGCGTTTCTCGCGGATCTCGGTGGAGTGCTAAACCGCTTGACCTTGACCTTGTGCTTGTGCCATTTGTGCCAGGTTTTTAGTGAGCTCGATGTCCGTATTCAGATCCTCCACCCGCGGACCCACACCATCCCGCCTGTTCGCTGTCTTGCGGATCAATCAAAGCGCATGCTGGAGTGGCGTAAGTTAGATCCATGTCTCTAACCCGGGTACTTACGATGTGCCCAGGGACCACTGCACAGCTGACAGAACGGGTCAGTTCAAGCACATCGAACCCTAGCAGATACGTACTCACCATGTCAGGATAATGTTGCAGAAAAGATTTGTATCGCAGCCCGTAATCATCCACACCGCCACGGGTGGGAAGAACATAGTATTCTACCACGACGAGTTTTCAGCCGTCAGAACACTCTTCGACCCCAACCGTAGCACTATGCGGTACGACTATACCTACTAAGATCAAGTCACTGGTGCTAATCTGACTGCCATCGGGCTCGGGGGGAGACATTGCGAACTTGGAGAGTATGGAGTATACAGGAAGGCAGCTTGGATATGAATGTGCTTGTAGAGTATAGGCAAGTGGGTTCGTGCGATGGAAATATAGCTGAGTGGTCCCCATTAGACCACGATATAATGTACCGGGACTCTCCGCGCAACTCCCTAGACGTTTGTCCAGATGTTGGGTGAGCGTGTTCGCTACCCAACCAATCGCCGATCGCTGGAGGATGATCCCATCGATCAAGATCCAGGAATCCAAACAGGTGACTCCGATGAGCGCCATATACTTACCGTACGTCGCACCTCGAGTCCGACGATCGTATGTACTATATTGAATGCTCGCCATATGTTTTGGGTTTAGAACTCGAAGGTTGCTACCAGTTGCTTCCGAATCCTAAATTTTATTGTCGAACGCTGAGTTGAACATTTTTTCCGCGGGCAAGTTCCCTCTCGTCTCCGCTTGACCAAATACCGATGGATGCTCGATGCAAAGTTAAGTGCGCCTGACCGAATCTCTCGCCACGGCCTTTCACTTTGTCCACCTCTCAGAATCACTCGTGCGTTGCTGGCAATGTTTAGCAAACGGATAGCAGAGGAGAAGGCCCGACGGAGGCACCGGTCGAAGATGCGTTAGTAGCGCCCAACGATTAAACGACAACTGCGTTCACTGAGCTGACATTCTTGTACAGGGCGTGCACCATGTCATGGGTGGTTCCTCACCCTAGAAGAGTTTAAGGGGCTGGGAATGTTCTTGGAGAACAGACATTAAGTCATTGCTATTTTGTCCGATCTACTTACTTGGAGCCTACGACGAGGCTCTCACTGAAATGAGCACCGGGAGCCCTTCAGGCTTCAAATTGGTACCGCGCCGCAACACAAGACGTTGAGCATCAAGTCTCTGTGACAATACCACAGATAGGCGCGTCAAGTCTCTATCTCGGAGTCTGTGATAATACCACAGGTAGGCGCGTCAACTTAAGGCCCTCAGAAGGTTCACCAAAAGAACAACATGGCGTAAGCACGAGGCGAATTTCCATCTAATTACATCCCACCGACTTCCATGGGAACTGCAGACGAGCGTAACTCGGAGAAGTCGTCCAGACAGCGGCTATCGATGCCATTGAACAACTCGGACGGAGCATTGCCGCAACGCTCACCAGCACGCAAGTATGTAGATGCTGAGTTGGTAGCATGTATCGCACTGGGTGGCCAGCATTGTTGCTGCTAAGTGTTCTTAATGTTCACTGATTCCAGACTCTGCCTGGGTAGTAGTACCCACTCACACGGAAGCCAGCCGCAGTCTATCCGACCGCGTAGCCAGACTGCGTCCGGAGAGTGCGCATGCACGTTGCGCACGAATTCCGGGGTCCAGATAGATTACATTCAACTGCAAGGGCGATGACTCATCGAGAATATGGCATACAACGTCAAGAATATCGATGTCCAGAGAGAAGAACAGGTCGTCCAATAATGTTCAAATCAGGTGGTATCCAATGCGACATGTGGGCCACGCCTTTACCGCACGTATGCCCCGTCCGTGGCACCATAGTTGACGCCAGGTGGAGGCACAGCACTTGACTGGTCGTAGAGGGGCTCGTACTGACCGCTTCCGATGTCTGTGAATCCGTCAGTCTCACAACCCTTGTAACGAATATGTAATATGCACGTACAACGGAAGCCACCGCGACCATACCGCTCTTCGGCCTGCATCTTCTTGTAGATCAACCAGAAGGCATGCTGGAATTGTCATGAGCAAGATTAGGAGTCCAGGTACACCATCACTTACAAGGTGACCAGGGAGGTATCCAAGGCTGACGGAAGGGGTCAGCTCAAATGCATCGAACGATAGTAGAGTGATATTCACATCGTCAAACAGATATTGATGAGGAGGTCACAGCTACAGCCCGTGATCATCGCCGCCGCTGCAGGCGGGAAAATGATAGCAATCTACGACAACGCAAACGTAGCCATTAGAAGACCATCCCCCTGGTCACAACCTCAGCACTCCGTCGCTCACCAGGATCAAGCAAATGTCGGAGCCGCGGACAGGCATTGTGAATATGAGGCGGATGAACTGAACAAAGCCAAGAGGTTGGTATGGGTTCGGATGGCTTTTGAGAGCCTGCGAGTGGATGCGTAAGTACAGGAGCAGTACAGGAGAGAAACGCAACAGCGCAGTGGGTGGCAGCCACCTTATAACCGCACTGCGGGCGCGGCTGGGGTGACGTAGGGCGGAGCCGTGGGCGCTTTCGAACCGATCTGACGTGAGGCGAACCGATGCGATTGCTGGCGCGTCGACACTTCGATCGTCTGTGTGGGCTCGAGCTCACCGAGTCACGACGATGTAAGTACCGTCTTCCTTCGTAGGTCCTGTGAAGTCACACTGCGACCCCGGCCTATACGTTAGCGACTACAGTAGAATGTCGTACCGAAGCACTTCGGCTAATCAGCGCCTTTTACTCCAGTAACGTTCTCAGGGCCAGCTCCAGCCGTGATTTCCTAGCAGTCTCGCACTGAGCAGGAGAAGTCAAACACTTCTACTTCTACTGATTTAGACGTCCACCTCGATGGCCTCGTCACAAGGAATGTCTGACGTGTCAAAGTGAGTAGTCAGATGCAATTCTGAATGGCGACCAAACATCTGATCTACACACAGGGCTAGGGACTCGATTGACAAAGGCTGGCGTGACGATAAATCTCCCACACGCTTTGTTACGCCTTCGTGTGTTTCCTCATGCATCGCATGTGTACATGCATGTCTGTGTGTTCCTGTTAACAGTTGCAAACCCAGAGTCCCTTCCTATCTATGTCCAGTAATCAATGGAGAGGTACGCATCTCCCTCTGCCAGTGGTGATCTGCCAAACTCCCGTGGCTATAACCTCAGCGACCACACAGCTACGGAAATAGGCCCCTTCAATTCATTCTCTTCAAGTTACCGCTCTCAAATTAGCCCTGCAAACAGCTCCGCTGGGGGTGGGCCGGCCCGGACTGAAATCAGAAGGTTCGTTATTGTGTCACTTGATCGAGTCCTGGAGAATCTCACTCTCAGACCTCCAAGAAGTGATTGGCCGGAAGCAACGGAAATGACACGCTCCCTTGTTGCGTCTCGTATAAAGGTCGATTGGTCCGTGACAATGTCCCTCTACCGAGCTCATTGCGGCCCTCCACAATGGTGTCGGGAAGCTGGACGTCGTGGTTTTGCTCATTCCTAGCGGTTACGCATCTGTCCGCCACGCTCGCGTTTGCGCTAGCGTTCGACCGCGCAGCATGCCAGTACCCAACGGACGACCCTCTCGAGAGCTGTCCATCCGACACGCTTCTCGTCGGTCCCTCCGGAAACTTCAGCACCATCCAGTCCGCGGTGCTGAGCCTTCCCAACGATACGACTCCATACATCATCCTCGTCGAGTCCGGCAACTACACCGAACAAGTGAATGTCACGCGTCCGGGACCGCTCTACCTCCTGGGCCAGACGCGCTCGCCCAACGACCGCACGCAGAACACCGTCGCGGTGTATTGGGCGGCCATCGCGGGCACTGGGGACAACGCATACACTAGCACGCTCACCGTCGCACCGACGCTCAATGCCAGTCTGACTGGCTCGGGCCCGACGGGCAACCCGGTACCTCCTGGGACCCCGTTTGGCAACACGGACTTCAGGGTGTACAATATGGACTTCATCAATGACTATGCACCGTACTCCGACGACCCGAGCTTGGCCGTGAGCGTCAGCTACGCAAACACCGGGTTCTACTACGCTGGGTTCTATAGTTACCAGGATACGGTGAGACAATTATCCTTGTGTGTGATGTCACGGAAACTCATCCTTCACTACCATACAGGTATATATCGGCAAGCTCGGAAACGGGTACTTCTACGACAGCGAAGTCGCCGGCCAGACTGACTTCTTCTACGGCTTCGGGACTGCCTGGGTGCAGTCGTCCCTCGTAACCCTGCGTGGCTGCGGAGGAGGCATCACAGCGTGGAAAGGCACCAACACCACCTTCGAGAATAAATACGGCATTTACATCCACGACTCCGCCGTCATCAAGGCGAATAACAGCCTGAGCATTGCTGGCCAGTGTGCGCTCGGCAGGCCATGGGTACGTCCCATTTTTACAGCTATCGTTGACTCAGCTCACTCTCCCTACCCCACCACCCAGAACGCCCAGATGCGCGCGATCTTTGTGAACAACTACCTGGACGACAGCATCCGGCCCGCAGGGTACATCGAATGGCAGAGCACGGACCCGCGGATCGACTATAACACGACGATGGGCGAGTTCTACGATGTTGGACCTGGCTTCAACCTCACGGGCAGGCTCGATGGCGGTGTGACGACGCTGCTGACACCGGAGGAATACGCGGCGTATGCGACCGTCGAGCAGGTGTTCCAGTACCCGTTCAGCGGGGAGTACGGGAATGTGGGGTGGATTGACTTCGCTCCGTGGAGTTAGCGATTGGTGAAGATGTATCCTCAATCACTGCCCGTTGCGAGGCCAGCATGAAGATGTCTACGGTCCACACATGCAACCACAGTTGATTATCATAATATAAACCAAGTACGCTGTGACATTCCTCCGCACGAGCCTGTCTCACGACCATGGCACTTGTGACGACCGCGTCTATCTGTCACGTCCGAGGACGAATGATTTGAAGTTGCTGCCTTCGTTCTTCAAAGCTTCATGATCAGGCTCCCGCGAATTGACTTGTCGTCTGTCTGGGGTCGATTTCGACTGATAGCACAGTACAGAAGCACTACTTCGTATGCTTCCATGTACGAAGTAGTGCTTCCGTTTAGGTGCTGCAGCATGGTATGCTCCAGGTTTGCTTTTGACTCGTGACCGTATGTCAGGATTCACGAATCCTGCAGCCTACCAACTTACATGCCTTCGCTTGTGCGAGTTACGAGTGCACCTGCATGCATCGTGCAACGTCACGCTGTTGGGGGAAGTGCATGCGGCTGAACTCTAAAGCATAGCTTCAACGTACAAGAACAAACGGAACGTACGGCCACCCTGATCGAAGGCATCTACGGGCGATGGGGCGATGGCTCAGGCTGCCTGAGCGCGAGTGGCCAGATGCGCTCCTATGCTCATTCTCATGATTGCCATACATACCACAAGACATGCATGTCCCCGGAGTCACCGGGCGCAATTGTGAGAGATGGCGATGGCGCCTATCTGCTCCTATCGACTGGAAGACGTCCGGTGAGCGTTCTCATCCATCCAGTGGGTGTGGCGGAATACACTCAGACTCAGATATGGTTCATTCGTTGCTCCTCTGCAGAGACAGCGTGCATATATGTGCATATTGCTCTCCGGTCCTGTCAGTGAACGGGTGTGAATTGCCGCATCGCGGCCCACTGGAGGTACTATCACTAGCGCTTGTAATGGTGCATGTTTACAGCTTCGTCCAGATGTACCACGGGGAAGCATCCTACCAGTGATTGTTTTGTGCTGAGGCACTGTTCCCAATCATATCCCATGAGAAGAATCGGACCTATCTAACCACACATCGATGTCTTATATACTTACAGCACTGCAACTTCCCGGCGGGCCCGCCTTACACCCCCATCCGTGTCCCACCACTCCCATCCGTTCCGATCGAACCTCGTCCCTCGAAGATGGGAGAATACGACTCTACGTATGGAGCTGCGCACCTGGGTGTATGCATAGCGTGCATGTGCGCCTGCCCGTCATCTATGTTGGCCCACGCTCATGCGCGAGGCGATGCAGCTTGTACGGAGTGACGAACCTGCAGACGTTCCTCTATTTCAGAACCTTTCCCGATGATAAGCTATGGCATAAAGTGGGCGTGTTCTGGCTTTGGTGAGACCGAATTGTCCTCCGAGTCGATGTGGCGTCACGTTTATGATTGCTGATATATCGCCCCAGGTTTCTGGACACAGTCCATATCGTACTGTGCGTATACATGGTGTACTACTATGTTATCACCGAGTTCGGAAACGAGTTTGCGCTTCTGACGCTAAATTGGAGTATAAAGGTGTGCCCTTTGCTTCTGTGCGAATGCAGCTCATAGACCGGATCGGGTTTTCATTTGTACTTAGGCGCAACTGATCGTGGAGGTATGCCGATGGTTTACTTCCTACCAATAGCTCTCATTGTCTGATGATCTGCGAAACATCTGTAGGCTCTCGTCATCTCCAGCGCACAGACGTGAGTACTCAACCACTCCTGCGCCACTTCATGCTCACAAGTGCGATCTAGTCTTTATACTATACGCATCTGGAAACGTAACTCGACCTCTTCTCTTACTAGTAATGAGTCTGAATGGTCGTCCATAGTCGATGCGTCGATCCCGCGCGAACTCGGAGACAGAGGTAGCAAATACCGCATAGTCCCTGGTATCGTCGTATGTGTCTCCGGCCATTATCCAGGGCGTCTCTCACGCATGGTTGCTGCTCACTCTGCAGATCGTAGCTCTCCTGTCTGGTTATGGTGTGTCTGATCGCGTGGTTGTCTCAGTGCCAAATTGACGACAATTTGTAGCTTGTAGTCTTGGTAAGCCCGGGCCCTCTCGTAGCTGCCTATCCCACTGCTGACATCATGCGCATATGATCATTCAGTCTTCTGCTATGAAATGTAAGCAAGCACACTCCTGCCGCTCGTGTTGTCGTGCTGACCCTCGGTGTTCCTAGTCCTCGCCACAGCTATATAGCGGATTTCTTCGGGAGAGGACTCGTATGTCTCAGTATCTTGACTTTTTGAGCATGGAGTGTCTCACCACCGCTCACCGCCACCGCCCAGTGGATCACTTACTATGCGGACATCAACGCAGCAGTCGTGGATGCAGTAATCGCCGGTGCTCTGTGTTACCTCCTTGCGCGCTGTCGCACAGGCTACACGAGGTACGCTATCTTCCCCATTACCCACTACCCAATTCTCCATATACTGACACGCTGGCGTTCCACAGAATGGACTCGACCCTCGGTTGGCTGATGTTCTACATACTCAATACAGGTGTTATCACCTGGTGTGTTTATATTGTTGCGCCGTATGACCAACGAGTAACCATACTTTCTTGCAGCATTTGTGCAGTCATCACCGTGATCATGGTGCGCAATCCCGAAAGATCGAACTTATGACATGCTTCATGCCCTCGTCTTTTAGGTGAAAACCTTGCCATATACCTTCGGTGTAATTGCCGCACAAGTGATACAAACAAAACGTACGTAGGCACGGCCTCGCCGTCACTGCACCACTAAAGCTTACCAAAACACTTACCAGTATACGTCAACTCCTACCTCGCCCTGTAAGTCCTCCCAGTTTCCACATCTAACAGTCGTTCACCTTCCTCTTCCACCCGTAGTACCAACGCCCGTAGCTCCCTCCGCCTCCAAAACCACCGACGTGCCCTCTCCATTGAATACATGCTCCGCCCCATCGGGCCCCCAAGTACGTCGCGCCGCTCAGACAATAGCATCAACACCGGGAAGGACCCACTATTCCCCGAAGAGAGCCACACGGCTGGGTCGAACGCTCGTGTCGAGCTGTCGCCAGTCCTACATCGCAACAGTACTATCTATATTGGAGACGACAAGAAGGCGACGATGGCGGAGGAGAACGTATGAGTCCGAAGGAGACGACTGTACGCGACGGGCTGTGAGTGTATTATACGATGCACACAGCTGCACGGACAGATGGCTGTATGATCACGACCTGTGTACGACCTGTGTATGACCCACGTACGTATGTATTGCGACACGCGAACACTTCCACCGACTCGATTTACATACGGAATGCATGTTTCGATGTCAACGACTTCTCGAGGGCAGTGTTTGCATGAAGGACTTCCATGGACATCATAGAAGGTCACAGCGGTGCAGCAGACAACGCAACTCCGACGGCCTCAGACCAGTTGCCAGCATACGAAACGTGCAGGTACGTAGTCGAGGTAGCTCCGGGCCTTCCCACACATGATGACCGGCTACTGCGAGAGATGGTAGATGGGACTGATAGTGGCATAGGCAGGCCCAGCAAGAATCCAGCCACAGCGACAAAGGTTAGCAAGGAGCCGGAGTGGATGCGACAGCATCCGGGGTAGCATAACTTTATCTCTGAGCGCCGGAAGAGCGCTGAAGACGTAGGTTCAGCGGCAATAGAGGGAGTCGAATGTGGTCGTGGCGTGTGCGTTATTTTGACGTATGACTGAACCACAGAGAACAAAGATAGAATATCCTATAGAAGGGCCTCTGGGTCAGCCTCCAATCGGGAAGCTTTCGGACGACGCACCTTTTGGCAATAACCGCGGAGCAGTGGGTGTGGCCCGAAGGACTAAGCTGACGTGCAGTCCGCACTAACCAATCCGCACAAAATAAAACACGCTGTATTCAGCATGGGGACCGCGATGCCTGAGTACAGGCACACTGCACGCCCGATATGATCGTAGTCTCGAGGTCATGAACTCGTGCGTTGCGGACGACGAGCAGGTTCATTGTGGGTTACATTGAGTGCACATTGTATAGTCGGCGGTGCTGCAATGCCAGGCCTCTAGTGTTTTGCCTCCTTCTCCGCGTCATCGATGAACTTCTTGATACTGTCCATCCTAATCAGTTGAAGAAAGTCCGTTCAGGGCATACAAGGATGCATGACACTCACAACTGCTCCTCCTCGCTGTATGGCGGAAGAATACAACGCGTGAACTCAGCGAATTCACATCTGAGGCAACGCGTAGATGACGCACCTCGAGCCAGCGTTGAACTTCACAGTCTCCTTGACCGTCTCGATGGCCGACTTCCCTGAGCTCGGGGGCGCTGCCTCCTTCTTACCACCCGTGGAAAGCAAGCCCACGCCGACCGCGGTCGCGAGGGTGCCAATGGCGAGGTATTCGCTTTTGATGGCTCTGCCGAGGATAACGCTGCGAGGAAAGTCAGATCCCATCAGCCATTGAGGGCAGCGGGACGCACTAAGACATGGTGGCTAGGAAATTGTGCGGAGGACGCTGCTGGCTGAAGACGACAGCGAGGACGACTCCGGCTCGCACGCCCGGCAACTGCCGACCCGGTTTACCGCGTCGGTGGCTGCGACTCGGTGCACGTTGAACCCAGGTTGTCGCCAACAAGGGCTATACCATATTCATCTTCATCGTCTATGCGTCCAGACATGATTTCATTACCTTCATTATGACATGGAATTACTGTGAATTGCCCAAACCGCTGCTTGCATCGTTCTCTGCGCGCGGTGCGGCAGTGCTGAGAAGGATAAGTAGAATTGAACACTGTTCGGGGCATGCTCGGTAAGTGATGTTTGACCTGTACATTTTCTGCAGCGTTCTAACCCAACGGCGGGGCACGTACTTTCCCGGAACAGTGTATAAACTTCCCAAGTTCACAGCACCACGGCTTCCTAGCCTTTCACGATCTGGATGCATGCATATGCACCATCTCCAACTTCAAGCGATGATACATACACGGTCAGCTTTCGTAACTGTTGACGGTCGCCCATGGGAATAACATATCGTTGTTACGTCCATTGGCATACCGCCTCTTGAACATTGCCTGTTTACAGTGCAGTGTTGAGTTCGCTATGAGTGGCTCATTTCTGGTATGCACAGCCAGCACAAACACTCGTCAGAGTATTGAAAGGGTAAGCCGGGCGCATATTCCTCTTCTGCTTATGACCGACAGTGTTGGGCATGGATCCGGGACGGCCTCACGCGGCGCCTCCGAAAATTAAGGTGCGGGATGTTCTTGGCAATTCGTATCGTTCCGGTTCCTTGTCTACGGCATCACAAACCAGGACCAACTTGTGGGTTGCACGATTGCCGAAGCCCGCGATTGCCTTTTCGGTTGTCGGACCCCTATATGAACGGTGCGAAGTCGTCAACTCCTTCGCCTCGATTTTTTTCCAACATGAGGTCTCATAGTTGATCTGCCCGCATTAGGGTTTCCCTCTTAGGCACCACGCACCGATCGATGAACATAAGTTCGAGTCGTCTTCGCGTGGGTAGCGCGGATGGACAGCGGCTAGTCCATACCAGGGCCGATTGCAGTGTAACATCCGTCGCAAACGGGCAGAAAATGCCGCTCGAGGCCAGCGGCCATGTCTGTCACTCTTTGACAGCCCTCTCGATCACACGGTTAGTGTCGGCATCGCCACAGCCGGCGCCCTCAGCCCCTCCTGCTCGGACGAGAAGAAGTGGAGGGTCTCCCATCGTGTCGTGCTACTGGAGTTGCACCTCATGCATTCGAGTTCTTCTCGCATGCGAACTCGGGTCATCGGGCCACATCGACGTATCAGCGCCCGCCTCGACACAATCCGCTCGTTGCGGACGCCACGTGATGGTGCATGAGGCGACCGTACTGCCAGGCCTGACGGGAGCGGACCTCATGCACTCGAGATCTCAAGGCGAGATGCGTATGCAGTCGGAGGCGCGCCCCAGCTTGGCATCTGTCCATCCCCGGTCTGTTTCCTCCGACATGAGCCTGCTGTACGCGGGCGCGTCTCGGGCCTTTACAAGGCCTTAAGGTAAACGTTGACGCGTCTTGCGTGTCCGCTCCTCTTTCCTTCGACCCTCGTCATCTTCCGTCTGACTTTGGCCCGAGCCCTTCGTCGTATCGCGTGCGCCGGGCAGTCCCCTCCTTTTGTGTGCCCGCCATGTTTTTGCACCGCCACGCCCTCTGTGCAACATTGCTCTCCCTGGCCAGCGCCGCATTGGGATACGAACTTATCCATGACTACTCAGGAGATACCTTTTTCCAGGGATGGGACTACTACGGCAAGTGGGACAACCTGACGCTAGGTGAGCGTCCACTGCGCCGCAGGGGTGATCAAGTCTGATGTGACCCAGGAAACGTCACCTACCTGTCGCAGGAGGCTGCGACGCAGCAAAACTTGACCTACATCAACAGCGCGGGCAATGCGATCATCAAGGTTGACAACTTCACCACAGTTTCTAAGGGTGAACGGCGCAACTCTGTACGTTGACGGACTACCGGTAACAATTGTCTCGCTCAATTTCTCGCTCCGCCAGATCCGTCTTACATCCGAGGAATTCTACGACTTCGGTACTGTCTGGATCATCGACGCAGTACACTTGCCATGGGGATGCTCTGTCTGGCCTGCGTTTTGGAGCACAGCACCTGACTGGCCGGTTGGTGGCGAGATCGGTAATTTCACTCCGTTGCCTCGACCATAACATTGACTGACAGGAAATGCTACAGATATCATCGAGGGTATCAACAATCAGCTCAACGACCAGTTTGCCATCCACACGACTGAGGGTTGCTACCACGACAAACCGCCAAATCAAGTCGGTTTCAACATTGACACGAATTGCAGCATGGGGTCAGGATGCACCGTGGGCATGACCTCCCAGAACAGTTACCAAGCTGGGTTCGCCACTGCTGGAGGCGGTGTATATGCCACACAGTACGACGTCTCTGGTATCTAGTGAGTTCTTCCGATCAAGTCGTCAGAGGCGCACAAACTGACAAATTGACACTAGCATGTGGTTCTGGAGCGTAAGTTTGTTGGATGTTATTCGGAACGCAATGGCGCTGAACCATTCCTCCAGCGGCCGGACGTTCCTTCCTCGCTCAGCGCTTCTTCGACGGGCATCAACATCTCTGAATGGGGTACCCCGATGGCCAGCTTCCCTAACGACCAGGCGTGCAACACGACGAAGTTCTTCAAGCCTCAACAGCTCATATTTGACATCACGCTCTGTGGCGACTGGTAGGTTTCGATTGTCTAAGTATAGCCCCTGCAAGTCCTCATGATCGGGTTCCCGTGAACAGGGCGGGCGTCCCGGGTATCTACGACTCACAGTGCTATAATGCGGGACCGAACCACGATTGCGTGAGTCACGATCGTATGCCGCTCGCGGAAGCAGCACTGACACGAGTCCGATCCGATGCAGTACCTGGACAACGTTGTAGGGAACGGAAGCAATTACGACGAGGCGTACTTTGAAGTCTCCTACGTCCGCACGTACGCCACCGGAGCCGCGCTCGCAGCCGCGCAAGCGAGCTCGAGCTCGAGCGCCGCGCCCTCAGCCACGCAGTCAGACCCCTCCTCGACGAAGACGCAGACGTCAGACGCGACGTTGCCTGGCATTAGCCTGCACGGCGTGCTATTCACGACGATGTGCGTGGGCGGCCTTGTTGTGGGCAGCGTGCTGCCGTTGCTGTGACATTGACCTTGAGGGATTGGCGACTAAATATACCGCCCTGCACATTCTCGGACTTCTCTGATCGGTATACTTCATGTGCACATACCCACCCATCCACAGCATGCTTACGACCTGCAGATGACCTCCGCCTTCCTCACGCTCCTTCCTAACTTAACTGATTAACTGTACGTTACTCCTCTTGTGGACTTTTTAGTGGCCGGGTTCGTGCCACTCACAGACTGTCTGGTGTATTACCTTATAATTTGTCATGTTGGGTTTCAGGCTGCTTGTCAACAATGTTGTATTCGGCGTACGTTCTAACATTCCCTTGCGACGCACGCGGACACGCGTCCGACGTGAGCGTCACTCTCACCACTCGTGTCACCCTCGTGCAGAGCTGGGTACAATCACCTCGTATCACCGCCGTGCGGTAACTTAGTTTCCACCGTGCGGTTGCGCCGCGCGTAACTTACGTCTATTCCCAATCTATTCCCATCTCCCTCAACAGGCGTTCTGTGGTATCCCACAACTCTCGCGCCAACACTGGGTTCCGTGCATCCGGGTGAGGGGGCGCTCCGATGCGCCCAGGAGGCAGCAGATACGCTGCCTTGTAGCGCTCTGTCTCCTGTCGCACAGCTGGCGCAGCGGCAGCGAAGACGGATGTGAAGGCGCCGCGTGTGGGCGGTGTCCATAGCGCACGGATGAGAAGGGACATGACGTGGGAGATGCCTGGTGGTTGCGATGCAGCGTCGTTCTCCACGCCACCTGTTGTGCCGATGCGGTAAGTACGTGGACATCACAGCGGGAATGGAGCGATGGTGCGATAGCCGGCGAGGTGAGACGGAGCGCGGAGAGCGGCTGGGAATCAACGTACCGGTGCGCACCAGGCCTGGGTCCACGGACAGCGCGAGGATGGGGACGCCTGCCTCGTCAAGACGCCGTTGCAACTCGGTTGTGAAGAGGACGTTCGCGAGCTTGCTGCGGCCTGCGCCTGCGTTTACTGCGGTTCATGAGCCGAGAGAAAGGGCGAGGCTCACAGTATCTTGCGAGACTAGGGCCTGGGATTATGTCCCACTTGTGCTCGTCGTTGAAATCGTCTCGATTGCGGAAACGGATTCCACGCTTGAGGAAAGCAATGCCTCCGGATGTGATCTGGTAGCAAATACACGACAATCAATCGGGTGTCGCGCCTCATCGTGCGTACGATCGAATGCTGACATTGACGATGCGGACGTCGCTGGCCGGGTTCACGGCGGTTTTGGCGAGAAGCGGCAGGAGGGTCATCGTGAACACAAAAGGCCCGATGTGACTATTGCTCCTCAGTTTTGGTTTGAAAAGATGAGGATACATGGGTACATACTTGACCATCATGGCATCCTGAATATCTGGGCGCCACCAGGTTGTAAATCTTCTGATTCTCGCCGCAGTCGAAGGATGGCAGGGCGGGCGTACCATGTTTCGTCCTCGCATAAGGGCCGCGCGGCCTTGACGTAGTTTCACCTTCAGTCTGTTCTGTAGCTAGACATGCAGACTCACATAGCCGCGTTGTTGACTACGAGAAACAACGAATCAATCGTGCATCATTTTTCGAGGAACATCTGCGATGCCAAGACATACTCAACACATCCAGGCGATCCTCCTTAGCTAGGAGGACCCTCGCCGATTTCTGCGCCAAAACAGGGTCGCTGAGGTCAAGCTGTAACCACAGCACTTGGCCATTCCCGGGAGCAAGTCCTTCGGCGTGCAATCGCTCGATGGCCTCCTGTGCCTTTGTCTCACTCCGAGCGGCCATGTATACCTTTGCGCCGTGACGAGCGAGATGTTGTATTGTGGCGTATCCGATGCCTCCGCTACCGGTAGCATGCTCTGTAGTTAGCTGAAGACTTCCTGATGAAACGCATAGCGATTTGATATAATGCTCACTTTCCACCGGTGACGACCACGACTTTGTCCGCAAGAGGCGGGACGTCACTGGCATTGTCGGGATCGAAAGGTCGACTCGTGTCTGAGCTCATTCTTTGTCAATCGACAGAGATGATCGCCTCATAGAAGGCGGCTGCTAGACTGCGAGAGCCTGAGAAGATGCATGCCATGCCCGGCGGCCGCCATCGCATTCAGCAAGGATTCGAGATACTCAGGCGTTGGATGGGTGAACTGGGTCTTCAGCACGCTACGTCGACAGATTTTCCTCCTTCTATAGATCTGATGATGTATCGAGGATTATGCTTATGATGATTGAGAAAGACGGTGAAATAGCTGGACGGAACCACTGCGGCCAGAGGTGCGGTTGTGTTCATGCGTTCACGCGGGTTCACGGTCATGTGATCGGATTATGAGCGCGTCGCGGTGCAGTTCCGGTGCGACCGCCTGTGTTACAGTGTGTACTGTATTCGATTGGCGGCACAATCGTCTGGGAATCGTGGAGAGACTTTGGGATCGCTCGGCCAGTCGGGAATATTGGAATACATCGCCCAAGCGAGGCGTCAGGGATATCGGATCGACTCTGCGACCGATGGGCTCTCCGGAGTGGGGTACTATCGGGCACAGCTCCCAGATACATGCCCGTTAACTCCTGAGATGGGTCTCGCAGAATATTTGAACGATGAATCGAAATGTTTAGCCATGAAAGTGCATACGCGGGTGATCGAACATCGTAAATGTAGTTTGAGAGTGCTGAACCCTCAGGGAGTGAGAAGTCGATTTACGACCTACAACTGTCTACAGCGTAGGCTAAAATACGATGATGGCCGTAGAAAAGCTGTGGTCCAGCCTATTTGCAGCGTAAGTTACCGGCCGAAGTCTGAGCAAGAACAGAGATCAGGAGCATAGCACTTACATGTGAAATATCAATACATATTAGTCAGATAAGTCCACAAAAAGAAAAGATCGCCGCCTCCCTATACTGGCAACTCACAAAGTGTCAATGATGCCTAATAGTCTACTGCTTATTTAAATTGCACGGCTGAGGCCTTGTTTCTGAAAAGCGCGTCCGCATTCTTGTGCACCGGCTTGGCCTCTAACCACCACCCTCGCTCCTTCTCATAACCCCCAGCTGCCGCCTTCCCGCCTCTTCCCAGGAGAAGCCTCGACGATTCGACTTCCCCCGAATTCCCGCATTTCGCCGCTGATCGATATACGAGGCTCTGTTTCGCCGACGCCCGCTTGCGCGTCTTCAGACAGCATCCTCCTATCGGACGACCTGGTCGTTACTCGCATGGTCTCTTCGCAGCCGCCATCCATCTCCAGGCCTACTGTGTCGTACGCCGACCGCGCAAAGGGCCTGCAAGTCGCAAGGGCAAAGAATGGTCCCACTATTCCACGGCCTCCTCAGCCGCCAAGTTCGGCGAGCAGTACATCTGGAACCACCGCAAGCACGAACATGATCGCCTCCAAACCAACACCGCTCCCGAGTGTAGAGACTCCTACGCCATCCGCCACCCATCCGAGCTCGAGCTCACATCCACTTCCTGCGCCGGCTACAACCATCATGAACGGTGACGTAAAATTACCCTCTGCTGACTCGCCGCGCTCGGCACCGCAGGACGAGGTAGCATCCACATCTAGTCCTGCGCAAAAACTTGCGCCTCCTCCAACGAATGTTTGGAACCGCCGCATGGAACAAATGGCACAAACCCGGGCGAAATCTGGTCAGGCCTCCTCGCAGCCGCCACGGCCCCCACCCAGTCCTCAGAACCCTTCTCCCAGTCCCCAAAATACTCACCAGGCTGCGGCTTCTTCAGGTTCCACGCTACAGAATGTTACAAATAACGCACAGGCGCCGCCGGTGATTGTGGCGAACGGCACGAACAACGGTCACAGGCAGCATCAGGGTGACGCGTTCGTCGTGCGACCACGGACGCGCGTCCCTCTCGTGGACGACGTTGAGAGCTGGCCGGAGGTGGGGAAAGCCGTGAGTAGCGGGAGTGGGCAGTCTGACCCAGATCATAGTGCGAAGGGGCAAGAGAAGGGAGACACAGAGGGCGAGCATACATCCGCGCCGACACGGAAGAGTGCGTCTCTCATCTTTCAGAACGTTGTCCGCCCCTCAGTCCACGACCGCTTCCCTTTCGCGCTGTGAGGTATTGTGCGGACGTTACTGCGCATCGATACTGACGGCGGACCGCGCTGTTCTTCGTAGGTGAGAAGCCAAAATGGGTACCTATCCCGGCTACCGAGCTGCAGGCTGCGCACGATGCGCAACAACGCGCACAGAATATACGCAATCGCTCTTCGCAACATCTCAACGCGCACCCGCGATCTTCGAACCAAGGTTCCAGCTCGGCATCAGGGTCAGGGCCAGGCTCTCAAGGGCAGAGTCGAACGCAGTCTGTCGCAGGAGGGGCGCGCCAGTCCGCGTCGGGCTCGCATGCAGGTTCTGTCTCGCAATCGCAGACGCAGAGCAGGACGGGCAGCACACAGTCGAGCCCGCCTGGTGCATTCGCCCGTGGCGGGCGGCGCCTGCCGGAGGAAAGCATGACGTACCCGGCAGGCGCGAGTCGCAGCATCAGCATGCGTTCGTCGCGAACAGGCTCGCCCCAGACCTTCCACCCTACGCTCCCGCCCCCGCCTGAAGCCGTCGCCAGCACGTTGGGCTACCGCGGGATCCCGCCCAGCCTGGGGAGACGAGGGTCCGGTCAAGGCGAGCAAGACCAGACAGGAATTCCTCCGTATTACGTGCCCATGCCGCCGAGATCTTATCACTCGCCCCATCCGTCCGACTCGCCTGCTCACCCACCATACGCGCTGCCCCCGATCGCTCCTGTACCAACATTGTATTCTACGCCTGGGCTCCAGCCGCCGCAGTCGGTGCCTTTCTCCGGGACGCCGCCCTATCCGATGTATTCGCCATACGGCTATCCGTACCCACCGTATATGTTTTGGCAACCTGGCACGTCGCCAGTTGCCCCTGAGGGCGTTCCACCACCCATGATGCTTGGTCGGCCGCCTCTGTCCGGAGAGAACGAGAGTACGGCATTGTATCGCGAGCCTGGGTTCGTGCTTCCACCTCCTGCATCGTACGTGCGCCCGGCGGACCAGCAACCACAGGCAGGGGGAGCAGAGGCAGCGCGGCGCCGTGGAGAGGGGCAGGAGGACACGGGAGTTGAGCTTTGGGACCATAGATGCGGAGGTTGAGGCCGGTCAGCCTGATGAGGAGTTGGGCGTGTTAGGGCTTCGCTTGACCAGCGAGGAACCGCAGGAGGCGACAACCACCAAGCCAACACCACCATTTGCTATAGGCGTCGCCCCAGGTGAGACGGGACCTGCGCGCATACGTCGCGTACCCATTCCAAAGGTCGTACGCTCGTGTCGGTGATGCCATTCCTGCGGTCGCAAGGTCCGTGTCGGGACACTCGGATCCACCGGCTCCGCCAGGAGAGGCCGCCCCTGGTGAGCGGGACCCGGTGGAGGAATTGAGCTCGCTGTGAAGGTCATCGACCTGACGGAGCCTGGCGAGACGAAGTGGGAGTTCGGCACGACAAGTCAGGATGAAGCTGAGGTTATTGCTGAGGTGGGTCCCCGACCGGCTCATGTCAATGGTACAGTGCAGCCTGCACCGTCACACCCTGGTCCAGCGCTTGGTGTCACCAGGATGGACGCGGTCCCGCCGCCCTTCGTCCACCCGTCCGCTTATGCACCTCCGCCCACCTTGCCTCCGATCATAACCACCACGAACGGTCTCGCACCCGCACACTCGCCTTCTATGCGGGCGTCGGCACTGCCGCCTCTGTCCGCTTCCGATGTGGGCCAGAGCGATGACCTGCGGGTCAAGGACTACGGGTACGGCTTCGGTCGGAAGAACTACGGACCTCTCTCTGCGGGCGGTGAGCGGCGCGACTGGCAGGGTGAGCGTCCGCCGGAGAGGGAGTACTACGGCCGCTCAAGGCGAGGATCGTTCGGAGGCTACGGGTATGATCGTGGCGGCCACGAGCGGGGCGGGTACCCAGGGCGTAGGGGCCGTGGGGGCGGCCGTGGCTACGAGGGAAGAGGCACGTACCATGCACGAACACATTCCAGGGGCGGCGGATACCAGGGCCGCCAGCCTCCTTTCTCGGCTCAACAGCCGGCGTCAGTGCAGACCGACGTCAATGGGTACTACGCGCCGCCGCCTCAGGGAACTACGTACTACTCTCCGGCGTACGAGCCTTATGCCGCCGGCTACCCCGCTCCGCCTGCGAATCCGCCCATACTGCAGAACATGCCTTCGGGCGCGCCCCTGCCCATGCCGGTGACGCCGCTGTCCTTCCCACTGGACTCTGTACGGTACTACCTTCTCGGCCAGCTGGAGTACTACCTCAGCACGGACAACATGGCGCAGGACTTCTTTCTGAGGCAGCAGGTAAGTGAGCGCGATTGATGGCCCTCGCATGACACTGATCGCTCGCTCCGCAGATGGACTCCCGCGGGTGGATATCAATACCGCTCCTCGCGTCGTTCAAGCGCGTGCAGCAGCTGACGACGAGCTTGCAGCTCGTGAAGGACGTGCTTGCCCTGTCTAGCCTGGTCGAGGTCAGAGACGACCATGTCCGCATGCACCAGTGCGCGCAGTTTATCTTGCCCAACGCGCCTGAGAGCACTGTGGAGGGTACGGATCAGCCTCAGGGAGGTGTATCAGACACGCCCCTCACGAACCGACTCCAGCTCTTGCCTATGATGGGAGCTTTGCGACTGTGCACGGAGAGGAGCCTGAGGAGGAAGAGGAAGACGTCGTCTTCGTCTTGGAGCGCCCCGCTGCGGAGGCCTGACGCTAGTTGTGGACAGGTCGCTACTCGATATTTGGACTGGCGGGCGTGCAGCTGAAGCATCCCGCCCCTAGTCTTCGCTGGTCATGGGCGTCGGCAACGCACGCACGCTGCCTCCTGACTCTCACGGACCACGACCAAAACCTGCGCGTACACGTACCTGCGCATCATCTTTCATAGACTTCATCGGGATGGTCGACGATGGCCACCGCCTCCGTCGGCCCACGAAAGAGCATCAAGGATGCACCCTCGGACCTCGCTCCCCCGTCTCGGTTTCTCCCCGCTCGGTCTGCTATCGGTACTGCAGTGTGACAAACTATCGCACGGGCCTCGAATGCCAATGATCTCATCGCATACATCGCATATCCACCGCTACTAAGCTATCTCCCCCTCTTCTTGGGCACCCGTACTCATATTCTCCATGTCCTGTCATGCATGTCGGTCGCGGTACGTGTATTCTCTGCTACGATACTCAGCCCATCTTGACCACGATCGTTGCCGTATTACTATTCTCCGCTGTGCATAATAATCACTGTGTTTTCTACGGGCCATCCGGGCGTTCTGCGGTGGCGGGTTGAGTGATCGACCGACGACCACTGTGGCTGTCGGCCGCCGGGAGATGCGGTGGTTCATTTACTCGGCTCGTCGTGCGCTTCGTATCAATCGACGAACGCCGCGGAGGCGTAAAGCTCCGCTCCTTGACGACCACCTAACGACCACCGTGCAATTGAGACGGGCGCTCAAGCGTTCGCTCGCTCTCGGTGGCCACTGCTTCCGCTCACGACGTAGCTGGATTTGGACACCCCCTCGTAGGCTTTTGCTCTCACAGGACGTCGGCACAACATAATGTCTGTTCCATTCATCGTACTAGTAAGAGCGAATACGGATCGCCCGTGGTTCCATTACTCTGCAATCATTCAGGGGCTTGGGCTGATTGGATCCGTTCTTCCTGGCTCTGCGCCTCAGCTTGGGCCATGCATTCGCGGTCCGCCATCAAGTCGCTGTTGTGGACGTGGGGGCGTTCTGTCGAAGCTGGCAGCATGCGGCGACTCTGACATCGACGAGCGTCCATGCTGCGTGCTGAGCGCTGAGCAGTGAGTTGCGATTGTTGCTCGTCCTGCCTTCTCCGTGTAGAGTTTGACCGCTGATACTGTGGTCCTGGTGTTTTGACCACTGTTGTAGCTGTCGTACCACCCACTGGCATGGGGTGTCTGCCCAGTACCCGGTGGTCTCGCGCAACTGACGGTGCGACGAGCTCGAGAAGGTGGCACAGATGTGCCCAATTTCCAAGCATCAGCGGCAGCCGTATCGCCGCGAGGCTTTCATCTTGAATTTGCACACGAAGATCTGGCTATTCGATCTGTAGAGATGTCCAGATGACGCTCAGAACGCCGATTAGTCCGGAATATACGCTGTCTATCTCTATAAGACACCCTCTCGCCCTGCGCCCGGCCTCCTCGACCCAGCAGATGCCCTCGCCGCTGTCCCGTTCATGCGTTGGTCTAAGCCCGCCACCCCGACCACGCCAGTGACTCCATGGCCCCCGCACCCTCCCCCGGGGGAGACGGAGCTTGAGCGCGCCGTGCGGCTGGAGGAAGAGAAGGAGGCGAGGAGGAAGTCGGACGTTATCGACAGGGAGATAGAGCTGGAGCGCGTAGAGCAGCGCAAGCACAAGAACTGCACGAGAGTGCTGTTGCTCGGTCAGTGCATCCGTTGTCCCCTTGTGCGGCGCAGGCTGAGCGGCGACACGCACCGCCAGGCCAGGCCGAGTCGGGCAAGTCCACGATGCTGAAGAACTTCCAGCTGTACTTCGCGCCCGGGGCCTTCCACGCCGAGGCGGACGCGTGGCGCGCAGTCATCCATCTCAATCTCGTCCGCTCCGTGAACTTCATCCTCGACCTGCTGCCCGGCGGCCCGTCGTCGCTGCTGTTCGAGGCCAGCCACCCGCGGCACTTCTCCGACAAGCCGCTGGTCGATGGTGGGTACTTGCGGCATTTCCGCATGCGCCTGTCTCCTCTCCGCCAGGTGGAGCTCATCCTGGTGCAACGCCTGAGCGCCGACGACCCTTCGCGCGCAGCGGCCAACGTCGAGGAGGCTATCCCATGGTACTACGGGCGTGCCTCCGAAGTCTCCATACGCGGTGGCTCGGGGTGGAAGGCGCTCCTGCGCCGGAAGCGGAACGCGACGCAGGTAGGTGCCCGTCCGGACGACCTGGACAAGGCGAGGCAGATTCTGCATGCCTGCCGACAAGATATCGCCGAGCTCTGGGAACATGCCGACGTGCAGCGTGGATTGGAGGCGGAAGACGTGGTGCTGAGAGACCAGTCCGGATTGTGTGTTTGTTCGACTCGGTATCTCGGGCTGTAGCTGACGCCCTCGCCTCGTAGTTTCCTCGACGAAGCGCTCCGAGTTGCATCCGCCGACTATGAACCAACACCCCGTATGCCTTGTCTTCTGCTGTTGGTGTCTGTATGGTTTCTGATGTTGTGCAGAGGACATCCTTCGCGCTCGCCTCCAGACGATCGGCGTCGAGCAACACACCATCTCAGTGGAAAGATGTGCATGCTTATGTGTTATCCCTATTATGAACTCCGTAGCTTACACGTCCTCTGCAGTCGGCCAGCCCAGTCACCGATGGCTCTTCTACGACGTCGGTGGTGCGAAAGGCCAGAGAGGTCAGTAGCGAAGACATGTGCGACTTCTGCTCGCTAACCTCTTGCTTCAGCCTCATGGGTCCCATTCTTCGATGACGGTGAGTCGCCTATAACTTAAATTTCATCCACGATGAGAGGTGCGACCAGACTGTTGTCAGTGGACGCTATCCTCTTCCTATGTCCTATGTCTGCGTTCAACGAGGTCCTCTTGGAAGATCGCAGGATGAACAGGCTGGTGAGTCGTCGCGTTGTATATATCTGCAATACTCCAACTCCCGCGGGACGCAGCTCGACTCCTTCAATCTCTGGAAGACAATATGCATGAGCCGGCTCTTGAAAGGGACGACGTTCATCCTGCTCCTGAACAAGAGCGACATCCTGCAGAGCAAGCTCGAGGCGGGCGTCCCTTCGCGCAGTACGTCAAGAGCTACAAGGACGGCCCCAACGACCCCGACCACGTCTCCGAATGTGAGTCGCTCCTCGCGCACCCGCCCGCACCCGCCCTCACGGACCGCCCCGACAGACCTGAAGCGCAAGTTCGTCGCCATGTGCAAGCACAACTCCGCCCGGGAGCGCCAGCTGCACGTCCACGTAACCTGTGCCACCGTGAGTCCCATCCACGTCCGCTCCGATCCATGCCCACGTCCGCGTCCATCACCAGGACATCGATACCACCGCCATCGTCATCAACCGCAGTAAGTCCGCTACCACCGTCATTCCGTCGTGCGGCTCACGAGGGCCACCCGCCCACCGCAGTCCAGGATGCCATCGTCGTGAACAACCTCAGGTCCAGCGACTACATCTAGGCTGGGCTGGTTTATTTATGGATCGGACGCTGTGCGGCCGCGTGCAAAAGTATGTTTTCCGTAAGTACAGTGCGCGCATCGCTCTTGTATCCGCCCGGCTGTAGCCTTCCTCACGGTACTTGTGCCATGTAATTCGTCTGTGTACGCCATGTTTGTTGTGCATCTATGCCATCCTTGAGTCCTCACAGGAACCATACCCTGTGTGGAGACGTGGCATCTTGTCAGCCACGTCTTTCTCGGTCGATCTACACAAGTATGTTTCTTCGCGACTATCCGGGCACTGGGTAGAGACGCGCCAAATATGTACAGGCAGAACATCCGCAACCGAAAAGTTCAGGAACCCTCGTGAGGGCAAGATGGCCCCACTCTCTCGTCGTCCAGATATGCGAGCCAGGTAGGCGACAGGCGGTCGCCGCATCGCAAATGGCAGACGCAACAGGTCGGCTGCAGTCGTGCACGACGATGGCCGGCACCGCGGACGCGGGGTCGACGGGCGCGCCCAGGGATCCGAACGCGGAGCCGGAGTCGACGGGGAGACCTCGACGATGTCGACGGAGAACTCATCGTCGGGGTTGCACTCGAGCTTCAAGTCGCGCGCCAGGAGGTCTTCAGAGATCATCGCTGCCAGGGGCTTTGACTCTGTGACCGTGACCGGGATGATAGAAACGCGGGACGGGCGTCGTGCGCGCGGGAAAGCCGTACAGCTGCCGGGGGGTCCAGTTGGGCGTGAGGTGGCCCTTGAGCTTCTCCTCGAAGTCTGAGTCGACGAGAGTGGGGCTCGGGGCGCTCTCAACGTCGGAGCTGTTGACCTATCCTCGGCGACGATCATCAGACCTCTCGGCTGCAGCTTCGAGGGAAAGGAACGAACCTGCTGGACGTGGGTAGCCCCCCACTTCCCGAGGAACTTGCTAGCCAGGGACGTTTGCCGCGCGAAGACCTGACCGTGGACATCGTCGGAAGCAAGAGCGGCTTCGGGCCCTGGGAGCCCGCGACGAGCCCGACCGTGCTCGACCCCGAGCGCAACACAAAGGGGCGTATAGACCGCTCTCCTTTCTTCTTCGCCAGCTGCCTCTTGAACGCGAGGCACTGTCTTAGTATCCGGAAGAGCGCGACGCCGCAGACGACGGAAACCAGGCAGCGAGCAGATTGTGAAACGAGAGCAGCTTGGGGGTGATGCTGTGGCGGTAGCGGATTGCACATAAGAACAGCAGTAGCATTGCCGGGAGACGAGGCCGCCGAACTGGAAGCACTAAGAGCAGGCGGCATGTTGAACTTGGAGTGTTCGGAGGCCTTGAAGCTTGAGGACTTGAGGATAGCAGCGGAGCGAAAGCAAACGGACACAAGGCGTCGGTGTGCGATGCGCTCGGCTTTTAAGCATTCTGAGGCTGACTGTCGACAATGGGGCTGGCATCCTGACCAGTCGATCGCGGCCTGCGAACTGGTAGCACTAGCAGTCCTCAACAAGCAATAGCTGCCGTCGGTCAAGTTCCTAATCCAACAGTCAGTCTTCTCAGCAGGAACCGTGCAGATAACATACCAGAGGGAGCCGAGTCCAGGACGCCGACATCTTAAATCTGAACGACACACATGCAAAGATCGTGAACGCAACCAACTGTACTCATGAGCAGCTGTGCCCACATCGATGAGATCGAAGACTGAGTCAGAAGTCACTCAGCCACTTCTCTGTTGCGAATTAAATGCATGCATGAGAAATTGCGTGAAGATCATCTGATTGCAAGAGACCAGGCGCGTTGAGGCCCATACTCTCATAGAACATATACATCCATATCACACCCCTCACCCAGCACCGCGAAGCGCCCCAGCACCACGCACACGCACGCCGCGGCGCGAAGGCTCTACCAGCCATCAACTAAATCGGGATGTTGAGAATCCCTTCCCAGGACCTTTTTCATCGGTGAGGGCACGTTGAGGCCGTCTGTCTCGATATCGTCCTACCACGACCCCCTAGTAGCGGTAGTGGGCGGGCTTGTAGGGACCGCTGACGGGGATGTCGAGGTACTTGGACTGCTCGTTGCTGAGCGTGGTCAGCTTGACGTTGAGCTGCTTGAGGTGCGCGCGCGCGACCTCCTCGTCGAGCTCCTTGGGCAGCATGTGCACGCCGAGCGGGAATGCAGAGTTGTTCGTCCAGAGCGCGATCTGCGCGAGCACCTGGTTGGTGAAGGAGAAGGACATGACGAAGGACGGGTGGCCGGTGGCACAGCCGAGGTTGACAAGACGGCCCTCGGCGAGGAGGAGGATGTGGCGGCCGCTGGGCATGGTGTAGCGGTCAACCTGGGGCTTGATGTTGACGACGGATTTCGCGTTGGCTTTGAGCCAGGCAACGTCGATCTCGACATCGAAGTGACCAATGTTCGAGACGATGGCATCCTCGGGCATGACCAGGAAGTGCTCGCCGCGGATGATGTCACGGTTACCAGTGGTGGTGACGAAGACGTTGGCGCGGGGAGCAGCATCCTCCATCGTCGCGACCTCGTAACCAGCCATCGCAGCTTGAAGGGCGTTGATGGGGTCGATCTCAGTGACAATGACACGAGCACCGTAGGCAGCCAGGGATTGCGCACACTGTACAATCATCAGATACGATGACAGTATGATTGATGAACACACGTACACCCTTGCCAACGTCACCGAAACCAGCGACGACAGCGACCTTGCCAGCAAGCATAACATCGGTGGCACGCTTGATACCGTCAACGAGGGACTCGCGGCAACCGTAGTAGTTGTCAAACTTGGACTTGGTGACGGAGTCGTTGACGTTGATGGCGGGACCTTGAGTGTGCCCTCACGGAACTTACGGTAGAGGTGGTGCACACCAGTAGTCGTCTCCTCGGAGAGACCACGGATGCCGGCGAGGTACTGGGGGTACTTTCGTGCACGAGGCTCGTGAGATCACCTCCGTCGTCGAGGATCATGTTGAGGGCTTGCCATCGGTGAAGGCGCACAGCGTCTGGTCGATGCACCAGAGGTATTCCTCCTCAGTCTCACCCTTCCAGGCGTAGACGGGAACGCCAGTCGCAGCGATGCTAATCAATGTAAGATCGATTAGTCGACGGCTCTCACGAGTATTGATGAAACACGAACGCGGCAGCAGCATGGTCTTGTGTCGAGAAGATGTTCTGCAGAAAGAAAATATGTCCCACTTCAGTACAGTCCGCATGTAGGATGATCTAATACCCACGCATGAAGACCATGAGACCTCAGCGCCGAGAGCCGACAACGTCTCGATGAGCACGGCAGTTTGGATGGTCCTGAAGGGTAACCATGAGCAAACTGAGGGGGAAGCAGCAACAGCTAGACTTACATGTGCAAGCAACCAGCGATGCGCGCGCCCTTCAAGGGCTTGGAGGCACCGTACTGATGAGAATAATTCATACCGACTTCACAGTAATTTCACTACGATTCCAGCGCACCTTCTCGCGCATGTACATAAGACCGGGCATCTCATTCTGCGTGATGAACGGCTCGTCAGAACATGGTGAGCCATAAAATGAGGTCTTTACTGACCTCGGCGAGCTCGATCTCCTTGCGACCGAACGCGGCAAGAGAAATGTCTAACTCAAACTTTGAGCTCCTCGCTGTTCAAATTCTTGCAGAGGCACTTACCAGCAACCTTGTAGACCATCTTTGCGTGCAGATCGAGAGTAAAAGTCAACGGGGAGGAAGGTGAGGGGAAGAGACAGAGGGGGGTGAGAACTGGCACGATAACGCGGATCGAATTTATTGAGCTGCATCACGTGCGCGACCAAATACTTCGCCGTGCGACTGGCCTATGAACGTTGTTCGCTTTCCCTCACTTGCCCAGGCTCAGAAATCTGACGATTCTTCATGGCTTTTCCTGTTTATGGCTTCTCAAGCTAGTGGTGAGACCAAAGGCGCCTCCAGCAAATGCCGGCTGGCGGAGATTGTGCAGTACAAATGCGACATTGAGGTCGGAAAGCGAGGCGAACCGCAGGTACATTGCTGGCCGGTGCCACGAATATTCAGGATGTGAGTCTCACGGGCTGTCCTTCGCGTACATTGAAGCTAAGAGCTTGGGAATCCAGCTGCCCCGGGCGACCGGCCGTGGAACTAACGCGCTTCGTGGAGATGAACATGAGTACCGGTGAGGTACATCTCCCGCCGGAAGCTAGGTATGCTTGCCTAGTTTGTGTGCGACATGTGCGCTCGAGTTATCTGTGATCTAGCCAAAATTACCGAAAGGAAAACCCTGGCGGGACATCGTGCACTACGATGAGAAGGTCGCCGAACTGACGGGTGAAAAGGCTTGAGCCAATGGCCGTGAGTACTCTGTGCGACCCTTCAAGATCATCTATGGGTCTGACCTGCCCTGTTGTAGCGTTTTTAGGCAACCTAGCTGGAATAGCACTGTTGGCTTGCCACTTGTCGCTACATCCGGTCCCTCAACAACCGACGGATGGACAACGTTCCCATAGAATTCATGTCGCTGCATCCGAGTCGACAGACGCAGAGCCTTTTCTTCTCCTACCCGCGCGTGGCGCTGGTCTGCATATGCTTCCTCGACGTGGTATCTGTCTGCTGTGCGAGGAGGCCCTGTTGGTATCGAGGAGCTGTGGTCCGTGGTATGGTGTTCGCCGTTGAGATTGCATCTGCATCTGTTATTGAAATCAGCCTCACATGGCCGCCATGCAACTAGGATGTCACCAGAAGCAAGAGTACGATTATCTCCAGGTCGCTCATCGACAATGAACCACTTGAACAGCGAACGGACCTTGCAAACGATCTTTGAGGTACACATGTGGTAACTGTGCTCTGCGGATTTACCGTCGAACGACATGCTTATCACCGAGGAAGAGTTGACGGAACATGTTGAAGCCCCTTCCCCCGAAGATGCACGGAAACGTAGTGCAGTGCTTGCAGGCTGATTTCTCCCGCGATCCGTCTGTGTAACTGAAGCCCTCAAAGATAGGGGTACCATGGCTTCCATCATCTATTTGTGGAATAATGTCTGGTTCGGGCATGCGAATTGCTCAACCTGGAGGGTCGACGTCTGTCGTTGGACCGTATTGGCGGTGCGTGGTCTGCGAGAGTATTGATGGTGGCCTTACTTACCTAGGCCTGTCAGTTATATTTAGGCTTGCGGTGTATCAGTTCTGCTAACTAGTATGGTCCGGATACTCAGTCTCTGCTGCTGACCAAAGAATCCCCTGGACACGCGGTGCAGTCAGCAGCCGCTGTCGCAGTATGATGGATTGAGCAAAGCTGTCAGCGTACACGAAACCGGCTTGATGCACTGGCGACGTACGCAATGTGCTCGGCCCATATGGCGGTTATCCTCCTGCGATGCATTCCGTGTGGTTCGCTTTATAGATGGAGTGACGCGAACGCCGTGTACGTCTACATCGCTGATTACCACTATTGCTATGCTCGACTCACCCCAAGTTGTCCAGAGTGGGTTATCCTGGTTCACGGATAGTGCGACCAGAGTCTGACAGTAAATGCGTCAGCTCCCATCAAAAAGCACACAAGCCGGTGCGCAGACATACGTGCTCAATCAGAAGTCCATGTCGATCATTTTCCCACCCCCGACAATTAGGCATCGCGGGACCCCAACTAGATCGTCACATCATGTTGAACAGTGGCACTGTGGCACGGCATGATGGCTGGACCGGAGTCCTGACCCTCACTACTGGCATGACTGGCCGTTACCACCGCGACGCACCAGGACTTGCACGGCAAGCATATCATTCGGGTGAGCCTCCGGTGTCGCACGGTCATGATGCCGCAGCGCAAGGCGGAGCGGATGGCGCGGATGATGAGATGATAGCAAACAGAACTGCCCCGGCTTCCCCTCGTTGTCTTCCGGACAGCCCGTACCGGCACAGCCACCCATCATCGCAGGTTGTTTCCGACCCCGGTCCAGCAACACTATACCGTTCTCTCTTATGGGTCGATGTTTGTTGTCGGTGATAGTGCCAGTGAGTATACCTGCTTACATCGCGGGATGCGCCGAACTTACAGATCATTGGAGCGCTGCTCTACCGCATCTTGTACATTGTGCATGCTAACTTTGAGACGGGGATCGTGGACACTAGACCATGCACGCAAAGTCGGCGATCGTGGGACCTGTTGCCCATCATTAGGGTTTGCGACCGACTTGCGACACACAACTTTCGGTCCCGGCGGCATAGCTACTTTTGGCCCCTATGGACGGTTGTCCCAGCGCTATGGCCGCTCGCTGAACCCTGTACAGAGTTCAACATGGCAGACTCCTTTCGGAGGCGGGCAGGTACATACAGCCGAACGAGGCCGCTAAGCCTTCCCCTTTCCGGTATTTCGAAGTTCTTTAGACCTTCGCTTCACCTCGGGATCCTCACTCGACTCCGAGGGCCCGCTTTCATTAACACCCTTTTTAAACGATATCATCATGAACCGTGTCTCATAGGCTGCGCGAGACTGCATCATACGGCAATATATTGAAATCGTGCTAATGTCAGTTGGACGTCAGCCAACGTTGCTACTCCACAGCCACGCCATGTCTGACTCTGAGGACCGTATGCACGTACGTATGCGTTTGGAAAGTCAGCCTTTCGACTCTCATGCTCGTCATGAAACGGCACTATCATGTTGATGGCTGACGGTGACGTCGAACTCATTGTCTATCAAACAGTCTGTCCCCAACAGTGGCGACATCGGCGGGCCACATTGGGCTGTTGGTACTGCGGGCTTTACGGCTAGATATCTCGAGAAGGTATAATTGTGGCAGTTTCTGGGACTGCATCCGCTCGTCCATTGATTCGGCTTGTTTTGCAGATGCTATGCTGGGCTGGGACATCATGAGGATCAACGAAGCGGTGCTCATACTCCATAGCCCGTCGTCTCATGACAACATGTGATTTTGTACGTACCAGTACACCATCGACCGCGTAGTGATGACACGCAGACGGCACGCAGCTTCGTGGCATAGAAACCGTTTGGAAACTTGGAAACAGTGCTCAATCTTGGCTAAACGCCCATGTTCAGCTTCAGATCATTCGGAGATCGTGGTGCCTCGCGACCTCTCTGATCATCGTCCTGGTTGAAGTCGACGCCATCGGTCGCTTGTGAGTCTGCGACCGTAATGTACGCTGAACGGGAGTGCGGTGGCACTGCCAGCTGATGTCTCGTTTCACGTCCCTTATAACAGCGTGTACCAGCACCTCACACCCCCATCACTGCCGAGAGACACTGTGTTCGTGCTCACTTGAGCTGGCATCTCCTCCTCCCCTTGCTTCTCGACAATCCACCTTCCTTCGGATCTCGCCCTCTGTTTGCGAGTCTGGACAATTTCTAATACTGCCATCCGACCTGTTGGCTCGTGAAGTTGATTTTCCAATTGGATATCGTCGTTCGTGACAATGTCGTACTCCCATACATCGTGGTCGACAAAAGAAGAAGGCGGGCAAGGGCAGTATGCCGACGCTCCAGAAGCAGTAGGCTTCCCTCAGGTGAGCCACATAGCGCTGTACCTTATCAATGTCTCAACTCACACGACAACGCGACAGGCACCCCATTTCCGACGCGTTCCTGAGCGCGGAATGGTTAGACAGGCGTCGTCGAGTCCAACGTCGAGTCTGTCCGGCGCTATGGGAGATGCCCACATCACGAACTCTCATTTAGGTGGCAGCGTACCCTCGGGAATGGCCTGGTCCATCCCCCAAGGTGCCTACGGCCAACTGGCGGATGACAGCTCCATGTCCGCTTTTGGACCTGCGCCGCCTACTCCCGCCTCGGCAGGCCCTTCGGGCCAGTTCTCTCTTTACTCGTACCAAACTCCGTACAATACCCCGTCATATAGTCCTAATCCTGATCCGTACCCTCATCATTCTTCCGCCCTTCCCTCCCCAACTTCGTTCGCTGAGCAGTTCGCAATGCAGCAAGCTCGCGCAGATGTAATGGCACACGCTCATCAAGGGTTGTCCACCCCCGGCCCCGCGACACCTACCTCCGCCGGCGCCATGGCCGGGTCTATGTCTATGGCCCCGAGCCCCATCCCAGGCGCGGTCCCGATGGGACGAGACCCCCGACGCTCCAGCTCAGAGGAGATCCGGCGGCTGCACCAACGGATCGCAGAGCTCGAGGCCGACCGCGACACCGTGGTCCAGCGTGCACACCAGCTGAGCAAGAGCTGGCGCGTCGTATGGGCGGGCTGGCGAGCTCGTTCGCCTCGGGATCCGCCCTCCCTCTCCCATGCCCACCCTACACACCCGTCCGCGCTGGAAGAAGAATGGCGGGCGCGCACCGAGGCCCGCCGGAAGATCTTCTGCGGCGTCAACCGCGCCGGCAACGCACTGTGTGCGTGGCACGACTCCCGCAGGGAACGCAGGGCGTACCCGCCGCGCAACGCGCCGCCCGGCATGCTCAACTGCGGCTGCACGTACGAGCAGGCGCTCTTCGAAGAGAGCCTCTCGTACCACGGCGTGGGCAGCTACCACCCCGGCGAGTCCGTGCGGATGGACCCCGCGTTGCGGAATCCGCTCCTCAAGCTCCTCGAAGAACGCTACAACTACCGCGACGGCGACTTCGACTTCGACCCCGTCACGCGGACGTGGCGGAACGGCGAGGGCGCCGCCTACTGGGAACAGAGGCTCGCGTCCGGTGCGGCGAACACGCGGCGCGCCCGCGGTGACGACCGTCGATGAGCCCGTGCCAACCCCCAAAAATGTCTGCATGCATATGAACTGTGTGAGTTCTTCATTCCATCTCATCGCATTGTCGCATTTTCCTCCTTCTCTCCACACATGCATCTGCTATCGTCCAACAGTTCGACCTTAATCCGGACACTCTCGTTTCCGCCTCCGCTGCACCCCTGCATTACTACACTATGTCTCATAGAACATTCTTTTCTCGCTCCATTCTTTGTATCCCCACTGTAGCCATCATCCCGTACCCCGGTCTTTTTCTCTGCTCGATAGAGGTTTGGTCATAGGTCCCCCACTGTATCCTTAGTTGCCCTTACGATTGCTCCGTAATCAATGGACCTAGTCCACGTTGTAACTTAGCCCCCACGTCGGTGCAACCGACTCGTCCGGGACTCCACTCAGGACGCGTATGCCTGCAGGTACCGTACAGCCAGTCTGTCAAATCACGCCGAGATCTGTCGTGACGCCTTACAGCCCCGCTATGCTGATGCAGGTTTCATTGGAGCAAAACAGGGCAAGCCGGTCTGACACCGACAGCGTACTCCTCACCGGACTCGGGAATATCGAGCTGACGGAGCCTCACTGTATTGCCTCTGGCCGCAGCGAACCACAGCATCCGGTGGGTCGTAAATCCCGCTCGAATTGTTTTGCGGGTGATTCGTTCGTTACATCAAGCCTTTGGAATTACATCACTGGGAAGATACTGAGTCGGTGGACAGAGCGGGGATTGCGAAGCCGAGAGGAGACAGCGGACGATGGAACGAAGCCATGACGGACTTGAACTGAGGGGCTCAAGCGCTTACTGGTAAGCGCCAGACTCCATGAATAGCGCTGTTGTTTGGAGCAAACATCAAGGGGCATAGTCGTACTTTCCCCCGAGGTCCAGAGCCTACAGTGAAACGATCCCAGTGTCAGGTAGTTCCCGATCAATCAGACGAGAGAACAGTACCCACCCGTCTATACGCCGGTCTATAGGCGATCTATGTGTCAGCCCTAGAAGCTTGTAGGGAACGAAAATGCGCACCTCTCGTGGACGCGGCGGAGGTATCTCTCGGTGTTGATTCCAAGGTATTCGGGACACAGCCTCGACATGCACTCTAGCGGGAAGATCATCATGTAATCTGCGGTCGTTGGCTCCTCTCCACCCGCAATCCACCCTCCGTCGACCTCTGTCAAGCGCTGCTCGATCTGTGTGGAAGATATCAGCCGAGACTTCGGTCACAATGCAGTAGATATTGCCGAGCTTCACCAACTGTCCTTGGATGCGCAAACGCGAATCCACCAACTTGGCCCGCAACTTGCCCATGAGGAAGCCAATGAGAGGCCGAATGAGCCAATGCATTCGATCGGTTATGACGCGTGTCACGAAACTGTTCACGATGAGCGGCATGAGAGAACCTTCCGAAGCGTGCGTGTCTAGCATCACCACATCAGTCAGTCATCTTGTGGTTCCTATGTTTGCGAAGCATACAATATAGGTCAGCGACTTCTCCACTCGCGGAGGGCCGTGCTCTCCCGTTTCCATGTTTACGAATGATGTACTCTGAATGAATTTATCAGTGCCACTGGCGGGACCATGTCACGAGCTGCGTGCCATGATGGTCGGACTATGTGCTAAGCAGTACAACCCGTACCGCTGCACGAAACCATCATGGGAGCTGCCGTGCGAGACGGACGTACCAACAATCGCACCGCTCTCTGCTAGATTGACGGAGCCATCGGTGATGACGGGTGCTGATCCGATGGGATTCACCGCCTTCAGCTCCTCTGGAGCCTTCTGTTCGGGGGTACGGTGATACTTCTTTATCTCGTATGGTACACCGAGCTCTTCCTAAGATGCCAGTGGGTGTCGGGGTTGGCATATGCAATCGTTCTAGGAGTCATGACTGACGCACCAGAAGCCACAGTATCCGTTGAGAACGCGAGTTATTGAGGTGATGTACTATGATTTTGCCAGCCGATGCGGTGCTCGAGTCCGTCATGTTGGTGACCTTGCTGTGGACAGTGGATTGTACAGGAACTCAAGGCTCGCGACGCCTCGCGTAGGTGAGAGACTTGAGAGCGGGGAAGAGTTTGAATGCTCGGAACGGGGGTCGCGGCCCACTATAAGTACGTGGAGAACGACGCTGAGACTCAGGGAGACAGAGGTGACGAGTTCAAAGGGAAGCGTAACACGTGAAGTGCGAGCGACCGTATGACAGATCAGGAAGAAACGATGCCGGATAGGAAAAGTCTTGAACAGCGGTCGTGCGCGTGACAGCCGGACGTCCGTTGAACGTTGAATGTTACAGTACCCTTCTGGCTTGGAAATGTTGGCGGTTATTTACGATGGGGACCAGGAATTCGGGTCGGTCGCAAATGCAGTAACTTAAGGAGAATTAATCCGGTTTCTCACTTGATCCTCCCGCCAGAGTTTGCCCTGACAGAATGAGCACGAAACAGTGTGGTCAACGAGGTAAAGAAGCGGGATTATCATACTCGTATGCAGGAGCGATGACGTGACAAGTGTCGAGGAGAAGGAACTTAGGAAGATCGACTGACGTCTATTCAGCCACCGGTCGGTGACGCGGGTGGCGGTGTGCGTCTAATACCAGTACATGTACAGCGCCTAAGTTAATAGCCCTCCTCCCCGCCAAGCTCAGGCGCACACTGCACTCTACTGTACTAGTGCTGGGTCTCTGCTATAGCCGGTCCTTTGCTAGTGACGACCACCAGGATACAAGCCTCGATCGAATCTAGTTGTCGCTGTTGGCACTAGGTAAGTCGACTGCCACTATTCCTGACATCCACGAAGTACCGGAACCGTAAGAGTCAACCAGTCCTGCTTTGTCCATTAGTCTGGGGGTGCACATGCCAACATCACGGGCAAATATGTATCGTTTTTGCTCTTACTGGCATGGACCCTACTGCCGAACCATTCAAGGGCGCTGTCGTGGTATGGCAGAGGCAAGCAAAAGGAGATGCGAGAGGTTGGCCAATTCGCACTCGGATTGCAAGCTGGTACGTTCATACGTATCTATGCCACAGTGCTTTTCTCATCGTTTGTATCACAACGCAGACGAAATCGCGACCATTCTCCAGGGCGAAGGTGACTACATGCGTTTCGAGATCAAGAGCCAGGAGGCTAGTTCTGAATGAGGTTGCTGCAGAGTCTCTACAAGCATACAGTCGGAAACCAGACTGCTTCAGGCGTGCCGCGGGGCTTATTCAGACTCGCTGCAGCGACCTAGACATGGAGAGGACGAGAGAATCAAAGGTACTACATATCTCGTTCGCAGTATCTTCCCTTTCCAATCCATCCAGCCGCAATATCCATGACGCTGTGCGAACTAAGCACCGCCAACCATCATTCTCCTCCATTGGAATGTAGCGCGTTCTCCACCGAGCCGCGCGCCTCACAAAGCGCCGTCCGAGGGGAGTCACACAGAAGCTGCGTCGAGTGAGTCTTGCAACCCTCACTATATGCGCCATAAACATGTGGTTGACATGTTCGTTCAGGGCATTATCTCGCAGCGCTCAGTATTGGTCGAGCTACTCGGTATCTGCGCGAAGTCTGTGCGTGACGTTGCTTACACGTCATCGCTTACATATCCAACGCATTGTGTCGTCAGCGCAACTATGCTACGCATTTCGACGCTGGAACGACATCGGTGAGGACAGAGCCACGAGCTGCTGCCTTACAACGACTTGACGTTCCCTCAGATACTGCCAGGGATATCTACCGGAACGCAACGCTGGAAAGTTGGCATTTCTTCAGCATCTGAACAAGAGGGAAGCATCACTGCACAGGGCAGAAGAGGCCGCGCAACTTCTCCTCCGGGTAACGTCGTCCTGGCGAAGGCCCATCACGTTCGTTCATCATTCTGTTTGCAGAACATCTTGGACGGCGTCGCAGACTTCCGCTCATCCGCGACGGCCGCACAATCAGCTCTTCAAGACTTCATTTACAAGGCATCAGCGGGCCTTGATCAGGTCTGCGTGTTATGTGGTCCACTGATGCAGTCATGTCACTGATACTGGCGCTTCGCTACGCAGACCGCGCTGGCTTTGACGGATGCTATCAGCGTGGTCCTAACACAAGCAGAACGCAATCAGATGGAGCCGTCTCGCGGGTGTGTATGGGAGCGCGGATGTCATACTCGAACTGAACTTACATATAGGTCGATTCCGCGCTCGGAGAAGCTCTTCATCGCGTAAGACATCCACTTCCCGGAAGCAGGTCGTTCGCTGAACGCAATACAGCATCGACATCTCTGAACCTTGTCACTACTTCTATCGGACAGTCCTACATGCCGAGATGGAAGAGCTGATGGGTGCCCTGGGGCAGCACTTCACTGGGTTACGCGAAGGCGCGGTAAGATGATCTGATGCATGCAACGAACTCTGACCTCTTCTCAGGACGCAGCCTACGCGCAGCTCTCCTTATAGGCGGGAGCTGGGAGGGTACATCAGGCATGTATCGCCCTGCATAGTATCCACGTCTTTTTCACACCGGACCTTAGTCCGTCTCGCAGCTAGTCTCCTCCCTGTCCGACCTTGGCTCCCAGCTCGACTTCAATCTCGCACAGGCGCAACAAACTCACGTACTGCAGCAAGGAAACGCTGAAGCGGCCGCGCAACTCGCCTATTCGCTCGCGGAACTCAGTGCGGCCGCACATAACGAGATCCAGAACATCTCTGGCACCGCGGAAGGCATTCGCGAGAACATGCTGGGCGCGGCCGCTGAGGCGCTCGGTCCTGACTGGCTCGCGTGGGGACGGGCGTTCGCACTGTGGGCGTGCGGTGTGATTCTGCGTGGTAAGTGCCGCAGAAGCCTGCGAAGCCGGTTGTGTGGCTCAGCCGATTCCCCTCGAGCAGTCGACCCCTCAAACCTGGAGCACCTCGCCACTCTCCCCACTGTTCGCGCGCTCATCGTCACCATCCGGGTGACGGGCTGGGCCGTGCGCATAGCCGCCTCTTCATCTGTGGTGGGTCATCCGTCCGCCGCCGCACATAAGACAAGGTTCACTGAAACAGCGTTCACGCAGAGTATGGTGTTGCTCGCGCTGTCCGCGCGGCGCTGGCTGGCCACCCTCCTAGCCTCGAGCCAAGATCTGGAGAGTTCAAGGTGCGTCTCCCCGCGCCGTGCGACCGCACTGATTCGCAGACCGCTGGTGACAGCCGCAGCCACGCCCCTGGCCCGGAATCTGAGACTCTGGCTAGCGCAGGGTCGATCCCCCCTATCGGCTGGTCTGAGCGGGAGCGCCATCCGCTCGCTCGCGCTCTACCCCCATCGATATCTTCAAATGCGACAAGACGCTATCGTCCTCGAGTCTCCCGCATCCCAGACAGGCTGTGCATTCCTCCGCTCATAACTACTGGATCTGCCCTGGGTCGCGTCGAACCTAAGTCTACATCGAACCTAGTCTGCGCCGCCGAACTTAAGCCTCGTCAACCTTGCCCCGGGACAATGAACTCTCTCCGCTCTGCGCCAGCCGCCCGTGGACACTCGCCGCGATTCTCCGTCTCTCCGTCTGCCACCTCGTGTTCTAGCCCGTCTTCGCCTGCCGAAAGTGGACAGCTCTGGTCTTGTGCTGCGGCTTCGGCTTCTGGCGATGCTTTCTCAGCCTTCCGATATTGCCGGCTGTTCTCACTTCCGACCGACTCTGCGTGCGTGACCGGTCTCGAGTGTCTCTTCTGGCTCCGGGCGCTCTGCGGTCCGCTACTTTTCATACCGTCAATGACGGTATGAAACGGCGCCTAATATGTCCTTGGGAAGCACTTGCTACTACGGTGGCCACCTTCAAATTCTTTTCTAATGTTATATCTGTGCATCCCACACGGAAAACAGCCTCTATAGAGTTGATTGTTCATGTTGCGCGGAATCGTAAGTATTGGATGAATGCAACACTGTAGTCGTGGATGTCAGGCATGCAGTTGAACGTCCAGCCTTGTGAGAAGCAATCACCGAGAGTTCGGTAGCTATGTGACGCGACGTCAGGAGTTGGTCAAGAGAGGCTCAGGTTTCAGAGGAGAGGCATGAGAGGACAGTGGCAAATCCGGGATTAGCCGGGCTAAGCCTGGAGAGTACACTCTGGATTAGGCAAGAAGAGAATGGAGTAATAAACGATAACAAGCTCGTAACCGAACCCTAATCACGACCGCTGACTCCCCCTCGGAAGCGATCTCTCGAGCTTCTCACTCCTTCTCACTGTTGCCCTCCCTTGCATGTACGCACGCGTGCGCAAAGCACTGACCCCTGCTTGAACAAGCCAGACATGTCGACGAAGACGATCAAGCCGCGTAACGCCACCAAGACCAAGCGCCCGGCTGAGGTGGCCACTACCCAGAGTAAGACCGCTGTCGGCCAGACAAGCGGCAAGACGAAAGCGGCGAATGAAGTTCCTCACCGCAACCCCAAGTCATCCTATGTAAGCCGGTATTCGACCTGTGCGAAAGACATAATTAAAACATGCACGTCGACACCGGCTGTGTAACGTCATTCTTATAGGTCCCCGTCACCGCTGCCAACCCGCCCATGGCTCGCGTGAAAGAAGGAAAACAGGCTACACCACCACCGAAAACGCCACCCGCAACGCTGAAGTCCGCACCAACTGTAACTGTTACAGCGAAAGACCCGCCATGTGCAGCGCCACCACAAACTGAGGTAAGGGCCCTGTTAACTATGCATTTTCATGGAATTTGACTAACAAATGTGTAGGTGAAACGCGAGCCTGCGGAATCTGTGCCTGCCTGCAGGAAATTTCTCGCAGGTAAATGCAAGAAGCAAAACTGTCCTTACAGACATGTAATGAGTAAGATAGGCAAAGCGTTTCACTCTGGGTATTACTCTGATTCCATTTTCTATTGTGACGCTATCACTCGCTAGATACAACACCAGAGACCATAGACGAACCTCGCTCTGCCGCTACAGACCGCATTAATCCACCTCCGCCCTACTCTCCCAGCGCGTCTTACGCCATTCCGAAGCCTTCAGTTCAGACAGAATATCGTAAGGTGCGCTGTGATCAGTACCCTCATGAACCAACGCCGCGGATCCTTAATGACTATTATAGGGAAAACCTGTCTCAAAACGGCGTTGTTGGGCATTCCGCCGCGGTGAATGTCATGATGACAGTTGTCCAAAACGGCATCCTCGCAGCTGGGACCCCGAGCGACTTAAGACCTCGAAAGAGGACTCCAGCGAGGACGAGTCAGACGATGAAATCGAGGAACCTGCAGTTGGGACACTTGTAGCGAAAGCCCCTTCAGCATCCGCAACGACGCAGTCCTGTGCCCCAGTTTCCGTTGCACCTTCCCCACGTGCCGCAGATCCGGTAGTCAAGCCCTCTTCTGTGTCTACGACACCAGCCGTCGACCCTGCGCCCGCGCGATCACAAATCAGAGCGCAGCCCGAGGGAAGGGACGACGAAGTGTTGGATGCAGCTCGTCCTGACGGAGGTGGCAAGATAGGCAAGGACCAAGATCGTACACAAGTCGGTGTATCTGTTTTCGCACGCATACTGAGACAGCTGAGACCTATTCAATTTCATCTAGCTGGATACGCGACCCATATGTCGAAATCATTTGAAGGGCTATTGTAGGAATAAGCGATGCCCTAGGCAACACATCGACCCCTTGCACAGTTCGGGGACGCGCGAAGGCGGTGTGCAGAGCGAGCAACAGCGACAGCAGCCCGCAGCCGCTGTCGGTGCTGTTGACTCTGTAACAGCTGACCCTCCGCCGTCGATGTCGCAAACTGGTGACGTAGCTGCTGCCAGACCTAACGGAAGTGTTCCTCATGCTTCGGAAGCGCCTAACCCAACGTCTTCACTTCCACGCCCCTCTACATCGGAATCTACGTATTTATCCCCGCTGACTGTCGCGCCCGTAACTGTCGTCTTAGCTTCGCGCGCCTCCGTGCCTGAACTTCCGTCTGTACCTGCGCGCACCTTCACACCCAAATCATCATCTGTGTCTGCTGAAGTGCAGGCGCCGCCGAAAGCGTTGGAAGAGCCGAAAGGCATAGGCGACTTTCCCTCAACGGTTCGTCGCCCGCTACGAACTTCGTCGCAGTACTCACGGACGTATTTGCAGAATGGAGGTGTATGCCGATTCTTCCTTGCTGGCAACTGTATAGCTACAAGGTGTAGGCATTCACATGAGCTCCGGTTTCCGGAGCCGGCGCCATCTCAGATCACAGGGGTCCGGCCTTATGCCAAGGTTGGCGGTTCAACGGCAAGTGGATTCTTGATTCGCAACCTCATATCAATCTGAGTGACGTTCCAGGAACCGGATGACGAACCTCCTCTGAGCCATCTACCTTTCGCAAATGTGGCAGAATTATCCGCTGAGGAGACAGTTGCGCCTGGGCAAGGTATCAGTACTCTCCCGCCGAAGCCCACGGAGTTGTCCATCAACGCCGTTGAGGACTACTCAGCCCGGCGCGCCGCCGAACAGAATGGTCAGCCCATGCGTAAATGGGTTGTTGACCCAAGGCCGGCCAGGGTACGTTTGCATGTGCATCATAATACGGTCGATGACTCATTTCGCCTCGTAGAGATCGGACGAGATATGCATGCGTTATCGCAGAGGCACTTGTAGCTATGGGGAAGACTGTCTCTTTACCCACACGCTCGCCATTGACAACAGACGCGCCCGAGTGAGCGATACGAAGGCACCTCTGATTGAGACAGCGACTCATGCCCTCCTACAGAAACTCAACGAAGTGTGCAGGTTGCATGTGTTCGGTGTTTGCGACTGGGGAGACAAGTGTCATCGCACGCACATATCACCAGACAGCCCGACCTTGGTGCTCCGGACGCCGCGGAGCGACACTACTCTGCAGAGCGGTCCAGAGTCGGAGCGGTCGCCAGTGGGGGGAAATGTCCAAGATGCTATGGACGCGAATGCTAGTCGGTCTGAGGAAGTACCTGCAGGGGTCAGTGAGCCCACGTAGTACAATGATATCAGGCACTCATTTGCAGCGTTGACAGGGACCCGCGACCAAACGCACTTGTGAGATCCTCAGTATTGAGCGCCCGCATAGGGCGCGTAGTCTCATGAGCACATTCGATAACAGACCCGCTCGAGTATGTCATTACTTCACGCTCATTTGCAGATGCCTCACTGTTATCGTTTGCCAGCGGTTCTACACGGTATGCATCCCTAATCTCCGTGGGAGGTGCAGGTATGGGGACGAATGTTTCAAAACACATGTACTTCCAGGCCCTGAGGTAAGCTGCACACTATGTAGTGTATTTCCGAACACACGCACTTATTCTACGTAGCAGAATGCTTACCTACGGCCACATGAACGGGTGGCTTCGTCAACCAACGCGATGAACTCTCAGGTCAGTGCCGCATTGAGAGCATGTAAACATAATATGGATGATGGACCTTCCTTTCTCTAGTCGTCTACACCTGTCCTGAAGTCACAAGAAGCCTGCTTGAACTGGTTGTTTCGAGGCACATGCTTAAATGGAACGAGTTGCATGTACGATCACCCACCCCAAAATAGGTCATCGAGAACGGAACCTCCTGTGGACATCTCTTCGGGTACTGTGACACCGATGCCTACTGGAAGCACGAGCGTTCGTGGTTATACACCGGCGCCGAACAGGCCCCCTGGCTCGCTGGGTCTCTACGACGGCGTATCGGATGTAGCCACTTTGTGTCGCACGCCCGAGCACCTTGTGTCTTCAGGGAACCTACACACAATTCCAACAGATCAGGAACGGCGATCACAAGGCACCACTGCGGAAGATCTCTTGCATGGTTTGATGAGAAACCGCAGAACACCAACAAACATGTCAGTGTCCGGTATCTTCGCGCTTCCCAACGCTCATGTTCTTGGGTGTTACATCTTGCCAGGTCGCACCCGTCTGCCTATGCACAGCAGGAATCCAGTCACCTTCGCCCACAGAAGGTGTGCACTTATCCTTGCTTGAGTACTAATCGGCTCATTATTGCCTTTCAGGGCGCATTTCCGGCAACGAGGGCGATGTCGACTCCTCACGAGGCACCTGTTCCTGATAGATACGGTACCTTCGGGCCACGAGCTGGCGATTCCTCCGGGTATTTCGACATCCCCAGTAGCAGCCCTGCGGGTGCTCGCTTCAGGAACTCTGGCCCCCGCCTCTGGAAACAGTCGACGAATGCTCAAGAGGATCGACTAAGGGAAGAGTCGGCGCAAACAAACAGGGCTGATGGCTTGATCGAGCGTGGCGATACCTCGTCCGAATCCTCATTCCATTCCGCTGTAAGTTGCCTTGTCTCTCCTGATACGCAGGCAGACATTCTCATCATGCGGTAGCAGGAGACTCAATTTGACTTATCTGTTGACGCGTCCCAGTCTTCAGTTTCGTCATTCGATTCGCCATGTACGCCCGCAGAGCCGTCACCACCTGTGTGCTGGGACTTCCTGCACGGAAAGTGCACTAGGCACGTCTGCCGTTACCTGCATGAAGTGCAACGCGATCCGGTCGGCGGTGGCGTGGATTCTGGACGTCAGCGAGCAATCACGAACACTGTATGTGTGCTGTCTATGTTAGGGATAAGCGCTAATGCTGGTTCTCCAGCGTCCAGCGATTCAGTACCCTCCAGAGAGTCATCACCCTACGAAAGCATCCTCCGCTCGCTTCTCTAGCGCGGAACAACGTGACAGTTCGCATGAGTCTGACCAGTCGGTCCGTGTCGAGCCTTCTACGGTACCTGCGGTGCCTCCTGGGCTGGGTCTAGAGATCGTGCGTACCAATCGCAAGCACATGTCTTACTACATACTCACATTGATGGACAGAAGCGTTCGCAGCCGGTTCCCCTCACACAAAGGAGAGAGCCTCCCGCGAGCGTCACATTGTCTGTCCTTGATTCGACAAGAGTGACGTATGGTCCAGGCTTCGACGTACAAACGGTCGTCACGGGGTTTGAGACGCGGCAAGTCGTATTGAAGGACCTCCCGCTCGACGTGAGCCCTGCGGATGTCACGGCTGCGCTCAAGCCACATGGAGAGGTCACTTCTGTATATCTCCCTGATCCAGGCAAGAAAGCTGTCGCAGCGGCCAGAGTCACATTCGCTACTCCTGACCAAGCCGCGAATGCTGCCTCCGCCATCGATGGGCTCGAGTTGTTCGGCACAACCATCACTGCACGGTTGGGGTCCGGACAGTCCTCTCTCGTCGGTAAGGCGAGACTGGCCGACGGAGACGTTCTGCTCGAGTTTCCCTGTGCCCACAAGACCGCGTACGTCGGTTATTCGACTCGAGCACTTGCAGAGAAAGCCATTGCCCTCGCCAACAACACTGAGCTGAAAGGCAACTGGGTGACCGCCGAAATCCATGAAGGACTCCCCATGGTTGGCGCCTCCACCATCCGGATCCGTGGTCTGCCCGCCAGCACCCAAGTCAAAGACCTCGGACGGTATGGCAAAGTAGAAGGCGTCATGCTGGAGCGTCCCAACTATGATTCGTCCAAATCGGCAATCCATCGACTACGCACTATTCTGGACAACTTCGGGTCAATGTTCTCGTTCAATGTGTTGCCGCCACCGTACAAGCGAGGGACGATTCGCGCGTACGCTCAGTTCGAGACGCCTGCAGCCGCAGAAATAGTATGTGCAGCTCTGCATAACAGACGACAACCATTCTGCGGCCATGGCAAGCTGTACGCTACGCACGTCCGTACGCTCGTGTACCAACTTCCTCCTGCCGTCTTCGATGCTCTCGGTTCTGATATCCGTCTCCTCAATGCTTTCATATGGAGAACGTTCGAACCGGGCAGCAGCATATCCATTGCCGATCGGCGTGCGACCGCAGGTCCTCACTGTCCTGTGCGCGTGAAGCTTGCTGCGGAGCGTATGCCAGCGCTCACCAGGATGAAGAGTCATTTCGATCGTCTTCTACATGGAGACAGGGTCGAGCAGGATGGCGAAATTGTTTGGGATGGCTTCTTCGCGCGAAGTGCAGGCATCCAATTCCTAGAGGAGGTGCAGAGGCGACATGTGGGCGTTCTCATCAACCGAGACATTGCAAGGCGAATGCTATCGCTCTTCGGCCCAGAGTCCCAACGCAATGCAGTTCGTTCGGTTATCTTAACCAAGATGGGCGAGTTGAAGAACCGGAAATTGCACATCATCGACCTCTCTGGACGACTCATCGGGCTCTTCTGGGGTGCAGATCTCTCTGCTCTGCAAAGGCGATTCGGAGAAGAGAACGTATCTCTCGACCCTGTGGCACGTGTCTTGAGGGTGAGAGGGGATGATGCCGCTCATGAGGCAGCCCTTCTCGCTGTCAAAGAAGCTCGCGAGCGACATGCGAGTGACAGGCGGCAGCCTCAGGTCGAGTGTCCCGTATGCTTCAACGAGGTGACCAATCCCGTGAAGCTGGACTGTGGCCATACATGGTGCAAGACTTGTCTTCAGAATTACCTCCGTGCGTCGGTCGACAACGGCGCATTCCCGCTCGTTTGTCTTGGAGATGAGGCTCGCTGCACCTCTCCGATACCCATCCATGCCGCGCAGGAGATTCTTTCGACGAACGACTTCATGAGCATCGTGGAGGCATCGTTCCGCGCCTACGTCCACTCACGGCCGTCTGAGTATCACTACTGCCCAACTCCTGACTGTTTACAGGTTTACCGCCGAACTTCCCACAACACCGTCCTGCAGTGCCCGTCGTGTCTGACACGGATATGTCCGAAGTGCAACTCCGAGCACCACGAGGGGTCGACTTGCAAGCTCAACGAAGCAGGCGATCGTATCCTCTTCGAGGAATGGAAGAGCAGTCATGATGCCAAGGATTGCCCAAGCTGCAAGGCGCCGATTGAGCGAGAGGCGGGTTGCAACCACATGATGTGCATACGGTGCAAGACGCACATATGTTGGGCTTGCCTGGCTACGTTCGACGCAGGAGGCGAAGTCTACGAACACATGCGTTTGATCCACGGAGGAATTGGATTATGAGAGTTGTCGTGGGGTTGGGTTGGCGTGGCGGTCTAGCGATATGGCGAGTCGTTCAGTTATTGTCGTATCTATGCATGTCCCTCTGTTGCGCAATTTGTTGTTGTACATTCTACCCTTTGTATCTTCCGCTGTAATTTATACATGGGTCTGAGTGCGATGTTTGTGTGCCAGTGTGCCAGTTCGATAATAAACAATACATGCTGGATAATACAAGATAGTGAGCGGACGCCATACAATTACTTGTTACAGATCGAGTCCGTAGAGCCCCCCAGGAATTCGCAAAGTGAAAGATCAGACGGCAACATATTGCACAAACTATACAGCCCCGTAAGCGCGTGGACGTCCTCTAGTTGCGGAAGATACATACCTCTTTATACGGCCGTTTCGGCGGCTCTCCGTGCAGCGGCAAGGACTCCGGTAGCTCCGGTACGTTGGGGTCGTACTTCACCTTCTGACCATGATGATCCATGAACCCATCAATCGGCGAGGGATGGTGAGCCAGCTCAGGAGGATTCGCCATATCTCTCGGTGCATACACGATGCACCACCGATTCTGGTCGTAGACTAGGTGGTCGCCACGTCGATTCCAGTATCCCTTCCGTACCTTGCGAGTGCCAGGAGAATGTCCAGGAGATGGGGCAGCGGGCGCAGGAGGATATGCAGATGCGGCGTGCGCGGTGGATGCGGAATTGTAAGCAGAGGAAGTGTGAGCACTGGACGAGTAAGAGGCCGAGGGCTTGTGAGAAGCATAGGCAGACGAGGACCGAGGAGGCGAGGAATAGTGTGAAGAAGGCTGTGTATTGGAAGATCGAGTTGAGGCTGGCTGCGTGCCGGAAGGATAGGCAGAAGACGTGCGCGCACTGGAGGAATAGGTGGAGGACGGTTGAGAACTTGACGTGTAGCTGGCTGCAGGTTGGGCCGTGGACGCAGAGGAGTACGCCGAAGCCGATGACACTGTCGGATAGTTAGTGGGCATGGGAGGCCGGGGCAGAGGATTGTGTGCCGCCCGGGAACTTCGCGAGGGGGAGGGCCCGCGCGACCGAGAATGCTCGCGAGACGCCGACTGTGAGCGAGAGTGCGATGGCTGCGTCGGCGACCTTGGTTGTGCAGTCGGTGATCTCGCCGTAGGTGGATTTGGCGAGCGTGTCGGCTGGCTGGGCGGTGACCTTGACGAGGTATATGAGGTCGACATCTGTGCGTGCGATGGCTGCCGTTCATCCAAGACGGGATACGTTACGCTGCGTGATATCCGCTGAGGGCCCGATTCCGGCGACGCATGGGACGACCGAGGCGGCGAGCGCGCATTCACGTGCGGCGTTGACTGTGGATCACTATACCGACTCCTGTCGGACGGCTTCGGTGTGCGTGGCTGGGACACCGCGCGTTCTTCGGGAATAGAGTCGAACGTTGATGAGGCAGAGAGTGACGGGAAGGTCGAGCTCCGACCCAATTCTCGGCCGCCGCCGGGACTTGAACCACCAATGGTGCGCGACGCGGTCATAAGCGGACTCAGCAGACCTTCCGGTTCCTCCGAGAAGGAGGCGAGGAATGGAAGAGGGGCAGCCGCGGAAGAGGGAGAGCCTGATGAGGGAGTGGGGGCCGAAGACCGGCGCTTGGATAGGCTATTGGAACGGCTTGGGGCGTTGGATGCAGATGTAGATGCAGACGCGGGTGCGTAGATTGGGCCGTGCTGTTGGTGATTTGGCGATACCGGTGCACGAGATGATGAACGACTGGCGTCTTCGTGCGTAGAACGCCGAGAAGGGGTAGTGGACGAGTTGTGCGCCTCGTCGCCGCTGAGGCGACGGGAGGGTGTGTTCGCCGCCGACTGTACGCTTGGATCGCCACTCGACCTTCGAGCGTGCGCCGATGTTGCATGCGAGTCATCAGTGGTCGACCGCCGAGTAGGCACGGGCGTAGACGTCGCGGAGTAGTGCCCCGGTGTGCGGACGATGCTCGGGCTAAACGTCGGATGCAGCTCCTGCCTCGAGCTGAACGCTTCTGTTGCTGACCTGGCGGCAGCAGCAGCAGCCGCTGATGATGCTGATGAAGTCGGCGGATTCGGAGAAGATCGTGGTTCCGGCCTTGCCTGTTGCGTGTCTGCAGGGCGTGGCGAGACGTCGCGACTCCGCTGTCTCTGATGCTGCTGGGAGTACGTTGAGTACGCCGGATACGCGTTATGCATGTTTGGCGGCGGCGGCGGGATGACATTAGGCTCGGCACTTGGCCCGTCCGTCTTTTTCGACTGGGATCTCGTGGCGAGCGCGCAGGGTGGATTCGTGTCTCTGTCGCGGCTCAGGCCTGTCCTGTGCACGAACCTGTCCAGACGTCGCCGAGCAGAACTCCGTATGTAGCACCGTAGCGGTCCTGAGAGTAACGCGGCTGTGCTTCCGCCGTGGGCGCACTCCGTTCGTGGCGCGACCGCGACGGTTCGCGGGTCGCCGGGCGCTCGTCCTGCACACGCGAGTTCGCCCGTCCCTCTCGCCCGTCGGCCCCATCCCTCCCCTCACGCCCGCTGGGTAGGTCAGTCGAATCCTGGTGCTCAGGAGACTCACTGAGTTCCTTCGGGACCCATACCCAAGGCGTGTGCATCACTCCGTTCTCACGCGTCTTCTTGGACACTGCATCCCTGCGAGGAGACATGATGACGGTCTCTGCGAGCACGATCGGTCGGGCGCACGCACCTGATGTGCATATTCTCCAGTCCGAGCGGGTTGTCCGATAACTTCGTACTCCAGTAATCCTGATTGCCCTGATTCGGCTGTCGCTTGTACGGGTTGAAGTTGTTCGCCGCCGCGTGCGGGCCCCAGCTAGGATGTGGCGCCCACGCGGGGACACCAGGTTGCGGCCCAGGGACGGGGCCGCGGAACATGGGGTTGAACTGCCACCGTCCGGACGTCCACGCCTGAGGATTCACGCCGGCAGGGGCGGGTGGAGGCCAGGATAGCCGGCGGGAGCGGTGGGTGGCCATGAGCCGACCCAGCCTGTGGGCGCGGTCCACACTGGAACTGCTGCTGTTGGGGATTCGCCCAAGACATGGATCCGCCAGAGACGGTCGTCAACTAGCAGAGTCGCGCGGTGCGGGAGATCGGCGTGTGCTAGATTGGGGGCGGGCCGTCTAGGGTTCTGTAAGGACACTGGCATAGATATATAGTCTTCCGATGGCTGTCAGTGAACGGCTTTGGGTCATTTACAGCGTCTGCCACAGCATGAGAATGAAACCCACCCCACTACGATCAATCGCGGAGACAGATGCACAATGGTTTGGATTAGGCAATTGTTGTGCCCGTTGCACCCACACAGGGTATTGTAAGAGCAGGGAGTGGGCGCGCGATCTGCGCTGGCACAATAGCGACGAGCTGTGCCAGATGCAGAGGCTGCGGGGCGAGTGACGACAGGCCTCGACTGGACGTGGCTTGATATAGCACGCGAGGACACCCCAGTTCCTCGACACGCACCTGCACAGTGCACGGGGATGGTGGCTAGATAGCGGCGAGTGACCCCGGCCAGGTCCGATCCCGCGAGAAAGTCGAGAATTAAATCGCGCTTCGCTAAACACTGATCGGGGTCAAGATACGGGCGCGTGTCGTAATCGCGTACAGACTCACCCACAGGGTCACAGCGTAGGAGGCCGAAGACTTGGATACGAAGCTCTGAGCAAGCTGCAAGGCAGGAACTTAGTAGGCGGTATCGAACAGCATGATCGAACGGGAATGTATGTGCTCCGGACGGGGCTCAGGCTGTGTGGCAGGATGTCACAGAGCTGTTGATATCTATTTACCTGGAGTGGCAGAACTTACCTGGACCCCCCGAGCTCCTTCTCCTCCTTTCACAACGATCCGGATAACTTAGGCCCAGGATAGGCCCCACGTCGAAAGTGCAACCTCAGGCGAAGCTCGAAGTGTGTCGATCTTGCTGTTCCCATCAAGATTGGACCGTGATTGGCAATGTCGCGGGGGAGCCAGACTACGCGCTGAGGTCGACTCGAATGATCACGTTGAAGGTAATATCAGATGCCCCCGCCCGTCACGGCGTACTTAAGCATTTTTGACGATGGGCCCATCACTTTGGAAACAGCTGTAATGTACTTAAGCGAAGTCTGTGCAGAGCAATATATAGTCAGCGCATGATACTTACTGTAAGTACTGGTGCCGGCAGGCCGTTGTGTCTATCACCATTGTTGTTCGCGGGATATGTGCGTGCCTCAACGGCTTGTTAGGGATTTGAGCTCTGATCTCAGAACTACACCAGTGGCGAGACATGTCTTGCTATCCCTGGCGGAGCGGGAACGAGGTGAGTGCAGGGAAAGAGAGGGGTCGCCTCAAAACCATACGGATGTGATTTATATACGATGGATTGAACAGCCGTCATGGAAGCGTGAAATGTGAAAGAGAATAGATATTGCGACGGTCAGTAATAGTCTGTCTCCAATAGCGCATTCGGAATGTGCCTTGCCCGATCAGGCAAGTGTACAGGTGCATCCACGTCAACGCTCAGTCGAATTCTCCCCTGCGAAGTAACCTCCGAGGCAAAAGAATACGTCATGCTGCCACAGCCTACTCGCCTGGCCCAGTAGCAGTTATCGCTATAGGATATTAGTCCCTCTGCAGGCATATCGAGCAACAGACGAAGGCCTCGAAATTCAAGGCAAACGAACCCATGTAGAGGAGATATTGGCTTTCAAATGCATTACAGAAATGCGTTCATCATATGCCAACATTTCAACTTTCTATGTACTCCGGTGATGATGCTAGTGTGACCGCCGCAGGTTTCAATTTCCAGGACCAGAGCCCAGGAAGAACGCGTACGTGTCTGCGCCACAGACGCGTTCTCACGTGATCCATTGTCCCAAAAAGACTCGGCAGTAATCGCAACCATCGCGTAAGACCAAGGCCTCCTCCTCTAATAGCCTCTGGTATCCTTCTATTCACTCCAATGTCTCTAGCGCGAACATGCTGCGCGGCTTCACGCCTAAGACTCGCTGTGCAATCAACCTCTCGTCTGTCGTGGCGACATTTTCTGCCCATCGCCGGTCTTACGCCTCCAAGCGGAAAGATGAGAGGGCCAAGCACAATCCCGTCGTATCCACGAGTGACCTTGTCCCCGGCTCTCAACAGAAGCTTGCGGGCGCAGAGTACGAGAAGACCGAAGAGAAAATGAAGGGCATCGTCGAGAAGTTCCGGAAAGACGTGGCAGCGATGGAGATGCGCGCGAGTGGCAGGGTCACCCCACAAGTGCTCGCGCCAGTGCGTGTCACTGTACCGGAGGACAAGGGTGGTGATGGGAAGAGCCACCGACTGGAGGAGGTCGCCACGGTCGGGTGAGGGAGGGGACGACGCTGATTGTGACAGTGTTCGACGAACCTGTGAGTCGCTCGTCGTCGTGCGTGGCATTTCGTCTACCCTGAGCTCATCTCATGTGCAGTAGACGTTGAAACACGTCGAATCAGCCATTTTGACGCGAAGCTCCCTGGAGTAATGCCACAGAGGCTCGACTCGAGGACCCTCAAGATCCCTATGCCGAAGTGAGTGAAGCGCCATTATTTCCCTTTGCCGCTGATCTCCATGGCCTTGCAGAGCGACAGTGGAGACACGCACTACCATGGTCACCGCTGCTCAGCGACAAGCCGAGGAAGTCCGCCAGCTGGTGCGAAAGCAGCATTCGGCAAGCATCAAGAAAGGAAACTACAGGAAGCACGCGCCTGAGTTGGACGAGGTCTGTCTGTCGCATCCTCCTCAGTCTTACACGGCCTCCTGACACCTATCGCGCAGCTTCAAACGCTCACGAATCAGTACCTTGCCGATGTCGACAAGATTCTGTCAGACATCAAGAAGGGCGCTGGTGGCAAGTGACGAATAAGTAGGGATTTTCCGTAGGGACCGATCCACTCCGGATGGTTTACGCATGATCAAACAGTATGCCTCGCGGCTACATTGCTATCGAAACGCTCTTCATTTGACCTGTCTTACTGCATAACGATCTCATGTTTAGGGCTGCCGACGCACGAGAGCTCCGTCCACAAGTACTACTGGCATCCTACCTATGCCTCCTTTGAATTTTTCGGATACGTCGTACGTAGTTCCTCCCAACAGTCTCAGAGACGAGCTTCAAGCAGTCTACGCGTGTCTCTGTGTATGAGCCCTACGAATGCAATAGTTGCCACAATCGACGCGCGAGTGCTTCCGAGTGACCGCGTCGCATGTCGTTCACTCGAACTGTGAGTCGTACTACCCACATCTCACAGGCGACTCGAAGACCATTGAAGTCACGCATAAGGCCCCAGGCAGTCAAGGCACCTCTGAAATCCGCTTCTCGGACTTTTACATGTCAACAACTCGCTGCCCTCCACGTGTGCCTCCCTACGCGAGCACGCCTTGCAAGCCGATTCTTGAACGTTTCGACTGTTGTGCAAGGCCACCATGTCACTGATACGCTGGACTTTTGCCTCTATGGACTCGTTGGACACCCTTGACGAAGCAGTACTAGAGCGTTGTCGGCCCCATGTCAGCTACCTACAGCACTTGAAGGCATATTACCGGCAAGCAAGGTTGGAAGTTCCAGGGACCTGGATGTCGGTGTGTGACGCTTTACCTTGGTTGGCTATCGCTGAGTAGCGACTTACCCTGATTTTGGCGTATGGGACAGACACCGCCAAGGAAAAGTACCACGACCATTAGATGGACAACGGAGAGTCGAATCAACTCAAACTTCGCGTCCAGCTACGCCATATCCAGGACGATCTCGTCTACTTGACTGATGAAGAGCTCACACAACGTCCTCCTTGTGACCCCGCGGTGCCAGTGAACTTCTGCTTGTCTGCTGAGCGCCACAAGCACTGGCGTTATCACGAGTCTGACGGCTCAAACGACACGATCTGTATAACACACATGTCGCTCTGCCAAGTGACCCAGGTGCTGCAGTACCGCGACTGGGAGGCCCTCGCCGAACACGCTATCGCCACAGTGTTCGACGGCATCCCTAGCGCCTATGTACGAAGGTCAATTCAACCACCGATGTCACCTAGTACTTCTGTCTCACGCAGCCAACAGGCAAAACCTTGGCGTGATAGGTCTTCAGCGCACCGAGGACCCCGTCGGGTCAATCGACTACGCCGTCCTCTTCTACCCAGTAGGACCGTCGACACCGAGGTCTTTGGAGCAGCTCGCTTGCACGCCCGTCAGCGCTGCCACCCAGCCCTCTTCTGTGCGCAAAGGGGCCCGCGAGGTGGCCTGGGTCCGACCGCCGACCGAGGAGCTCCCGTCGACGCTGCGCAACCTCGCTCGTCTAGCCGAAGTCAGCCTAGCCTCGGTGTCGCGCCCGCTCCCTTCATGCACCGGGGACAGCATCGAGGGTACGCCCGTTCTGACTGCGGATGCCGGAGACCCTCCCATGACGATGGGCCTGATCTACGACTCGGAATGCATCCGCTTGGTGGCCCACATCCCGTACGCCGTTGCAGATGGATACAACTATCTGTCTTTGCTCTTCGACACGCTCCCTTTCCCTTCCCGATGTGCTGGGAGCGCCGGTGCCAGTGAGTTCGTTCGAGGGCGCTACCGCGTTGCGCTTGCCCTGCTGGCCGTGCAACAGCATATCTTCCGCATGGTAACGCGCATGGAGCGTGTCGAGTGGCCAGAGAGCCACCGAGAGGCGCAGCGATCGGCTATGCGTGATCTGCTCGTCGATCGATTCGCGGAAGTGGACGTGGAGAGCGACAGACCGACTTCGACGGAGACATCGGACTGGGGATTGTACGACCGAATCACGACAGAGCAGAACTCGGATACATTTCAAGCCCACGAAGGCAGAATCAAACAGTCCAACCCGGTCGTTAAAGCATGGATACTCCAACGAGACATAGGGCGGTCGTCTGCTAGTGATAAGTAAGTAGGCTAGTCGTCGGCTATGCTTCGAACTCTCACTCACGGGCCACGACCCCAATCTCGGTGTGACATCCTGCAGCGTAGACGGTTTTGAAGCACCCCTTCCAGAGGACTCGCAGAGCCCTCTCAAGGGCAGTGCATACACGTCATTGACTACCATTGGCCTTGAGCTTTAAGATCGCGGAGGATCGCAAGTAGAGCTGACGAAGCCAAATCATGTCCTGGGACATGTACAACATGTGATACGCCTCACTCAGTCTTCGGAGATCCACACTCGGTAAGTACCACTTATTGCAGTGGTCCCATGTGAGATTCACTAAGCTTTCCTTTTTTTTATTGAGTCTCGTCAGATTCATCACTCCCCTTGCCACAATAGACATCTGGGATTCAGGGAGTCCGGCTGGGAATGCCCGGGTGAAGACGACTGCTGGTACTCTCTTCATAAACGCTATTGGTCCGAGTCACAAGGCTTCATGAACACGACCTACATCCAACGCTGTATGTGTCCGATACCTGTATCCTCCGAATACCGACTCGATGAGGTATGGTCCTGCGAACGCGTTGCAGCACTGCAGACTGATAATTCTTGCGTCTAGACGTCTGACTCAATGGTTAAGGTCACGATTTCGGACGGCACCACTCAATTGACAACAGATATGATGAAGACCATTATGCATTTCTTCCGCCCACTTGTCAGTACGCGTACTCGTCTCAGGCGCTCATGGGTGGATTCCAAGGACGCGAATGAATATCCGACTCACGTACCGAGTCTCTACATTCGAGACGATGTGACAGAAGAGCAGAGGGCCAGCATTCTGTTCATGTTTTATCCGTTTGCTCTGTCTGATCAACTAGCTCGAGATCTCGCGTCAGAAAGGCTCATCGGAGAGACGATCGAACAAGTGCTCGGACGACAATCCGAGTTCTGGACTTACCTCACATCGACAGGGTACGTCCAATCTTACTCTTAAATTGACAGGCTGAGCATTGACATATTGACACGTCGCTACCGTCGCTGCAGAGTTCCGACTATTAGTCGCGATTGTATACCACTTGCTGTCATCCTCCGTGGTGATGCCCATATGCAAGCTGACGACATGATAACCATGCGCAAGCGCTTGACTCGAGCACTCCACGGAACGTTGACCTTGCTCGTCATGCAACACTACGACAATCAGCTCTGGGACCTTGACCGCGAACTGGCGAAGGCAGATGCACGTATACAGGTAGACGAAAAGTTCTACGTTTTCAGTGTGGTCTACAGCAGCCGGATGTTCATGGTCGATATCAACTTCCCGGTGCTTGAGCGGGACAAGTCGACGAAGCAGTACAAGTGGAGATTCGTCAACGCAGAAGTGATGTCCAAGGTTTGGGGACAACCTCCGGTACATCTGCACGACCGAGTGGACATTTTTCAGGCGCTATTATTTATTGAACAGCATACCTACTTGCTGAGCCGACAACTCAGACTCAGAGAAGAGTATGTTGATCCTGCATGCGTTGTTGAACTACCGTATACCGGAGCCGGAGCTTCCTTCTGAGGCTCCATTGGCACTTCATCGACATATAAAGGTAGCACGCAAACTATCTGGGGTTCAGTTATACTGTAAGGATGCTAAGTATTGTTTCCGGCTATGTTCGCGAGCGAGATATCGATGTGGTCAACGTCAACTTATAATGACAGAAGAGGGCGCTCGTCGACTCGCCACAGCGATCTGGGCCCACTAGGAGCGACTACATAGTACCGTCATTATAGACTTCACCCCGACTTCGTACATCATCAACTCAGCTTCACCAAACTATTGCCATCCAGTCTAACCCATGCACTAAAGGGCTGCCATTATATCATCTACGCACCAGAGCCGCAAAGCAATGGACGCCCCAGAACCGTCTACGGTGTCAGCTGAAACTGACCCGATGAGTATACGGGCTCTCAAAGATATATCCTTCGGTTCTGTAGTCATGTTCAACATTACTCGGGATCACAGCAGTGATGGTTGCTGACAGATTGCCGGAATGTCATCTAAAGTATTCGAGCATCCCTTCGACCTCACGAAAGTCCGACTACAATCCCAAGTACTAGACGCAACCGCCCGGTTTGACGGGCCAATAGATTGCTTGGTGCAGACATGGAAGAAAGAGGGCTTGCGGGGTCTGTACAGGGTGAGTCTGCTCTTTCCTGGGGGCGAAGTATAACTGGACAGTCGTTTTGCAGGGCCTACCAGCGCCCATAGTCGGAGCGATGGCGGAGAACGCGTCGCTTTTCTGGACATACACAGAGTTCCAAAACGCGATCCGGTGGTAGAAAGCAGCCGGCGACACACCAACTGTCGCTCGGCCAACTCGCTCTCGCAGGTTCCGGCGCAGGTTGTGTAACGAGTTTCGTCCTGTGAGTACCATCTCTATGTCGTCGCCGGCGCCTTCCAATGCTTCCGTAGTACCCCCATAGAGCTCGTGAAGTGCAAGATGCAAGTGCAGATGCTGATGGCACCCGGTGTCTCACCAGCCCAAGCAGCGGCAGCCCTATCCTCGGTTGCGCCGGCTACAGCCCTACCAACAGGTCTCTCCGGCTCTCCTTTCCACAAACTTCCCGGTCCCATCTCCGTCCTCACATCCGTCATTCGTACCACCGGCTTCCGTGGGCTCTGGCTCGGCCAGACCGCGACGCTCATCCGGGAGACCGGCGGCGGCGCCGCATGGTTCGCGTCCAAGGAGGCTGTCGCGACTTCCTACTGAAGCGGCGCCACGTTCCGTCCAAAGACAAGAAGGAGCTGCGCCCTGGGAGTCAGCGGTGTCTGGCGCCGCGGCGGGCATCGCTTACAATGTCGCGCTCTTCCCGGCAGACACGGTGAAGAGCACGATACAGACGGAGGCGGAACTGCGCCCGAGAGCGCCTGGAAAGCCTGGTCCTACGTTCCTTGGCACGTTCAGAGCGATGTATGCGGCGCAGGGGATCAAAGGCTTGTACGCAGGGTGTGGTATCACTGTGGCGAGGGCGATACCTAGCAGTGCCCTCATCTTTTTGATTTATGACGGCTTGAGCAAGAGGTATGGCTCACAATAATGTATGGTTCGCCCCGATACTGGGATTGAACAGATTTAATTGTATGAGCTTTACTCGTCGGTCCTCTGCGCGGACAAGCGAGGCGTGTCTGAAGGTTTGCGCCCGCGCCCATGGTCCTTCACGAGAGTGTCCAACTGCGACCGTAAGCTCAAGGCTGATATATTGAAGGGACAGGTGACCAGAGTCGCTAAAGACCTCCGGGTGTAAGAGAGCGCTTCTCTCGTCTGCTGAATGCGCTGAGGACAGTTGGCTACGAGTCGTGACTGCAGATGGGATTGACCGAGTATCCGGTATTAATACTGAAAGGCGTGAGTGTTGACTAGGACGGCGCCATCATGGTCCTCCCAATGACATTCTTGATCAACTCGTAGGCTCTGCACTGTCCGTCAGGCTTTCGCTCGCCGTTCCCACGTACGCTGAAGCACAGACTGAGGAGTTCGAGACTGTCTACCGTGACGAGGCGAGGACGCCAACAGCATAACACTATTGTTCATTTATGTACTACTACACCGACCACGCGTACGCGACTCTACATTACCTCGGAACGCAAGCAGCAGCAGTAGCTCTGCTCCGGCCCTTGGCACCGGCACACCTTGAGTCTACGTGCGTCGGGTAAACATATTCAACTGCTGTTGACAAGATGCCTCGCATCAATAAGTCGCCCTCATACTAATAGGAACGTCGCAAATCGCACACCCTGTAGAAGGTGCGTCGGGTCGTAGGTTCGACACAAACCGTTCCCCACGCGCACGTGTGAGACCGTGTGAAAGGTCTTGGTATCAGACCACGTCGGGAGGCTCGCTGAGACATGGATTCGGTACTACATAATAACACACTGAGAGAATTCTGCAACGACATCCGTGGTATACATGACATCGACCTTGAATCTCTACTGATTCTGTACTAGCCCGAGACCCTTCAGGTTATATATATGTTGTTCAATCGTCAACATCGTCGAGAAGATCACTGCCCTTTCACGAAGCTGCAGAGGTTGCTCGAAATCGAAGGCCTCCAACTCCACGTTGTGAGATTTCCACCTGTAACTTCCTTCCGAGTTCTTCACGGGCTTTGGGTAATTGACGAATGACCTGAAGGTGCAGTTGCTGTAGAACACGCTGAGCACGAACAGGTTCTCGTCCAGCGCGATCCGCGCATCCGCGTCCGTGAGCTCTCGGTCGGTCCGCCAGTCTTGCGCTTTGTAGTGATGCTCGACGAACGCGTCGAGCGTGCGATGCAAGACGCACGTCATGTCCAGACGAGCGGTCCTCACAGCAAGTGCCATTGCTGCAGCGTCGCGTCGATCGCAATATTTCCCTTGTACTGCGACAAAGAATGGCAGAGAATCGTTCGGTACATCCACCTGTCTAGTTTCTGGGTGAAAACTGAGCCCGAAGTGAGGGATCATAGTACAGGCATACCTTCCGAGTGATACGGATGTCCAGAACGAGGATGAGCCCCCGAGGATGCGGGTGATGAAATGCCCGATGAGACCCTCTGGAGGCAGCTCTCGCCAAAACTGAGTTGATTCGGTACACGGGTGGTAGAGGATGAGGGCACTCGTTTTCTGACCCAAGGTACTGTCATCGCGCACGTACAAACGAGGAACGTATGGAGAGAGTGTGTCGCGATCTTGCGTAGTGAGCCAGCAATAGTCCTCGTGGCCAGCTACCCAATTTCGTTGCATTTTCTGTAGCCATCGTAATATTAGCTTGGTCAAGAATACATCAATGTCGGGTAGAGTGTCGAGTGATTGTCCGGTGTCATCATCTTCCTGCTGTCATAAAATGAATGATATCAGCCTGACCAAACAATCATGGCTCCGACACGAATGGACATACTAGGTATACGCGCGGAACAGGTATCGGTCCTATGCTATACGCACCCGGTCGAGCCACGTATTTCTCATCAAGGAGATTTAAGATGCGCGAGGCAATGGACAACCAGCAATCACCGTGGCTCTGGTACACTTTGGTCCAGTTGTAGAGCGTCTTGAAGCGTCTGTCGCCATATATGCTGTAGACGCGTTGGGTAAAATAGAAGGGATGAATGGAGTATCAAGTGAACTCACGAGTCGCGAATGTGGATATCGATGTTTGATGAAAGATCATGATGCTGCGTTCGTCGACAACGTACATCGCTAATCGCCCTCGGTGACCCCGTCTCAACTGGAAATAGTCCACGAACGTCGAACGTGTTGAAGACATGATCGTCAGAGGCTCGAATGGGCGATTGAGGTTTGCAATTGGATATGCCAGTGCCCGGCAGAGAACACGTCAAACGTGTCTGATTACTGGTGGATCTTGCCGCGGCGAACAGCGTCAAGCTCCTGGCTCTAGGTCGGCTAGCAGAAGGAAATAGAACAGAAGGGACTACGGCGTTGACATATGAGTCAGGACGCGGGTCTATGCTGCAAAACCATCGGGAGGTAAGCCAAACCTGGTGAAGCATCGACTCGAATCGCAATTCTTACCAGTGTTCAAGTCGTAGCCGGGGAACCTTTTCAAACCATGACCTTTTGGCTTTTTCCAGCGTCTCCTCGAAGAGCCGTTGGTCTACTTCATCTGAGTCCTTGCCTCGTGAAATAACGGAGGGATCACGGTCTTGCAGCTGGTGATACCACCTATTGACGTTCGCTTCAAAATCTGAAGCGTATACGTCTCGGACTGCTTCAGATGGTGTGGGAGTCGCCGACCGCATGCCTTTCATTATAAGCTCGCCTCTCGTCGTTCGTCCAATTGCAGACTCAGGCTGGTACGCTTCAAATTGATCCCCTGGAGTCTGGCGAGCGACTTCCTCGAATAACGACACTAACCGATATACGTGTTGCTGAATGGACAATAGTGCTATGGCAACTCGGTAGCGCGCCTTGACGAAGTCCCTGGCATTTTCGATGCATTGGGAAGGGAACGGGAGCGTGGCGAAGAGGAAAGACAGATAACGTGGTTCCTTGGCAGAAGCGGAGAAAAACGGTATATGAGCCACGAAATGAACGTCTTGTGAGTCGTATATTAGGCCGATGATCAGCGCCCACTCTGGAATGTTCACCACCGTGGTACCGGTGTCGGATTGATGCCGCAAGCCATCTACAAGGGAGGAAAGACTCGGTGCAGCAGTTCGCGCCATATCATAGCGGGTTGGCAACAACATGTTTTCATGGTCGTTCCATTGCCGCTGGCATTGCATGTTCCAGGGACGAGGCCCCACGGCGCACAGCAAGAGAGCGGGATTCATGCGACTTGCAGGCAATCGCAAAAGTCGCTCGAGGCTCAGTCCAGTGATCGGTTGGATAGGAATGTAGAGTGCCATGAACTGGATGGTGTCGGGAACAATCTGCTGGCCATCTAGGCCCATATTCTGCCTACATGGCGGACGAGACCATAGGAAGTTTAAAACCTGGAAGGCTAAAGCGTGAAGCTTGAAGACTCACTTTCGAATATAGACACCAGGTATACCGTCGAGGGCTGAAGCAATAACGTGCTCTGCCAACAGAGGTGTGTCTCGGTAATGCAAAATCTGCGCCACTTGGTTGAGAGTTTTATGTGTTCGCAGAGCGAGCGAATTCTGATTCCTCTGTTGATGATTATCGCGCGCACTGATCGTGTAGCGCTGGAGTGACGAGCAGAAGGTGGGCGAAGCACTATGAGGACTTGCGAAGGGGTTGTACTTGAACTCCATGAGGTCATCCCGGATTTGGTTTAGCATGACACGAACACGATGAAAGTCGAGTTCAGTGGTGAAGGTCTCGAAGAAACTACTCTTCTCGAACGCAGTGCCTATCAACGACTGATCATGTAAATGCTAAATGTTCCTGACGTGAACAAACATTAACCAAAAGACAGATTCTCGAGTCAACGCACCTCCGCCCAGACATCCGGCACTAAGAGTTTATCCCATGACTTTACGATGTCCTTCAAGTAGCTCAATTGAGGAGCGCATAGCTGGTGCATAGGTTTGGTGGCATCTGGCGTATGGATGGATCCAAACATCCAGGCTGTAGGTTGTTCTTGTGCGTGCACAGATGGCGCTGCGGTCCAGGTCATCTTTGACATTCAGGTTTGTAGCGGTTTATGGACCCGTAAGTAATGCGGAAGACGAGACGGCCCAATACGGTTGACTGATGTTGGCCCGAGTCTGGGCGTTTCGCGCGACGCGGTCAGTTCCTGGTCAGTTCTACTTCCTCCAGACCACACACACCGTCAGCTCAGCTTCGCTAAACCATCCCCATCTAGTCTGGCTAATACCTGCACTTAACGGTAGCCGTCGTATTGTCTATACTTTGCCAGGACTGCGAAGGAATGGGCACCCCAGAACCGTCTGCGCGCAGCAGAAACTGACCAGACTGAGCCTTATACTACGGGCTCTCAGTGATATGTCTTGATCCTGTAAGTCGTGTTCACGCTTACTTGGAGTCGCAGCAGTGAAGTTTGCTGACAGATTGCCGGAATGCCATCCAAATTATTCGAGCATCCCTTCGACCTCACGAAAGCCCGACTACGATCCCAAGTACTAGATGCAACCGCTCGGTTTGACGGGCCAATGAAATGCTTGGTGCAGACATGGCAGAAGGAGGGCTTGCGAGGTCTGTACAGGGTGAGTCTGCTCTTCCTGGAGGCGAAGGATAGCTTGAGAGTTTTTTTGCAGGGCCTACGAGCGCCCATAGTCGGCGCGATGGCGGAGAACGCAACACTTTTCTGGACATACACAGAGTTGACACAGAGTTCCAAAACGTGATTCCGTGATGTGAGAGCAGCCGGCGACACACCAAATACGCTCGGCCAACTCGCTCTCGCAGGTTCCGGCGCAGGTTATGTAACGAGTTTCGTCCTGTGAGTACCATCTCTATGTCGTCGCCCAGCGCCCTTCCAATGCTTCCGTAATACCCCCATAGAGCTCGTGATGTGCAAGATGCAAGTGCAGATGTCTCGAGGCACCCGGTGTCTCACCAGCCCAAGCAGCGGCAGCCCTATCCTCGGTTGCGCCGGCCGCAGCCTTACCCACAGGCCTCTACAGCTCTCCTTTCCATAAACTTCCCGGTCCTATCTCCGTCCTCACATCCGTCGTCCGTACCACCGGCTTCCGCGGGCTCTGGCTCGGCCAAACCGCGACGCTCATCCGGGAGACCGGCGGTGGCGCCGCATGGCTCGCGTCCGAGGAGGCTGTCGCGACTTTCCTTCTGACGCGGCGCCATATTCCGTCCAAAGACAAGAAGGAGCTCAGACCTTGGAAGTCAGCGGTGTCGGGCGCCGCGGCGGGCATCGCCTACAACGTCGCGCTCTTCCCGGCGGACACGGTGAAGAGCACGGTACAGACAGAGGCCGAGCTGCGTCCGAGAGCGCCTGGAGAGCCTGGCCCTACGTTCCTTAGCGCATTCAGGGCGATGTATGCAGCGCAGGGGATCAAAGGCTTGTACGCAGGGTGTGGCATCACTGCGGCGGGGGCGATATCTAGCAGTGCTCCGTCTTCTTGATTTACGATGGCTCGAGCAAGGGATACGGCTCGTAGTGACCGTTATAGAATGACACGCTTCTCGATCAACCTTCAAACTGGACGGGTCACGAATGAGATACACTGTTTCTGATGCACGACTTCCCCAGATCGTTCATTCATCATTGTTCGTTGTACGACAAACATGTAACCCGTCTGGCGACCTATATGTAGGAACTAGGTGACGACATAACATTTCAATATTCAATCTTGAGTGTAGTCAAACATGGTATCATACAGAGAGGAGAGTGAAGGGGAGCAAGTTCGCGTTGAGCTACGGGGAGAACCTAGCTACATGGAGAGATATTCGTATCCGCGCCAGAACCCTCTGGACGAAGTAATTGGCCGAGTGCGTACATCTGTTGTTCGACTGCGAGCATGGTACTGATGATGCGGAACTCCTGAGCCGGATTCGCGTCCAAAGGCATGGACACCGCGTAGTCGAACATAGGGCACCGCCTAAATCGCCAGACGTGCCGCCCTTGTGCATCCCGTTCGAGTTTGGGGTGATGAGCGCAGATGATGAACCTCCACTCGTTGTAGTATACGCTGTACGCGCAGAGCGCGTCGTCCAACTGCACTGCAGCATCCGCGTCGCTCAATTGGCGGTCTAGATCCCAGCCTTGCTGGCGATAATGATGGACGACGCATGTCGTGAGCGTCCAGTGTAGGGCGCCCAGTGTCTCCGCTTCCGCGGACTTGACGTCTTCCTCTGAGTCGGTCTCACCGCGTACGATGACGACGAGTGGGATGACTGGCAGAGTTGGACGCGGATATCTAGCAACGTAACATTGGTGAGACACATCCGTAACTCTGAGTGACTGTCTGTTCACTAGCTCACCTCCAAGTAGGAATGAAAACCCACGACGTTGACGACCGGCCAAACAATCGCAGTATGAACTCGCCGATAGGGTCATACGGGTCCAGTTCCTGTGCCAGCTGAGAGGAGGAAGTGGACGAGGCAGTAAGCGCCATTATGCTTGCCTTCTGCTCCAGTGTGGCATCGGGTCGCATATATAGGTCGGGCACGAAGTTCTCGCGCGGCTTCTGGTCATCCCAATCAATCCATTTACACTCTGCTAATTGATTCAGGTGATGGAGACGCAGGGCAGCGAAGTGCATTGTTTGCTCGGCCATTGTTCGTGCACGATCCTCGATCATTCGATCCACCTGGGAAACACACCTGTGTGAGCATAGCATGGAATTTCGCGAGTGATCAGGTACCTGGTACACGGCCGGCACGGGTATACTCCCGTGTTGGTCCAAGTACATATTCGATTTCATGTATGCCGACTTGATCATGCACACACGTATCATTAATTCCCACCAGCACTGTGACGGCCGCATTCGATCCCAGAGTACTTCTCCGTCGAGCCATGTCCACCCGTGCGCCGATGGATCGCGGCGCACAGTTTGGCCCGAATATCTGGGACTCGGAAATTCAGCATCTGTGACACTCCAATCCTTGGGTAGGCGAGTCTTGGCGACGTACCCTGCCGAAGTCAAAGCAGACAGATCAGGGCCTGACAACAGTCCCAAGTGCATCAGCACGTCTTGAGGGACATAGTGGCGACCAGCAACAGTTACGGGACCAGTGAATGCTTCGGGTGCTGTGACTGGCCTTCGAACAATGGGTTAGCAACACCGCCGAGCCTACAGAGCATAAGGTCCATTTACCTCGTAACTATGTCGTGCTGTATTGTCATATCTAGATATGTGCGCAGACACTCCATTGGTTTCAGAGTGGTGCCATACGATATGGTGGTTGGCGGTATCGCAGCCCGCACTTCAATGCGGCGATCTCTGGTCCGAAGCCGTGAAGCGCGTCCCGCCTGCTTGCGCAACCATTGATCAACGAGCTTGATAGACTGATCAATTTCACGATCGCTGGGACCGGGGTCACAGTCTACAACCTGGGGACCAAGGAAGGCCACAGTGAACGGGTCCATGACAGGTGGACGCAATGAATATTGCGGAATGTTTGGATGCTCTGCTGAATCAGGGTTGGAAGATGAGGATGCGTCGGATCCATCGAAGCCTTGCAGCTGGCGTGAAAAGCTACTGTTCTCCGAGACGTCGCGCCATTGGATCTCGTCCCATATACTAGTCAGACGGAAGATGTGGTGCTGAAGAGATAGGAGGGCCAAGCCAACGCGGTACCGACTCCGCAGGAAGTCCGACGCGTCTCCTTCGTCATTTCGCACACAGGGAAAAGGCAGCGTATCAAACAAGAGAGACAGAAACCGATAGTGCCCAGTCGAGTCAGATGGCACATAGGGGATGTGTGCAATGATGTGTATGGCTTCGGAGTCGTATACCAATCCCAAGGTCATTGCCCAACGTGGAAGTACCCTTGCTCCACTGCTAATATTGCGAGGCCTGGCGCCACGCACGCGTTCGGCAATGGATGCCCGTGCAGTGCATGCCTGTACCATAGATAGAAGGCTGACAGTAGCATTGTCAGCAAGGTGGCGCAGTACGGTCTGCATATCCACTGCTGGCACACCGGCTGTGTCCCAAGAAGAAGGGCCCTGGGCGACAAGCATGAGAGCAGGATTGAACATGTTGATGGGAAGACGATCCAACCATCCTAAAGACGGTGCATCCGAGTCCGGCTCAGCGTAGTAAGCTGCTTGGGTATACAGCACCGCGCAGTCGATGGATCCTGTACCTCGAGAGCGACGACCATCATGCTGTATCAGGGACAAGTCTTGCCTTCGGGAGGAAAGCGGGTGCCAGATTTCAAACAGATTGTCAGTTACTACTACCCACGATCTAGGGGCATTTACGACATACCTTCTCACCACTGTCGCAGGGATTCCATCGAGCGCAGTCATGATTGCATGTCTCGCCTCGAACTCGCCATTTCTATATCGAAGGACTGCATAGATTTGGTGCAGAGTCATTTGGGTCGCTCGTATGTGATGATTGTGGATGTTGTGCATCGAGACCTGCCAGCTTGAGGGGTCGTGGCAACGTTTTATGGTCAGAGTGAAGCTCGGAGAGAGGCTGTGAGGGGATCGACCCTTCATTTCTGCATCGGACAGGAATCGCATAATGCACTTTCCCTCATCACATATATGATGCAGGCTGGAGCGGACCAAGTCTGCATGAGGCTCCCATTCCCCGCGACGGCGACGGCGACCAACTGCTTTCAGATCCTAAGTAGTGCGGATACAATATACAGGCATGTCAGTGTGCCTGGTATGTGTTAGCGACATGTTACAAGTGACGTACCATCCATGATCGAGGTGCTACCAAGTGTTGCCATGTGAGCTTCAACTCCTGTAGATACCGGATCTGTCTTGAGCAGAGCAGTGCGATATCCGAGCTTGGGTCCATAGACTCAAGGGTGCGAAACTCCCAAGCATGATTGTGGCGAGTCATCTCCGGAGTCGTTGAATGTATTGGCGATTCAGGGGTCACCGCGCCAGTGGCAGTCGCACTCAAACACACGACTAGATGCCAGGGCCCAACACCCCGAGTACTGAACACTTGCTAGATGGTGACGGCTTCTAGTAGGACCTCAGTGAGCGAGTGACGAGCATTTAAGCTGCAGCAGACGCCGGAGCCACAAGTTTGTAACTGCAGATGCGTCACCGGTTCACCCCAGGCCTCCGGTGCCCTCCATCGCGTATTGTGCATTGCCAGTGATTCATTCCCATTTCAATCCCAAACATATTGTAGACAAACTGGTTTGGCATGTATCATGGGTTATAGTCTACCTGAGATGTTCCTGTTTTAGATTGGTGGTTGTATTGACTAGTGGTCGATAAAGTATGCATTCTCGTATGTGTACTGCCTGCGCCGGCCGATCAGGGGTTTTGAATTATTATTGAGTGTGATACTAGGGTTCAATTTGTCATGACTTACTCGTGTACCACTCTGCACTTATGTTGCTATCTTCTGTCTGTATACTTTAATGATACAATCATATGTTCTTTCGTCGGAGTCATAACACCACCAGTATCATGATGGTGGTGATCACAAGCTCCGAGTCGAGACTAGCCGTGATGTTGCCGGCCGGAAGTGATATCATCTGTTTGTCGCTGCAACTAAAATGTGACAAGTGACACAGTGGAGGCTACAGCAGTTCTTGTAATGTGTCAGCATGAAAAGCATATATTACTACATTTAGTGACCTGATACAGACAGTGTGATGCTTCAACTTGAAACAGAATATTCAGATGCATGTTGATGATATGAAATGATCATTGTAACATTCACAACACTCAATTCAGCATGTTTCAACAGTTGATGACATCAGCATTCTGTACTGGTATTGTACAATCAATATTTAGATGTGTTCATAGCAAGTGTCAAATGTGTATTTGAGTTGACTGATACTCATTTACTTGCTATTGTCATTCTAGTCTGGGAAATGATTACTCTCACACTATTGTGTCAAGTGTCAATGCTGATCACTAGGGTGTACATATAAAAGCAGGTGTGAAGTTCTGTTTGACTACACCAATTCACAACCTCCATCTGTCTGTCCTCCAGGAGTACTGTTAGTAAAATGACCTCCCCAAGCCCACTACCTCTTGATACTATGGAAAACATTCGTGAAGCACTAGGATTTGTACAAGATCTCAAGTCTGCTGCTAGGTTTGACTGATCACTTTCAATGATGCATGTTATACTCAAGCTGATTGTTGCCACAGTAAGATGACTATTGATCAAATCCAATCAAATGGAGATTGGGATATGAATGACATTGGTGAAGACTTGAAGACCAAGAAATCTCATTCTAAGACTGTCAGACATACCACCGCTGGTGTGAAAGCTCAACTGCAAGATCAGCCATTGAATGAAGAAATAGCTGCCTTAATCCAGCAGCTCAAACTGAAATATATTGTTGAGTTTGACACTATGCCTGCAGAGTTTAGTGTCAGTAAAGCCCATGTGAGTACTCACTATCTCTAAGGCTTGCAGTGCATCCTCTTACCAGTACAATTGCAGGCAATCCTGGAGGACTATGACTCATCAACTGCCAATGCTATGTTATCATACTTCTCAAGATTTGCCATCAACAAACTGGAGAACACAATACTTGATTCACTGCCACTGCATCACAAGCTTGGCACAAAGATTATTACCTGGAAAGAACCCAACCACAGTAATGATGAAGACTTTGCTCCAAGGATCATAACACAGGAAGATCAGAACTGTATTGACAGTTTGCCTCATTTCATGATCATGCGACCTCCTGATAACCCATATCAAACTGGTGAAGTTCATGTGGAGCGGAATGTTGGGACTCCTATCTCTAGCTTGTTTGAGGAGCTCAATGCTAGCTGGAAGCAACACTCGTTTGTCATTTCCCTGTTATGATTGATATCTGTGTTCCAATCACTTTTATCATTCAGGAACACATTGGTGGACTTACTAGACACTCTGTCAAAGTCAACAAAGGGTGCAAAGCCAGATATATGCATCCAGAGCCAATGGAGATTTGATGAAAGCTCCAATACATTGGTTGAAATCCTGAAACACAGCAAGTCATATGAAGGAGCAGTAACCCCTACAGTTCCAGGTGCTGTTGTCTTCATTGCTGAAGCAAAGAAGACCAGTAACAGTCGCAGTGCGGCCATTGCCCAAATGGCCCTTGTCCTACACCCAACACTGATCATGCTGATCATGCTGTATCATCGTGATCATGGCTTCAAGTATAACATGGACAAAGCCAAGATTTTGGAAGCAGAAGAGCAAATCCCTGCGGAATACTTCATCCCAAGTGTCTTTTACTCCGATCAAGAAATCTCCATACTGGCAAATTATCCCACGATTGCCACCGATCATACACCGCGGGGTAATAACACTCGCTGGCGCATGAAATGCGAAAATTTGGTCAAGTACGACATTTCATCCAGGATGAATGATGCTAAGAAGTTTACCTTCTATGTGGCAATGCTGGCTGTGTTCCGCCATGTCCAGCGGCTCAAGCAGATCTGGACCAATCAGGACAATACCCGCTATTTCAAGGAGATACTCGAACACACTGCCAAGAATGCTCCAAAGAAAGGTCAGTCATTCTTGCCACTCGTGAGAACGTTGTCTGACAATTCATGCATATTGCCCATGAAAGAACCAACTTCCGAGGCTATAGAAGGCCAGTCGAAGGAAGGCCAATCATCAAAGCAGACAGACGGGCCCCGATCTTCCACACCCGCCTCCGAAGGCGGCTCGAGTGCGAAAGGCTCGGCGGGAGGATCGAAGGGGAGAGGAAGAAAGAAGGTGACGATAGCACAGCCCACGAAGTGAGCATCCTCACGCGAGATTGTGGACGAACCCGAGTTGTATAACCACCGAATTGCGAAGTTTGAAGATTTGCATATGTATTACTTGGGCTGTGTTGGTGCTACACGTAATGCAGGGTATCAGCATACTGCAATTGAATAAGTATAGAGCGCAGCATGCTGGGCTGAGAACTAGGCATTGTCGTGGGGCAAATAGTAAACCGGCACGACACGGTATACAGTACGTACGTTACAAATGAGCCACGTCGCCGGGTCCACTCGTCTTGCTCTGTTTGCGCGCGTGCATTCACCAACCTACTTGACGCTGACGACTCCGGCATGAGCACACTGCCAAGCCCTGCGGACCATAGTTCTCGCCTCGTTGGTTGTCACCCGACAGGCTAAGGGCTAGGGGAGGGCCTCAGCATTGAAAGTGGCGAGTTAACAGACTTTTATTGTCGATGCAGAGCTGTTCGGCGCAGGCCCAGGTGATGCGAGCGCTGAGGATTGCGACTGCGACACGTCTGAGCATAGCGCCGACACGCGCATCTAGCGTTCGGTGAATCTGTCAACAGCACACCATCATAGTCGGTGCCTGGGACAGAAGGGTGAGATAGCAACGCACGTCTGGCCTTTCTTCATCCACTCCCATTTCTGCCTGGCCAGACTCTAGACCCACGATGACATCTGATGCATCGCGACGCGCCTGAGGGGCAATCTAGACCCGCGAGCGTGTTGCCTCTGGGTGTGAGCGATGTTGCGAGCTCCGTGCCCGGCGAGGCCGACAAAAGCGTTGTGGGCGCGCGCCGCGCACTGGTTCACATTAACGGCAGCATTACCTCCTGGAGCATTCAAAGCGATGATGATGCTAAGAAACAGGCGAAACGCACGCTCATTCAGTTGATGCGCCTGTTGTGCAATATAGGCGCGGCGGATGAGCCTATGGCGTCCCCTCGAGTGCGGAACTCCCGTAGGATAATCTAAACGCGACCTCTTTGAGTGGGGGAGGACGGTCTCATATGAGAGCTGGTCAGAAATCATGTCAATAGGGCTTGACTCGGAGCCAAAGCGTAACTTACGAGACCGGACTAAGACACTCGTCAATTCGCTACGCTGGACTATAATGTCACTGATCGTTGCTCGCGATAGCGCAGTGAATTACGAAGCGTACCGTTTGTGTACAATCTTTTACTGGCTCAATGTCACAGCTAGGTCCACTTCGTTGGGCCCCGCACAAAAAGCGTGTATAGAAGCGGAGGTCGTTGGACGTTGGCATGCAGTGATCCGGATACTTCGCCGCTCAACCTGGGCCGCCATAGTCAAGGTCGCGGCTGCCTGGCTCAGCCTGGCCGTCGAAGTCCGCTGCGTCCCGGCGTGATCCCATATCGGACCGACTGGACTCCGCTTATGTGTGTTTGAAGGGCGCGGCGCACAACGATATGGACCTATGTAGCTGCAAGAATCCACCAGCCTGGCCACAACTGGCCACTGTCAAGAACGGAGAGAGCGTAAGTTAAGCGGAAAGCGGGTTCGTCCGACTCCGATCCAAGTGCTCGACGCCGGCCAGCGCCGGCCCGGCGCGAGCGCAGCGCGGAGCGGCTAATAGGGACAATGGTTGCTCTTGGGTTGCTCGTCATGCATTCATGGCTGCCTGCCTCTGACGGGTTTCTTCCTTGGTAACTGAGTACTGAAGTATCAATATAATCGTTAGTCATGTAGTCCCTGTACCTTTGGATGCACCACCTCAAGAGGTCGCACAGCGGCAATTGGACGAACTCAACGATATATTCGGTGTGTACTGTGCTTGGGACCTGCTTGCCTCTACTATGCAATCATGTACGACGCCAGACTGGCCTCTAGAGTCCTCGCCGAGGATGCGACCGATACATGCATGTACAGTCTTCGTGACCCTGCTAAATGAAGCCACACACAATGAGCGCCTTCATAAATAGTACGAGGAATCTGACACGGCTGATATCCTCACCGCCAATCCATCAGAGCAAACAGAGGCCTCCTCCTAAGGGAGAAGGAGAGCTCCTCACACAGTCGGATGACGGTGAACATCTTGATGCGTACGACATTACTGGACCTCAGCAGCATCTGAGCGTGACTGCTTCTCGATTCAGCGGTACCGACACCGGAGAAGTGAGGTCTTGGAGAGATGGCGCTCCGGCGAGGAATGGATGTCGTGAAGCCTCTGTTGCACAATATTCAAATCTCAGATTGTTCGAGCCTACAGTGCGAAACGTAAGGCGTTAGTGACCGTCACTGAGCGCGGGTATGAAGCACTCATGTATCAGGCACTGAAGCTTGTGTCAACCGTGACAGGATACCTGCTGGACCTGCTGGAAGCAACAAGACGATCTCGGTGATGACTATTAAAATAGCACATACAGGTATCAACACAGGTGTATAGCACGTATCGCTCTAGAAGGTATAACTAATACCACGAGACAATCAACGAGCACAACAAGGCAGACCCGCCGGCTGTACTCTACATACCTACTCTACCAATTCCACTCATCGTTGCTATGGTCGCGGCTCTCGCCCTTCGCAAGGAAGCTCGCCACGGCTGGCGACCGCGAATCCGGCACCATCACGCTTCTGAGACCCTGCGCGCCGTCGTCGTACTCCAGCAGCGACGCCGACGACGTGAGCTGCCCCCCGGCCGGCGAAGGCGCAGGCGAGGGCGAGGGCGAGGGCGAGGGCGACGTCGAGAGCGGAGAGCGGGGAGAGCGTCGCCGCGAACGGGTTCGATGATATCGACACGGAGCTGCTCGACGCTGGCCCGGGCGACGCGAGCGCAGAGAAGAGCGACCGCGACACGTTCAAGAGCAGCACCAACGCGCGCTTCTGGCCCTTGGTGAACCTGGCGACGTCAACACACCACGTCAGTCAGCGCGTGCAGACGAATAAGCAGAAGGATCACACACGTCTTGCATTCTGCAGTTCGTCCCATCTTCGCTCGACGCTGCTCCCGATCGTCTCCATCCACGTGGAGATTGGCTGTACCGCGAGCGTGCCCATACCGGGTATGGCGGGGGATGGGAGGCCCGACGACAAGTTCAGACTTGCGCGTTTGCTGGCTGGCGTGGACGACGCCGCATTCGGCGTCGTCGGCGAGTCCGGGAGAGGCGCGCTATCCCGCGACTTGCGCCGATGCAGCTTCGCGACATGCAACACACTCGCAGGGGAGATCTCCAGGCTCCTCCCGCTCCTCGCCCTTTTCGTCCAGCTCTCGGGGAGGCTCGTCGAAAGCGAGCGACGATACTGACGACTGGGAGAGACGCACGCTCGTCGAGGTCGTACCTGTTGTAGACACGGAGGACGTGCTCTGAGAGTTGGCATGCCCCCGCGAGCGGTGTGCGGCTGCACTCGACATCGTCGTGAAGCCGGCGACAGACTGCACTGTTGGTGACGATGCGGTGGGGGAGGAGACATCGCCGAGAATTAGGCGGCCCACACCCTGTACGCCCTCCTTGATACCGTCAAGCGGTGAAAGCGGGCTGGCGACCGAAGAGCTGGGAGTGCTGGAGGTCGCGCGGTCCATGCCGCGACTGACGATGCGCTCCCACTTCCGCTTCAGCTGTGAGAGCTCGGCCTCGTGCACGGCCAGTTGTGAGCGCAGCTCAAGGCATTTGGATTCCTTCTGCGCGATGAATTGCAATAGATCCGCGTGTCTAGACTCGCGTCAATTCCGCGCACTCAATCAGCATAGAATACAGAGGATCGACGTACTTCTCCGTGAGAGTGAGTGGTCCACGATCTACCCGCGGTGACTGCAGCTCGTCCGAGCATCCAAGACTCCGTCTGTCACCGGCCGCAGACGGACTTCTCGCAGGTTGTGTTACGGACGCGCTCCGCCTCAGCGACGGCAATGCAGTGGTAGTCGGGGAGCGTAGCGACCACGACGGCGCGTTATCGCTAGGTAAGTAGCATATCGATGATTGTCGGCGAGACTTTGCGCTCTTGAAGGAATTCGCGGTCGGCGGTGGGGTAGAGAGACCAGAAATTGTGGGGGAAGGACGCGAGGATGTGGAGGGTGAACCAGATCGCCCCAGTTTGGACGACCCATCTCCGTATAGACACGCCATGCACACCGTCGAACGCTGAGGTAAAAGAGTGCCTCGCCACGATCTGCGCCACCTGACTGAGGGCTTTGTGCGTCCGCGTCCGCAAACCAATCCATCGCTCCGGCACGATCGCAATTGTGCTCGCGTGTGTTGTTCCTTAACGATGTGGACAGAATGTCGGTGAAGCCTCGTAGACCGGTGAAGCCTCGTAGACCTCTTCAGGTCCCGCAGAGATATCATATGCCTTCAGCTTCAGCACTGCCAGATCTTCCCGTATCTGGTACAGCTTGATACGAGCACAGCGCAAGTCAAAAGTGAGTTTTTAGGTCTTGAAGGAGCTTTGTTTCCCTGGGAGATCGTCATTCGTCTGTTGCGTGATCCACGGAGCGGAGACGTCGAACTCGAAACTCACCTATTTCACATTGACAACATGGTACTGTGAGCGTATCCCTCCCGTCAGCATGAGAATTAGGATGATCAGACAACTACGCACGTCTCATCCTTGTAAGTTCTGCAGCTCCTCCCATTCCGGTCAACGCTGCCCCAGTTCGTCTCCCTCCATGAGGACTGCTGCTGCATTGCGAGCGGGTCCCAGTACATGCCGAGAATGTCGCTGTAGGAGGTGGAACACCCCGAGCCCCACTTTGAACTCGTAGCGTGCGCGACGTGGCACACATCGCGTGCGTTATAGGTGCACTGATTACGCTAGTCGTCAGGGCGCACTCGCCAGGAATATCACCACCGCCCGGATCATCGAAGATGTCGTATCTGTGGCGAATACGGATGATATGCTCTGCGCGTTGACGTGCCCATGGAAAGGATAAATGACGAGATTCAGTATCGTTGTGCACAGAGCCAGCGAGGGACTTACAGACACTGGTATCCCATAGGAAACAAACACGACCTCTTTGACGGGGGGGGGAGGACGGTCGTATAATGTACAGTCGTGCTAGTGCTCGATGCGCCGAGAGAGCAAGAGCCACCAGTGCCCTTTTCAGTATTGTTGCATCGGGCGAAGGAAGCTGACGGGCAGCCGGAGAATCGCAATGCTGGGGGTCGTGCGGCCGATCCGTGTCCTGACTGACCATGTCATGCGAGGTATTGCGACTCCATTTGCACTATGAGTCGGCGCCAGAGGTGCAAGAGCTCCGCGTGTCTGACTCCATAAGTATGTGCATGGCGATGATGAGCAGGCAAACAGAAAAGTATGTGCGTAGATTTGGCGTAGATAGTGGTTGACGTTGAAACGTTGAAGTGCAAAACCGCCTTCAGGCGCTCGTTGCAGTTGATTCCCAGTACGTAAGCGACTGTAGGCGGACAGTAGGTTTAGGTTGCTCCGACTCGGTGAGGCACCTTGGCCTGAGTATCGAAAATTGAATATTGGGTACTCAGTCCGCAAAAAATTCTCTCACATCCTTGTAGAAAAAAATCATTGTCATTACACTCGCATCCCAATCGTAACGCCTACTGGGATGGAAGGTGTGATAATTGAACTGTACGACACCTATCTCCTTCAAGTTCGACCGAGTCCGAGCCAATTGCTCAACAAGTAGATATGCTGTTCAATGTATAAGAGCGCATAAAGAGGTCCACCTTGTAGTGCATGTACATAGGGTGCGTGCATTCCTTGTTCATCACCGGGGCGTTGACGAAGGTCCATTTGCTTCGTTCCATCTTCTTGTCCCACGCGAGCACTGGGAAGTTGATGTCAATCTCAAATAGCTGCCTGCTATAGAGCACGCTGAACACGAAATACTGTTCGTCTAGCTGGACACGCGCATCTGCTTGGGTCAAACGGCGGTCAAAATCCCAGCCTTGATTCTTGTAATGTCGCATAGTAAGCAACGTCAATGTCCCGTGAAGTGCTCGAGTCATGAGCTTGCGTGCGGCCATCACGTCGTCGCCTTTCATATCAGGATCGCCGTGGAGAACAACAGCCAGTGGGATGCAGTCACTTCTGACAGCTGGGACCCTGATTGACCCGGCGACAATGCATCAGTGTCCGCGGGACTGAAAGAGCAGCAAGACTAGACGTACCCTGTCGAGCTTATGAAGGTCCAAAACTTGGATTGCGGTCTGAGCATTTGCTCAATCGTCTCCCCGATGAGCCTTTCTGACGCGAGTTCTCGAGCGAGCTGTTGGGACAGAGAACACGGATAAAACAAAGGCAGGAGGCTGGCCTTCTGTTCATCCGTCACGTCACTCCGAACGTAAAGCCTGGGTACGTGCGCATGATACTCATGGGACCCGTCGAACACCTCTAGCCACGCGCATCCCAAGGTAGTGCGCATGCTGACGGCACGTCGATGGAAGAAAGCCATGATAACTTTCATGAGATTTGTCGTCAATTGAGAGGCATTGTCCGCAGGCATAGCCTTGCCTGCCAAGACAGATGTCTAATATAGGTATCGTCAGTCTGCAATGCTGCATACACATTCGCGGGACCATACCTCTTGGTAGTCGGATGGGACTGGTACCGGGTGTACGCCTCTTTGAATGAAGGTTGTATCCACGTAGCCCCAGGATTCTGACCAATACCGCTTAGCGAGAGAATACCAGCTGGCGTCCCGATTATGCGGACTCTCCCAATCCAACTCCTTGTATTCCCAGATACTACTCAATGTTGTCGAGCCAAGAATGACGTCGGGAGGGCTGCACGAAGGACTTCATGAATCTCACATGCACACGCAAGACAATTGGACAACTCCTACAGATTCTCACACTCGAGTTGAGCGAGACTCAACACATTCCGTACATGTTCTGCGACCTGTTTCGGCTGAGCTATATCCACTTGCAGACCCCCGCGACGCCGATCGATGGGAGGTATGGGTGTATATTGGATGTTCTCGCAAGCATTCTCCGACGTTATCTTTGGACTGACGTGGCTCGGCGGTGGATCAAACCTAGTATGGCTTTAGTGATGAAACATCATAGTCGACGTGACAAATAGCTTACCCTTCACCCGCAGATTGTTGTCCTACATGCTGCCCAAGTATCCAGGCATGAACAACAGGGTTTATGCGCTCGATGCTATGCTCGTAAGCTTGAAACGTATCTGGACCGGGACGGCCTTGAGTGAAAATGCGGTCGTCTAACTCTTGGTCTGACACGTCCGTTGGGGTCGGCATATCGGATTCCATGCGAGTTTCCGCAAATCTGTCCACAAGCAGATCGCGCATGACTGACCGCTGAGCCTCAAGGCTCTCTGGGTACTCGACGCTCTCCAGGTGGGTCACCATGCGGAAGATGTGCTGCTACATAGACAGCAAGGCAAGCGCGACTCGAGAACGCCCTCGGACGAATTCGCTGGCGCTCCCTACACATCGACACGGGAATGGGAGTGTGTCAAATAGCAATGACAGATAGTTGTAGCCATTTGCGACGGCGTACGGAATGTGCGCCACCAGGCGGATGCATTCCGAGTCATATACCAGGCCCATCGTCAGCAGGAAGTCCTGTGGATCGGCCTCCTCTTGTGTATTTGCGGTTGTGGGGCGCGCGTGCACCATTGAAGCTAGACTGACTTCGGCCAAACGAGCGAGATTGCATAAGGTCGACGGAAGTTCCTCAGTGGAGTGTTCGTACTTGTCAGGCCACCGTGTGGGACCCTTTGCACACAGAAGAAGAGCTGGGTTAACGGCACTGATAGGCGTATACGCAAGCTGCTCTAGAGATCTCGGTGTAGATGGTCCTGTGGGATAGAACAGAACGGCGCAATCGATGGATCCGATGTCCTCAGCGAGAGTGTCGTCAAGTCCCATCACGCCGAGATTCTGCCTGAGACTGCTTTGAGAAGGGAAGGCGAATGGACTCAGGTGGGACTCACCTTCGAACATAGGAACCAGGAATACCGTCGAATGCCGTGGCAATGGGGGCCATAGCGTGCTCGGCCACGGTTTCCGAGTCCCGGTACTGCAGCACTTGGGTCACTTGGTACAGTGACATATGTGTTTTGCATACCGCTTCCTCTGCCCCGCCGTCGGAATCGTAATAACGTGTGTGCTTATGACGTTCAGCAGATAGACAGAAGCTAAGCAGCACTGCGGAATCGCAAGGCAGTCGTTGAAAGAGCTCTTCGTCCGTTACATAGACAAGTTCGTCCGGGATATGACGGAGTTGACCAAGGAGGAGCTCCAAATTGAACTGTCTTTCCTCCGTCCACTCGAAGGCTATACTTGCCTCCCGTTGTATCTGTTGCATCCGCCGGGATAATCAGACTCAATCATTTCGCAGATGGGTGTCGAGGTCAAATTGACTCGGATACATACCGGTAGTTCCGGTACCATCCAGACTTGGGGAATTTCCAGCCTTGTCTGTCGGTAATAGGCCCTAAAGCTCTCTATGTATTCGATCTGATGCTGACAACGCCCTTTCACTGCATCATCCAGAGAATCCAGCGACTCAATTGAAGCGAAAGTCCACTTTGGTAGTGGCATGTGAGATGGTCGCAACCGCCGCTAATGTCTATACGGGTGAGGACGAACGCCAGGTTATGCGATGAAAGAGATGATTGTGAGCCAGAGACGGATCTCGGTTTGGCGACGAGCGTTGATGTTCAAATACAGAGGCGAAGACTGGCATCGTGACATACCCTCGGCTACACGCTGCCTATTCAAAAGTGACGCCCAGCACGCGAATACTCGTACTACTGCTTGAGAATAGCAGCGACGTGCGTTTTGGGTCCTTCATTAAGCTATCACCATTAGCTCATTCCACCAGTAAACACGGTAGACAGCCACGCACGTCTCGCCCTTCTACTAAGTTCTGCCGCTCCTTTCAGTTTCACGCCCAGGCTGCCTTTCCCCATGAGAAGATCTGTTGCACTGCGAATATAGCCATGTCGAGTACGGAGGTGGCAGAGTTGGAATGTCATGGACCAAGTTCAGACCTCTTGAAGTTGTGCATGTGGGTGCCGTCAAGGAGCCGTGCTTGACGCCGGCTCGCACGTACAACTTGGTACTTAGGTATATAATTATGTACACCGTATACTTATGTACATAAGTATGTACACCGTACACCCCAAACGTAGTATTACTGAACTCGATGGCATGCTAGTTGTTAGATATGTAGACAGCGACTCAACGCCGTTCGATGTATAGTTAAACGATATCCGGGGCTCCCTCAGAATCGGCCAATACACAAGTTGAACATGCCATACATTCGAGATTACATTGCAACCCTGAGCTCTTCTTTGAGCAAGCAGATATGCTGCTCGATAAACAGCAGTGCCTGAAGAACGGCTAACCGACTATCCGCGTCCAGAGGCGCTTTGCATTTCCTTTCCATGACCGCCGCATTGATAAACCTCCATTCGTACCGCTGTGTAGATGCCGATTTGTGAATGACCGGAAAGTTGACGTCGACTCTGAAAAACTGTCTGCTGTAGAGGACGCTGAAGACGAAAAAGCTCTCGTTCAATTGCACGGAGTAATCCGATTCCGTGAGCTCCCGGTCGAGTCTCCAACCTTGCCCCTTGTGATGTTCCAATACGAGGAAGGTCAGCGTTCGATGCAGTGCTCCAGCCATGCGCTGGCGTGCGGTCATGACGGCATCACCGGACATATCAGGGTCACCGAGGAGAAAAAATACTAGAGGCAGGCAGCCATGACGAGCAGTCATGTCACTGGGAAACAATCATAATACAGCACCATGAGTATTCATCGCAAGCCGTGTGCAAAAACATGGTCGTACCTATCAACTAGTTGTGGAACGGAAGTCCAATATGGACAGTGTGGGCCGAAGATCTTGCGAATCATTTCTCCAACAAGCCGTTCAGAAGCTAGCTCCCGAGCTAACTGCTGAGACGGTGCTCCAGAATAGACAAGACTGAGCAAGCCACTTATTTGATCTTCGGCGGTTGCATCGTCTCGGACGAAAAGTCGTGGTATATGTTCGGAGTATTCCTCAGGCGACTCGGCACCCAACCACGACTTCTCGGAAGTATGTTGATTGAGGAAGCCCATGATTATCCTCAGCCGTCCTAGCCTCAATTGCGTGGCATTTTCCTTTATGTGCTGTGCATCCACGTCATCCTGGAAACACGTTCTATGCTTTCAGGACATCGCATTTTGTTAGAATTTGTCGAATGTACCTCTTGTCTGAAGTGACGTAGTACGGGAATCACTGCCGCATTGGATTTTATCGTTTTGGACGCGAAGAACCCTGAGGAAGCATACGAGAAGTACTCGTCTAGCAACTGGGAGGCACCCTCTGATGTACTCCATCCGAGACTTTGGAATTCCCATGTCGGTGTAATGGTTTTATATTGGCCATCGGTGGTAGAAACGAACCTGCGAGTCTGTCTCAGTAGAGGCTCCGATTGTAGGGCGGCTTACTGAAGTGACGGACCAAATATCCTCGATGTTGGACATATTCTTGCAAAGGCCACTGACACATGTGGTCGCAGCGTGAGAAGTAGCTTTGGCCGGTATCACTGGTAGGTCAGTATCGACAGCACCACGACCGCAAGATGAGTCGCGGTCTCTGCCAAGCCGAATCTGTGTGTTCGCTGCATCATCGAATTCGTGCGCTTGGTAGCCCTGGCCATGATGCCAATGGCTAGTATCGGATTCTGTAACATCTGCACTCGGCGGTGGGGCACTGTATTAGACAGTCAGTGAACAAAACCATTACAATGCGCGTCATAGGGTAGATCACCTCTGAAGAGATGCCACATCTATTGTTTCCGTATGATTGTCGTCTTCAACAAGTTGCAGACCAAGTAACCAGGCATGCACCATAGCCTGACGTTTCGGCCACTCGATTTCTTTGATCTCCTTCAAACTCCTAGTATCCAATCTGGGAGGATCATCCGTGTTGGGAGGGTCTTCCGAGTCGGGAGGATCATCGAAGTCGGACGGTGCTACCGTCGGCGCTGGTGTAGCAGCCGGCTGCAAGAGCATCTGCCGGTATTTGTTCTGAAGTTCCCTAATATTGGGGCGCGGGCCATCAGGGCGGGACGATGTCTCGCTGCGTGCCAGTGTATCGAGGTCTGATGACCGATCTGCAAGTAGACTTCGTAGACCTGACTCCTGCGCTCCTTGAACATATTTGGGCCGGTGGGCGCGCTCAAGCAGTGTCGCCAAACGAAAGATGTGATGCTGCAGCGAGAGCAAAGCCAGCGCAACCCGATAACGTCCACGAATGAATTCGGTGACGCTTCCCATGCATCGACAGGGGAAAGGTAGGGTGTCCAGGAGTAAGGACAGGTAGCGATACCCGTGTTCGGTGTCATAAGGAATGTGCGCGACAAGATGGATACACTCCGAGTCGTAGATGAGGCCGAAATTCAGGATTGCACAGACTGGGACGTCAACCATAGTTCCGGTGCCGGAGTCACCGCGTTCGCATAATGGTGTCGTGGCTCCTTGGTCGTCGTGGTTCCGGTAGCGGGACCATGACTGGACAATAGCTACCAAACTCAACTCCGCTGACAGTGCGAGGCTCCGAAGCACAGAGGGCAGGTCCTCTCGAGTCGCCGACTTTGAGTAATCATCACTTGGCCATTGTGCGGGCCCCTTCGCGCAGAGAGCAAATGCCGGACTGGTAGCACTGATAGGCGTGGAGGCAAGACGTTCTAGAGACCTTGATGTTGACGGCGCTATCGGATAGTAGATGACGGCACAATCAATGTGTCCTCCCAGCGTTTTGAGATCCGAGTCCTTGGTGTGACGAAAACCCACATTCTCCCTGATGAGCAAACTCGGAGTCAATCGCTGCTCACAGATGATTGGTATATACTACACATATAGGACGCACCTCCGGACATAGGTACAGGGTACACCATCGAGAGCCGTGGTAATGGCATGCTCAGCCAGGATCTCCGAGCCCTCATACTGCAATATTTGTGCCACCTGGTGGATTGACATATGGGTCCTATGTATTGATTTGTCGCTATTCCATGCATATACCCAGTCGGCACTGTCATTGTAGGTATGGCGTTCAGCAGCAAGGAAGAAGTGTAGACTCGGGGAGTCATGATCCGAGTCTGCGCGTTCAACAAGGTCCTCCTCAGTCAAATGAATGAGGTCCTCCGCGATGCAACCGAGATGGAGGCGGATAATTGTCCTGCTGAACTCTCTCACACGAGTCCGATAGTAGCATTTGCTGTCATCCTCCACCTCGTCCTGATACACCAACTGATTAGTGATGCTCTAAGGCAGTAAGTTTGATGGGCATTAGAGTCAACTGACCACCATCCAGACCGAGGCACCTCAAGTTTTCCATCCCACAACGACTTCAAGCGTAGTGAATAGGCAATTTGATCTCGGAGCTGTGTTTGGAGAGCACTGTCCAGTGAGCTTATTGACCAGGCGGAGGCAAAAGTCCAGTGTGTAGGTGCCATGGATGTCTCAAGTCTTTTGGAAGTCACTTGCAGCTCAGGGTCAGTGGCGTCGTCGGATGTGTTCAATTTTGGACAAGCGTAGAGAAGTTGGAGTTGAATGTCAGCACCGTGACTGCACCGAGGGTATGGCTATGGAGGACTTCAATGGTAATACCATGAATAAGTCGTGGCTGGGCCTTGGTACACCTGAAGATTACCCGGAATATGTGCCACGCCTATTCAGTCGAGATGATTGGACCGAGGAGCAGATATGTGGATACTAAGTCTTGTCCATTGTTGTGCTCGTTCCCAACAACTGGCTCGCGAATTGGCTTCTGAATGCCTCATCGGAGACGCGATCCTGAGATTTTCGGCCCGCATTATCCGTATTGGACTGCCATACCACACTGGTGAAACGGTATGACTATGTCGACTCTGGCAACTGTTGACGCGTGCTGAGGGTTATCGGACTGACAGGACATGGTTGCTCGTCATGGCTGCCTGCCTCTGGCGGTTTTCCTCCTTGGCGATACCGATATGCCTGCCGCGCTGTCATGACTGCACGGCGACACATGACTGAAGTGCTGCACCGGACTATGACCCTTCTCGCTGTGCAACATTGCAAGAAACAAGGGTGGAGGCTCGATCGCAAGCTCACGGAGGCGGACGCCGCAGTCCAACTGGACAGGAAGTTCTTCGCCTTCAGCGTTCTCTACGTGACAGCAGCGGCTCTTCTGGGTGGACATCAATTTTCCAGCCATCGAGTACTCGCAATCCATCAAGCAGTTCAACTGGAAGTTCATCAGTGCACCAGTCAGGAGAATGGCATGCGAGCTGCCGATGAGCATCCCAAACCGGCTCGCCATCTTCCAAGCACTGCTGTTCATCGAACAGCATGTATACATGCTGAAACATCAGTTTGAAGTATCGCTTTGATGAGACGGACTCAGTAGTATGTTCGGTGTGTACTTAGGGTGGCGCGACCTGCCGCTATTCGTCCATCCGACCTAATGTTCGTTCAAGATCCCGTATGGATACCAACATGATGGGCTACTACATAGCAGGCGAACGTAGCCTATCAAGCCTAGAGACTGACCACTCGCCGCTACTGTTACACAAGCCTTGTGGATTCCTCCTGACCCTCCACCGACATCTCACCGATGGTATGCCCAGTATCTCGCGACATAGCCTGCTGGCGGATCGCTCTGCCGTTGACAAAAGTCTGGAAGTACCGACCTACGGCTTGCATGCCGTCCATGTCAAGAGGTGCAACGAAGCCCACGATACCGTCGGGTCGGAGCACCACTAGAGCGCCCTCTGCAGCTCGCACACCGTACTTATCGTACGCGTCGCCCGAGTGGTCGTAGGCCATTTTCCCAAGAGGAGAGACTCCGAGGGCCTCCGCAGGCTGCAAGACTCCTTCGCCTCGCACGATGGACAGGAAAACGAAGACATCCGCCAGGGTGCGCGTAAACGACGCCTCAGAGTCAACATGTTGTCTGAGCTCCCGATACCTCGCGGCACTTGCCTCATCGAGCTTCATGAAATCATCCACAGGGCGTACTGCTCCCGCGAATACGAGAATGGTAAACCTGTTCCCGGCCGACGCGGTGAGTTCATGTAGCCTGCGCGGGAGCTTTGCGCCGGGACGGAAGAGTGCCGCGTCAGGACCACGGTGACCCACCGAAACCGTCGCGGAAGGGCCATTGCCAGGGCCTGGGTAGGTCTGGTTGAGTAGATTCTCGGGGTACGAGATCCCTAGACCGACGTTGACGGCCGCACTCTCTTCAAAGACATTGTACAGGTAGTCATTGACATTGGCGTCCGGCAGTGCGTTGAATCGTGCGGGAATCTTGCCTGAGATGAGGGATGAGGTTTCCTTATCAAGCTCGATGAGGTGCTGGGCTAATGCACGACGCTCGGAGTCGTAGACCTCCAGGATTTCCTCCTTGTACCAGCCTTTCACGACGCCGGCCAGCTTCCAGGCGAGGTTCGTAGCATCTTGTATACCCGTATTCATGCCCTGCGGGAATTCGCTAGATCAGCTGCCTCGGAACAGCGGTATACAGTGACATTGCAAAGATTCAGCACATACTCACCTGACCTGAGCCAGACGAATGTGTGTGGGCAGCATCTCCTGCCAAGAACACACGACCTTTCTTGAACTGCTCCGCCGCGCGCTGGCCTACGGCATACACGGTCCACCAGTCCAGCTGGAGGAACTCCAATGAATTGGGCTGCAGGGCTTTCTTCGCCTCCTCCATCACAACGTCAGCCGTGACACCCATTCCATCGACACCGTACAACTCATTCTTGAGCACGAAACCAATGCGTGTCCTGCCGTTGTCTGTCGGAATCCAGAGGACGTTTCCGTGTTCTTTCGTCTCGATGGAGACGGCGAGCCACGGCGGTGAGGCAAGTCCGTCTTGACAATAGCGTCGAGCCGAACCCACTTGTGTGGGGACGACACGCCGGGGAAGGCGATATTACTGAGAGCGCGAACGGTGGACCGGCCGCCATCGGCGCCAACCAGATACTTGCTACCCACGACACTTGGTGAGGACCAACTTAGTCGACCTCACGTCGCACTCACCAGCGCACACGAACCAACTGGCCTTCTTTTACCTGAAGGGTGGCTGCAACGGGGTGATCAGATGATTCATCGACGCTGTAGTCCATAAGCTTGACGGATGGTCGGACAGCATCTTCGTTCAGCTCTGCGATTGCACTGAGCATTGCGTCTTCTACGTATCGCTGGCGGATGCACATGCTGTGCCTAATCACTACAGTCATCATAGGATGAGGCACATATGTACGCACCAGAAGTCGAAATAAGTCTTGCCGGCGACTGCTTTCTCTATCCAGCCCCAGCCTCGCGAAGCCGTGGCCTGACCATCTTTTACGGTGACTGATCCCCTACACAAGGGATCAAATACCCCCTGGCAGCTTGAAATAACGTACATATTGACTTATGAAACCAATATCAGCTATTCTATCGTACACACCGATCATGTCCAAGAGCTCCAGCGATCGCGGATAGAGGACGCAAGCGCGGCCATACAGAGTCTGCTGATCTCTAGCATGTTGTTCTGACGAATGACAGTCAGCGAGGTGAACGGTGAATCCGCACGTAAGCATAGAGCACACACCTACTACCAAAGCTCGTACGCCATTCCTGATGAGCATCAGGGCGATGACAAGGGCGGTAGGTCCGCCGCCGACGATGAGAACATCGACAGACTCGGATTCCGCCAACAGTGGGGATGGCGAGTGTTTCATGGGAGATTGCATGCTGCAGCGCTGATCGTTGGCGTCCTGGGAGATAATGCTCGATGCCGCAGTGTCGGGCTTCATAAGTGCTGTGAAGCTTGAAGCCTCAAGGCAAGATCCACCTCGATGAGCGCTCGAGCGTACTCAAGCAGGGCGAATTTCAATCATGGACTCACTTCCGCCAGACGCCGATGAGAAACGTGCAATCAGCATGTGGGGAACATCCGGACCAGGTCGGTCGACTGGTATTTAGTGGGATAGAAAAAGGACTGCCGGTTTCAGTACACGATGCGCAGAAGCAGTGCTACTGCTAAGGATGGAACCCGTATGCTGAAGACGGACCTCATTGCGCGCGGAGCCTGAGCATAGTATCACTAGAGACACGAAGTAGATTGACGTCTAAGCATAGCAGTCGGTGAAACAGCCGGCGCCGTGACACACCTAGCGTACGACTGCTGCTGACTTCATATATTCTGAAATCCGCGTAATCACAGTCAGAACGCGCAACGGTCACAGGAGACAAACTTGGGTAACCGTTGGTCATTGATGCAGGGACCGACTGAAAGTGGAAGCGAGGTTGTGGGACTTTGGGCAGCAGTGGGCTGAGCGGCGACGACGCGGTCTGTCACAAACATGTGCCGGATAACGTCACGCTACGTCGCCTGATGAAAGTAACGATGGAAGAACTCGAAACCTTCGAGTGAGTTACGCATATTTCATGGTCCAGTTTCCATATAAGCACAGTCTCAAGTGAGTACTTCTAGAATATCAATTATCCGTCAGCAGAACCGACTCTTTTTGCCGCACACACACCAATCAAGCCGCACCCTACACCAACTCCCTAAACCTCAACTCCAGCATCCTCAGCGGGACATAAAACAGCGCCGTCGCCACGAACGCCAGCTCGAACCCGATGTCGCCCGTCGTCCGCGCGAACGGGCCGACGAACCACACCTGGCCCATCGACGGCACGATCAGCCCGACCGTGAGCAGGCACGCGCCGATGGCCGCGAGCCCGAGCGGCAGCCGCCGGTAGTCGTTCCAGCAGCGCAGGTCGTAGTTCGCGAAGGCGCCGCGGCGGATGACGAGGTGCTCGACGATCACGACGGCGCAAAACGCGCTCGTCCAGTAGCCGATCAGCCCGAGGAAGTTGCTCAGCGTGTCGTAGAACTTGTGCTGGCCCACGATCGACAGCGGGATGACGCTGCGCGGGCGTCAGATCGATGCATACGCATGGAACTAGGGAGGACGTACATCGCGGTGGCAAGCACGGAGAAGAAGTACCGCGGGACGAGGATCGCCTGCGGGATGAACACCTGGAAGGACATGCAGAACGAGTAGAGCGTGATCGCGATGTTCCCCGTCGCGCTGAGCGCGAGCATGACCGTCAGGAACTTGCCAAAGTTGCCTACGGGGCTGAGGACCGCCTCGAGCAGCCCGCCGACGTTGCCGTTGGTATACCCGTCGTTCCACGCGGGCACCGTGGACGCGGCCACGGCGAACGAGGCGCCGAGACATTGGAGGGTGATCTGCAGGTCGAGGTCAGGGCCCGGCTTGCGAAACGTGTCCGGCGCGACGTACGATGGGGACGTTCAGCCCGAGGTAAGTGTACATGAAGACCTTCCAACTGAATCGTCTGTAAGCGGATAGCCATAGCCTCGACTACGAGGGACTCACGCTGGGACGTCCGGTGTGTAATAGAGCGTGTAGTCCGAGCTGCACGGCCCATAACTGATCACAAAGCCCGCGATGACCGAGGCGAAACTCAAGATGTCGGCTGCGGTCGCCGGTTCTGCCGGCGGAGGGTTGATGAGGTGCTTGCCCCCGAGTCCAACGGCGACGACGTATGCGACGAGCACTGGTATCCACATCAGGCGCTCGTACCTGCCCCGAGGTCAGCGGCAGCGACAGCGCGATGCATGCAGGGACGCACCATACGAGGACCTTATAGCCACAGAAAGAGACCTGTGGTGACCAAATTATTAGACAAGTCGACACGCATCGTCAGAGAATGGGATCGTACGAAGAGCGAGATTAGGGCAATGATTACAATTCCGACCCTGGCGCACAAAGCATGGTGAGCACAAGTTATCATCCGTGAGAGGAAGCAACGCACGTCCAACTGAGATGTCCATTCGATACACTTGATAATGTTTGGCCTCCAAGAATACAATTCAGGATGTTGTATCCCATCCCCGTCGCCATGCCAAAGAGGCTCATAATGATAACGCCAAAATACCTGGGTTTGGCTGTCAGCGTGAGGTCGCAAACAGTTACTGACAGTTAAGTCCGCATCGTCGGGCCCCGCGCATCCCAAGCACACATAGGCGGAGTCCAGCGGGCGATATGGGTTCACGCCGGCCGCAGCGGACTCCGATGGCCAGGCTGAGCCAGGCAGCCGCAACCTTGGCTATGGTGGCCCAGGTTACAGCTATTTCGATATTGCTAGGCCCCCTCCCGAGAATGTGTGCACAGGCGGAGAGCGTCGGGCCTTCGTCTGGCCTTGTTCTCAGGTGATCCGCACGCTCTGCCGGTCGACCTCGGCTTCAAGTCTTGGTCTTGTTCACTCCCGACGCTGCTCGTTATGATAGAATGTTGGTGCGGGAGACCAAATAATACCAAGGCCGACGAACCCCGCCTGTACACACTTTTCGGCGAGGTGGCATGAGCTGTAAGCGGCACAGTGTCTGGATCGCACGTCCGACGACCTCCGTGCCCAGACGCGCTTTTTGGGCGAGGCCCAAGGTTGTGAACCTAGCTTGAATGACGCACCCGAAACTGTAACGTGCTTGACACATCTGCCGGAGGCCTAACCTGGGGCCGAACGTCGCGCTAGGATGGCATGAGATAAAGATCACGAAGGAGAATAGGTCGTACACACAGGTATGCCGGAGGTATGTTCGTTAGGAGGTTGAAGAAGAGGATGACCAGGCATGTGTCCCGGAGCCCGAGTCCGTATGCGATCGGTCCCAGCGTACCGGCCGAGAATCTGAGGTACCGACTTAAAGGGAGGCGTGGAACCGAGTCGTGGCAAGAACGCACGAGAGGATGTTGAAGTTTGCGGAGAGGAAAACAAAGAAGACTTTGCTGTAGTGTCTATCCGTCCGCTCTTCCGGAGGGACGGGAAGGATGCCTTGCACGCAGTGAGTTCGGGCGTTCTGCGTCAGTCGCCGTACCACGCACCTCTTTCCTCCACCCCCCATCTCAGCAACTGCCGACTCCACCGGGTCTTCGCAAACAGCTGGTTGTTGTGCAGATCGCCCACGAGTGACCCGACATCCTTCTCCGAGTCCGTAACGGCGTCGAACTTCTCTTCCTGGCTCATGAGAGGCGTTCGTTGTGCTTGCGTCGACAACTAGGTGAGCTATAGTCCTGGACAAGCAGCGGGGGGATATGATAAGCAACCGGCTGGAGATCCGCTAGTATATACATAGCCCGGGAGAAGGTTCCGAGTGAGGGCTCCTTAACGGCGCTCCAGGCCGCATCCCGAAGACGAACACTACTCACGGTTGTCAACGTCCCCACTAGTAGTACCTCTATCTGACCTTCGCTGTGACGAGTGTTGTCGGCGATGCCGGGTGGCGGTCGTGTAGAGAAGTCATCCGGGGCCAAGCTGTGGAGAGCAGAATGCCGACGGCGCGGGTTGGGCGGGGCGGAAGTCCTGACTCGATGAGTCGGATGACTGGCAGAAATAAAATTGTTGCCCGGTTTCAAACGGGGAACAAATATTAAATCTTGAAGCCTGCTCAGCCTGGTGAGACCCGTTGAGTCGCTGCGGGATAAGTACTGATGAACGGAAGAAGCAAGCTTGTTGCGATCGTCAATTGAAGCGAAAGTCCACTTTGGTAGTGGCATGTGAGATGGTCGCAACCGCCGCTAATGTCTATACGGGTGAGGACGAACGCCAGGTTATGCGATGAAAGAGATGATTGTGAGCCAGAGACGGATCTCGGTTTGGCGACGAGCGTTGATGTTCAAATACAGAGGCGAAGACTGGCATCGTGAGTGACGACGTGACATACCCTCGGCTACACGCTGCCTATTCAAAAGTGACGCCCAGCACGCGAATACTCGTACTACTGCTTGAGAATAGCAGCGACGTGCGTTTTGGGTCCTTCATTAAGCTATCACCATTAGCTCATTCCACCAGTAAACACGGTAGACAGCCACGCACGTCTCGCCCTTCTACTAAGTTCTGCCGCTCCTTTCAGTTTCACGCCCAGGCTGTCTTAGTTAATGAGACGATCTGTTGCACTGCGAATATAGCCATGTCGAGTACGGAGGTGGCAGAGTTGGAATGTCATGGACCAAGTTCAGACCTCTTGAAGTTGTGCATGTGGGTGCCGTCAAGGAGCCGTGCTTGACGCCGGCTCGCACGTACGAAGCGAGCGCGGAGATTCAGAAGACTCTCAAGAGCAAAATACTGCGGCACGTCCATTGCCAAGGCACGTCTGAGTGAACCTGCCACCAGCATTGCAGTGAGTCATATGTACCACTGGCGCAGGCAACACCGCGCACGTCCTTTTTTAGATTCATAATTCACGCACCATATATCTTCGCTGGCACCAGTGGTGAGTCTCCACGTTCTCTCTGCTCGCATGAAACTCGATTCGCTACCTGATACCGCAAGTTCAATACAGTCATGGCGCCTTTGGATTGGACCTTCGCCTCGATCTGGTCAATCGATTCTTTGGACCAGACTCTTCGAACGCGGCTCCATCATCACTTCGATTATTTACACATCTTGAAGTCGTCATGGAACCAGACACTCGACGTACCATCTACTTGGATGTTGGTCAGTCCCAGTCTGTTCGACATTCATGATTGCATTCCTGATCAGCTGTATGGTTATCAGAACGACTCGGAGGTAGAGGCGGGTATCTGCTACTCTCCGACTATGACAAGAGAATATAGCAGGGCTATCGTTCGTCTCCACCTCGGCTGCATCGAAGAGGAGCTCCGTCTCTTGACCGACGAAGAATTGATTAATCGTGCGGCTCATGATACGTCACCGCACTTTTCTCTTGCCGCTGAGCGCCTCATGTTCATGCGTAATGATGACGGGGAATACATAAACCAAGACGACGACTCTGTGGTTTACAATACCCACATGTCACTTCACCAAGTGGCGCAAGTATTGCAATATCAAGGTTCAGAGGTCTTGGCCGAGCATACCATTGCCATGGCTTTGGATGGTGTACCTTGCACCTACGTGCGCAGGTAAAATTTAAAACGTAAACCTTACAACGCAAGTAGCAACTGACTCCGAGTACGATCATCAGGGAAGCCCTGGGGGTCTTGGATATTCAGCACGCCGAGGATTCAGTACGATCCATTGATTGTGCCATCATCTACTATCCGATAGGACCGTCGACGTCAGCATCCCTAGAACATCTCGCCCATACACCCATTAGTGCTATCAATCCGGCGGTGATGCTCTGCATGAAGGGGCCTTCACGATGGCCTGTCGACAACGATCCGGGGTCGAACAGAGAGGATTTGCTACAGACTCGTCGTAACCTGGCGTTGTCGAGTGAATTGAGTTTGGAATCCATGATCCAATCGTGGTTTAACTCTCGGGACAACGATGGAACAACGTCATCCTGTCATGACTCGGCTGTTCATTCAAGCGCGACGACGCTCCCAGCTTGTGCCATGTCTATGGGCATCATCTACGACTCGGAATGGATCCACTTCGTAGCGCATATCCCCTATATCGCGGGCAACCGCCATCGGTATCTGTCTTTGCTCTTGGACACCCTTCCCTTCCCCTGTCGATGCGCCGGGGCTGTTACCGATTTTGTTCGTGGCCGCTATCGAGTCGCACTGGCCCTACTCTCTTGTCAGCACCACATCTTCCGTTTGGCGACGCTGCTGGAGCATGTCCAATGGGCGGAACACATCCAAACAGCGCATGAGTCAGCTCTGCAAGGTTTGTTCGAGGGTCTGCCTGATATCAGGTACGAGACGTCCTCGCGATCGAGCGGCTCGCAGTCGAGTCGATCACAATCAAATGATTCGGAAGCGAGCAATTCGTCGTCTCTGTATGGTTCCGCGAGACCAGATTTCTTCAAAGCAGAAATCGAGCGGGTTCAACCTGTTGTTCAATCCTGGTTGTTGGAATTGAAAGAGGCTCGTGTAGAATCAATTTCGGAAACTCTGGAGAGGTAATGTCTGCCGCGACCTGCAACGTGATAGGCATCCGATATTCACCGGGGTTATTTTGTCTTGGGTACCAGTGCAACGCATGTCATTGCAGAAGCGCATCCCCTAATTCCAGTCACGACGACGACACTCTGGCAACTCTACGCGTTCGTTCCAGAAGCAATTTACTCCCATGCAACACCGTTACTACCCTGCAAACGCTAGTGATATCATCTGGTCATTGTAAAACCATGCTCGGTCTCGAGGACACTCAGTACGTCACAGTATCAACTCTCGAGCATTCAATTCAGTTCGCAGGTATCTTCCTAGAGTGGGTGCCAGGCGCAACACCGTGACCCTCGCTGTCAATTGGGAGTTCAAAGACTTCGCATGGAGCTCACCAGAGTGTGCATCTACGCTGTCCAAGTATTTCAGGAAAGCGGCGAAAGGATACCTGGAATCCAACAACATAATAACCCGCATAGGCTCTATACCCGTACCATCTCGGTTCAGAGATAAGGTACGCTCGTCTGACTGTTGTATAGACTGCAGTACAGTTCCTAATACTGGCTGGAATGTTTACAGAATGATGTGGTCGCGCGGCTCGTCAACCAAGATGCTCTTCAAGTAACGCTCACACGGGTGCAGTTAGCGATGGAGTTCCTCAATTATCATACCGAGAAGGAGTCGTGGCTGGGCCCTGATACGCCTGAGGATTACCCGGACTATGTGCCGCGTCTGTTCGTTCGAGATGATTGGACCGAGGAACAAATATGTGGCATACTAAGTCTCGTCCATTGCTGTGCTCGTTCTCAACAACTGGCTCGCGAATTGGCTTCTGAACGCCTCATCGGAGACGCGATCCTAAGTATTTTCGGCCCGCATTATCCGTATTGGACTGCCATACCACGACTGGTGAAACGGTACGACTATGTCGACTCTGGCAACTGTTGACGCGTGCTGAGGGTTATCGGACTGACAGGAACATGGTTGCTCGTCATGGCTGCCTGCCTCTGGCGGGTTTCCTCCTTGGCGATACCGATATGCCTGCCGGTGCTGTCATGACTGCACGGCGACACATGACTGAAGTGCTGCACCCAACTATGACCCTTCTTGCTGGGCAACATTGCAAGAGACAAGGGTGGAGGCTCGATCGGAGGCTCACAAAGGCGGATGCTGCAGTCCAATTGGACAAGAAGTTCTTCGTCTTCAGCGTGCTCTACAGTAGGCGGCTTTTCTGGGTGGATATCAACTTTCCAGCCATCAAGTACTCGCAATCCACCAAGCAGTTCAACTGGATGTTCATCAGTGCACCAGTCATGAGAACGGAATGCGAGCTGCCGATGAGCATTCCAACCCGGCTCGCCATCTTCCAAGCACTGCTGTTCATCGAACAGCATGTATACGTGCTGAAACATCAGCTTGAAGTATCGCTTTAATTAGACGGACTCAATATTATGTTCGGTGTGTACTATGCTTGCGCCTTCTACCCTGTAATCATGTGCGATGCTCAACGAGCGTGCCCGTTCCAGCGGTGCCGACCCCCGGCGTGTGGGCGCCTCGGAGTCTTCGAGGGATCACGCTATAGCGCGGAGTGTATGGGGATTGGAAGTCGCGACGCCTCTTTTGTACAACAGTCCGACGTCGTAGTCTTCGTAGTCTCCGTTGCATGCCATAAAAGCCGACAAGAGTCTTCGAGCCTAGATGTGAAATGCAAAACGTTAGTGGCCGTCGCTGGGCGCAGGTGCGAAGCACTCACGTATCAGGCCTGTGAGACGTGTGTCAGACGTGACACAATAACTGCTGGCTTAAACTCGGGGCCTGCTGGGAACTGCTAGGAACAACACGACCATCTCCGTGAAGACGGTTGGAAAACTCAAGCATCGCGGCGGTCGCCATAACACACTGTGATGCTATCCCAACAACACATACGGGTATCAACACAGGTGTATAGCATATAGCACGTATCGCTCCAGAAGGTCTAACTGATACCACGAGACAATTAACGAGCACAGCAAGGCTGACCCGCCGGCTGTACTCTACATACCTACTCTACCAATTCCACTCATCGTCGCTCTGATCGCGGCTCCCGCCCTTCGCAGCGAAGCTCGCCACGGCCGGCGACCGCGAATCCGGCACCAGCACGCTTCCGAGACCCTGCGCGCCGTCGTCGTCCTCCAGCAGCGACGCCGACGACGTGAGCTGCCCCCGGCCGGCGAAGGGGCCGGCGAGGGCGAGGGCGAAGTCGAGAGCGGGGAGAGCGTCGCCGCGAACGGGTTCGACGATATCGACACGGAGCTGCTCGACGCCGGCCCGGGCGACGCGAGCGCGGAGAAGAGCGACTGCGACACGTCCGAGAGCAGCACCGACGCGCGCTTCTGGCTCTTCGTGAACCTGGCGACGTTACCAGTCAGTACGTGCAGACGGATAAATGGAAGGGTCACGCACGTCTCGCCCTTCTGCAGCTCGTCCCATCTCCGCCCGACGCTGCTCCCTACCGTCTCCATCCATGTGGACATCGGCTGCACCGCGAGCGTGCCCATGCCCGGTATGGCGGGGGCGGGAGGCCCGAGGACAAGTTCAGACTCGCGCGCTTGCTTGCACGCCTGCTGGCTGGTGTGGACGACGCCGCGTTCGGCGTCGTCGGCGAGTCCGGGAGGGGCGCGCTATCCCGCGACTTGCGCCGATGCAGCTTCGCGGCACGCAATGCACTCGCGGGGGAGATCTCCACACTCCCGCGCCGCTCCTCCCGCTCCTCCTCACCCTTTTCATCGAGTTCCTGTGGCGGCTCATCGAAGGCGAGCGACGACGCTGACGACTGGGAGAGACGCACGCTCGTCGAGGTCGTACCTGTTGTAGACACGGAGGACGTGCTCTGAGAGTTGGTGTGTCCCCGGGCGCGGTGTGCGGCCGCACGCGACATCGTCGTGAAGCCGGCGACAGACTGCACTGTTGGTGACGATGCGGTGGGGGAGGATACATCGCCGAGAATGAGGCGGCCCACACCTTGCACTCCCTCCTTGATACCATCGAGCGGTGAAAGCGGGCTGGCGACCGAAGAGTTGGAAGTGCTGGCGGTCGCGCGGTCCATGCCGCGACTGACGATGCGCTCCCACTTCCGCTTCAGCTGTGAGAGCTCGGCTTCGTGCACGGCCAGTTGTGAGCGCAGCTCGAGGCATTTGGATTCCTTCTGCGCGATGAATTGCAACAGGTCCGCGTGTCTAGCCTCGCGTTAACTCCGCGTACTCAAGAAGCGCAGAATACAGAGGATCGACGTACTTCTCCGTGAGAGTGAGTGGTCCACGATCTACCCGCGGTGACTGCAGTTCGTCCGAGCATCCAAGACTCCGTCTGTCACCGGCCGCAGACGGACTTCTCGCAGGTTGCGTTACGGACGCGCTCCGCCTCAGCGACGGCAATGCAGTGGTAGTCGGGGAGCGTAGCGACCACGACGGCGCGTTATCGCTAGGTAAGTAGCATATCGATGATTGTCGGCGAGACTTTGCACTCTTGAAGGAATTCGCGGTCGGCGGGGGAGTAGAGAGACCAGAGATTGTGGGGGAAGGACACGAGGATGTGGAGGGTGAACCTGACCCTCCTGGCTGAGCGTTGCCATCTACGAGTTGGAGCGGACGGGGCCCAGTGTAGGAGAGAGGTCTTGCTGAGGGTTTCCCAGTGCTCATGTGAGTGGAAGTAAAGAGAGAAGTTTATGAGGACATCCGGGAGAGAACAGAGCAGGCGAGGGAACGTGAACAGAAGAGTTGGTGCAGTGGGTCAAGCGATGAATGCGGAGGAGGCGCCCGCTGCGGTTAGCGGGAGCAAGCGCCTGCTTCAACACCCCGACCTTGATCTTAACGACAACGTTGCACTCGGCTATTATGACTATCGCATCCCAGTCTCAGTTAAGCTGTTTGTACCATGCATACTCCTGGCTCTGTGAACTCATGACCAGACAGCGAACACTCATGCATCTCGCGGTGTTGTGACATCGAACGCTGACCTGCTAACGTGCGGCTGAACGGGGCCAAAGAAGGTCAGTAACGGACTGCAGTCGCCGGATGGCGGTACACACCTGTACCCGGGCGCATGTCGAAATTGACAATATAGGCCAAATGGCTCTGTCGAACAAGCGATCAGAACTCCTGGTCAGCAACAGAGCAAGACCAAATCGAAAGCATTCGCACAGTGAGAGACTTCAGTACCATATATGACCCTTGGACGCCGTCTCAGAGGCCGTATGTCTACCTACGGGAGACCAGCACTGCAAAGATGACAAAACACATTTGATGATTCCAGACAGGATCATCGGGTCGTAAACGCCACGGGTATGAACTACACAGTGCACCGCTAAGAAACCGAACACGGCGAACCGGAAGCAGAGTTATACATCGGTAAAGCTATACATACCAAAAGTCGTCAAAGGACGTGTCGAGATCGTCATAGAGGTACACTAGAAAGTACAGACCGTTACGAGGAGTCATACAAACTATCGTTGCGTGGTGTGCAGTATTGTCCGTGTGCCAGTGTACACATTAGGCGGGTATTCAATAAGCATAACAGTTCGCCACCAGCGAGGCAGCTATGAACTGAACGAGGCAGCGTCCGCGGGGGAGGACGTGATTTTAGCCGTAGCATGATGAACATCGCTCGCCACTTCAGACGCTGCGGAGGCCGCGCCGCTTTGCGCTGCAGACGCAATGCTCTGTGCGGCGGACGTGGCGGAAGTCACAGCGCTATTCGCAGCAGAAGCAAACGAGGACGCGTCGCTCTCTGCCGCGGACGCAGCAGACGACACGGCGCTGCCCACAGACGAGGTCACAGAGGAGAAAACGCTCCCTGCCACGGACGTCGCGGAAGAGACGGCACTCCCGGCAGCAGACGTCGCGGAGGCGACGATGCCTGCGGCCGACGACGCAGCAGACATGATAGAGCTAGAGTTGCCGGTCAATGCCGCCTCGATCTCGCCCAGGTCGAGCCCTAGGATGTCTACGTGATAGCTGTTGTGCAGAGCGTGAATATCAGGCAGAATGTCATTATAATAGCGATGTATGCGTACTCTGTGGGCGTTCCCGGCTGCCAGAGCTGCAACCAGGGGACCTCGTAACCTCCGACTGCAATACTGAGCCCAGTGTCAGTCAAGATCCCAGGGCGGCACACCAGATCACGTACGTCAGAGTCTGCGAGGACGCGACGTCGAGATAGCCCAACGGGATGATCGGCAAGGACGCGAGAGCTCCCTGAGTCAGAAGGACGTTCCCGAAGCGACCGCTGTTGCTGTCCCACCGGCCGGCACGATGAAGGAGTCGAAGGGCTGGTTGAAGCTGCATGACACGGACGTCAGTGAAGGTTAGGAATCTCGAAATCGACCAGCTCTCACAATGCATAGACCTTGTTGTTAACGCCGCTGTCAGCCTGCACGAGCTTGATGTCAAGATCTGCATCCAGGGGGTTGTGTACATTGAAGTCAACGTCGACAAGGTTGGTCACAAGTGACGATAGCTACATGGTCCGACGTCGGCGTGGAAACACTTTGAACGAACAACATTCACTCACCGTGATGTAGACGTTCACGTGGGTGAGGATGGGGTTAGCATTCATGCCTTTGATGGATGAACTCAAGGATACGCCCTCCATAGCGGACAACAGTGATCCGAAGGGGGTGCTACCAGAGTCACCCTTGATAGACAACGCGAGGGTGTCACCACTCGTGAGGAAGGATGTCAAGAAGCTCTGTGTACGCAGTCAGATCGACGAATGCTGCAGGTAAGTCGAAGTCATAACCGACCTGAGCAGTCGTATCATTGGCTTCTCGAGGCTCGTAGTGGAACTCCGATGCAATTGCATTCTCGCCAGGGGTGAGGTTAAACGTCTGCGTGCACGTCAGTAACTACAGGTGAAACCAACATGGTCATTGGCTCACCTGAATGGCCGCTCTTCCGATGTACGTCCCTTGGTAAGTCACACCGAGCGAGACGTCGACGGTGTCCAAGGATATGTTCGACGGGTTGTCGATCGTCGTCGTCAATGGCGAGACGACATACTCGTCACCGCCATTACCACCACTTCCGGTGATTGAGACATTGGAGATGGAGGCAGTACCGCCGAACCCGTTGATTCCGGCCAGTGACGAGGAGACGTTGAACGGAATCCCCGAGATCGGCACGTCGCCAATGGGTGTGCGGCCAGTGACGTTGGCGGAGCCGGACAACTCGAACGTCACGTCGTTCTGCAGGGTAACCCCGGCGAAGAAGGAGTTGAAGTTGCCGTCACTGAGAGAACTCAACGGCACGCCCGAGAAGCTCAGAACCATGTCGACGTCGTTCCCTGTCGAAGTGCCGCTGGACACTGACTGACTCGGCACGCTCAACTACAGGAGGGGTTAAGTGCCAGGATCCGAGCCTCAGATATAGGCGACCCACCGAAGCCACGTCGCCACCACCGGAGCCAATGACAATATCCTCGGCTGATTGGAGGACTTGCAGTGAGAATCCGAACGGATTGGCGTATCGCGCGAGTGTAGACTTCGAGCTAGAGAGAGGGCTGTAGGCTTCGCTATTGTCCATCATGACGACTTCCAAGTCGCCGATCGTGATGGCTTTGATGACCTATCGCAGCGTTCAGAGCGGCACACGCTTGAATGAAACGGCTACCGTACCTCGTATGTCTGGCCAGGAAGCGTCACATTGATGGTGAGCGTCTTGAAGGCAGTACTGAGCCACTCGATGGTCCCGGATCCTGGGTCGACTGATTCTCCGGTCACGCTTAAGGTCTGGTTCTCCCCAGCGAGGAAGTTCGAAAAGAGCTCGCCGACAACATCTAGGTCTGCCCCACTTTGTGGGATCATGCGACCACTGAAGTGGGTGGACGTTGTGGACAATGGCTCCAGCGTAAGATTTGATGCCGAGAGAGCTATGAGGAGTAGTATATGAATATTTCGCCGTGAATCGCAGGAAGATGCGCTTACGTCCGATGAGTACGCCTTGATAGTATGTCTCGAACGTAGCCGTGCCCAAGGAAATACCCAGCTCTGTGGAACAATGAAGACGGTGTGTCATATGAGCAAGCGAAGGGAGGACTTACGGGCAGGAGATGGTATGGACGAATCTGTCTCGATGCTGATGCCTCCCTCAGGAGCATCTCCTGGCAGTTGGAAGTCGGAGATGGTGACACCCGGAGTCCGTCGAATGCCTTCAACGTCACATTCTTTATGAGCTGCACGCCGTCGAAGACGGTGTTTAGCGCGGTGACACGAAGAGCGTTCGTTGAGATCGTCCACTCGAAATCCTCGTTGTGAAGCATATACGTCGCGAAGTCGGTGAAACTGAAAGGTCGTGAACATATATGTCTATCCGTGCTAACAGGTTGACTTACGCATCATGGTCCGTGATCGCCAGTTTCGCATCGGTCTGGTACTCGGGCACGCCGGCATTCGCAGCAGCACAGACTGGGATACGCTTATGAGCCGACTTCATACGCTGTCATATATTCGCTCACCTTTCGGAAGGGTAAGCGTAGCGATGTCGGTCCCTTGCCAGGTGACGCTGTACGGCAAAGTCAACATGATGTACGGTCCAAGAGTGGCCATGCACTTACACTACGGGTTCTACGTATTCAATCAGTGCGTCCAATGGGCCGGTTCCAGTGAGCGACCCATTCAAAGACAAGCTGAATCCGTCCTCCGACAGGTCACTGATGATGGCCCTGTTGAAGCTGATTGACGCCGCCGATACAAGCTTTTGCACGATCGGAGGTGCGACTACGCCAATGAGGTACAGCGCAGTATCATCGGTCTATGATAGACTCAGCTTCATAAAGTTCCGGAACCAGGAACAAGACGTGCATACCTTAGCGGGGACGCTTGATTGATTGAACGACAGCTGGGTTGCGTCTGTTCCATTCAAGTCAGTTCATTTGCAGTCAAACATGCAGCGTACACTTACAGTCGTCCAATTTGAGCCCACTGTCCACCGACAGATCCACCTTCATACCGGATAGCGCATTCAGGATAGCGTCATCGACATCGAATTGATTACCGCTGTGATGTGATCTTGTCAGACACGGTACAACAGGCACCCAGGAGCAATGACAGACCTAGAGCAACCAGAAGCCCCATCTGCAACTGTAGCAGTGATCTGAGAGTGGTCATCAGAGCCGCAAGCTGGTACAGGATATAGAGACGACTGACATTCGGGTGATAGTCGGGATCCTCGATGACCATGTTGAATAGGTCCGTCAGGGGTCCAAGATCGACACCGCCCGCTTGAGCTGCTTTCTCGACCATCTCGATAATCACCAGAGGATCTAAGTTGAAGTCAAATGGCAACGTCGTAGATGTCGCATTGCCATGTCCGGGAACAGAGATCGGCGAGCTGCTGACGTCGACATGGTCGAAGCCGCCAATGTAGAGCGACTCATAGAAAGTAGACGCATTCACTGTCAAGAGATTGATGCTTGCAGTGAACGGATTCGCAATCGTAAAGGATGCCTCAGCGACGCCTGTCTTGACAATATCCGTAGGGAACACGAGCGACGCTCCTGTGATGAGGTTCTGGTGGAGGGCAGGGATGTCGGCTTCCAACTTCACCTCAGACATAGCCAGTTTTAGCGAATCGACTCCTGTGGTGTCCGTAGAGCCTTGGATAGTCGTCGCAGAGATGGTACCTTGGATGTAATTCTCGAGCATCAGTTCACCTGCAGCATTGGCAGATCCGCCTTGTGGGGAGTAGTGCACGCCTGTGCTATAGTTCGTCGAACCAGGAACAATGACGAGACCTGCAATGTCCGCACTGCCCACAGTCTGACCGTCGAAGATGAGACCGAAAGAGACATCACCAGTACCGATGGTCAGATTGCTGGGATTCAGCAGTGTCGTCGCACAAGTGATGAGAAGGTAGTCAGAGTATCCGTGGTAGACGTCCAAGCCGCTGACAATCGCAGGCTCCGCGTTCAGTCCTTGCAATCCAGCGATCGTCGTATCGACCGAGAAGGCGATGTCCGTCAGGGCCAAGGTACCCACAGCCGTACTCGCCTCCGTATTAGCGTTCCCTGAGAGTTGGAATGTCTCGTTCGCTGACATCGTCACGTCAGCCAAGAATTGCTGGAAGACGCTCTCGCGGCCGGATAGCACGTCGAAGGGGATTTTTGAGAACGTGAGGTGGATGATGCGAGTATCGACGTCCGTGCTCGCAGGCCCTTGCGGGATGTTCAGTTGAGCGAAGTCGGTGTCCTTGTACGCAGCTGTGATATTCTGCGCGACGGCAGTGATGTCGACAGGGAAGTTGAACGGGATGGTGAAGGAGGCAGTCGTTGCATTGCTACTCGTTGCCGGAGAATAGGCTGTATCTTGCGTGAACATCATCGACATCTCTTCCAGTGTAATACCGGTTATGACGTTCTGGACACCTTGGTTAGGAAGAGACGTCTGGATCTTCAAAGTCTTGATGGCTTGATTCAACCACGTTACCTGTGCGCATGACGTGATGTTAATCATCAGGTGCGATAATAGTCGTTGGAACTCACATTTGCAGGACCTGCAGACTCGCCGTACACGATGACGTCGCTGTCCTTGCCGTGAAGGAAGTTATTGAAGACGGTCGATACGTCCGCAAGGCCACTTGAGGTGTTCTGAGGGACCAGGCGCCCGACGAGTGGAAGACTGGAGGTGGACAAAGGCGCTAGATTGAAGCTTCCCTCTGACACAGAGGGTCCCAAATAGGTCGATCCATAATAATCCGAGAATGCGATTGAATCCAACGCTATACCAACCTGTGACGGCTGTAGCAGGGTGTAAGCACGGTCATGATTCACAGATTGCCTTACGCACATTGGTAATGCTCGTATTCAGCGTAAGATGAATACCGCCTGCGGGGTCGTTCTCGGGCAGGTCGAATGACTCGATTACGACGCCGTTCCTGAGCCCATTCATACCCTTCAGGGTCACCGATTTGGATATAGTGATGTTCTCGACATTGATGCCTACGGTACGACGCGTTCATGGTCGGCTCCTGTGCAGCGGTTTGGGACTTACCTAGGGCAGACACAACGAGACCCCCACCAGAGATCGTCCAGTCAAAACTTCCTCGTTCAGCAAGACCTACAAAGTGTACAATCAGCCCTTGCGATGCACGTGTATCGTCGAGCAGAGGGCACTTACTTCGGTAAACTTCTCGAGGACGCTTGGTCCGCAACCTCAAACGATGCCTCTTGGATGTTAAAGTCGGCACCGACATCGCCGACGAGGCTGACGTTTGGCATCGCCATCGTTCCCAATGTCTGATTATTCCAAGTAATTGTCAACCCGTTCGAGAACATGATCGTCGCGTCAACTATAATAAACGGTCAGTATCAAGGAGCTGTTGCCACGAGGTGAACGTCTCACATGGACCGGCGTTAGTTATGATCCGTTGAGCAATACAGAAAAGCTCGTCTGTGAGGGATTGCTGATCGTCAACGTCTCGATGCTATAGTAGAGTCATCAGATGAAATTACGAGAAGTGTGGCAAGTTACGCACCCAAGAGTAGAGCCCGTGACAATCTTCTGTACAATTGGTTGAGCCAACACAGGAAGTAGCATATTCAAGCTCTCATCCGTCTTGGTCGCGAGGTCCCCTTGCGTATAGTTCAGCGTCGTCTCATAGTCCCTGCGAAGTTTCATGAGCAAGGCGTTCATACTCATGGCGGCAGTCTGAGGCATACCAATTTTGACACCGGCGCTCAGGGTGACGTTAGACGTCAAACTGGCAAATGCTTGATCGACGTACGACGGGAGGTTGAAGTTCGTGTAGATGTTCCGTTTGGCATGAAAACCACGCCTTCCGTAGGTCTGGACTCGCTGGATTCCGCCGATGTCCATGATGCCGTCGATTTGATCTGTCTCCATCCCCTGATCCACTGCCAAAGCGCGCAGCAACGAGAAGATCACCGACGGATTGAGGTCCATATCCAGGTCGAGCTCGGGTGAGTTCGTCGAGGCCTTGCCGTCAGATGTGAACGCATCGGTTGACTTGATAGTCCCCAGAGTGAGCCCATGCGAGGAAACTGTAGAGGCGATGCTGGTGATTTGCAAGGCGGCAGTGAAAGGATTAGCGAGGATGACAGACACATGAGAATGTTGTTCGTAATGCCAGTCGATCCAAAATGGTGAGCGAAGCGCTATCGAGAAGCTTGGACGTTAGACCAGGGAGGGTCGCTCCCAGACTCACGTCTTGAAGGCGCTCAACAGAGAAGCCACCTCGGTACTGTTGTCATAACCCTTGATGATCACGTCGACGTCTGTGACGTAAAGAGTCAGTCGATGGTGGACAACACAAGACCAGACATCATGACAAGCGTAGACGTAGAGATCACCAGTGTGACTACCAGAGACGATGGAAATCTTACCTGTACCGCCTACGAAGTCATCCAAAGTCTGTATTCCTTCACCGCTAGCGTTCGGATCAAACGCAGCGGTCGTCTGAATCGAGTTGTCGCCCATCGTCAGGTTAAGTTCGGTAGGAGGGCTGTCCCCATGTAACCGTCGCCGCGTACAGCTGCATCGTTAGATCGCCGGTGTTGAGGTTGAGGTTCGACGGGTTGTGAATCGAACATTGATTGCGAGTGTCATTGCATCACTCGTCCCGCCTAGCACATCCACGCTGGAGATCTTTGTCGCATTTTTCAGACCATCCAAACCAGTCAACTGTGAAGGCACGTCGAATTTGATGGGGTTCAGAACGATCGTCCCGATACTCATGTTTGCGACGGCGCGTGCTTGGCCGACTAATCGAAAGTCCGACTGAGTCTGCTGTGTGAGATTAAGATTGAAGGTCGAGAACAGCTCGTGGTTCGCATCGTTGCTTGGAACCAGCAAGGAGCATCGTCGATCGTGATGTTGATCGTCCCCTCGGTGTCCGTTGAGCTCAGGACTCTGATCTCGGACGTGGATTGCCCCAGAGACTGCGATTCAGCAGGCGACGTTAGATGATGATCGTTAAGAAACTCAAGTGACGCACGGTAGACAGGGATGCAATGTTGTTACTGCGCTGAGAGATATTGAACGCATTCTCTATTTGGCCGATAGAGAGGCTGAACCGAATGGCAGCTCTGTCATAGAATGTCAGCGTTAGATCAAACATGTTGCTAAGGCCACTGACTCATGTGGGCCTGTACGCCGTAACTCGAGGTCGATGGTTTCCAGGCCGTTTCCGGCGTGAAATCGAGAGTCATGAACGGAATGTCATCGATTGAATGGGGTTTATAGGCGCATTCGGTTTGAACGGAACCGTGAGGGACAAGGCCTCCAGACCCTTAGAAAGCCAGGAGACGGCGGCACCGTCGGATTGCCGCGAGCTGACCCCCTTCGCAATGACTGGTGACGTTACACTGTTGAGGTACTGCGTGAAGAGTTCGCCCATGACGACAAGCTCGGTGTCGTTATCGTGCTTGACGAGCACACCTGTCAGGTCGACGGTGTTGTTTCCCGCGGTCAGCGAGAGACCGGTACTGGTCCCTTGGCCCAGGTTGACTCCGCCTGGACGAACACGGTCATTGTGAGACGGCCGAGAACCTGGGATGTGACGTACGATAGCTCAGTGCGAATACGCACGTGCCCAGGTCAACTTGGAATGGGCTGATGTTGTTCAGACTCGTCTTAGCAACGAAGTTGATCCCGTTCTCAGCATCGCTCGGTAGCTGGGATAGAGCACACTTAGTCGTCATGGCAATCTTGTCAAGGCATGCGCCACCACGCACCAGGAAGTCTTGGAGAACAATCTTGCCGTCAAAGTTGTTGATCCCATTCAGGACAACGTCCTTGTTGAAGTGAAGACCTTTCGCGGCTGGAATTTAACAGCGTTGACTTTAAGATTGTTGCTCGTCAACCGCCATGTGAAGTTCTGGCGCGTGATCATCGCCGCCGTGAACTCCCCGAACGCATCCTCATCAGTGATGGTGAATGTTGTCGACTGATTCAGCGCAGCGCGTTTCGTGCTCCTTTTGGCGTAAAGTGGCTGGAGTTCCATCGAACCGAGGTTGCGAACGACCTCTTGGTCGCCGATACGATCGACCCATGCGACATTGATGGGCTCTTGGAAAGCTATCTTCGCATTAAAGATACCAGTGTGCGATACCTGGGCAAGACACGGACGTCAGTGAAAGCAAATTGACGGGCAGAGGCGACATGACAGACATATCCTTCCATATGCAACTGGAAACTGACATCATCGTCAGCATAAGCAAACAAAGATCACGAGCAGAGTACAGAGAGAACTGACGTCGTGTTCTGAGGGCTTAGGATGGAGGCCGTCTCGATATTGAGTTGCGATTTGTTCACGATGAGCTGCGCGATGGCTCTGACGACGGGGAACAGTAGAACAAAGATCAGGACGATGCCAATGACTGCCGTCACGATCTGGCACACGATGAACCATTTGCGTTTGTAGAATGGTTGCTTTCTTGCTGCGGTCTCGGTCGTCGCTCCTGCAGCATGCGCTGTCCCAGCTGTGGGTGCTACACCTGCCGGAGTAGCTTCGGTGGCGGTCGCCTCTGGCGCAGCCGCAGGGGTCGTTGGCTGCGTTCCCGTCGCATCATACCCGGCAGGGGGTGCAGACGCTAAGGCAAGATCAGCTAACGCATTACTACAATTCAGTGGATTCTACACACCAGTCACAAGCCTTTCTTGCGAGCCATGTGCCGACATCGCTGCCAACGCGAACGAGCAGGAAGGAGGGGAGGACGCGAGAACAAGACGAACCTGGGGAAGAAGGCCAAAAGCAGTCTGGTGTTACGGCCCAAGCCATATACCAGGCCTTCGTTCCTGGGTGTCTGTAACCCACGCGTATTCGCGGGCGCATTGTGTTTCGAGGAATGCCGCATGATCTCGCTGCATTGGGACGTGAGAGTGAGACAACGCGGCTCGCTGGAAGGAAGGCGCGTTCAAGATTACAACCGATCGCAGAAGCGGCAGGAAGCCACTTCATCATCACGCCGAGGTGGTGCTTCCCCGGTCACGCGGGGTCAGCGCGGGGCTCCCGTGTTCGAACAGTCGATCAAACAGATCGCGTAACAGACTGACAAAATGGGACTGGTCCGGCATTATGACCATTTTGAGAAAACCAATGTTCTGAGCCTTTTTGAACGGAGTTTCCGGATCGAGTTGAGCCATCTCTTCTCTGACGCCTCAATACGAAGCCATCTTTGGTTCAACGTTGGTCGCCAACGGGAAGGAATGACACCTACTTTCGAGATCCGGCGTGAGGCTTGTCGTGAGCTGAGACCGGACACTGAAGCGAGTCTAGATTCATTGAGTTCCTGTTTTTTTTCATGGGATCAGCAAATGATCGAAGACACGCTTGTGACATGCTGGTCAGTACAGAAGGCGTTGAGAAGTATGGAAACATGGACACATAGCACAGAAGGTGGCGGAGAGTACGTCTCACCAAGATCAAAAAAAGCACGACTATTGGCTAGCAAGTAGCTGCCCTCCGGGTCCGGGGGGGTTAATTCCAACGACAGGACGAACCGTTCTGTCAGTCTGCAATGCAGTGACATGTGATGGCTGCACCACAAGGCAACGCCCAGACAGAGTCCCGCCTCAATCTGACATTGCCAGCCAGTGTGGCTTAACAAGCACGGTTATACCATACGGATTCGTACTTCCCTTGTTGACCACCATGTACCGCTGGCTCAACTCGAGCTCGGCTACATCAATCGTCCTGACACATTCCCTGCGTCCGCCGGTCTCATAGTAACGCGGCGGGCGCATGTAGAGAACAGGAGACGATGATCCCAGATTCCAGGGGGACTGGTGATCGCCGTCGGATGGCGACATCGAAGGTCATTGGCTAATACCGTTTGTGTACTGGCATCTGGCAAGCATGCACCGTGTGGAGCTATGAGCGAGTCAGGCCGCGGACGATAGTCCAGTTCTGGCGCTGAGATTCACTCCCATACAAGCGACTCAATTGGTAGTCCCTAGAATCACAAGGATCTTAAAACTCAAATGACGACATACCTTGCCCAGTAGTGCACCCCGAAGTGCCCGTGTGGCTAGTAGGTCCGCGAATTCTAGAACATAGGTAGTTGGTATTCAGTACGCGTATTGATCGATCGACAATCACCCACGGGACCACGTCCGGGAGCTCAAGTCCGTGCACGTCTGCAGTAACAGAATGGAGCGCAAGAGATGGGACCTATCATGGAGCAGGCGTGTCAGTTAGTAGAGGTCATGTGTTGACACTCGTCAGCTTTGGAAGGGACATCTAAGCGCAAGGACTCGGAGCAGGGCTTTGAGAAAGGCGCCCGTTGGGAGAGGACAATACGCAGATATTGCAAGGGCCATGTAATGGAGCGGTCAGTGCCAAAGAGCACGCTCAGGCTTTTGAGAGATGGAGGGTATGTTCCTGGGCTTGTCCTGGGCTGCAGTATTTTATATCGTCAACCACCGAACTGGTTCAAGCGAAAACATGTTTCACAAGCGTACCGCGGATTTCACATGCCGTCCGGACGACAACCGAGGCTAGACAATCACAGGCTTCGGTCCTCGGACGACGTTGAGAAGCAGCAACCCGGCAGCAACTACACACTGTACTTACTTATGTACTAGTAACGTCTTTGAGCTGTAAGCCATGCATTGCTGCAGTCTGACTCTTAGCTTGAGCTTCAAGTTGGAGAGCATCGGAACGCCGCGATGGAGGTAACTTCCGCCCGGGCGAGAAAGAGGACAACACCGACGTACGGTCTTCTGGTGTTCGAGTCGTCGACGTTCTCGAAGGCTTGAAATAATATCATGGGGGACTTCTTTACAACCTCTCGGAGGAACTGCATGGCAGCAAATGATAATTGACGTCAGAAGGATCGGACAAGCTCAAAGGAGGTAGCGGGTTCAATACTTCTTTCACATCTGCAACCTGACGCCCAACACATAGGTGCTTGGTTTCCTTACGAGCCATCGTTTATGAAACGTGGAAGTAATGACTTCAGCCGCCCCCGTGGTAAGATTCGAACTCACCATTAGACCAGACGAGACAATGAAGGACGGCTCGTAGGCTATCCCCATTCGTTGTCCCTGGTTGCCCAGACGCCGTTATAAATCAGGACACTCGACGCGCTCTCCACCTGCGGACATCCTCCACCGGCAACCAGCACAGCCCGGACACATGCGGACGAAGACAACGCATCGCGCGCGACCGTGCGGACTTAACTCTGCAAAGCATCCGGCTTGGGCAATTCTCCCATTCAGCTTCCCGCATGAGCATATGTCCCGCCCGTCACTCACCGCTTCTGTTTCTCAGTTCACATTGTCCGGCGTCATCTCTTCCCTTCCATGTCTGGTAGACTCCGTGTTTCTGGCCTACTCCGAGCGTCCGTGCTTCCTATTACTCCGTGGCCACCTTCCCGCCTTTCAATTCAACGTGATCAGCGCGCTTTTCCGGCGGCCGCATCTCCATAGCGACTATGCGAGGGATTGCAGTGTTTAGCAACGCTACAAATAGATCGAGCCTTGGTGTCTACAACATACTTATCACCTATGGTTCCCTCAGCTTGGCAGATAATCGTACACACCTCGATAATCTAGTCCGTCCACGCAAGCACAGGTTTGCTCTGAGCGTTTTTCGGGGATCCTTCTCGCGCATCTTCAAGCATCTTCAAGCGTTCAACCTTGCTTTGGACTCTACTAGAGAAGCCTCTTGCTGATAGATATGGTTACGAGCGCCATGGGTTCTTCTGGTGTGATGGGTCATTATGTAAATTTAAAAGATAAGTTCGAGAGACGCTGAATTGCGAAACCCTACATCTGGCAGCGGCCACTGGCATCCACATCACCGGTGCTGGACTCAATGACATGCGTCGCGCCCCCGTACTTACATAGCTTGCCAGGTATCCACGCTCGCTGGGGATCCACAACTCGGACTGATACGAGGTATGTGCAGTTGAAGTAACGACGGCTGAGGCGGAGGAGGAGCAAAGTCGGGGCAAGTGGCCAGCTCGAGCGCCCGGAGGAACGCGTTGTGGCTTCCGAGTCTTCGTCGATCGTACCACTTCGGGAAGTACACGTTGCTACTGTACGCTGGCGCTGGCCGCACTTTGGGAACGAGAGCAAGATTATCAGTTTCGGAGAGGACGTCTGAGCATGCATGCACCTCTCTTTAGTCCTCTTTTCAACCGAACCAGACGGGACTGAAGTAATGCAAGCAGCTCTATGCACAAGTGCAGAACGATTCTCGCGCTACCAGTGTCACAATCTCACGAAACTTCGCAAAACATGTCGCTTGAAGACTCATACTGTTCGCTCAGCCTTGGTCTCTGCTGTGGCTGTGCTTCGAGGCTGAGGTAGAAAGGCCTTATTCGCACAACATACGGCGAGTCATGATCACAGAAAGCATATGAACCACTGCATCAAAGCTCCGGCTGAACTCGTTCCGACTAGGTTCTGGCTCAAGCCACAAGGCCACTAGTAATCCATCGTACTCAAACTGTCTCCTAATTGGATGAGGAATCTTGGCATACGTAGCTAATAAATGAAAGGTGGGTCGTGTCAGTTGTGTTCACAATGACACTACGTCAAGCCTTGCATGGGGCTGAGCATTGAGACTGATACGCCAGGCAGATTACATTCCAGACCTCCAGCTCACAAGCTGTATATATAAGGCCAATCCCAGGCAAGATCTCTCCTGGACCGCTACCGTCAACTTCAAGTCTCAACTCTCGCGCAAATCCAACAATCACCTTAACATGGTTCTCCTCGGCATGATTGTTGGGGGCTTCCGCGTCCTCAGCCATCTCGCCCATGCCTACGGTCCTCCCGATGGAAGTCAGAGGATGGTTGGCATCCCGAGCACCCGCGGTCTCTGCTCTGGGATCGCCGGTACCCTTGGCACGGTTGCCTTCCAAGTCGAGAACTCACTCAGGTTCGTCCAATCCTTGTGATCCTCCACCCAACGATCCCCCTGACCATATCGCTCATCTAGTGGGTTTGACGACACGACCTCTGGTATGCTCGACTACTCTGTCATGGTTCTCGGCCACGGAATGGTATCCAACGTGGCGACACTCTTCTTCGGCGGTGGCATCGTACCCATGACCACCCTCGAGACGTCCGACAACCTCGCCTTCGTCAACGACACCTTTCTGTCCACGGTTACACGGTCTACGGCTTCACCGACCTCGTTCTGCACCTCGTTCGCGAAGACCCCGACAACACTGGCATCCTCGAACAATCCGCCACGACGACGGACATCATCGTCGCACCCAAGTACGAGCTCATCCTCTGGTCCGACGCACACCTGTCCCCGATCCCCGAGCCCTCGCTGATGACGAAGGATCTCATCGTCGCTCCAGCCTTCGAGCTCGCCGTCTGGGTCCCTCAAAACACGTGCCTCATCTGCGAAGCCCCTCGCCCTCAGGCTCAGCCCGTCCTCCTCGACGCTGCTCCTCGTGTTCCGGAACTCGAGCTTCATATCGTAAGGGTGTTCCGGCTACTGGGCTACTGCGCCTCCTCCGGCTCTCGGGCGTATTCGGGACACGCAAGGTCGGCCTCACTCTCGGTACGGCCGCACAGGTCTCTGGTCATGGTCTCTTCTCCTTGTCGTGGGCGCAATGCTCTGGAGCGTGATCACGACATCATGGTATAACACCGGCATCGGCTGCGGCGTCCTCTAGCTGTGCTGGGGGTCGCCCAAATTGGTCTCAACTTCTTCCTGGTTCGTCCATGCATCTCATTCTCGCCCAGCAGCTACACTGGCCTCACAGCCCATTATTCCCATACACATAACGAATTACCACCCTCCCGCAAGCGGTCAACCCAGACTCGATCCGGGCTCAGAGGACCTCTCCGATCTCTCAGATGAAGCCCTCGAGCGCGAGATCGCTGAGCTCATGCGCGCGATGGCTGAGCACGACGCGAACATCGACAGGCTGCAGTGGGCATCGCGCGGCTCCACGGCAAGACGCGTCCTCAGTCAAGTAGAGAGGCCTCGCCAGCGCGGAGGGCGCGGCGACGACAGGCTTGCGCTCGCCCAGGCAAGATGGATGATGCAGAGGAAGAAGAGGATGAGGAGGGTGAGGTAGCAGAGACGGAGCCAGAGCCGGACTCGGAGCCTCGGTGTCGGAGGGCTGAGAGGGCACGCCAAGTGGTTCGCCGGTCGTCCCATTTGGCTATCCCTTCACTTCCTTGTCGACTCTTTCTCTGCTTACCAACAGTTCCCGTCTCGGTCTACGTCTACGGTCTCTCTCGTGCACCCCCGATCACGGCTATCGTTATTCCTATTTATGCTCTCTGTTTCATTTAGGGTATCGTTGCGTAGTCTTACAGGTCACGGCTTCCGAATTCTACGTGCGCGATGAGATGGTTCTTGTCACTAGCACTTGCGTGACAGCCCTTCAACGATCAACGAACCATGCACGCTCGACATTATGTATTGGGACGCTGACTACTCCACGCGCGCAGACTGCAGTGCTAATTTGAACATCACCTTCCCCAGTACAACAGTGCGCAACGCAATTGACCCAGCGTATACCCTGGCCTTAGGTGTATAAAACCTTTCATTCCGTCATTCCGTTCGTAAAGATGATCTACAGCGTAGCGAAAGCATCTATGTATGCAGAGTCCACGACACCGCACCCGCCCCCATCCACAGCTTACTGCGCCTACATGCGCAGCGGAGACGCGGTCCCGATCAACGTCGCACCAACCACCTGCCTAACCAACCACCAACGCAGGATTTTGTCATGATCCAAACACGGAACTGATATATACTACAACAACGGATCCAAGAGGCTCAACATGGTACACGACAGCACGGGGGAGGGCTCAACCAAGGAGGCCCTCGCTGTCCGAGTACGCCGTCGAGGACGCGTTGCCGGAGCCGAGCTCGGAATACCGCGCGATTCGGAGACGCTGCGATGGCGGAACGTTCTTGTCCTCGAGCCCGTGTTGTGTACCGCCGTGAAGAACACCGACGCGCATCATGGAAAGCCACTGTAAAACTATGTGAGCGATCTAATACATGACGAGGGGAGGAAGAAGCGTACGTTGTGCGCAGCATTAGAGTGGTCGTAAACACCGCCGAAGAACGCGGTGGTCGCGTCCTTACCAATGTTCTTGGTAATCAAGTGACGTCCGCCTGGGTGCTCGTCCATGAATGCGGAGACATCGTGGATGAAGCCCCCGATGACGACAAGTGAACGCTTGGCCGCTTGCTCCTGGACTGTGCTCGCGATTAGACCAGGCATCTCACAGCGTCACTATACAACTACTCACAACTTTCCCAGCTGATGACCGGCAAGTCATTCACATCAGGCGCAAACGTCAGGTTCTCCTGCGTCTCGCGCAGACGCTTGAGCTGCATCGTGAGTTGGCCCTTGCGCACTTCGTTGTCCGGGAAGACCTTGAGGTGGCTCGCGAGTCCGACCTTCTGCATGAGCGCGATGAACCACTTCGTGGGATCGTACTGGTACCACTTGATGGCGTTGCGGTAGTCCATAGGGAACTGGTGGTGAAAGTTGTGGTAGCCCTCGCCGATCGTGACCAGTGCGGTGATGACATGATCACGCGGTGTGTGCTTGTCGTCGAAGGGCGCCTCACCCAGCCAATGCGCGAGGGAGTTGACGCAGAACGTCGACTGCAATTAACAGTGTGAGAACAATGCAAACCTGACAGACAAATAGGATACTGACGTGGTGAACGAAGCAGAGACGAGCGGCGCCGGCGTAAATGTAACCGCCCGCCCAGTCACCCCAACCAAATCCTGCGACAGCCATCGGCACCAGGAAGCCCGTGGCGATGATTAGGTAAATGTACCACTTGTGCTGCCACCGTACGACCTCATTCCGGCTCAAGTCGCTCACGTCCGCAACACCCGGTCTCCTACGCGGCTTCAGGATCATCCACCCGATGTGTGAGTACCAGAAACCCTTGTGCGCGTTGTATGGGTCGAGGTCCGTATCCGTGTAACGGTGGTGCGCACGGTGACCCCGCGACCACCATTTGATCGAGCCCTCGACGGCGCCTGCGCCCGCAATTGCGAGTGCGTACTGTAGAGGCTTGGAAGCATTATATGACCGGTGGGCCCAGAGACGGTGGTATCCCGCTGTAATGCCTAGTAGGAATGTTAGCCATCCCGTTACTGTGCTTGCAACAAATATAGGGACTCACCGAGACCGGTCACAAAGTAGTAGAGTACGCTCCATACTGCCGTCTCCCAGCGAAGTGGTGTGTAGTACGCGCCTATGATTGAGATGGCGGGGGTAATCGCAAGGATGGACAAGCTGAGGTAGTTCAGCTCCCTCCACCAGTTATCCCGGGTGATGGGCGGCAGAGCCTTCTGGTTTTTGAGGGTCCAGGCAACGTAGTTGTCGGGAATGTTCATGTCAGCCGGCTCCTCCTCCTTGCTCAGCTTCGCCTGCCTGGGAGGCGGAGTCTGGGGAGGAGTTGGGTGAGCCTTTGAAGGCGACGTGGACCGTGTCCACACGATGGAGGACATCGTGAGCGGAAGGAGGGAAGGAAAGGCAACGGGCCATGTTTTCGGGGCTGCGAATATATACGCTCTGCGCAAGCCCAACGGTGGCGACCATCCCCAACGAATTTGTCATCACGTGCGGCCACACTGCTTGCTGGTGGCGCTCGAGCGCTTCTCGAGCCTAAAGCCTATCCTCTGCGCATTGACATAATTCCAATATTGGACTTATCGTCCAGCCCGTCCACTGTCTACCGTCCTGTGCCTACAGGATCCATGAAGGCGGCATATATGCGCACGAAAGCATACTGGTTGGTGCGCAATGGAGGCACTCAATGCTCATGAAATCTCGCTTATTACCAGGGTCCAGCACCACAGGGGAGTCGCCTAGACGGTTCATGATGCACGCGCCGCATGCTAACCAGAAAATGCAGTGCGAGTCTGGCGACCAAAAATGGCATAATTCCACAATGACATACAAGGCTGGTGTGGTGGGGCCGGACGCCGTGGGGGGAAGCAGGAGGCATGCCCCATAGTCTCAGCCCGAGGCGTTCCGACGGCCCTACTGCGCCCCCTCACCTGTGCCGCACTTAGAGCGGATGGTATTCATCAAAATCTGGTTCGAATTCTACTTATCCAGCAGGATGTCATGTTATGCAGTCGACGCCAGAGCGCGCCGGCTTCTACATTCGCTATGTTTATTGAAAACTTCTTCGACACGACAGTGGCCCAGTCGAACCCTGGTGAGTACCAGACACTATCGACGGGCTTCGCTAAATGGAAACGACTACACGGCGCGGCTAGCGTGGACGTCTTCGAAACTCCCTGGGGGGATGGGCAGCGTGTACTGCTCTATCAGGCAAGTACATAAGCATCCTCACGAAAGTGGCGCGACGAAGTCTCACGTCCTGACTTCATATGTCTTGGTCCAGAGCACCATGATGAGCACAACGACGCATTGTGTACCCTTGGCGCGGATATGTGTACGGATAACAGGCCCCAACGAGATACTAACCAAATTGCGTTGCTGCGGCGAAGTCAGCTATAGATATCCAACTGCCGGTGTCACTGCCGCCAACACGTACGGTTGTGGGAAAGCGGGACGTGTCCGAGACGAGAAGGTGGTCGGGCTGGGTAATCGCTGAGACACGTACTTGCCTAACGTTGGGGGGAGGAACGACATCATAAACCACCCCAGTGGACGTATCGGCGTGCTCCGAGGTGAGACCGCGCGATGTGTCGACGGACTGTGATTGTCCCAGGACACCCCGTTGCAAGCTCAGGCCCCGGTCTTCCGACATTCATGCGTGAGTGGCGCCCCGCTACAAGGTGTCTTCTGTGACTGCTTACACATGTCCGTCCGTACTCGATTGGGCCTTGACTGCCGTGTTAGCTGCACTTGACGGTCGCGACGAAGATGTCTTTTCGCGAGTATTGCTGTCAGTCTTGGTCTGTGGTGAGCCGGATATATCCTCCCTGGATGCGTCAGCGACTGCCTTTTGAATACGCTGACACAACGCGCACCTACGTTTTATGACCCATGTCGTGCCAACCCTAATCTTCCCCACGAGTAGTAGTCGTCCCTCGACTTCCTAGAAACGAAGAGCAGTCTGTTACGCGGAAAGGCAGTTAGCTCGAATTGGTCTACTGTGCCTCGTCCCTTGGACATGGCATGACGTCCTTCAGGGGTGTCATGGACTGGCCACGCATCGGACCTGTTCTGCGCGCGAGGCTATCAGCCAAGCACGACTCAGATGCGTCCGGCGAAGGCACCCTAGAGCGACGACGCACCTGATAGAAACATGGCTGAATGGTAGAGTTACATCAGGCCCGTGCCTATCCAAATGACCAACGCTGGACCATGTCCCACCCAGTTTACTCGCGTACGTGAGAAATTCTTCTTGGCGTCGAGGTTGAGGGTGCGTTGACACAGACGACCGACAGAATCCTTCCATCGCTGCTCCAGCTTGACATCTCATGGAGATGGTACACGCTCGTACTTCCTGAGTACGAGTGGTTGCCTCGGTGTTAAGACGGCCATAGCGTGCCTGGTCCAGGCGCTCAGAGTGTGGGGAAGCGGAGGCAAAACCCTCAGCCGAAGCGCCTGAGATCACATCTTTACCAGACGTCGGCGCTCGGATTGTAGCTCGCTTCCACAAAGTGGTTCAATGCTATCCTCCGGAGCAAAGCAGGGGCACATTTCAAATGTCGATGGTGCCATAAGCATTCTTCGTGGACTGAAAAGATTCAGTCGCCATCAAGGGGGTATTGGAAGGAAGAACAGCGTACCGGGAGACACTCCGTAACAGTCTAGCAGCGAGTCACGCTGCCAGACGCAAGATGCTGGTGAGCGTACGTGTGGTGATCTAAGGCGTCGATGACACTCACCATGCTATGATACAGCAGGGCTTTCGTGCAAGACGGGCCATACCCCATCGGCTTCTGCCTTCCTTGCGGTGTGCCCTGCTTTCACGTCCGACGAGACGCATATATGCGGCCATCAGGCCAGGCGGAGGGTCTCGTAGTTGTTCTCCATGCGTACCGAACACTGCTCTTTCCGTCGTGAGGTCGCTGCACATCGTCGGTGACCGTTGCTGCAATGAAGATGAGTGCGGGAGCAGGGCACGGCTCGGGGGACAGGCGTGGTGTGAAGACAAGGGACGTCCTGACAGAAACGAACTGACCCTGTCATCCGAATTAGGAAAGCGTCGGTCGCGTCGCGCGTCGCGACGCGTCCTGACGCGGTCACGCACACAGTCCGTTTAATGCGACAAACAACGCCCAACACCCTCCCCGCAAACATATAAATACGGATGGACGCACCGCCATGTCTCCCCATCCCGCCCACAGGCGTCCCTCTCAGCGCCCTCCTCTCTCGAGTTATTCGCATTCTCACTCGTATCAACATCAACATGTTCATCAACCTCGGCGCGATCCTCGTCACCGCCGGTGCACTAGCCCTCAACCCCAAGTCGTACATCTATTGTCGACTTGGCGGAGGTGGGGCCTCGCTGCACAACCGATATCTGGCCTCGGCACGCCTGCCCGTCATGGTCGACAGGGTCGAGTCCTTCTTCGACCATGTATCCGGCTCGCTCAGGTACGTGATCACGGTTGACGACGACTGGCCTCGTTCTAAAGCATGCACAGTGGGGCCGGAGATAGATTCACAGGCATCGTCGGAGACGCGTTCGCAGGCATAGGCAACATGGTGTTGACAGCATACATGGTGGGGTCGGAGACGCGTTCACAGGCGTCTTCGGGGGCATAGGTGACAGGGCTTCCGACGCGGCATGGTTTATGTATGACACCAGGTGCGTCCCCTCCACTCGTTATTCCCAAGTCAGGCGCTGATCATAGTCCTTCGGTGCAGTCGGCGGTTCATCCCAGTCATAACAGACACCGACCCGGTCCCCCTCCTCCCTGACGCCTTCGTCGACGACCCAGGAGACCCATACGCGGCCCTGTTGACCGGCTTCCAGGAAGACGTGCGCAAGTGGAGCACAACGACGGACATCATCGTACCACCTGTCTTCGATCTCGCGGATTGGACAACGGATTTGATCGTGCGGCCTCCCGGAGACATCATCGTTTGGGTCCCGCAAACCTTGAGGACCTGTCTCTGGGCCGAGCGACCGCGGAGAAATCCAGCCCATCCGAGATCGAAGATAGCAGCTCTGTTTCCACATCTGGGACACCGTACGCCGTCAAGATCGCGCGTACGGTCGTCGAAGGCTTCCAGGATCGTCACACGCCGGTTCTCGTCGGACAGCACACGCGCTTGTCTGTTCTACACCATGGTCATCGCGTACGTCGCCGTCGCTACTCTCGAGCCTGTTAGGACGGCGTGGCGGACTTCGCTGTGGGTCACCTCGGGTCCTGCCATGTTCGGGTTCGTCATGCGTAGCCTATATTCGTCGATGGTGAGTTGGTTTTCCCCTTTCGCACACTTGGCTGAATAGGTATTCAACAGCTCTTTATGGCCTCACTCAAGGGAATGCCGGCGGACGAAGACGTACAGCGCATGGCCGGCCTCACTCGGAAGACCATTCGGCAGCTTCGCAGGGCGGCAGCCAGGACCACGCGCTCATCGGCGGTCCTCGTCCGCTCATCGCATACGACCTCGCGAACTACACCCCGGCTCCACGTCTGGCTCTTCGGCCTTTGCTCGTCGTCTTCCGGGACGGTCCAGTCCCCACGCCTGTCGCATTCCTCGCTCAGTCACTCGTTCGCGCACGTTCAGCGCGATGACGTTCATGGAGGCACGCCGCGCTGCTCCTAAGTCCAGTGGACCTCTGAACATGGTATCTCTTATTGAGGAGGTCAGTCGCCGTTTCCTCTGCCGTTGTAGATGCTGACGCTGCTTTCTTTAGGACGTGCCTGCTACGACGATGGGATACGCGAAGCGCCTTCTGCGGCGCCACAACCCGGCCTTCAGCTACTCGGCCTCTCGCAGCGTCGCCTCCACCGGCCCGCGGTCAAGACCGTGCCCACCGAGGCGGACATCCAGCCCATCGAGGCTCCCGTTCAGGAGACAGTTCGTCAGCCTTGCAAGGCGGCTACCCAGGATCACGCGTTGATGGGTGGCCCTCGCCCGATGATCGCATACGACCTCGCGAACTTCACCCCGATGCCGCGCTTGGCTCTTCCTCCTCTTCTGCTCATCCTGCCGGACGGGCCCCTCGCTCTAGTTCGCTCGGCCACTCGCCCTCGTACGTTCAGTGCGATGACGGGGATGGAGGCCCGCCCCGGTCCCTCGAGTGGACCTCTCACGATGGCGTCTATCATTGAGGAGGTGAGCATCTTTCTGTTTTCGCTCCACGTTTTTATACTGAATATGCTCTGTCAGGACGTTCCTGAGACCACGATGAGATACGCGAAGCGCCTCTTGCGCCGCCAACAGCCTGGTCTGCAGCTGTTCGGTCTCTGGAAGCGCCGCGTCCAGCGCCACGCCGAGCTACGCGCGCTTCGCGACGAGATGGGCGAGGACGCCGCCATCCGCTACGCACAGGAGGGACGGAAGATCCTGCAGCAGAACGTTCGGTCGATGTGGGGTATCGGAGAGCAGGCGAGTAATATCTGTGCGTTCAAACGACGCAGCTACTGACTTCGTTCTCTCAGCCTGAGCACTAGGCGATTGGCAGGCTCTCCACCCAAGATGACCCCCGCGCACTATCATTATCGCTATATATTCCTCCTTCTTCTTGCTTACTGTTTGAAATCTCTTACTTGATGTTCGACACGTCGTGAACTCGTAATGCCCTGCGGTTCATGGCGTGCCGTTATCGCGCGGGTCAGGACTGTTGGGGGCATCCTTCAGTCTTGACCTGCTTTTTCTTTCCTTTTTTCTCGTGCAGCAGTTTCCAACTCTCACTCGGATCAACATGGACTCCCGGATAGCAAGGCATTCGTCTCGGCACACGGACTTCTCTAGTTTTGTATGACATGTCTCGCGCAAGGATTCAGTTCGGATCTTCCTCTACATCTCGCCTGGTTCCTCCCAATCAACTCTCCTGTATCAGCCGCATGATTTCTCGTCACTATATAGGGTTTCTTGACACTGTCGCGTAGCCATGTATCATTCTAACAAATGTTGTATGTCACTTTTGTCTAGCCGCCGGAAGTTTATCTCTCGTTTCTCTCCTTGTTTCATTTCGCGACTGTCATTATCGTACAATTAGCCTTGGTCAAGTTGGGCGACACGAGTCAATAATCTGCCATATCCACACCATCTAAACGGACTCTTGCGGACATCACATACGACGCGATCACGTGATCACAGGACGCGACGGTCTCCACGCGTCACGGCAATGCGCATTGTACCGTGGTTCGTAGAGTAACAATTCGTTCACGACCAATATCTACAGGATTTGTTGCTTTGCACAATGCATGTCTGATCTCGGCCCCCTTCGTGTATACGGTGACAGAGGGTCTACCTCGGGCTCCAGTGCTAGACTTACGCATCGCAGATCAATGTAGCTACGAAGTACAGTCGATCCGTGTCGCAGCAACATGCAAGTTCGCATATATTTGCAGGAAGGACATCAGAGCTGTCCTGCGAACGTTACGCATAGGTCAGTGCTGCGTTGAGGATCAGACTACGCGTCCCTTCGATCAGGTTGCACTGCAACAAGAGGCTGGCAAGGCTGAACTCTAACGCACCACCCTACTCGCCGGCTTGTGGGTGTTCAGATCCCGTTGCTTCCTCCTCGACCATCGCATACCTCTGTTGCGCCGTCTCAACCAAATCGTGCACAACCGAAGCAAGCGGCGCTGAAGCAAGTCGAGATGGCTCCCATCCTGGCTTCGCCTGAAGTGCCTCAATCTACCGCCAACGTCTCCTCAAGCCTTCCTATAGTCTTCCAAGGCAACAAGCAGCTCTTGATCTACGTCGTCTCGGTGCTCGTGGCCGTCCTCCTCTTCCTGTCGGCCGGGGTCTACCTCCTGCGCCTCCGACTACGCCGCCGGCGTAACCAGCAATCCGGAGGTGTCGACGAAGAAACGGACCCGAAGCTTCTCGACACCCGCTCTGGAGTGAGCCACCGGCCGACGTTGTACCATGGGTGCTCCTCCAGCATGACACTGAGTGACAGCACTCCAAACGACAATGTCGAGAAGGGCGGGACTGGAGCTCTTCACCAAGCCCTGCTAACCTCGACGCCCAAGGGAGCTGAGTCCGCGCCGCCGGTACGTTCATAGCTCACCTCACTCTGCATCGTCAGTGTCGGCTGACACGGGCTGGAAGTCACTGTCGGTTTCAGTCACCGACTTTCCTCCTGCTGTACTGGAGAGCGGGGCTCACGGCGAGCCAAGCGGGCCTTCCTTCTTCAATAACGCGGGCCTTGCCACTGGAACGTCCGCCACGTCTGGCACACCTGTTCTGAACACGAAACGGGTGAGTACATCAGAACCGCGGCATCCGCACACAGCTAACACAAGCCTTCACAGACCAACGACACCTTCATTGCGGTTCAATCCGCGGAGATACCCCGTCCGTCAGTACCCAGAACAGATGTCCAACACGGAGGTCGCCAGAACACCACGAGTCTAGGGCCAGGCAAGAAGTCGCCCACAAAGGCCCCAGGGCTGATCGCGGAGAGAGCCTGCTTGACCGCCTCGACGCCATTCTCGCACAAGAGCCCACCTTTGTAACCCCTGAGGACCCAACACCGTTCCCATTCATCGCAGCAGATCCCACGCGCCGCAGCAGGGTGATGAGCATGCTCGACGAAATCATCGTGCAGGGGCCTCCGCCGCTCAGTCCAGCCTCGGAGTACGATTCGGATGCATCGAGCACCGACAGCCCGCTCCCGGCGACGCCTCCTGCCATCGTTGACGACCACGGCTTCCTGCCGCCGCTCGATCTCGCCTCGCTCCTGCGTCTGTCTTCGCCTGACCAGAGGCGCGTCGTTCTGCTCCTGGAGCCATCGCCCCCGCGCATGCAGGAGTACTTGGTCTGGCCCGTCAAGAAGACCTTGTCGAAGATCACCGGCCGCGGCGCTGTTCCTCCGCTGTCGCCCCCGCCATCGTCCTCGAGGACACCGACGTCGGCGAACCCCCGACGCAGACACCGGACTGCTCCTCGCTCTTCCACTTTGAGGTGTCTCCGGAGATGGACTACCTGCAGCCGCCTCCGCCCTCGTGGAACGCACCGAGTGAGGAGACGGTGCAGCCTGTGTACGTACCGAGAAGAATCGTGAGGCCGACCAGCGTTCGCGGGGCCACGCCGTTCCTGAAACCGAGGCGCTCTCAGCTTCGTGGCCAGCCGAGGCCTACAATTGGACTCGGTCTCTCTGTTGCCCAAGAGCACACGTCTCCGGCGATCGACGCAGGTGGTGTGCACCTGTCTGTTCCTCCTCGGGCGATCGCCGCGGCCAGACCCGCTCATAAGGTGGCGTCGCCATACACCTACTTCTGATTCCTCATGTTGTCTTGTCTTGTCCTGTTTCCTTGTCTTCCTCACGTCTTGCAAGCTTCATTTTCTTTTCTTTTTCGTCTCGCTGTCCTTGTTTTCGCATGCCGTCCTGCTCCTGTCTGTCGCCGCGTCTTAGCGAATCTACTACATTCAATCAGTATAATTGCCGCTTCGTCGGTGTACACAGCATCTTATAATTTCCCGTCGTCCGTCCTGAAGTCCATCATATTCAGCGACGCGCAGATGTCAATGTCATATCGTATATGAAATTCAATAACGTACATCCCAAGCATGAAGCTGCCCATCCCGAGGACGTGTCTCCGGCAGAGCCAATGGCAAACTTTCCGCTTACACGTGGTGTTCTGAGCGAGTAGCGGCGCAGAGCATTCCAGGGCTGGGCCTGCGAACGGCGCGATTGAGCAACGAAGTGCACAGATGGAGGAGACAGCATGAGAGGCGCACAGGGGACGCGTATCACGGCGAACAAACGCCCAGGTATAAGCGAATATATGGTACCACCCGATGGGTGCTGCCGACAGTATCTGAGTATAATGCGCAGGACGCGCCCTCTTGCTCCAAGACCAATGGGCGAGTCCTCGCGCTGTGGTGCCCAGGACGCAATGACAACGGGCGGGCCGCATTCTTGGTGCCAACGTCCAACCTCCCGCGTGAACGCCCCCATCGGTGGCGCCACCCTCCCCCGCCTCAGCCTCCAATGCGATCCACAAGCTGCACTCACAATCCACGTCCAGGAGATGCCGGTCATGGGAGAGGGGAGAGGGCTGACCTGGGTGGTCAAGTCGAGACCCGCGAAACAACTCGGGAAACGCCAACACATCGTCCTCCAGACCGACTCGCAACGCTCCGGGGTCGGGCGGCTCACATCCGTCGCGGAGATGCGCCGCCACTGGGTGCTGTTCACCGTCTCCGGCGGGCCCTACCCGTGCAACGTCCGCGTGCCCGTACCGTGGGCGGCCCTCGACGACCTCGAGAGCTTCACCCACGTCAAGCTGTACTTCACGCTGCCCACACTGCCCCGCCCGCACCCGGAGTTCGAGCGCATCCCGCTCTTCACGAACGACGAGGAGAATCCGTACGAGTTTGAGTTGGGCGAGGGCAGGGCCTTGGACGCGGAGCGACGATACGCTCGGATAACCAGTACCACGTTGGACATGGGGATGCAGTGTCCAGCCGAAGGCCTCCGATGAGAGCAGTCGTGCCTTCATCTGCGCCGTTGCACGAGTCTTAGCTATAGTTTGTAAAAAGCATCTGGAAGAGGGGTAGGCGGATAGTAGGAAGCGCAGGTCTGCAAATATTCGCGATGATGCTACGAGAAGTAAAACTTCACTCCTCTAGCCAATGGTTGCCCAAGTGTATGACATACCGATATATACGTGTCCTCCAGGTCGTCAGACTGGCTTGCTGTTTCACCAGTAACAGGGCCATAAGTGACGTTACAGTAATGGGTCAATCCAAGCTATAGCCGCTGACCAGTTGCTCCTCAGAAACATTCGCATAAAGTTGGTTGATCAAGCAATGTGTGACTGCGACAGAAGAGGAATGGCACGGCGAACATTGACCAGCTTGGAGTGGTAAGAGACGAAGCCCAGCCAACCCCAGCCACCAACAACTTGCCAGGTTTGGTCGTCTCGATGACGTAATCTTTCTCCGAGTCCCACTGCGCCGAGGACTGATCCAAGGCTGATCGAGACTGAGTACTGTACTGTCGCATACACCTGAATGACGCTCTTGCTTCCCCCGTTCATCAGTATCTACTATCCCTGCAGCAACTCCCGACTCAGCGGGTCTCACCGAGGCACGTTCGAACCCGATCAACAATTTTATATCCTCCAGCCATCGAGTCAGTCCGCCCCGCGCCGCCGGCATTCTGCTCTCCACAATTTGGCTCCGGATGACTTCTGTACACAACCCCCATCCGACACCTGCGCCGGCATCGTCGACGACACTCGTCGCAGAAGGTTAGATAGAGGGGAAGGTCAGATAGAGGTAGTGGAGACGTTGACAATCGTGAGTATCGTTCGTCTTCGCCGAGATCTCGAGCGCCGTTAAGGACCCTCATCGGAACCTTCTCCGCGCTATGTATACACCAGCGGATCTCGAGCCGTTTGCTTATCACATCCCTCGCTGCTTGTCCAGGACCATCGCGCACCTTTGCTATACTAGCTATCGCAAGCAAACTCAACGCCTCATGAGCAACGAAGAGAAATTTGACGCCGTTACGGACTCGGAGAAGGATGTCGGGTCACTCGCGGAAGGTTCGCACAACAATCAGCTTTTTGCGAAGACCCGGTGGAGTCGGCAGTTGCTGAGATGGGGGGTGGAGGAAAGAGGTGCGTGGTACGGCCACTGGCGCAGAACGCCCGAACTCACTGTTTGCAAGGCATCCTTCCCGTCCCTCCGGAAGAACGGACGGATAGACACTACAGCAAAGTCTTCTTTGTTTTCCTCTCCGCAAACTTCAACATCCTCTCGTGCGTTCTTGCCACGACTCGGTTCCGTGCCTCCCTCTAAGTCGGTACTTCAGATTCTCTGCCGGTACGCTGGGACCGATCGCATACGGGCTCGGACTCCGGGACACATGCCTGGTCATCCTCTTCTTCAACCTCCTAACGAACATCCCTCCGGCATACCTGTGTGTACGACCTCTTCTCCTTCGTGATCTTGATCTCATTCCGTCTTAGCGCGACGTTCGGCCCCAGGTTAGGCCTCCGGCAGATGTGTCAAGCACGTTACAGTTTCGGGTGCGTCATTCCAGTAAGTGTTTGTGATCGAACGCTCACAGCCAAATCCAGGTATTTTGGCGTTATATTATGAGCATATTTAACATGGCGACGGGGATGGGGTACAACATCTGAACTGCATTCTTGGAGGCCAAACATTATCAAGTGTATCGAGTGGACATCTTAGTTGGACGTGCGTTGCCTCCTCTCTCGAACGAAACACTGTGCTTACCGTGCTCTGTGCGCTAGGGTCGGAATTGTAATCATTGCCTAATCTCGCTCTTCGTACGATCCCATCTCTGACGATGCGTGTCTACTTGTCTGATAATTTGGTAACCACAGGTCTCCTTCTGTGGCTATAAGGTCCTCGTATGGTGCGTCCCTGCATGCATCGCGCTGTCGCTGCCGCTGACCTCGGAGTAGGTACGAGCGCCTGATGTGGATACCAGTGCTCGTCGCATACGTTGTCGCCGTCGGACTTGGGGGAAGCACCTCATCAACCCTCCGCCAGCAGAACCGGCGACCGCAGCCGACATCTTGAGTTTGCGTCGGTCATCGCGGGCTTTGTGATCAGCTATGGGCCGTGCAGCTCGACTACACGCTCTATTACACACCGGACGTCCAGCGTGAGTCCCTCGTAGTCGAGGCTATGGCTATCGCTTATAGACGCTTCAGTTGGAAGGTCTTCATGTACACTTACCTGGGTGAACGTCCCATCGTACGTCCCCCGGACACGTTTCCAAGCCGGCCCTGACTCGACCCGCAGATCACCCTCCAATGTCTCGGCGCCTCGTTCGCCGTGGCCGCGTCCACGGTGCCCGCGTGGAACGACGGGTATACCAACGGCAACGTCGGCGGGCTGCTCGAGGCGGTCCTCAGCCCCGTAGGCAACTTTGGCAAGTTCCTGACGGTCATGCTCGCGCTCAGCGCGACGGGGAACATCGCGATCACGCTCTACTCGTTCTGCATGTCCTTCCAGGTGTTCATCCCGCAGGCGACCTCGTCCCGCGGTACTTCTTCTCCGTGCTTGCCACCGCGATGTACGTCCTCCCTAGTTCCATGCGTATGTGCGTCGATCTGACGCCCGCGCAGCGTCATCCCGCTGTCGATCGTGGGCCAGCACAAGTTCTACGACACGCTGAGCAACTTCCTCGGGCTGATCGGCTACTGGACGAGCGCGTTTTGCGCCGTCGTGATCGTCGAGCACCTCGTCATCCGCCGCGGCGCCTTCGCGAACTACGACCTGCGCTGCTGGAACGACTACCGCGGCTGCCGCTCGGGCTCGCGGCCATCGGCGCGTGCCTGCTCGCGGTCGGGCTGATCGTGCCGTCGATGGGCCAGGTGTGGTTCGTCGGCCGTTCGCGCGGACGACGGGCGACATCGGGTTCGAGCTGGCGTTCGTGGCGACGGCGCTGTTTTATGTCCCGTTGAGGATGCTGGAGTTGAGGTTTAGGGAGTTGGTGTAGGGTGAGGTTTAGCTGGTGTGTGTGCGGCAGATCATCTAGAAGTACTCAATCGAGACTGTGCTTATATGGAAACTGGATAGCCATGAAATATGCGTAAATCGCTCAAAGGGTTCGAGTTCTTCGGATCTTCCATCGTTTCTTTCATTGGGCGACGTAGCGTGACGTTATCTGGCACATGTTTGTGACAGACCGTGTAGTCGCCGCTCAGCGCTCAGCGCTCAGCCCAGAGTCCCACAACTCCGCCTCCACTTCCAGTCTGTACCTGCATTAAACGGTTACCCAAGCTTATCTCTTGTGATCGCTGTACGTTCTGGCTGTGATTAGAGACACATGAATTCGGCAGCAACGGTATTGCTCCGTGCTTTTCGATGTCAGTCGTGTGCTAGGTATGTCACGGCGCCGGCTCTTCCACCACTGCTATGCTTACACGTCATTCTGCTTCAAGTCAGTGTGGTACTATGATACGCAAGGCTTTCTGAGCTCGGTCCGTCACCGAGGTTCGTCGTGCCGGGCTTGATGGCAGTATCACTGTCCCATGCTACATGGAATCCCGCAGGCCTTGTCTCATCCCATTGAATACCAGTCGACCGACCTAGTCTCACTGTTTCCCGCATGCTGATTGCACGTTTTCTATCGGCGTCTGGCAGGAGTCCATGATGGAAATTAGCCCAGCTTGAGTACGTTCGAGCGCTCATCGAGGTGGATCTTGCCTTGAGGCTTCAAGCTTTACAGCACTTATGAAGCCCGACACTGTGGCATTCGAGCATTGGGTCCCAGGACGTCAACGATCAGCGCTGCAGCATACAATCTCCCATGAAACATCGTCATCCCCACTGGCGCCGGAATCCGAGTTTGTCGATGTTCTCGTCGTCGGCGGCGGACCTACCGCCCTTGTCATCGCCCTGATGCTCATCAGGAATGGCGTACGAGCTTTGGTAGTAGGTGTGTGCTCTATGCTTATGTGCGGATCAACCCCTCACATCGCTGCCTGTCGTTCCTCCAGAACAACATGCCAGAGATCAGCAGACTCTGTATGGCCGCGCTTGCGTCCTCTATCCGCGATCGCTGGAGCTCTTGGACATGATCGGTGTGTACGATAGAATAGCTGATATTGGTTTCATAAGTCGGTATGTACGTTATTTCAAGCTGCCAGGGGGTATTTGATCCCTTGTGTAGGGGATCAGTCACCGTGAAAGACGGTCAGGCCACGGCTTCGCGAGGCTGGGGTTGGGTGAAGAAAGCAGTCGCCGGCAAGACCTATTTCGACTTCTGGTGCGTACATGGGTGCCTCACCATGATACTCGAAGTGATTGGGCACAGCATGTGTATCCGTCAGCGATCGTAGAAGACGCGATGCTCAGTGCAATCACGGAGCTGAACGAAGATGCTGTCCGACCATCCGTCAAGCTTATGGACTACAGCGTCGATGAATCATCTGAACACCCCATCGCAGCTACCCTTCAATTAAAAGAAGGCCAGTTGGTCCATGTGCACTGGTGAGTGCGACGTGAGGTCGTTGGCTAAATTAGTGCTCACCAACTGTGTTGTGTGTAGCAAGTATCTGTCGGCGCCGATGGTGGCCGGTCCACCGTTCGCGCCCTCAGTGATATCGCCTTCCCCGGCGTGTCTTCCCCTCACAAATGGGTTCGGCTCGACGCTATTGTCAAGACGGACTTGCCTCACCGCCGCGGCGTCGCCGTCTCCATCGAGACAAAAGAACACGGAAATGTTCTCTGGATTCCGATAGACAACGGCAGGACGCGCATCGGCTTCGTGCTCAAGGACGAGTTGTACCGTGACGGTGTCGATGGAATGGGTGTCACGGCTGACGTTGTGATGGAGGAGGCGAAGAAAGCCCTGCAGCCCAATTCATTGGAGTTCCTCCAGCTGGACTGGTGGACCGTGTATGCCGTAGGCCAGCGCGTGGCGGAGCAGTTCAAGAAAGGTCGTGTGTTCTTGGCAGGAGATGCTGCCCACACACATTCGTCTGGCTCAGGTCAGGTGAGTATGTGCTGAATCTTTGCAGTGCACTGTATACCGCTGTTCCGAGGCAGCTGATCTAGCGAATTCCCGCAGGGCATGAATACGGGTATACAAGATGCTACGAACCTCGCCTGGAAGCTGCCGGCGTCGTGAAAGGTGGTACAAGGAGGAATCCTGGAGGTCTACGACTCCGAGCGTCGTGCATCAGCCCAGCACCTCATCGAGCTTGATAAGGAAACCTCATCCCTCATCTCAGGCAAGATTCCCGCACGATTCAACGCACTGCCGGACGCCAATGTCAATGACTACCTGTACAATGTCTTTGAAGAGAGTGCGGCCTTCAACGTCGGTCTAGGGATCTCGTACCCCGAGAATCTACTCAACCAGACCTACCCAGGCCCAGGCAATGGCCCTTCCGCGACGGTTTCGGTGGGTCACCGTGGTCCTGACGCGGCACTCTTCCGTCCCGGCGCAAAGCTCCCGCGCAGGCTACATGAACTCACCGCGTCGGCCGGGAACAGGTTTACCATTCTCGTATTCGCGGGAGCAGTACGCCCTGTGGATGATTTCATGAAGCTCGATGAGACAAGTGCCGCGAGGTATCGGGAGCTCAGACAACATGTTGACTCTGAGGCGTCGTTTACGCGCACCCTGGCGGATGTCTTCGTTTTCCTGTCCATCGTGCGAAGCGAAGGAGTCTTGCAGCCTGCGGAGGCCCTCGGAGTCTCTCCTCTTGGGAAAATGGCCTACGACCACTCGGGCGACGCGTACGACAAGTACGGTGTGCGAGCTGCAGAGGGCGCTCTAGTGGTGCTCCGACCCGACGGTATCGTGGGCTTCGTTGCACCTCTTGACATGGACGGCATGCAAGCCGTGGGTCGGTACTTCCAGACTTTTGTCAACGGCAGAGCGATCCGCCAGCAGGCTATGTCGCGAGATATCGGGCACTGGCATGCCATCGGTGAGATGTCGGTGGAGGGTCAGGAGGAATCCACGAGGCTTGTGTAACAGTAGCGGCGAGTGGTCAGTCTCTAGGCTTGATAGGCTACGTTCGCCTACTATGTAGTAGGCCCATCATGTTGGTATCCATACGGGGATCTTGAACGAACATTAGGTCGGATGGACGAATAGCGGCAGGTCGCGCCACCCTAAGTACACACCGAACATACTACTGAGTCCGTCTCATCAAAGCGATACTTCAAGCTGATGTTTCAGCATGTATACATGCTGTTCGATGAACAGCAGTGCTTGGAAGATGGCGAGCCGGTTTGGGATGCTCATCGGCAGCTCGCATGCCATTCTCCTGACTGGTGCACTGATGAACTTCCAGTTGAACTGCTTGATGGATTGCGAGTACTCGATGGCTGGAAAATTGATGTCCACCCAGAAGAGCCGCCTGCTGTAGAGAACGCTGAAGGCGAAGAACTTCTTGTCCAGTTGGACTGCGGCGTCCGCCTCCGTGAGCTTGCGATCGACCCTCCACCCTTGTTTCTTGCAATGTTGCACAGCGAGAAGGGTCATAGTCTGGTGCAGCACTTCAGTCATGTGTCGCCGTGCAGTCATGACAGCACCGGCAGGCATATCGGTATCGCCAAGGAGGAAAACCGCCAGAGGTAGGCAGCCATGACGAGTAACCATGTCCCTGTCAGTCCAATAACCCTCAGCACGCGTCAACAGTTGCCAGGGTCGACATAGTCATACCGTTTCACCAGTCGTGGTATGGCAGTCCAATACGGATAATGCGGGCCGAAAATCCTCAGGATCGCGTCTCCGATGAGGCATTCAGAAGCCAATTCGCGAGCCAGTTGTTGGGAACGAGCACAACAATGGACAAGACTTAGTATCCCACATATCTGCTCCTCGGTCCAATCATCTCGACTGAATAGGCGTGGCACATATTCCGGGTAATCTTCAGGTGTACCAAGGCCCAGCCACGACTTATTCATGGTATTACCATTGAAGAACTCCATAGCCAACTGCACCCGTGCTAGTGTTACTTGAAGAGCATTTTGGTTGAAAAGCCGTGCGAACACATCATTCTGTATACATCGCAGCCACTATGAGTTGTACTGCAGTGCATTCAATAGTCTGACAAACTCACCTTATCTCTGAACCGATGTGGTACAGGTATTGGTCCTATCTTGGCTAATATCATATCGGATTCCAGGAATCCCTTCTTCGCTTGCCTGAAATACTTGGACAGCGCAGATGCACACTCTGGCGAGCTCCATGCGAAGTCTTCGAACTCCCAATTGACGGCGAGGGCCACAGTATCGCGCCTTGCACCTGTCGCTGGAACCATAGGAAGATGCCTGCGACCTCAATTGAGTGATGGATTCAGTCATCAGAGTAAAAATCGTGACGTACTGAGTGTCCTCGAGATCGCGCATGGCTTTGAAATGACCATCTACGTTCGAAGGACGAGCTGACATCAGCGTTGGCGTGGTAGCAACGGTGTTGTGTCGGAGTGAATTGCTTCTGGAACGAACATGTAGAGTTACCACAGTGTCCTCGTCGTGACCGGAGTTAAGGGGATGCGCTTCTGCAATGACATGTGTTGCACTACCCAAGACGAAATATATTCGTAAGTAGATGCATATCACGTTGCACATCGCGGCAGACATTACCTCTCCAGAGTTTCCCTCTCCCTTTCCATACGAGCCTCTTCTGATTGCAACAACCAGGATTGAACAACGGGTTTAACCCGCTCGATTTCTGCTCCGAAGAAATCTGGTCTCGCGGAACCATACAGAGACGGCGGGTCGCTCGCTTGCGAATCATGCGACTGTGATCCACTCGACTGCGATTCACTCGACTGCGAACCACTCGACTGCGAACTGTCCGACTGCGAACTGCCCGACTGCGAGGTCATCGCGGGTTGACGCGGACGGGAGGCGGTGTTTCGTACCTGACTCGGATATCAGGCAGACCCTCGAGTAAGCCTTGCATAACTGACTCGTGCGCTGTCAGGACATGTTCCGGCCATTGGACATGTTCTAGCAGCGTCGCCAAACGGAAGATGTGGTGCTGACAAGAGAGTAGGGCCAGTGCGACTCTATAGCGGCCACGAACGAATTCAGCGACACCCCCGACACATCGGCAGGGGAAGGGAAGGGTGTCCAAGAGCAAAGATAGATACCGATGGCGGTTGCCCGTGATATAGGGGATGTGCGCTACGAAGTGAATCCATTCCGAGTCGTAGATGATGCCCATAGACATGGCACAAGCTGGGAGCATCGTCGCGTTTGAATGAGCAGCCATATCTTCACAGGATGGCGCAGCCCCATTGTTGTTCCGAGAATCCGACCACGATTGGACTATGGATGCCAAACTCAATTCACTCGAGAGTGCGAGGTTACGACGCGTCTGTAGCAGATCTTCTCTCTCCGAGTTCGGATCGTCGTCGTCAGGCCACCGTGCGGGACCCTTCATGCAGAGCACAACCGCTGGATTGAGAGCACTAATGGGTGTATAGGCGAGATGTTCTAGGGATGCCGACGTCGACGGGCCTATCGGATAGTAAATGATGGCACAATCAATGGACCCTATTGAATCCTGTGCGTGCTGAACGTCCAGGATCCCCAGGGCTTCCCTGGCGATCGTACTCAGAGTCAGTTGCTACTGGTCTACATTTTAGACATTACATACCTGCGGACGTAGGCGCAAGGTACGCCATCCAAAGCCATGGCGATTGTATGCTCGGCCAAGATCTCTGAGCCTTGATATTGCAACACTTGTGCCACTTGGTGAAGCGACATGTGGGTATTATGAAGCACGGAGTCATCGTCTTGTCTGAGGTATTCCCGGTCTTCAGGGTTCATGTGGCGCTCGGCGGCAAGGGAAAATTGCGGTGGTGTATCATGATCTGCACGATTGATCAATTCTTCGTCGGTCAAGAGACGGAGGCCCTCTGAAATGCAGCCGAGATGGAGACGGACGACAGCCCTGCTATACTCTCTTGTACGAGTCGGAGAGTAACAGATACCCGCCTTTACCTCGTTCTGATGACCGTACAGCTGATCAGCAATGCATCATGAATTTTGAACAGGCTCGGACTCACCAACATCCAAGTGGATGGTACGTCAAGCGTCTCAGGCTGGTTCCATGACGACTTCAAGACGTGCAAGTAATCAAAGTGATGATGGAGCTGCGTTCGAAGAGTCTGGTCCAAAGAATCGTTTGACCAGATCGAAGCGAAGGTCCAATCCAAAGGCGCCATGACTGTATTGAACTTGCGGTATCAGGTAGCGAATCGAGTTTCATGCGAGCAGAGAGAACGTGGAGACTCACCACCAGTGGTGCCAGCGAAAATATATGGTGCGTGAATTATGAATTTAAAAAGGATGTGCGCGGTGTTGCCTGCGCCAGTGGTACATATGACTCACTGCAATGCTGGTGGCAGGTTCACTCAGACGTGCCTTGGCAATGGACGTGCCGCAGTATTTTGCTCTTGAGAGTCTTCTGAATCTCCGCGCTCGCTTCGTACGTGCGAGCCGGCGTCAAGCACGGCTCCTTGACGGCACCCACATGCACAACTTCAAGAAGTCTGAACTTGGTCCATGACATTCCAACTCTGCTACCTCCGTACTCGACATGGCTATATTCGCAGTGCAACAGATCTTCTCATTAATTAAGACAGCCTGGGCGTGAAACTGAAAGGAGCGGCAGAACTTAGTAGAAGGGCGAGACGTGCGTGGCTGTCTACCGTGTTTACTGGTGGAATGAGCTAATGGTGATAGCTTAATGAAGGACCCAAAACGCACGTCGCTGCTATTCTCAAGCAGTAGTACGAGTATTCGCGTGCTGGGCGTCACTTTTGAATAGGCAGCGTGTAGCCGAGGGTATGTCAGTGGTCACGATGCCAGTCTTCGCCTCTGTATTTGAACATCAACGCTCGTCGCCAAACCGAGATCCGTCTCTGGCTCACAATCATCTCTTTCATCGCATAACCTGGCGTTCGTCCTCACCCGTATAGACATTAGCGGCGGTTGCGACCATCTCACATGCCACTACCAAAGTGGACTTTCGCTTCAATTGAGTCGCTGGATTCTCTGGATGATGCAGTGCAAGGGCGTTGTCAGCATCAGATCGGATACATAGAGAGCTTTAGGGCCTATTACCGACAGACAAGGCTGGAAATTCCCCAAGTCTGGATGGTACCGGAACTACCGGTATGTATCCGAGTCAATTTGACCTCGACACCCATCTGCGAAATGATTAAGTCTGATTATCCCGGCGGATGCAACAGATACAACGGGAGGCAAGTATAGCCTTCGAGTGGACGGAGGAAAGACAGTTCAATTTGGAGCTCCTCCTTGGTCAACTCCGTCATATCCCGGACGAACTTGTCTATGTAACGGACGAAGAGCTCTTTCAACGACTGCCTTGCGATCCCGCAGCGCCGCTTAGCTTCTGTCTATCTGCTGAACGTCATAAGCACACGCGTTATTACGATCACGACGGGGCAGAGGAAGCGGTCTGCAAAACACATATGTCACTGTACCAAGTGACCCAAGTGCTGCAGTACCGGGACTCGGAAACCGTGGCCGAGCACGCTATTGCGACAGCATTCGACGGTATTCCTGGTGCCTATGTTCGAAGGTGAGTCCCATTTGAAGCCATTCGCCTTCCCTTCTCAACACAGTTCAGGCAGAATCTCGGCGTGATGGGACTCAATGACACTCTCGCTGAGGACATCGGGTCCATCGACTGCGTCGTTCTGTTCTATCCTACAGGACCATCTACACCGAGATCTATGGAGCAGCTTGCCTATACGCCTATCAGTGCCGTTAACCCAGCTCTTCTTCTGTGTGCAAAGGGTCCAGCACGGTGGCCTGACAAGTACGAAGACTCCACTGAGGAACTTCCGTCGATTTTACGCAACCTCGCTGGTTTGGCCGAAGTAAGTCTAGCTTCAATGGTGCACGCGCGCCCCACAACCGCAAATACACAAGAGGAGGATCCACAGGACTTCCTGCTGACGATGGGCCTGGTATATGACTCGGAATACATCCGCCTGGTGGCGCACATTCCGTATGCCGTCGCAAATGGCTACAAGTATCTATCATTGCTGTTTGACACACTCCCATTCCCGTGTCGATGTGTCGGGGGCGCCAGCGAATTCGTCCGAGGGCGTTATCGAGTCGCGCTTGCGTTGCTGTCTATGCAGCAGCACATCTTCCGCATGGCAACCCACCTGGACAGCGTCAAGCTCCCAGAGAGCCTTCGAGAGGCTCAGCGGTCAGTCATGCACGATCTGCTTGTGGACAGATTTGCGGAAACTCGCATGGAACTCGATACACCGACCCCGACGGACGTGTCAGACGAAGAGTTAGACGACCGCATCGACACTCGAGGTCGTCCCGGTTCAGACACGTTTCAAGCTTACGAGCGTAGCATCGAGCGCGTAAAACCTGTTGTTCACGCCTGGATACTCGGGCAGCATGTAGGACAACAATCTGCGGGTGAAGGGTAAGCTATTTGTCACGTCGACTATGATGGCTTCTCACTAAAGCCATAGGTTTGATCCACCGCCGAGCCACGTCAGTCCAAAGATAGCGTCGGAGAACGCTCGCGAGAACATCCAATATACACCCATACCTCCCATCGATCGGCGTCGCGGGGGTCTGCATGTGGATATAGCTCAGCCGAAACAGGTCGCAGAACATGTACGGAATGTGTTGAGTCTCGCTCAACTCGAGTGTGAGAATCTGTAGGAGTTGTCCAATTGTCTTGCGTGTGCATGTGAGATTCATGAAGTCCTTCGTGCAGCCCTCCCGACGTCATTCTTGGCTCGACAACATTGAGTAGTATCTGGGAATACAAGGAGTTGGATTGGGAGAGTCCGCATAATCGGGACGCCAGCTGGTATTCTCTCGCTAAGCGGTATTGGTCAGAATCCTGGGGCTACGTGGATACAACCTTCATTCAAAGAGGCGTACACCCGGTACCAGTCCCATCCGACTACCAAGAGGTATGGTCCCGCGAATGTGTATGCAGCATTGCACTGACGATACCCATATTAGACATCTGTCTTGGCAGGCAAGGCTATGCCTGCGGACAATGCCTCTCAATTGACGACAAATCTCATGAAAGTTATCATGGCTTTCTTCCATCGACGTGCCGTCAGCATGCGCACTACCTTGGGACGCGCGTGGCTAGAGGTGTTCGACGGGTCCCATGAGTATCATGCGCACGTACCCAGGCTTTACGTTCGGAGTGACGTGACAGATGAACAGAAGGCCAGCCTCCTGCCTTTGTTTTATCCGTGTTCTCTGTCCCAACAGCTCGCTCGAGAACTCGCGTCAGAAAGGCTCATCGGGGAGACGATTGAGCAAATGCTCGGACCGCAATCCAAGTTTTGGACCTTCATAAGCTCGACAGGGTACGTCTGGTCTTGCTGCTCTTTCAGTCCCGCGGACACTGATGCATTGTCGCCGGGTCAATCAGGGTCCCAGCTGTCAGAAGTGACTGCATCCCACTGGCTGTTGTTCTCCACGGCGATCCTGATATGAAAGGCGACGACGTGATGGCCGCACGCAAGCTCATGACTCGAGCACTTCACGGGACATTGACGTTGCTTACTATGCGACATTACAAGAATCAAGGCTGGGATTTTGACCGCCGTTTGACCCAAGCAGATGCGCGTGTCCAGCTAGACGAACAGTATCTCGTGTTCAGCGTGCTCTATAGCAGGCAGCTATTTGAGATTGACATCAACTTCCCAGTGCTCGCGTGGGACAAGAAGATGGAACGAAGCAAATGGACCTTCGTCAACGCCCCGGTGATGAACAAGGAATGCACACAGCCTATGTACATGCACTACAAGGTGGACCTCTTTCATGCGCTCTTATACATTGAACAGCATATCTACTTGTTGAGCAATTGGCTCGGACTCGGTCGAACTTGAAGGAGAGAGCCCATTCAGCTGTCTCATGGAAGGTCATGGTACAGCCGACGCGCAGTCTCGTGGAACAGGATGGGATGGGCCGACGCCGGCCGACCGCGACTGTCTCACGGAAGGCAATCGGGTCGGCCGAGGGCAAGGCGGGCAAAGCGGGCAAGGCGGCGCGTGGGACTATTGGCTCTCAAGACGGATTGGTTCACTACCCAACGCAGCTCGATACAAAAATGGACCATACGTTAGTAGAAATGAATCAAATTAGTGACTGCCAAACATTCTTGTCCAGCCGACGATTGTGTCTCCCCCATGACGATGCACTACCCGACTGTGGGCTGGAGATGGTTTGCGGCCGACCACCGTCTTAGTTCACCCGACCATTCCGTCTCACCCATACCAATACGCCCACCGACCGTCGGCTGGTGAAATGAGTCCAGCAGATGCCCGTCTTAGAGCACTCGACCGTTTAGTCTCACCCATACCAATCCATCCACCGACCGTCGGCCAGAGATGGTATGCAGCCGATTCCCGTCTTAGCCCAGCCGACCATCTTGTCTCATCCATACCAATCCATCCACCGACCGTCGGCCAGTGAGTGTGTCCGGCCGATGCCTGTC